TTTTTTTCCTCTTTCAATGTAGTACAACGGAAGTCGCGTTACAATCCGATGAACACGCATTCAATCGTACTGCATCGTCTTTAAACCTCCGGCCGGTTCCTGTCGTACAATGATATCTTCATCCGACGTGATTCTTGTTCGAGCTCTATCCAGCCAATCAACATGGAGAGTCACAGACCGGTTTTGATCCAGCAGGTTCTCCTACAATGTGCTCTTTTGGGAGGAGGGGGAGAAGGGGGTTCGATAATCTGCCATGTACGTATGGAATGCTCTGTACAGAGCGTGTGGTGCTGTCATTTTAACCTCCCCGGTCTAGCTACTGTCTAGAACGTTCACGATCTCAATTTCTCCGGGTGGTTAAATTGGGACCCGTTGATCGTTCGGGCCTGGAACCGGAAATGCTGTAGTACAACAGGATTCGTCTGCTTTTACTACGAGTAGTACGGAGTAGTACTGGAATCGAAGGATGAAGTACCTAGGTACCTGTGCATGCCGACGTACTATGTATAATTTTTCTTTTTTGGAGTGTCTTTGGAGTTGCCCAAACCAGATAATAGTATTTCTGTCATTCAATAGCTAATGCTATTCCCCGCCGAACCCGTGGCTAAATGCAGCCCACCGGATGCTTTCAGTATAATTATGATTATTCGCCCTGTCATCTCGATACGAGGGATAGACGCATACAGATATTTAGGGTTTCTAGACTATACTGTATAGAGTTAAGCGATAAGCTCTATTATTTTTCTCGTAAGGCTAACTCGTCTCTTTATACTCTGTACTCCGTACCTACAAGTGGTATTACCTCGGCATTCTGTACGGGAGATACTATTTCGTAGTCCCTGAAATGGACCACGGCTCGTCTTCGAACGACGGGGCGGTCGGCGGCGACGGATTGTGGAGACGTGACAAGGGGCTCCCGCCAAACTGCAAGATTACCTAGGGAGCTGTGGAGACTATGTGGAGACCACCAGACAGAAACCACGTATGATATTACAGTACAATACACCATCCCTTACAGGCTACGGGGGACAGAATGCTCCGTCCATGCAAAAAATTATTTGTTCCGGGTGGGGTAGACAGGTGGAGAGTGGGAATAATAAACCAATCGTCACTCACCGGAACTTGGGGTTGACAGCCACCAGTGGGGCAGAGTCGGTCGGCCTAGCTTTCGAATGGTCAAGGCCGCTGAGGAGTGAAAGGCATTTTGATCGAGTAGTACTTTGGAGTACAGAGTACATACGAAGTAACTTAGTAGACAAGCTGTACTTTGTAAAGTGCCATGTCATAATCGCTAGTTGTTTTTTTTAATGATGACGAACGTTTCTAGATCGTCTGACGGTGACCCGAAACTGTTCCAGGAATCCCGTTCCATCGAACCGAGAGAGTTCATCTTATGGTCTTTGACTGCCATGTTACTTGTACGGAATATGTGTAAGTATTATTATCTGCAAAGTAAGAATACTCACGCTTAGGCAAATTCGGAGTTCTCCGGCCTCGCACCCTGTCGAGAACAGACAATGAGATTGTTGGGCTTGTGCGATGGCAAATAAAAAAATTTTTATTTATTTATTTATTTATTTATTTTTTTTTTTTTTAAAAAAAAAAAAAAAAAAAAGGAAAAAAAAACGACTCTCTTTTAAAATAGCGGTGGGCAAGGCCTGCCGTGGGCCTAGAACATGTGTTCCTCCCATGGATGATCTTTGCGGGAGACGTTGAGCTGCATCATTCAGTCATTCATTCTTTGCTGTCCAAAAGCCGAAACTCTACCGGTACTACTGAGTAAACATACAAGCTTGTGTATATGTACCATGTACAACGTAACCCTAACCACTCAAAAGGAGAAAAATTGACGGATTCTGATCCATCGCAGAACGACTCTGCGTGATCCCGGCTAGTATTGCCAGGTCACGAACCCGACACCATTGGACCAACAGAACCAGTGGGACTGTACGAGGACTTCGTGCTCCGTAGTAATACGCTATCTGTCTATTCCTGGTGCACAATCATCGCTGATCGTCTGGCAGGGAAGGGCGAGAAAATTTTCCGACTGGCAAACATGTGGGACCCACTCGCTCCAGGGGTTCCAGTAGTATTTTTTACGGCAAGTCATATGACTGTACAGGGTACAGAGAACAGCGTACATATACATGGTACATGGTAGCGTTGTTAATAGCAGCATAGTTCAGTGCCAATGTATCATAACTTAATTATGTGTTCGTGCCAAAGTTACCTTTAAACTCAATTATAGTATGTAGTAGTATATCGATGTTATCATGGCCATTACATACCGTTGACAACACGACACGCGGTCTGCAGACTTAAAGTGGAGTCTCATGACTCGAACGACAAAACAACAGGCGACTTAGCACGCTTATGTATATTATTTCCTGGATATTATACGGATGAAACCGTCTCGGGATTTCCAATCGTTCGTGGCAATACTGAAAAGTGGCCCTGTTGCTATGTGTTTTCATAAGAAAAAAGGACTGCTGCCCAACAATGCTCTGTACTACTATGTACTCCCATCGTATTCCTTTCAGACTAGAGTACTACTCTCTCTGTGTTACCTGTTTGTGCTATAACAAAGCAGATTGGATCATCATTCCGTACTGAAAATAGAACATCGTGGATTACATAGCTGCGTAATCACTGCAGGGCCTCATCTCGGAGACTTGAGGATACGGGTACTCTATCCGGCAGGGAACTCACCTGTCACTTTCCCAAGAGAGATTAATTCCCGGGTCCATCATTCGGTCATCTTGCCTTCATCTTAATTTCCTAGCTCGCTTTTTCTCCTTCCGGAAGGACTCTCAAGAACTAAGTACGAAGTACGAGGATTGTACCGAGTACTTATGCCCTGTGCTTGTGCATATATTTTGTTTCTCCTCGGCTTTACATGTGGATCAGACAAGTCGATCGCCCTAATTCTACGATCAACTACATCTCATTCCATGCATTAATCAAGCAGAAACCTTTTTATTTCGTGTACATTCATGGCGGAAAACGGGACTTCACGCGCCAGATCGTGATACTATGCCCGGAAATTGTACCTGTAGTGCGTGTGCCATTGCGCTGCCTTCGGTTGACTCAGCGCCAACCGATCCATTCTTTTTGTTATGATGACTGTGGCCCAGTGGCAGAACAAATCCCTGCAGGGCACGGAGCGAGTGTGCTCCATACAGAGCACAGAGAGTACGGAGTACGTACACCCTCTGTACGTCCTCTGTACGGTGTACAGCATACAGGGTATTTCGTGCAAACACACAGGCAAACAGGCAGCACGCTCCGGCCCATCGTTGAAACTGCCTAGAAGGATGAGGGGAATGGATCAATGTTCTCGACTGGGCTAGACTTCTCCTTTGTGCGGCAGAAGCAGTAACAGCAGCCGGAGGAATAGACAGGACTTTCATTAAAGGGAAGCGCTTGGGCTGGTTTGCTCCACATCCAAACAACGTGAAACAACAGGGCGGTTGCTGCAACTGTCCGTGGACTCGCGAGGAAGGTCTTTTCTCTCGGAATATTATCGCCCTGTTATTATCATTACTACTATCCTGGAAGTTCTCAGCGACAGTGATTCGTATTGCAAGTAGCCAACACAGCAGGCCCAATGAAAGAAAAGTGATGAGGTGTGATGGACAACCATTGACTCCTGACAAATGAATGGTTGATGTCCCGAGCCACATCACAATGCAACCGGTGATTCATGAATTGACGATTTACTCCTCACTTTCTCGGGGGAAAGAGCCCTATTCGCAGAACTTTTGCTTGTGCGTATCACTGATCCATTATTCCTTTCTGGTCTATAATGAGACTAGCCCCTATCAGTACTACCGAGTCTAACTTATGAGTAAGTCTGGTTTGTGTGGTCTGGATGCTTTGGATTCCATGGAACTTTTGCTATCCAAGAAAGGAAAGATAAACGAAGTAGAACTTTGTAAAAGTGACCTCTCATTTGGATTGTTCACTCTGGGCATGTAGAGAGTACTATGTACACTGATGTACTAAGGGGGATGTCCAAAGACATAGTGAGTGTAGGGTGTGGTCTCGCTCGAGTACCTAACGCAACAATATTACCGAGGGCAGAGAGTTATCGAAATAGAACACTCTTCTTTCAATTCCCTGCCAAAACCCATTCTTTATTCCACCGAGAATAGCTGTCAAAGATATCATCTGTATTCTTTGTTTTCTCAGCGCCATTGTTATGGGTTTCTTTGGATTTCTAGAATTGGCATACTAGAGAAGGGTCAAAGAACGACTCCAAAGAACACCAATTTTCTACTGTTGCATAACTCATTACTCCTTTGTCAACTAAACTATGAGACCACAGGCGAATTTGGAAATATATCAAGCAGTGGATAGATCTCTAGTGATAAATTCGCTGTTAATGGCTTACGGATAGAGTCTAAATTCGTAATGGACCTTTCCAACTTGTCTGGTAACCCCCGATACTTCTATGTATTGTCCCTTTTAATCTGTGCTTTCTTTAGGAAGCAATGCTCTGACAGGTTAACCAGACAGATAATGTCCGTCCAACAGAACAATGCCCTGAGAGGGAGGTCTCAAGGGGAGGTATGTCACATCTCAGATTGACTTTGCTAGCTCTCTGCTAACTTCTCACTCAACAGCAATGTGCGATCTTGCCGAACTGGAAGCCTCATGTCAAGCCGTTCGATAACACTCTCAACCGAAGGTTTAAAAAGACCCGGGAATCTTTGCTTCCGAATGGCCACGATCACACTACTCGTCCATAGTCCCATCTTATTCAACTGGCTCTATACCTACGTAAACCACCACAAGCATAAAAGTCTGGATGGTGAGGGATGCATCCTCTGTAGGCTATATGAGGTTACACAGGTATATTGGTCCAAAGGCCGCCTTCGCAAGGAGCACGAAGAACGGATGAATATTCTCTAGAATATCATGGTTAGCCTCTACCCCAGTTACAACACCGGTTAGTATGATGTACCTGAGTTTTTGGGAAATTTTTACAACATAGTTTATAATGCTATAGATGTCCAATAGTAAGTAACCTTTGAAAACATATCTTGCAGCAATGCAGGCCGTGGTCATTTGTTCAAGGTCATCAAAGTCAAGTATGATGCTTGTGGAATATGCCAACAAATAGGTACTTCCACAAAGACTTCTTCTCTTATTCTTCTAGGCTCATTCCCGAGCAATAGAACATCCATTACGGTTGAAGATTCAATCGGAGTATTTACGAATTTTAATATAAAAGCTAGCTGCGAAGAATGTCAGAAGAAGACTGGTTATCAGACTGACTGGTTTGCAAGCTCACCGGAGAATCTCTTTGTGCAGTTTCACGGAGACACTCAAACGGTCAACACGCAGGTCCAACTCAAATATAGGCTTTTCGTCCCGGAGGGGTGTATTTGAGGAATTACAGGATAAAGGAAAGCTTGAATATGGGCTTTATGGCGTTGTTTTTCACAAAGGAACGAGTTTCCAAGGTCACTATACTATCGCAGTCAAAGGCCCTAGCCATGGACGGAGATCGATGACCTTAAGTCAACCCCCTTGGAAGAAACTAATTCCTCGCGTCACAACAAAATCGCCGAGACGCCTACCTGTTGGCATATCGAAGGGTGAGAGGCCGAGAGCAAAGCAAGCCCTCTTACCCATCCAATAATCCGCCATCTGCACGATATCTGAATTTCCTGCCGCAAAACCTGCCCCCGAAGGCAAACTTTCCCATGCAAGACCAGCTAATAATGGCAATCAGGTTAGGTTAGAGCAAACCATCTGGCCTGAAGGAGCAGCCATGCCGTGGGCACACATCTTCAACCTATACCACGACTTCGCGGGGACACGATTTGAACCAAAAGACCAAGATATCGAATTGGAAATGAAGTTCACATTATCGACAGATGAGATTTTTGAAGGATCAGGGAGCAAATCGCTAACCTTGAGTGGGTCTCGAAAGCGAGCAAGGGCGCTTGCAGAGATTGCAGATGCGAAAATGGCGAGAAAGCGAAAGACCGAACCAAGAACTGCTGCGAAGGAAGCCTCAAAACGAACGCGCCGTGCGGGTCTGATGCACTGTACGAACCTAAAAACCCTCGAAGGTCGGGGGCAAAAACGGTGATATGTCGGTATGGAGAACAGTAAAGCGAAGTTATAGATTTTTTTTTTTTAATTTTTTTTTTTGATAGTTACTAGTAATTTAGGTGTATAGTGTTTGATTTTCCACATTTTATTGAACCAGTTGACTTTTTTTTTCTTTCTTCCCCTCTTTGAATCTCCATGTTGTATTATAGTAGAGCATCATTTTGTGAAATAGCGGAAGTTCACTATTATCTAACTCACAACAACCATGTACCATGGAGATTCCAGACAGTGACGAGGAGGAAGAAGAGCTTCTTCCAGATACGGTCCAGGATGAAGATCCTGAACTTCGAAACCAACATATTTCATCGCCTGTCCAATTTGTCGAGCGCATCTTCTTTCAACTCAACAAAATATCATCGACACCGCATCAGCACCACAACCACCACTGCCAGCATGACCAGCAGCAAAACCCCTTTTCTACCATCTCAAACACCCAGGCCTCCCAGGTCAGGCCATTAATGCTAGCATTGCACTGTCTCTTCCCCAACGAACTACTCCTTGCACTCGACATCCTAGACCGAGGCCTCGTGAGACGCCTGGTAAGAGGGAACCAAGAAAAATCATGCGATCTTGAAGTTGACACGCCTTTCCCCTTCTCATCTTTTCCCCACGGGCTATCTTCGTCTCAAGCCCCGTTTATGGTAAATTCCGGCAAGGAGCCAGTCGAGGATGTGTTCCTTGTCATATCTGCGTCTTCTTCTGCTTCCATTTTTACGTCTACAGCTACTCGCCACGAAGGGGTAAAAGGGTACGAAGTTCGTCTGAGTGCATGGAATTGCACGTGTCCAACTTTTATTCTTTCTGCGTTTCGAGGAGAGGCGTCTTCCAATGAGAATTACCATCATGATCAAAGTGATGACGACTATACGTATGGGAATTCTGCGAGTGTCGCTGGACAAGGATGCACTAGAACCTATCGCTTTGGAGGAACTTTGACTCATGGTCCTACTAAATTGTCTCCGCCCAGTTGTAAACATCTAATGGCCTGTTTTATACTCGCTCGCTGTCCGAATTTGTTTGGAATAGGAGAAGGCGCAGAATCATACCGCGTCAGTGCAAAAGAACTGGCAGGCTGGTGCGGCGGTTGGGGTGGGTGATCCATCTACTTGCAGCATGCCTTCATTTAAGTCATACATCAAGATACATCGAAATGCCAAAGTTATCTCAGGATGAAAGCAAAAATAACCGCTCAATCATAATGTACATTCCAATGCAAAGATTGAATTGTTCTAAATGGTTCGTTATCAATATCGATTGGGTTGTCCGATCCAGCCATAGAATTACGGAGTCATGGAGAAACCTCAGATTACCTGCATCACATCCCTTAGTTCTTAGATGACTTCTCCTTGGAACTATCCTGCTCCTTCTTTTCGCCATTCCCTGCCCCACTGGCTTTCTTTGCACCCTCTTCCTTTTCAGCCTTAATGGCATTCACCTCCTGCTCCTTCTTCGACTCGTTCTCTTCTTGTTGCTGCCGGTTTTGGATCTTGTTTTCGATCAAGTCGTGGAACGCCGTGATCGCGCGGATCAGACTGCTGATGTAAATGGCCATCATTTGGTCGTTGGTCTTGATGCTCATTGCCCGTGCTAGCTCGCTGTTCTCAGTCTGTGTCTCCGTACCGCTGATCCGTGGTCCTGTGGATGGTGTCGACAAGTTGGGAAGCAGGTTGAAGACGTCCTGGAGATGACCCAGGATAGCGTGGTTCACAGGAAGTTCACGGTCGAGGACCTTCTGGAGGTATTGGCCGATGTCACGGAGTCGCAAATGCAATCCCTGCAACGACTGGAGTTGCGAAGTTATCCGAGTAGAAAGGGTTCCGACGGCCACATCTCTAATGTCGCGAAGAAGATGCTCCACACCAATTTCCTCCGCTTCCTCGGCCTCGATTACAGATGGGGTATGGACGAACGTTCGCGAAGTTGTAGTACCATCCTAGCAACCCGGCTGTTAGAGAGGCATTTTCACTGGATACAAGGAATAATAGCGTCATAGAACATAGAACAACTCACATCCTTAATCTCATCAACAGCAAAGTAGGCATCTGTAGGGACGCCAACCTCCTTCGGTTGCACATCGACGATAACCAGCAAGGGGTTAGGTGTGTATTTCTTGAACAACTCGTTGATCTCCAGGTCAGAGGCACGCAGTTTCGGACCCGAATGGTACCATCCGATAAGCTTCTCACGAGCATTGATTTTCTTGAACATGTCCCTCATGGACTCGATGAAGTTGTGATCTAAAAACCAAACCGACGGATCTTTTTCATCTTCTTCGAACGGAACTGTTTGTGTATAATAACCTCGTCAGTAACAGATAGTTTTGGGGGGAGCGTGTGAACACGACGCACCAGCAAAGCTGTTTGATACCCGAACCGTCTGGCCAGTATTCTCTCCTAGAAGCACACCCACAACACGCTTTTTAGTCCCCTTGGCAGTACGTCCATAGTGATCTGCGACGGAAAGAAGAACGAGAGGAGCGACAGTGACGGTCTTCGAGACGAGGGAGAGGGTCTCCGCCGTGGTAGCAGGCATGGCGGAAACGAGGTGAATAGAGACGACTGACGAAAAGGGGAATCTGCGAGAAGGAAGGAAGAGATTTAATGATGAGTAGTCAGAGTCCGAGATAGGAAAGGGAGAAGGAGAAGACAAGATAGGGCCAGCGATGGAATAATTGGCGTGATGACGATGAATGAAGCTGTTGGACTTGCTGGGAAGCTCCGCAGAGACACTGCGCCACAGTGGCGGACAACACTTACCAGCCACATGTTTCTATATGCCTGAGGCGTCATTACCGGTGTATCACGTGGCTGTCAAGAACGGATCCGTCAATTGTACGAACCGGGCGCTCGTGCGGGCCATCGGATTTGATTGTAGACGGAAATTGCAGAGTAGTATATGCATTCGATCCAATTGAATACTCATTATAACTATACAGTAGCACATACCATGTAGCCCATGTAGTCTGTTTGCAGAATTACTTCCCGTAAGTACTCCCGTAGATGTTCCCCCACGGCAGCGGACCTCGGAGGGTCCGGCGGTTAGTCTTCCGCCCCGTTCTTCACCAGCCAGCCCATCTCCAACTTGACTCTTTTTCTTCCCTACTTCCGTCGCTTCCATTCCCCCGTCTCAGCTCTCAGCCTCTGGGGTTCTCTTGCCTATAAACTCTCCTCTTCTCCCGCTCTCAGTTTGTCTTCCATTATTTTCTCTTGAAACGTCATACTTCGTTTCTCTTAATATTCACAAATCGCAATGGCTCCCATCACAGAAGAGGCTGTTTCGAGCCTGAAGGATATGGTCGGAAAGCTTGAAGCTCGAGTGCAGGATCTGGAAGGCCGCCTCAGCAATGGCTCCAACAAGCCCAAGTCCGTTGCGGAACAGATGCGCATTATCTTGATGGGACCTCCCGGTGCCGGTAAGAGGACTTCTCTTTGGTTGGGGAGGTATGGCGTACATTAACTATTAAACAGGCAAGGGTACCCAGGCCCCCAAACTCAAGGAAGCGTATTGTGCATGCCACTTGGTAAGTCGTTCCGTTGCCCATTTCTCATCCGATTTTTCGCTGATAGACCTCTCTTTCGTGCATAGGCTACTGGTGACATGCTGCGGTCACAAGTCGCCAAGAAGACCGACCTGGGACGCGAGGCTAAGAAGATCATGGACCAGGGTGGTCTAGTTAGCGATGATATCATGGTTAATATGATCAAGAGCGAGCTTGATAACAACGCTGAGTGCAAGAACGGGTGCGTGGAGAAATTTCTGCGGAAGAGAAACGATAGGATAAATATCACTGACTACAGATATTTAAACATGCAGTTTTATCCTGGACGGTTTCCCTCGTACCGTTGCCCAAGCTGAGCGCCTGGATGACATGCTTAACCACCGCAACCAGAAGCTCCAGCACGCCGTTGAGCTGCAGATTGACGATGCCCTTCTGGTCGCAAGAATTACTGGCCGTCTGGTCCACCCTGCCTCTGGACGGTCGTACCACAAGATCTTCAACCCTCCCAATCAGGACATGAAGGACGACGTCACCGGCGAGCCGCTGATTCAACGTTCCGACGACAACGTCGACGCCCTGAACAAGCGTTTGGTGACATACCACGCTCAGACTACCCCGGTTGCTGACTACTACAAGAAGACCGGCATCTGGCGAGGTATTGATGCCAGCCAGGAACCCGGTCAAGTGTGGAAGAGCCTCCTCGGTGTTTTCCACAAGAACTGAAAAAAAAAAAAAGAAAAGAAAAATTGAGCTTCGTGGTGCTTCCCTCATAATCTAGAGATGTAAAAATCATACACGAGAAGAGTTGGGACCAACTGGGCACGGTTATGTATGAATGCAGGTTTATGGATGAAGAATAGAAGTCGCGACTTATACCATGGTAAATAGACACCTGGCAGGAATTCCAACGTTATGTATAGTATCCACTTTGTGGAAACCAAGTTATACAGTTATGCTTCTAGTAGTGTCCACTTTGTTAGGGTGTCGACATTTCGTGGACAGTGCATCAAATCCTTATCCGTAATACGTCTTAATATTGTATACTTGCGATTTTAATAAGTACCAACTGTCGTCTAGTTCGCGGGCATATTACGAGGATTATGGTTGTCAGAATTGGCCCGAAGCACCAACAATTACACACCGCTATACAGGGATTATGAGTGGTATAGCCCTAATCTAACATGACTAGATTAGTACAGAAGAACCCTCTAAGATGTCTAGAACGACTGCTCCTAACGGACTGCTTCACCTTTCTTTTATCCGGTTGACTACCGCCAATCGTCGTCTCGCGGAGTTTTGTGGGAGAAGTGGCCTGAACCCTTGACACAGGAAGCTTATGTCGATAGTCCAATTGATACAAAAACCAGTATGAGTGGTTTGCAGCGGTCGTGATTGACTCTCGTTCAGTTTCTTTGTGGCCTGCAGCGCCCTGTCCCGTTTCCTTCATCAGGCTGGCCTCTTTTACCGTCCAACAAAGCCGTTTCGCAATTGTCGCCCGTGAAGTACGGAAGGTACTACAATTTCCCTATTGCAGCCTTAAGAGGTGCGTTTGTCTATATATCAAGAAAAATCTTTGTTAAAGGTGCAGTATCATCTAATGTATTACAGTAATGGTTTTGAACCACTACATATATTATCTCATATTTGTATCTTCAAGCATTATGCCTTAGTTACTTTGTACTTGTAGTGCATGAAACCAAATTTGCTCTGGGAATGTCGTTACACATTTGAGTGCAACTTATAGCTGCAAAGGATAAGCAGTTGACTCAATGTTCTCAGGATAGGTCAACCCCCCCTGCCGCCTGACCTCATCCATGACCTCCATGATAACAATACTCTCTTCCAAAGGTAAAGTATCACTCTCGAGTTTCCCATCACGCAAACAACGCGCAACCTCATCAGCCTCCCAGTACATGCCCTTCCCATTGCCAGGGAACGGGCACTCAACATCCCTAATCTCGCCTTCGCCCTTTTTGGGAATGATACGATATCTCTCTGGTCGGAATGCCGGGCCCTCCACCTGGATTTCGCCCTTGGTTCCTTGAATGCGGATCGTGGGACGGCTGGAACCCTTCTCGTCTGGGTCTGTAGACACCCGAAGGTTCGTCATGGCCACCGCTGTTGACCGACCCGGATGAGGGTTGTTGGATGGGGTAGAGGTTGGGAAGCTAAGGAGCATTGTGGTTGCTTCGTCTGCGCCGGTGAGGTGGTAGAGGGACATGTGTGCGGAAACGGCCGAGGGGGGTTTGCGCTGTTCTCGAGGAAGAGTGTGGTAAAGGGTTTGGAAGACCCAGGTCAATGAGTAGATTCCTACTTTAAATGCAATAATCAGCATCCGACTTCTATTGGAACGGAAAAAGCCACCAAAGGTTAAAGAATAAAAAACTTACAGTCCAACAAGCAACCCCCGGCAAGATCCTTGTTCACCATCCGGTGTTTAGTTCCCCATTTATCCTCAACATCATCTCCAAAACTGTTATCCGCCATCACACGCAAAACCTCGCCAATCGCTCCCTTTTTAATCAACTCCCTAATTTGGACACTCAGCGGGAAGTATCGAGTCCACACAGCCTCCATCAAGAACAGGTTCTTTCTCTGCGCCGTTTCGCATAGAATCTTCGTCTGGGCCGCATTGACGGTAAAAGCCTTCTCACACAGCACATGTTTTCCGGCTCCTAGCGCGAGCATCACATTCTGATAATGGTGCGAGTGTGGCGTAGCGACGTACACCACCTCCACGTCCGGGTTGGCCACGAGTTCCTCATATGTTCCATAGGCGGTACAAGTACCGGGAATTCCTGTATCGGCGATGAACTTATTCGCACGCTCCTTGGACGAAGAGGATGCGACGGCCGTGACTGTGTGGGAGACGTCCGAGGCGTCTCGGAGGGTAGGGTCGTTTAGGAGATCTCGTACGAAGACTGTGTACGTCATTCATTCATCAGCAAGGAGCGCTCTCGCCCGTGGGAATCTTGAAGCACATACCGTCGGCAATCCATCCTGTGGCTATGCTCATAAAAAGAACCCTTGGTCAGCTCGGGAATACAGTGCGGGGAAACTCGACCGCATACCCATAATACCCCACCGAACATTGTATGGTGCCATGGTGACTGTTTGGAGAATCAAATATGATAGAAGAAGATAGATTGGAAGAGTAGCTCAGACAGGTGATAGAAGACGAAGAGAGAAGAGTTAGTTTTTGTACCTGGACTCAATTGAATTAATTCACCGAGTGGAGAGGGGAAAGAATCCCCGCTTCCGACGTCACTACTGAAAGAACCTTATGAGATGGAAGAAAAACGAATGTACTGTTTTGGGATATATGTAGCATTATGTATGTTTACTACTATGCTGCCATAGAATAAAGAAAACAAGATAGAGTAAGACTCTACTGATGTTATATAAAAAAAAAATAAAAATAAAAATAAAAATAAAAAAACAGGCGCCCGCTAAATGCACGCTTCACAAGTAGAAAGAAAAAATGACCCCAATGTACTCAAACCACTCCCAGTCCAATCAAACGGGTTCCATTTTGACTCGAACATGATGCCCAGGAGAGTCAGTGCCCTGTGATGTATGCTTAGCTAAACTGGACTAGAAGCGGATCGCTTGAGATAATCTTACCTCTGCCTTCCGCTTGCCAAGCACAGAATCCGGAGTGCTAGTGCGCCCTATAGGCGTGTTTCCATCAGCAGGGCCTGGCCCATCTTTGGTAACTTCGGAATAGCAACTGGCGTGAAAGACACGATTCCCAACCTTGGCCGCATCTTGCCAGATCCAATCTTGGACTTCTTCGGACCACGTTGACTCGAACTTCTCCTGACAGATGGGACATGGCGTGTTTCGCAAAGTTGCATCGTTCGGGGCGTGGATCCATTGCTTTGGGGGCCCTTTCTTTGCCGAACTGCCGTCGGCACCGGCTACACTATCTCCGGAAGTTTCTGCATCGGCGAGACTCTGGTCATCTCCGACTTCTCGGGATTTGATCCAATCCCGTTCATCGACATACCAACTGCGATTTTGAGCCCGCTTGGCAGCGTCTGCCATTCGTTGGTTTGTCTTAAAATGCCAATCCAAGTGGCGTGCCTTCTTTTCTTTCCCCTCCTCCGTTGCAAAAAATCGACGACCGCATGTTCCGCACCGATTCGATTTTGCTTCGTAGAGACTAGTGATCAAACCATGTCGTGGTATTTTGATAGACGCAGTATTCATCTGCACGTCCATGGAATTCTCTGAGGTACTCATAGCCTGTGGGGCTTGTACAGGAGGCGTGAATCGAACCTGACCAGGAACAATGAATGGAAATGCAGGGGGAATACTCGGTGTCGGCGCGGTCGAAGGAGCAGAACTCCCTGGCAGAAGACCTCGCGCCCTCAGCGCCGCAACAAGAGGATTTTCGGGAGTCGATGCGGCAGCGGGCTGCGTAGTACTATTCCCTGTCGGCATTTGAGGCATGCTGTTCGCAGGTGGGGGAGTGGGCTGCTGGCGTGCTGCTGTTGCTTTAATAAGTCCCGCCAATGTCCCTGGGTTCAAAAGTTGCTGAAAAGATTGTGAAAGGGGTTGAGCCGGCGCAGCTGCCATAGCTGGTGTTGGAACTGCCGGGATGGGAGGAACGGCCTGAGTAGTCGGTAACACCGGCTTCGGACCCAAGGCAGAGACTTGGTCTCGGACTAGTCTCAGCTGCTCTTGCGTCAGTTCCTGGCGCTGCAGAATACCCTGTAAATCTAGCAGAGCCTTCAATCGTTGCTGTACAGAAGGATCGAGGGGGTTGTTGGTAAATTCGCCGCGGGCTGCTGCGATCAAAGACTCAATGTCTCGATTTAACGCCGCTAGATCGACATCTTGGGATTGCTGAGGAGTCGGAGTGAATCGCAGGGGGTATGAGTTTTCCTAGTCCATCTCATTAGTCCTTATTGTACAGGATAGCACACCGCTTTAAATCGACATGAAGCTTACCATAGACTGGTAACCGGGGGCTTGTCCATTCGAAGGGTAGTGGCGAGCATTCTGGAGCATTGTCGGGCTGTTAGTCCAGTTAGGAGGAGTTGCAACTCGGCTCCGAGTTCGGATTTCTTGATGACTCCTGGCCTGCTGTTGCTGGAGAGCGGCTGTTCTCGCTTTGATCAGGGCACTTTCAATGCCGCGCGTAATATCTGGAGGAAAGACCGGTCTTGTGTCCAACGAACCGGGAACCGGCTCTTTCCACGTTTTGAGCATTTCATCCAGCTTGCGGCGAGTTTGTGAGTCGACCAAGGTGTAGGCATTCATGAACGTCTGGTACATGTTGCGGCCCAGGAATAGAGTGTAGGGAGTCCCTACATTCTTGACAATTGAGTCGACTACATATAGAGCAGGCAACTTCTGCGTAGGTGGTGTCTACAACAAGAAAACAGCACGATTAGAAGCCATTCGACCAAGCATACTACAGGGACATAAACAGAAACAAGACAAATCGAAGAAACAAGAGCATGAGCACCTACTGTTCGGATATGATTCTCCAACACGCGAGAGATGGCCATTGCATGTTCTGTGTTTTCCTTTGCAATGACCGTCAAATTGCTGATTTGAAAGCGGTCGTTGGTGGTGAGGTCTTCCAAGGAGTTCTTGTAGTCTTCAGCTACTTCGTCAGAAGCCAGTCCAGACATGATGGCGAATGATAGCAGCTGTACAGCAGTCAGAATATCAGAACCTTGTCAGGGGCTGTCAGTGTCCTGTGGAATTGGATTTATCCTCCTCTTCTGGTCTTTTCTTGCTTTTCTTCTTTTCTCACCCCCTTTTTTCTTTTCAAATGTCAATATTTTTTCTTTTCTGTTTCTCTCTCTCTCTCTCTCTCTCTCTTTTTTTTTTTTTTTTTTTTTTTTTTTTTTTTTTTTTTTTTTTTTTTTTTTGCCAGAAATGAAGCAGTCTCCTGAAAGTACAAGAGATGGGAAAAGTGTCGGAACTTGTAAAATGCTTGCTAGCTATCTTCGCGAGTCTCAAGACAACAAGAAGAGAACGACGTAGGTGCCAAATCCTCGACCAAGAGCAGTAACGCAAATACGGAAGAGAAACGCAGAAAAGAACGTAAGATAAAACCCGCGATCACTTTCTTCCTCAACAGTATATATCTACCTCACTAGACGTGTCTGATTGAACCTTCCAGTAGACCACAAGTAGCAGAGACAGAAGAACGAAGCTGATCCTGATCCCAATAGTAATAACACTAGTTATTAGGGGGATGGGAGCTGGCTGATAAGGGTATCGAAGCGAGGAAGGGGAGAACAAAGGTCGAAACTGAGCTCAGGAAATGTCGGAACCAAGATCCTCGTAAAATGGAACCCTATCAATTGATGCAAGCCGAAAGATCGAGAGAGCCAGCTGCCGGCGTAATTCGCGCTGTAGAGTGTTGTAGAGGCAAGTCGAGAAGACAACGACAAGAAAAGCCGCAAGCGTGGAGGTGAAGACGAGAGAGAAAAAGGAAAAGAGCGCCAAGACCTAGGTGCTGAGTCAGCGGATATGACGCAGTTGGTCGTTCCATATTGCATAGTTGTACATCCAACAGGAGTAGCACTGCAGTAGTCTCCTCTCTATTCTATCCATAACATACAGGGATACAATACATTCTTATATCAACTGACTCTGTTAAAGAAACGACTAAAAAATGAAGCTCCCTCTCGCAACTGCGCTTGTCGGCCTTCTACCGCTGGCTATGGCCAAATCCATCATTGTCTACTATCCTAAAGGCACACCGCCGTCAGTCATTGACAATGGAAAGAAATTTATCACTGATGCAGTATGATATTTTTGCATTCTGCGTCTATGCATATGTTGGGCTGACTCGTTCTCTGCTGCTATAGGGTGGCTCTATCACTTATGACTACCGTGAGTCTTTATCACTTTCCACATGCCCTTGAAACCCATGAAGCTAATCCTTGACTCTCATTAGCAACTCTAAGGTAACTCCTCCATCATTCATGATCCGATAATATTGAAGTTGCAGCTCTGACACTAGATGTTCCCCGTCTAGGGGATTCGCTGCGGATGCTCCGGACAATGCTGTCTCCAGTTTCAGCGACCAGTCTCCAAACCATAAGCCATTTGTTGAAGACGACCAGGTCATCACAGTCAACTAATTCAATAAACGACTGGGTCCTGGTAATGGAACTAAGGGATGTTTCTCCCGCATGAGGGCGTCGCCGTTACGGTCAGCGGTTTCCCCGTCACGTTCCTTCATATTTGAGACTCCAAGTCTTCCAGAGGTTCAACGGTGAATATATCGAATATGCCTGGGTTTTATCGCAAGTTCCAGTTCTTTTGGTCGTATTTATTGGGTAATATGTGTTGGGAAATGTTCTTTGATTTACTGAGGAGCCGTGGGTGGCGTCTGGGGATTTCCTCTTGTTTCTCTTTAATGTTTCAACCGGATGTTTGTCATTGATAAGTTCCTGATAATGGTAAAGGAATCAACCATGAAACAAAGTAAAAGAGCATTGTTTAGCTCTTTGTTCCTTCTCTCGATGGTGCATGTAGTAGGCTATTCAACCGTAGAAGTTAAACCCCTCGGGAGAAAAGGAAATGCGCGTGCGGTTTAGCGTGGATCCGCCTTGAAACTTCGCCGTCGCGAAAAGGAACATAACATTAATCAGTTATATATGGGGCTTTGCCCGAGCGATTAAATTGAATTGATCCCGTGTCTTTCTCTCTTTTATTAAACCTAAAGGGAATGCGCTCCTGGAAAATATTCAATACAATCTACAACACCCAATTGTGAACCCACCAGTAGCGCGTGTTAACATTCCTCGGGTTCGCACCACAGTACACCCGTCCAGTATGGCCTCAGAACTTACAGTCACCAAAGTCCTACTGGAATGGATCAACAGCTTTTCGCTTGGGAAGACGCTGCGGGCCACTGATGAGCTGACCGACGGAATCATAGTCTGGGAAGTCTTACAGGACATCGACCCCCAATACTTCCTCGACGAGATACCGGAGCGGAACCCACCCGACCATTGGGTGGCCAAATGGCAGAACCTGAAGCATATCCATAAGCTGTTAATCAGTTATATTCGACACCAGAATGATGACAATTTGCCCTCGGGTCTCGATCCCTCCCCCGACCTCGAAGCCATCGCAGAGAAGAGCTCCATCCGCGAAACCAACAAGCTCCTGAAACTCCTCCTAATCGCGGCCATCAGTTCTCCAAATGCCGGAACGTACGTGCAGACGCTTCAGAACCTGACTACCCCCACGCAGGAGGGTCTCAAGGATATCATCGAGGAAGCACATAATGGTCAGCACGAGCCCATTGACATTGCGGACGAAGATAAGGAAGACCCATCGAAACGAGTCAAATCGGTCGACCTGGAACTGCAGTTTGAGGAACGAGTGGGGAAGGTGATCGCAGAAAATGACCGCTTGACACACGAGAAGAAAGAGCTGGAAAAGGCGCTGGAGGACTTGCATAACCGCCTGGCGCGCTTACAGGAGAATAACGATACCCTGCAGAACCGTCTGGCCTCGACGGAGGATCGCCTGGTGACGCTAAAGTCCGGGAAAGGTGATCTCGGTTTCAACGCCAAGGCATTAGAGTCCAAGTCTCGTCAGCAGGAAGACCTCATCGCGACGCAGGAGGCGAGACTCGCGGCGACCCAAGATGAATTGGATAGTTTACGGATGACCGTGGAGTCTCTGCGCGTGAAGAATCAACGGTTCCAGAAGCTGCAGGATGACTACGACGAACTGAAGACGGAAAAGGATCAGTTGGCTCGCAAGGCCAACGCTGCGGAAAAGTATCGCCAGAAACTGCAAGCCAGTCAAGATTTCGAAAAGGAAAACCAGGCACTTAAGAATCAGATCAAGGACCTTCAGCAGCAGCTGAAGGATGCGGATTCCCAGCACAGATGGAGTTCTGAGCGCGAAGTAGAACTTGAGGAATACAGGAAGGTTCTGCCTCGCATTGAACAGGAATGTACCGAAATCCAAGACCTCAAAAAAAGCCTGGAATTCAACAACCACGCACTTGGTGAGCGTCTGAAGAGTGCAGATGAACAGCGCGAAAGGGACGATGAGATTATCAGCGAGCTGCGTGAGAGGATCCGGGAACTGGAAGGCTCTCCCGGAAGCCCATCTCTTACCCCTGGTGCCGAAACACCGAAATTGCAAGGGAATTTGCAGAAGGACTTTGAAGATATCGGTGCCAAAGAGTCTCAACTGTATGAATCTTGTAGCATCTCGAGCTTGGACTGGACTGACCCTTGGCAGGAAAACGGAGAACGAAGACTTGAAAAAAGAAGTCGAATCTTTGAAGGGACCTTCGGCGCATGTAAGTCAGGCTATATGAAATTATACCAGGCCACAGCACTAATCTTTACGCCTCAGGTTGTTTCCCAATTTGAGAAGTTCTCTGAAGCTTTTACCCAGACTCTACAGCTTGCGCAAACCAATTCTACCCAGAAGTATGACTCCGTTTCCTTTGGCTTCCCCCTCTCGCTGCTAACATGGGCTACAGCGAGGAATACTGGAAATTGTTCGATAACTACGCAACAGCACTCAAGAAGTTTGCGGAGATTCAAGACGCCCTAGGTACAACCAAGAAAGCGCTAGATAACGCATATGCAGAGGGTACGTCATCCCTTGAAAATATAAATCGACTTTTGTATTCCTGCTCACACGACTACAGCGGAATTGGCAAACAAGGAAAACGTCGACATGGTCCACGAAGTCAAGGAGCAGAACTCTGCCGAATTGGCCCAGTTGCGGACCGAATGGAATGAGCGTACACAGAGAATACACCATCTCGAGGCTGAGCTTGAGGCCAGTCAGGTGTTGGCCAGGGAGGCGTGCGCCGAGCGGGACGAATTGCGCGGAATGCTCGATAACAAACAGTCTGAAATGCGCGCAGAAGATCAGGAGACAATCAATGAAATGAAGAAGCTTCTTTCCGAATTTACTGCGCAAGACGGCAGCGACAATGAAGCTTCTGGCGTTGAACTCGCAAGACAAATCGCCGAATTGATCGATAAGAATATCGAACGACTTGCCCAGCGTGCAGAGGTCAGTAGCAAGCGAAATTTCTCGCCCTTAATTGATTGGCCGTCCTTGAACCTTGCTGACATCTCATGACCATCCAGTACATTGAGCAACAGAACGAGCACATCAAGTCCCTTCGGGAACGTATTCGAAACTTCGAGGAACACACGGATGATGGCATCAGCAAAGAACGCGAGGTAGGCTGGTGATATTGTAGGCAGTTGGGCACATTCACTAACGTCTTTACGCAGCTTGAACTCCAAAGGATTATTGACGGCCAAACTCGGGAGTTGGCACTTATGAGCTCTGCTTGGTTTGACCTTCAGTGCCGTATTCAAACCAACAATGTCACGCTTTCGAGATACCGGCATGGGTCCAGTATGGCCGAGGCTCAAAAGGGCTGGCTACCAAGGCAGAGAAGTGGTGTTGCTACTAGCCGGTGATTTCTTTTGTTCTCTTTCCCCCATTTCCTTTGAATCTATATTCGTCTGCGATTTGTTGCAATATACACCTTTTTGTTGTTTTTGCTTTGGTTTGGTCATAGGTGCTTTAATATGTTGGAAAGATCTATGGAGATATGTATGAATTGGTGTATACCTTTTGTTATGACTCCGAGATCTATGTCTATATAGAATGAGGGCTGAGAATTTTTATTTCGTATCTCATATACACTGGAGCACTTCGTAATATACAGATTTTAGGTGGCACATGTACTGTTGAATTACCCAGAAATTCCTCAAGATTCAGGACTGCAAAAATGCTCTTTCCAAACTAGGCCCATTGCCTGGGATTCTTCAGAACCTCCAGCATCTCTTTCTCACTCGCCTTGTCTTCTGCCTGTAATTCATCTTCTTCACTCGTATTCATGGTCTCCGTTCTGGTTCCGGATACCAGATCCATGTACGCCCAGCTCGCAGTGCGAGGAAGACTCATCAATATACTCTCAATGCGGGCATTGGGAGTCCGCAGTCCGAAACTCGTACCACGGTCGTAAACAAGATTAAACTCCACATAGCGTCCTCGCCGGAGCTGTTGCCAATCCTTCTGGGCAGGCGTGTAGAGCATGTCCTTTCGTTGCTCGATGATAGGGAGGTAGGAGGGAAGGAAGGAGGAAAGACAGTCGGAAACGAAGGAGAAGAGGGTTTCCTGGGGGTTCTGCGAAGAAGTCGATGAGGTTTGGAGGAAATTCGCGTCGAGATCGTCGAAAAAGATTCCACCTACACCGCGAGACTCCTTGCGGTGGGGGATGTAGAAGTACTTATCGCACCAGGCCTTGAACCTGGGGTAGTATGTCGCATCATGTCGATCGCAGGCGTCTTTGATAGTCTGGTGGAAGTGTTTAACGTCTTCGGGGAAGAGGTAGGACGGTGTCAAGTCTGTGCCACCTCCGAACCACCAGTTTTTGTCTCCATTGAGAGGATCCTTTGGGTCAGAAGTCTCGAAGTACCGGTAGTTCAGATGGACCGTCGGGGCCATGGGATTGTGAGGGTGCAGAACCAGGGAGAGACCGGCAGCGAAGAAACTTAGCGAATCGACGTCTGATCCAACGAATGACTTGTGGTCGGCCCGCATCTTTTCAATAGCCGGTCGTGGCAGTTCACCGTAGACAATCGACACATTGACGCCGGCTTTTTCGAAGACGTTTCCATCCTGAAGCACGCAAGAGATGCCACCTCCACCATTGGGCCGTGACCAGGTATCAGCCCTAAAATCCTTGCCGTCAATCTGACTAAGTTCCTGAACGATCTTCTCTTGGTGCTCTTTGATCAATTTCTCCATTCGCAGGCGCATCGGTGATGTTTCAGTGATGGTGGATTGCTTCTTTAGGGCCTCGTCCAATTCCACTATCGATGGAGAGTCCAATTCGGTTACTTCGCCCGTCATCTGATTCACCACAGTTAAACACAACTATACGCGTACCAGTACAATGCCATTCTTACCATAGAGTATATCAGAGCACCGATAAACGGTACACCAACTGCCAATCGCAGGTACGGTCTCCAGACAGGAAGAGGTTGTGGACCACGGGGTTTTTGTTCGGATGAATATCTGCGAAAGGGTACTCGAAAGTTGCGAGTTGAAAGGCGATTACTTCGACATGAGACCTGCTGAAGTGACCTCCGAAGAGGCATATAGGGCCGGGAAAGAGCCATGGTCATGGGGGAATTGAGAATAGCGTCAATATGGCCTGATCGGACCGCAGTTATCGGTGGCGCGTTGAGAAGATCGATGCTAGTAGTATCCACAAACTAAGCCAAACAATATAAGAAGCAATTGAATGGATCCGATTCGTCCCCGTGTATGAGACCACCAGCAGTGACGATATCCGGACAATTGAGGGATGAAGCCAAATTGGAGAAGAGTTTGTATTGTTTGGAATGTTTACACTGTTTAATTATACGTATCGCCGAGGCTATAACTGTTTGCACTGTTTTGCCTAGTCTAGTGGAGAGATTCAAGCGTGAGTCACAGCATAACAATGCTGTGAAGTTTCTCAAGTGACTACGGTGATTTATTAGTTCACTCTTATACATAACTAATAATATATGATGTGGCTTGGAACAAGGGCAAGGTTCAGGGACAATGGTGGAGGCGAAACTATCCCATATGTAGTTCCGTACTATGTATTATTAGTGTCCCGATAGATCAATATGAAATCCTATCTAGAAGTCGTTTGACCCCATCATACCGCAAGAACACCACCGACAAATGATCAAGTCATTTTTATAGGAGTTTCTATACTCTGTAGACTATTGACAAGTTGGACATTCCTGCTCACGTGGAAATCTCTCACCGCCCTGTGACCCCTACGTACCAGTACCGTACCATACAATACTGTGACCATACCATTACGCGGGGCTTGCCGCCTTCGCTGGTGGTGGTGGTGGTGGTCATCTGGCCGCCTGTGCATCATCATCATCATAGCCATCATCATCCACTCTCCCTCTTCTCCCTCTTCACTTCTTCCCACATCGTTTCTGCCATCTCTCCTCTACTTCTCCCATCCATCTTCCCATCGTTCCTATATTCTCTGTTATCGAGATTTCTTAACTATCGTTTGACCTTGCTCAACTTTCATTTTACTACTACTTATCTCCTTATCCGCTTATCTCTATCTATCATCATGAGATCCAAGTTCAAGGACGAGCACCCCTTCGAGAAGCGCAAGGCCGAAGCTGAGCGTATTCGCCAGAAATATGCTGATCGCATTCCGGTATGTATACATATCTTTTCTTTGAGACTTGGTTTTGAGGATCTGTCCCTTCTCCTGTCCTACCTTGTTACCCTCTCACCGCTCATTTTGACACGACTGACTGGTCTTCTACATAACAGGTCATCTGCGAGAAGGTCGAGAAATCGGACATCGCCACTATCGACAAGAAGAAATATCTGGTACCTGCAGACCTCACCGTCGGCCAGTTCGTCTACGTTATCCGCAAGCGCATCAAGCTCTCGCCTGAGAAAGCCATTTTCATCTTCGTCGACGAGGTTCTGCCCCCGACAGCTGCGCTAATGAGCAGCATCTACGAAGAACACAAGGATGAGGATGGCTTCCTCTATATCACGTACGTTCTGTCCCGCTTCCCGTTTTCAGCTTCTTTTCTGGGGTCTGTTACTAATTACAATAATGTCAAAGATACTCTGGCGAAAACACGTTTGGTGGCTGCTAAACTGCAGTCGATCTTTCCGTTCAAACCTGGCCCCTCTTCCTTTGTGCCACGATGCGGAGAACCATCACGGGGTGTTTGATCCGTCGTTTTTGGGAAATCGATTCTGGGACGGGAGACAATAGCCGCACCGTAGATGGAACAGAGGAGGCAGGCTTCAACTTGCTTTTCATGCGCACAGGCGTTATATCAGGTGTTTCGTAATGGCTTTGCTTGGCGAACGTTAATTGGATTGGTGTCCTTGAATTGAAACGGATTTCTCAGCCATCAGCCTATCTACAAACGGTAAATTTCTTTTTCGCGGTCGATACAGACAGATATTCTAGCAAGGATCGACCAATATAAGCAGTTATTCCTATATGGGTGAACACAGTGTTGGTGTGTAGTAGCTCTGCGGAACTCTTGTACTGTGCCGGAACACCGGGTCTCACCAGTCGTTGTGTCCCAATAGTTATAGGACTACACCACATTCCGTAGCATGGTATTTGAGGTTCAAGCATATTCGTAGCTTGCACGACGTCCAATTTACATATGGAATATGAGTTATAATGCTGAAAGGATTGTAAAAGCGCTGGTTTACTGAAGGGGAGCGGGGTATTGATTGATGGTCCTATGTCGACACAGATCTGGCAGAGAAAGCTGAGGCTATACTATAAAGTACCTCACTATGGAACATTGTCAAATAGCTAGCAGAATGTGTGGGATGGGCTATCTCTCAGGGCAATTTTGTAGACGCCTAACCCGAATAGGAACGCCATAGCGTCCGGTGATTCGGCATCCTCCGAAGTAGCCTGACTGCTTGAGTATAGTAGTGCATGCGACTCAAGTTTACTCGAGTACCAAGCATAAGACAAGGCAGCCTTGGAGGTGCTTTGACGTATTCAGAGACCTTAAAAATACGATTCCCTTTATCCACAATCAGAATGCCCCTGCCAAGTTATAAATCACGTGATAAAACCCGGATCGGGCTTAGCGCTGTATGCTCCGATAGCAGGCCGAGCAATTCTTCATCTTTTCTTCTTTCGTGGGATTGTTTCGCTGCTTGTTGGATTGTGTTTATTAATATCGCTAGACCTATCTTTCTTCTACTTCTCTTCTCCTCTCCCAATATTTCTTCTCGTCCGTTTCCTTCTCCCTCTCCGTTCCTTCCGTCTTTTCACATACAAAATTTTTTTCGGATAAGAGATAAAATACATACAAAATGTCTCCCGCACCTGCTTCTAATGATGTGAAGAAGGAGTCCGCGATGGCCCGTCTTCTGGGTTCCGGTATGTGCGCTTGAATTGCGATTGTAAAATCTGCTGTTAACGTGGATTGCCAGGAGCCGCCGGTATTACCGAATTGATGGTTTTCCATCCTGTACGAAGTTCACCTTCAACGTTCTACTGTTGATCTCCCGATACTAATGGACTGCAAAGGTTGATACCACCGCGAAGCGATTGATGAGCAACCAGTCTAGAGTGAGTTTTTGCGTTTATCTTGTTGTCGGTTTACCGTGAACGTTTCTAACTTGAAGCCTGGTTCCCACTTAGATCACCTCTCCAAGCGCCTTCAACCAAGTCGTCTTTAGAGAATACGCCACTGCTCCTCTTGGTCGCAAGTTCACCTCCCTCTTTCCGGGATTGGGGTATGCCGCCGGTTACAAGGTGCGTGGGGAATCCGAAACCTCGGACTCGCTCTAATTGGCTAATCTTATCTTCTCATAGGTTATGCAAAGAATCTACAAGTATGGTGGCCAGCCATTCGCGCGAGACTACCTGGCTAAACACCACGGCTCCGAATTTGACAATGCTTTTGGAAAGGGAACTGGCAAGGCGATTATGCACGCTACTGCTGGAAGGTGGGAACCTCAGGACCGTCGGTTTGTCGTAAACCGCTGCTGACACGGACGGGAAATTAGTTTGATTGGTATTGGGGAGATTGTTCTTCTCCCTCTCGATGTTCTGAAGATTAAGCGCCAGACAAACCCTGAAGCCTTCCGTGGCCGTGGTTTGTTCAAGATCATCTCTGATGAGGGTATGGGACTTTACCGTGGCGCTGGCTGGACTGCTGCCCGTAACGCTCCTGGATCTTTCGCGGTATGCTCTTTTTCGTCCCTGGGCTACCAAAGTTGAAACGCGACTAACAATGATTTAGCTCTTCGGTGGTTCTGCTTTCGCCAAAGAGTACATCTACGACTTGACGGACTACAACTCGGCCTCGTGGTCCCAGAACTTCGTTGCCTCGGTTTGCGGTGCCAGTGCTTCGCTGGTTGTCTCTGCTCCCTTGGACGTCATCAAGACCCGTATCCAGAACCGCAACTTTGAGAACCCCGAGTCCGGCTTCCGTATTGTGTCCAACATGATGAAGAACGAAGGTTTCACTAGTTTCTTCAAGGGATTGACTCCCAAGCTGCTGATGACCGGCCCTAAGCTTGTGTTCAGCTTCTGGCTGGCTCAGACTCTGATTCCCGCCTTTGGCCAGGTTGTATAAATATGAGAACGAATCATGTGTGATAATAACTTGTTATTTTGTACCTTTCTTTTCATTTTCTTCAAAAGGGGCGTTTTTCATTCAGTTATGACGGCCTTTTGGTGTGACGACTTTTGACGTCCTGACGGCCCATTTTGATAAACTAGCTTTGGCTTCGTGTTTGGGATATAGGACTCGGCTTTTTTTCTTTCTCTTTTTTTTTTTTTTTTTTTTTTTTTTTTTTAAAAAAAAAAAAAAAAAAAATCAACTCCTCTTAATTATATACTCCGTGGTTTGTAGACATAAGCGAGCTTAGGCAAAGTAACGCCGCAACGCCGCAACGCAGCGACGCACGTGACACTCCCCGGTCCTAGCTCCAAGCCGAGCATCGCGATCATCCACGAGCACGAGCAGCTTCCGATTCATTCCGCGCTGGTAGCCAGAAAGACAAGATGGCACTTTACCTAATCTCCAAGTATGTATATCACCTATTATAAACAGGATTATCCTAATAAGATACCTCTTAAAACAGAGTCGCAGACCCCATCTTCGCCGCCGCAATTGGCACCTCTGCTGCCCTAATCCGCATCCACCGCGATCAGCAAGAGAAACAGCCCTCGCACGCCAAGGAGATCGGCTATCGTGAGGTCATGTCGTTGGGAGCGAATCGGGTACGGCGCTGGTGGGCTGGGGATTTCGCAGGGCTGTAAATAAATGTCTTGGAAGTACGAAGTAATCGATGTGCGATTCAGTCGTTTTCGAAGTGTTTGTCGACGAAGGAGGGAGGGATATACGGGACTTGGGTTAGGGAATGATCTTTGGCTCTATTTTCACGACAACTGACATACTCATCTAGATTGGCAGTCACATACTCATAGGAAGACCAAGTTTCTCGCAGACAGACGGTTGCAGAGGCAGCTCTTCCATGAGAAATTTCCCATCTTTACCATCTTCATCGTGCAGAGTAATCATCATTAGGGTTATTCTGTAAAGTATTCGAGTTTTCTCGCAATTGTTCAAATTCGGTTGAACTTTTCCACCATGCCATGGAATAAGTCAGCATCACTGACCCAAAAGGATCATCGGGCCTGAAGACATCATGATCAATCGAATTCATTTACTAAATCCTTTTTTATTATTTTTGTTCTCACAGCCAAATTATAGTATCATACAATATCTTCCAGCACATCGCAATCATCATCAAGGTTATTTCTTGGGCCATGGAAAATTTCATCATCCAGATACTTTAAACTCTGAGAGCTCGCATGTAAACATTGCCGCCAAGGTACCTCCAAGGAGCTAGAGGTTCTACTTGAGGACCATAGTCTCTGTGTTGCAACAATTGAGGATTGTCAACTCCACGGCGGTTGATTGTGTAGGACCTTAGTTCTTGACTCGACATGGGCCCAAAGAACAACTCATCGGATTCCAGGAAAACCGTGCCATCCGGATTCAACAACTGAGGGACACTTTGAACTTCTGTTCTAAGTCTGCTTTCAGTATCTGACTGCTGTGGTATGTTACATAACTGGCGCACACATTTGGCGTACAAATATCGACTGTTTGCATGGCATCCTCGATTTCTGACTTTGCTATTTGAAATTATTGGTTCTCTGTTTCTCTTCCCTTCTCCCTCTTATATTTTCTCCTGTCTCTTTTCACTGACTGCACAGTGCCAAAAAGACCATTGTTTCAGAGTTTCCCAAGACCTGCCATATTTCCTCGGCATCACTTCACGCTAACGACGCTTACAATCTGTGACTATTTGAAATTCCCAGGCCCAAGCAATTAAAAGCGCTTGTATTCAGCTTCTATACAAAAAAAAAAAAAAAAAGAGAGACTGATGTGAAACCTACTATTTTGATGTCTCAATTATATTAGCATCCAATTATCAATTCAGGATGAATGGCCAAGTAACTGAATCTCGGAACTACAAGATTCCATAATGGATCATACACAGCGCTGGGGGACAGATATCTGAAGTGCAAAGGTGTTAGCAAAGGCCGAACAAGAACATCGCGGGAATGGTTACGGAAAAATCTCTATGCGAAGAGACAGCAGAGATGATGTTGTAACTAGATGTTATCTGAACCCTGTTTGGCGAAATTGAAGCATACCCTGCTCAGAGTCTCACGAAGGCATATTCCGGGACGTCACTATATATTACAACCAAAGCAGCCCTGAGGCAAAGGTATTTTCCCATCTTGATGCAAAGACTAATGGTATTCATATAAATTGTCACATAAACGACGCGCAGAGTGAGCATATAGAACTCGACATTTCGCACAGCAGGGTTCTGAAAGAAGTACGCCGGACATCATATGAAAGTGATCTCATAGGAAGGAAGCAAATAATTGAATCGGATGAAGAGCTAGAATACAGGACAGTATGGCCATATTTGCAGACCTCATACTCATATCAGATAGAACATTCCGTGTAGCGCATGAGTAAAGGTTGAACGGAAGGAGAGAACTATTTATAACCTTGGCGTACAAACGGCTATATATCGAGTCACCACGTAGACGAAGATATAGTAGTATTGTGGATAGAGAAAGACGGATCGGGCAACAAGGCAAAAGTAGGCCTACGGACTAAGTCTACGAAAGGAACAAATTCTTGAAACAGTTCATTTCCACTGATTAAGAATACAACGTATTCCTATGGAACTTTTCTCTCCTCAAGCAAATCTGCTTTTCGAAGTAGATCATAATGCATCTCGAAACAACACAAATCTATGCAGCCAGAATAAAAAAACAAAAACCCATAATTTCGTTAAACCACCCGTAACGAGCAAAAAGAATTTAATAGAAAAAAAGTATGCCTTGAATCACAGAAGGCACTTTAGAACGAAGAAAAAAGGGATATCATCAAAGAACAAAGAGTCAAGACATTTAGTCAAGCTCCTCAGGCTTCTCCTCGACCTCATCGGCGCTACGGGCACCGCCAGGGGCAGCACCGGGAGCACCACCGGGAGCAGCACCACCGTAGGCAGCGGAGATGATGGGGTTGGCAACAGCCTCGAGCTCCTTCTGCTGAGACTCGTACTCCTCCTTCTCGGCGGTCTGGTTGCTGTCGAGCCAGCTGATGGTCTCCTCAACCTTGGTCTGGACCTTGGTCTTGTCGTCATCGGAGATAGTGAGCTTGCCCTCATTGATGGTGTTCTTGAGGGAGTAGGCGTACGACTCGAGACCGTTCTTGGCGTGAATACGCGAAGCCTCAGCCTCGTCCTCAGCCTTGAACTTCTCGGCCTCAGCAAGCATGCGCTCGATCTCCTCCTTTGAGAGACGGCCCTTGTCGTTGGTGATGGTGATCTTGTTGGCCTTACCGGTACCCTTCTCGGTGGCACCGACATTCATGATACCGTTGGCGTCAACATCGAAGGTGACCTCAATCTGAGGAACACCACGGGGAGCCGGGGGAATACCAGTGAGCTCGAACTTGCCGAGCAGGTTGTTGTCCTTGGTACGAGCACGCTCACCCTCGTAGACCTGGATCAGGACACCGGGCTGGTTGTCCGAGTAGGTGGAGAAGGTCTCAGACTTCTTGGTGGGGATGGTAGTGTTACGCTTGATAAGAGCAGTCATGACACCACCAGCGGTCTCAATACCGAGCGACAGAGGAGCGACATCGAGCAACAGGATCTCGTTGGTGGACTTGGAGGAAGTGTCACCGGACAAGATGGCGGCCTGGACAGCAGCACCATAGGCGACAGCCTCATCGGGGTTGATGGACTTGTTGGCGTCCTTGTTGAAGAAGTCGGAGACGAGACGCTGGATCTTGGGGATACGGGTGGAACCACCAACAAGGACGATCTCGTGGACGGAGGACTTGTCGATCTTGGCGTCACGAAGGACACGCTCAACGGGCTCCATGGTGCCACGGAAGAGGTCCTGGCAGAGTTCCTCGAAACGGGCACGGGTGATCGAGGTGTAGAAGTCAATACCCTCGAAGAGCGAGTCGATCTCGATAGAGGTCTGAGCGGCAGACGAGAGAGTACGCTTCGCACGCTCGCAAGCAGTGCGGAGACGACGGAGAGCACGAGCGTTGGTGGTGAGGTCCTTCTTGTGCTTGCGCTTGAACTCGTTGACGAAGTGGTTGACCAGACGGTTGTCAAAGTCCTCACCACCCAAGTGGGTGTCACCAGCGGTGGCCTTAACCTCGAAGATACCCTCCTCAATGGTCAAGAGAGAAACGTCGAAGGTACCACCACCCAAGTCGAAGATGAGAACGTTACGCTCGCCCTCACCCTTCTTGTCAAGACCGTAAGCGATAGCAGCAGCAGTGGGCTCGTTGATGATACGAAGGACGTTCAGACCGGCAATGAGACCGGAGTCCTTAGTAGCCTGACGCTGAGAGTCGCTGAAGTAGGCAGGGACAGTGACGACGGCGTTGTTGACGGTGCCACCGAGGTAGGCCTCAGCGGTCTCACGCATCTTAACCAGGATCATGGAAGAGATTTCCTCGGGAGTGAACTGCTTGGTCTCACCCTTGAACTCAACCTCGACGACGGGCTTGCCACCCTGATCAGCGATCTTGAAGGGATAGTGCTTCATGTCGGCCTGGACCTCAGCATCGTTGTAACGACGACCGATGAGACGCTTGGCATCGAAGACGGTGTTGTGAGGGTTCATGGCCACTTGGTTCTTGGCGGCATCACCGATGAGACGCTCGGTGTCGGTGAAGGCAACGAACGAGGGGGTGGTACGGTTACCCTGGTCGTTGGCGATGATTTCGATACGGTCATCACGGAACACACCCACGCAGGAGTAGGTGGTACCCAAGTCAATACCGACGGCGGGAGCCATTTTTGTGTATGGAGGGGTCGTGAAAAACGTGAGAAATGGAGGAAACAGTCGTTAAGAGGATAGTAGTACAAGAAAAGGGAGAGGGTTGAGATTAGGATAAGTGTAAAAAGAGGATATCACACAAGAGAAAGAGAGGATTGAGTATGAAGAAAGAAGAGGAAAGATTTTGTGTGCGAGCAGCCTAACGTAGATATAGTCGGCGGTGAAGCGAGACAGAACGTTCTAGCATTCCACGGGCATCGATCGGGTTCTATGGATTTCCACAGCTTAATTGGCAACCTGATTGGAAGCGGGATTTCTACTATGCCCAGAGGGGTTCTTATGTGGTTCGTTGTTATTCTTGATCATTCTGAGCCGAATTAATCCGGTTTAATTTGGGTCTATTTTTGCTGTTCTCTTACTGTTCTGGCAGAATGTGCGATGTGGCGGGGTGGGATACCATGACGTCAATGAGGCTCGTGAAAATTCGACGAAATTCAGCGAATGTACCGGTCTGTACCAGTGGATACTCGATGCTGGTACTTGGTACGGTATTACTCATTTGCTACGGAGTACGACTCTACCAGCACTGGTAATGGATGCAGTGGACAGACGCCGTCATAGTGATATGTTGGCGGGGTTACGATTCACTGTGCAATATTCTGGCCTTACTGACCGTAAGCACTGTAGTACTATGTACAGAGTATGTATGTACTATGTAGATTCCACATGAATCAATCAATTGTATCTTAATCTATCTTAGGTACTCTGTATCCGTCCTTGTGTATCGAGTACTCCTAGGACCTCAGTTGTGGTTGTATTGCTATGACAGAATGAAAACTCTTCTCTTAGTCAGCAGACAAGCAACCATCGACTAATTCTAGAATCAATCGGGCAGATGTCTATACATGTGATACACGTGACACACGTGACCCTTTCGAGCAGCCGTCCATCTTGACCAGACACAACAGATATATCGCAGTCATCTCAGCGGTTACTTCCGTCTAATAGTATTTCAATTGCTCTCCTTATTGGCCTATCCATTCAGTGTTTCCAAGGCGCCAGTATGCCGCCGGTGCACGCCATCGGCCAGACACAAAGGCACACCATCCCAGCTGAGACCTTTGTCCACCCGGATTTTCTCATGCCATTAAAAAGCGCTGTTGTCGCTACGATGATGATAGCCCTCATGCTCGCTGAGCCCTTGCATATCCGCTTGTTGCAGAAACAATTCGAACCCATTTCCCGGGAACAGTTGATTGCTCAGGTGGGTTGAGCTAGGGATTCATTTTATTCTGTAGATACCAGAATTTTAACTCACAATGGCATCCCGGTAACTGACTGGAGCTTTTCACCGTGCAAAACCAGCCCCTCGGCCCGTCGCGAAGGACCCTCCGGTTCCTGCAGTTGACAAGAAACCTATTGCAACCCCGAAGATTGTCAGCGATGAGGATAACATCCGTCTTGATACAGAAGCAGCTGCCATCGAACAGGAGAGTGAGGATGACCCCGAGATCGCGGCATTGCCGCGAGAAGTCCGTCAGTTGGTCAGTCTCACAGACAACCCCGAGTTGTCAACCATCACCTTTCGTTATTTCGTTTTGTCCGTAATCTTTGTCGTACCTGGGGCTTTTCTATCGCAGATGAGCTACCCAGGCCCCTACTTCGTATTCTTCTTCTAGATAGCGTCGCACTATGCTGGTCGCTTCCTTGCCAAGGTCCTTCCCACCCCTCGGGTATCGGTTCCCGGCATTCATTGGTCCTTCAGCATGAACCCAGGACCCTGGAGTATCAAGGAGTATATATTGATTACAGTCACCGCTGCCTCGGGTGCTACCTACAATCTAGGGTACACTCCCATCGTCCTAGCGGAGCTTTACTACGGTTAGAAAATAAATATAGTAGTGGCAATCTTTTTCATGTTTGCCATCGTTTGGATCGGATATGCATTTGCTGCCCTAGCACGGCAGTTGCTGCTCTACGATCCTGGGTATATCTGGCCGCAGGCGCTCATGCAGACGACATTGCTCGAGACCTTTCGCAGAACAGACAATTCATCTTCATTAGCTCGTCGGCAAATGAAGATATTTATCTTCTCATTATTGGGCATGATTCTTTGTCAGTTCCTACCCGAATATGTTTTTCCTTTCACCTCATCGCTTGCCTTTCTCTGCTGGGTTGCACCCCGAAACAAAGTCGCCAATTTTATCGGATCGGGTCTTGGGAGCGTGGACTTTCTCAATCTGTTGCTGGACTGGTCAAATATCAATTGGAATGGCTCCTCGAATATGTTCACTCCCTTTTGGACGCAGGTCATTCTGTTCTTGGCCTTTGCCTTCAATTGCTGGGTCCTGTTGCCAGCTGCCAAATGGGGCAACTTTGAATCATACCACCACGGTCTCATGTCGAATAGTCTCCTCACTGCCAATGGTACTATTTATCCTATACTCGAGGCCTTGACTCCTGATTCCCAACTAGATCAAATCGTATATCAGGAGTATGGACCAATGTATATGGGACTTCAAAAATTCTGGTCAACCTTTTTCGATTACGCCAAATTGCCTGCCGCTGTTACTTGAATTCTAACGTTTGGTTTTACCCAAATAGCTGGCAACTTGAAACGTGTTCTCGCGTCTCACCAGAAGCAATCGCGGACCAGGGGCCAAGGCATCAACTATCAATATCATGACCGCCTCAATGTTCTTCAGTGTCAATATCGGGAGGTGCTCTTGTGGTGGTATTTCATTCTGTTCCTTGTGGGGTTCGTAGTCCTTGCCGCGGCCATCGGTTACGGCCAACTCTTTATCCCGATCTGGACGCTGTTTGCGGCCCTGAGCAGTGCAGCCGTTTTTGTCATCCCATTCGGCTGGCTCTACGCAATCTCCAACTACCAGATCTCTACCGGGTCTTTTAACGAATTAATGTATGGATATATGGTCCACACCCCAGCGGGCCAGGCGCATCATCACCCGTGTGGGCCCTCCACGTACGGTGCCATCGCCGGAGACGCATGGTACCGGGCCCAGTATATGTTGCAGGATCAGAAATCGGTCACTACATGCATATTCTACCCCGGACGGTGTTCTTCTCGCAGATTTTCGGGACTATTCTCGGCGTGCCTGTCAACTACGGCGTGATCCGATGGATTATCAACACAAAGGGCGACTACTTGACCGGTGCGAAGAAGGACCCACTGAATCGATGGACTGGACAGAATATACAGTCTTCCAACACACTTGGCGTGCAATATGCCGTTGTTGGCCCGAAGGCATTGTTTGCAGAGCGAGAGATATCCATCCTACCATGGTCATTTCTGGTGGGCGCAGGGGTTCCTCCGTTGTTGTATCTCTTGCATCGTAGCTTTCCGCACCTACGGGTTGATCTGTGGAATGTCAGCATTTTCTTCTCTGGCCTGGCCCTCTTCTATGGTAATGTGAGTATAGGATACACATCTGCCATCATCGGCGGATATGTGGTCATGTATCATTTCTACAGATGCCATTTCAATGTTTGGAGATGGTACAGCTAAATGGTGGCAGCTGCTTTTGATGCAAGGTTCAATTTCAATTTGCTCTTGATCTTCCTGTTTTTTGGTGCAGGGAAGCAAGTCTTGATGCCTCAGTGGTGGGGGAACAATGGTGATTCTGTGGAAAGGTGTTTTGCCTTGAGTGATGATTGAAGTGAGCAGCGTGGTTACCGTGGAGACACAACTATAAAATAACTGCTTTTATTTGTCAGTTTTGACATGGTGTGTTGTTTTCATTCTGTGCAATGCTGTATATTCTGAATTTACTTCAGAGTACTTCGTAGTTTGAAAGATTATCTAGAGCACAGTTAGAATAAGAAGTATCATGGCATGTTTCGAGCATTGAGTGAACTTATCTGTAGATTTATCATCATTTGACAGGGAAAATATGTATACTCGAGGGATGTTTGCTGCTACTGCTGCTGCTGCTGTTGTCGTCGTCGTGCCAAACAAAGGGTATGGTCCGTCATGGGATGCAGACTGGCTCCGCCAATCAACAACTGCGGTTCCTGATCCCCTTGCGGGCTCCTATCCACACCGTCTCTCTCTGCTCTCTTCTCTTTCTCTCTTCTTCTTTCTCTTCCAATTCACCATCCTCTCTCTTTCAAAATAACCCGCCCTTTCCCACTGATACTGTAACACCATTTCTCTTCAACCTCAGTCATTTCTCCTGTATCACAACCCACCATGAGTGCCAACTTCAACGACCCCGCCGCCAATGCCCCCGATGCGGCTGCGTACAAGGGCAAGGGCAAGGCTGAGGACCCTTCGGTCGAGATGAGCATGGATGAAGAGGACAGCGAGGACAGCGAGAACGAAAATGAAGAGCTGGTGAGTTCTGAGTTCCTCCGGTCGAAGTGCCAAAAAACACACTATGGGATACTAACGTTGTTTCAGGTTCCTGAAGGTAAATACCGCCCCTCCTTCGATTATATTCGCTTCAGTCTTATAAATTTCTTTTGTACCATTTCAACGATTTCCTACGAGACCTATAATACAATATTCCTTTGGTGAATTTCAAAAAGCTGACCTTTCTTTTCTCAGAGGAAGACGAGGGCCAGGGCAACCTCGAACCTATCTCCTCCGAAAACATCATCCAAGGTGGACGCCGCACACGTGGCAAGAACATCGACTTCCAGGAAGCGGCTGAGAAGACCAAGAACGACGAGATGGACGACGACGATGACGACGAGGACTTTGCGCCTCAGGACAACGACAATGAAAACGATGATGACCAGATGCGCGATTAATTCCACATTATGTCGTTATGAATTTTTTTTTTTTTTTTTTTTTCCCCCGTTTTCTCGAAATTGAAAGCATGATTATCCTGGAATCGAGAGTGGTGGGGAAAAAAAGAAAAGAATAATGAGAGGCGCTGGGTTTAATGGGAGGGGAGTTTTATGTCGTTATGTCCCGTTTACTTTTCTACGTACAGCTTTATCGCTTTATTATGACCATCTGCCGGGTTATAATGATACCAGAAGGATCAATGAAGTTATTACGATAATAGCATACGGTCCAGAGATACGCATAGATCTCCTATACAAATAGTACAGATATATATGTGAACAAGCAAATACCGCTACAAAGTACCTGAGTAGGGACTTCTGTTGCTAATACTCTGTACTGTGCTCTATCGTCAAAACAAATAAATAATCTGTATACTGGCTCACGTGCACTGGCGGGGGCGGCCAATCAGAGCCTGACCTGTGTTTGGCCCATGATATCGTCGGTTTCGCCGCAAGCTCATCCTTTTTCTTCTGGTCAAGACACAGCCAGGTTGTCTGAACTTGTTGATTTGCTTTGACTAGTTTCATATCTGAATTCTCCGATTTTGCGCAATGCACATTTATTGATTCTACAAGTCCGACCGGTTCTGATTCCTTGTTGCATTGTCTCATTGTTTATTTCTCCGAGAAGTACTCCGTACACAACAACGACTTATGGCTTCACGGTATGAGCTACACCTCTAATCTTCCAGTCTCACTTGCCCATACTATACAGAGAAACAGTTAACTGTTACTTCCTAGATTCCCCCGCCAGCGCGACCCTCGCGCCGCCTCATCCCTTTTCGACTCCTACGATGGCAATTCACGACCAGCTAGCAAATCGCCAGGCCGAGTGGGCGGATACGGTTACGGAGGGTATTCCAGCGCCGAACTCGATAGTAGAAATGTGAGCGGGGATGCTTCAGGTGGATTTCGGAGCGCGACGCCAAACTCAAAGTACGTTTGTCCATGACAAACATGGATTTGTGACATGCATTAATATGAGGGTAGGGGCCAATATTCCGACGCTGTTCTTTCATCTCTGGAGTCGCAGAATGATTCCGAGGTGGAAGGGATCAGTGCTAAGGTGAAGATGTTGAAGAATGTATGTTGCTTCCCAGCCCTTTTGGTCCGTTGAATACTTGTTGACGTGCTGACCTCATAGATGACAATGGCCATTGGCGACGAAATCCGTGACACCTCGAACATAACCGATCTCAATGATACCTTTGACAACACCCGTATTCGTATCAAGGGCAATATGACCCGTATGCTTCGGATGGCGGAGCGTACTGGTGTCGGATGGCGTGTGTGGCTGTTGTTTCTTATTGCGGTTTTCTTTATATTTGCATATGTTTGGTTGACTTGATGGTCTGCTTTAGATATCGCTACGTTTCGTCTTGCTGGATAGTCAGCATTTTTTATTGCCTTATGTTATATAATTTCGTTGCATGCTGGGCGGGCGTTTGGGTTGCATTGTTCAAACTGTGTGACAGTGATCACTTACAGGATGGGAGTTATGGTTCTGCATTGATAGTGTTTTGTTACTGTCTACTGCATATTAAATATGATGACTATCATCTAATACGCAAAACATCTGTCTTGTACTATGATAATAAATTATATCCCTAATCTATGTCTAAGAATGCACCCGAATCCAGACGATACGCCAGCCATGCGAGTCTCAAGTCTCATACATCAACCGTCAAGACTATCCCTAGGTCCACCAGTTCTCCTCGAAAATCCCCCAAAAGCACTTCGCCTACTCCCCTGACTCGTCACCGAAGCACGCAGATCCTCCTCATCAACCATCATGCTTGAATCCGCAACAAACGAATCTCCACCACCGCTCCAACGCTGCAAGAACCGCCGTTGTGCCTCGGTCTCGCGACCACGTAGGCGCTGGATAGATGGCGGCTGCGGGAGTCCGTGTCCATGAGCGCTGGAGGTGCTGTTGCGGAAGCAACTGATGCGAAGGGAGTTGCGAAGACTGTTTCTGGGATTGAAGAAACTCTCTTCATCGTCGTCAAATTCCGCTTCTGAGTCGGTGTGTTGCCATTCCTCTCCTTGGATTGAGGCGTCCTCGACGGCTGAGGGGATTTCATCATCGAGGTCGCGGGCCATGCCTTGGTCGCTCATAATTCGTTCTTCACTTTGGTCGTAGTTGTATTCATTTTCGTCGTCGTTAAATTCTTCATCATCATTCTCTCCTGCGCCGTCGGCGGAGGGTATTTCATCGTCAAGATCAACTTGGTTATCAAAGTCTTCGTACTGCCCTTCGTCGTCCTCAAATTCCTCCCCTTCCAACCCATTCTCCAGATCAAATTCCTCATCAGGATATGTCTCGGGGATATCATCATCCAAATCCCGCTCCATATACCCCTCCTCATCACCAAAATCCTCCTCCTCCAATCCCTCCTCTCCTTCCTCCACAAGCCCCTCCGCATCCCCTTCAGGAATATCATCATCCAAATCCCTCTCCATCCCCGAGAGCCCTTCCTCTCCTTCCTCACCCTGCTCCTCAGGCCCAGCCACCTCCGCTGCGGCAGCTGCCGCTGCGGCAGCAGCAATCTCCTGCTGTGCGGCCGCAAACGCCTCTTCCCTCTCCGCTTCCTCCTCCTTCATTCCCAGCATTGTCTTCGAACATCCTGCGGGCTTAATCCATGAGTATCCAAAATAGGCGATGTTGTTTTTGCGCGCACGGAGGGCGCGTTCTTCGAGATGTAGTGCGGAGAGGCTTTCACCGGTGGGGGTTGGAGGGTGTTGGAGGCGGTTGAGGGTATGGCCATTGGTGCTGCGGCGGGCGTGGTGGGCTTGGTTTTGGTGGGAGGTGCTGTGGGAGTGAGAGGAGCCGAACCAGAGCTCGTGGGACTGTTAGTAGATGGGTTGGTTAGCTTCGTTGTAGAGCTGATGTGAGATTTGACACTTACGTCTCGGGGGACGATGAGCGGAAGGGTCAACATTGTCGGCAGGAGGTTGATGAGTGTTTTAGATATAGAAGCTATCGTTGTGGTAGATTGAGGCAGTAGCCTTTTCTTTGTTCAATGAAAGCTTTGACTTATGACACCCTTTGTTTCTGCGTCTGCGGCGATCTTCAGGCGCAAGGCTTGAGCATGCAGTCGCGCAAACTGATGGAACAGGCTAAGGCAGGAGCACGAATTGTGATCCTTGTAGTTATAATTATATCCGAATATCTTCAAGTATAATACTGTCAGACAATGTAAATGCAATCTTGTTGTTCAAGAGGTTAAATTCGGAAAGAAGGCGGAGGACCAAAACATCTCCGTATAGCAACAACATGATGAGCAGGATTGTACTGGCATATAGAATAAGGACCTTGAATAGGAATAGTAGTATGAGATACAGTTACATTGGTCTGCTGCTTATCTCTATTTCTTCTTTGCTTTGGTTGAGATGCCACAGTAGGATTAATATTAATACCTGAGGCACAAATATTCACCATCAATCACGTGACATTAAGCCACATGTGATCCGTCATTCAATCCTATTAAGGAGTGCATCTGCCGTCAATACAACTATCTGCAAACACGAATTTCCCGAGCAGTCTATTCTTTCCGGTGAGCCTAAAGAAGACAAGGCAGGACAGGGGAGTGTCGGGGAAAATCGGACGGCAGAACATTGGCATGGGTCAGGTGATTGTTGGAGGAGAGGAGAGTACGACGGTTCCTTCACAGGTGGAGGAATTTGACATCAGCAAATTTTGGAATGAAAGGGAAATATTATCCTGGTTTACTCTTAAGGAAGCCGGCTACCCGAATGGGTACGCTATATCCGCTAAGAATGGATCCTTCAATTTGGTCAGCGCAGATAGACGGCTATTTTCATTACGATTATCATAACATTGTTTTGGTTATCATTCTTAGCCTCGGGTGTCGGACTAGATAGTCTACTCCGGTGTAAACGTCGTCGGATTTAAAATCTCGACTCCAATACCCGGGACGAATCAGAAGTAAGCATGGAGGCCCCGTGAACGCACTGCACTGCCTTCTACGTGGCTACTAGAATATTGACATAGCGAGTCACATGTCGGACATTACAGAGTACGTACAGGTACGTACTTTATGATGAACAGAGTCCAATCCTCATGCTCATGCGGGGAGCTCCGGAACTCCCCGACATTGGAGGTGAACCAATTGATACATGCTCTGTACGGTAAAGGTTTTGATCACTCGATGTGGAGATGAGGACCCTTTCAGAGTGAACAATGCACTTGCTGAGGATTTGGATAGGATACAGAGTATAACCTGCATATTAGTTATGTAAATTTCATAAGCCCAACAAGCCCAGCTGTCATAGATATGGAAGTTGTTTTGAAGTCGCTGCAAGGGTATGACTAAGAATTTAAGCACTGCCCCACAGTAAGACCGTGCATTTGGTTCGAGATGATCATTTACAGTACGTACAATTTACCAGGTACAGACCCTATATACGAACTATGGGTGGTGGCGTATAAAATGATTATCAATTGATATACACCTGTATTGTCCGCATGATAGCAGGCAAGCACTCCGTATGCATTGGATGGCTTGATGTATCATGGATACCTGGTAGTACAGTACTTGTACAGTAAATCCTCCAGCTGGCGGCCCCACCATGTTGGATCTTAACTGACGTAGTTTCAACCTAATCGTTTTGGGTCAACCCGGTTGCAAAACCCCACTGTTGATTGGCTGGAGCCATGCTTATCTCCCACCACTCCGCGGGCTGCATCCGGAGAGTTGGAGAGACCCGAGAGCGGAAGGTTCAAGAAGGGTGCGGAATATCTAGGAACAGATGTCGGAGTATAGGTTTGTATTAAACGGTACTAAGCATGAAGAAGGAGCATATCCTGAATTGTGTACGGTAAACGAGTATTTATACAGAACTGTATAAGTAAATAGGCACAGAGAGTAGTAGTACTATGTAGAGAATGCACAGTAGGGATAAAATACCAAAAGTGATGGAGTTATATTGCTTGAAAGTCTACAGAATTGGCATAATTGGCATAGTCACCAATGAACAGGCTAAACCCCATTGTGCATGCATCCGCTGCTGCTACTACTGCTACTTACTACTTACTGCCTACCGACGTACCATCTTCCACCCGCATTCACTGCCCCGCCGCCCTCTTTTTGCTTAGTCTTCCCCTCTTCTTCTCCTCCACATTTCTCTTTCTTCCTCCTACCATAATTTATCCATTTTTCCAATTCTTCCATCTCTACTGGAATCAGACGTTGGGTAAAGATCTCTCTCGTCTCATCGCTTTCCTCCCACGTTCTTGACCTCGAAATTCCCTTGACGACGGAGAATTATCCCTCATACCCAATCGAGTCCTCCGGCTGCTCTCAACCACCGCAGCGGCGGTATCTCTCCTTATAAGAACCACACCTCGTTGCATTTCTCTGTCGGTTAACGGCGGAAGAATGGGTCTGAACTTGGAGGAAATCTATGGCCCCATAATTGAAGAGCAGACTCCCAATGAATATTTGGAGTACACTCCCAAGCGCGGTTATGGATGGGCAAACACCCTGCCCGAGCGGCAGGGTCTTTATGATCCTGAATTTGAAAAGGATGCTTGCGGTGTAGGCTTCGCTGCGTAAGTTCCTATCTTCGAAACCTGAGGACCAGCAGGATTACTGACGCATTCAGTCATATCAAGGGCAAACCTAGTCACAAGATTGTTAGTGATGGTAAGCTCCATCCTATTTGGCGAAAAGAAACAGAAGACTGACACATGAACAGCCCGCCATTTGCTCTGTAACATGACCCACCGCGGTGCTGTCGGCTCTGATGCGCGAGACGGTGACGGTGCCGGTGTAATGACCAGCATCCCTCACAAATTCTTTATCAAGAATTTCGCCCGTGAAGTCGGACTTGACCTGCCTCCCTTGGGTCAATATGCTGTCGGAAACCTCTTCTTTAAGCCTGAACCGGAATCCTTGAAGGAGTCTATTGCGTCTTTCGAAGAGATTGCTGTCTCTTTGGGTCTGCGGGTACTGGGATGGCGTGAAGTCCCTGGTGACTCGACCATCCTTGGTCCTGCAGCGCTGTCCCGGGAACCGATTATTATGCAGCCTTTCGTTGTCCTCAGGTCGGCCTACGGCGATGGAAACAAGCCAGAGACCACCGACCCTGATTCGTTTGACGACAAGACCTTCGAGCTGCAATTGTACGTTCTCAGGAAACGTGCGACCCATGTAATTGGCTTGGCCAATTGGTTCTATCTTTGCTCTCTGAGTAACAGAAACATTGTCTACAAGGGTCAGCTGTCTCCATCTCAGGTGTACGAGTATTACCATGACTTGGTGAACGTTGACTATGAAGGTCACTTTGCCCTCGTCCACTCTCGTTTCTCCACCAACACCTTCCCATCTTGGGACCGCGCACAGCCATTGCGTTGGGCCGCCCACAACGGTGAAATCAACACTCTTCGTGGAAACAAGAACTGGATGCGCGCCAGAGAAGGTGTCCTTAAATCAGACATTTTCGGTGACGAGTTGGATTACTTGTACCCAATTGTCGAGGACGGCGGTTCCGACTCGGCTGCATTTGACAATGTTCTGGAATTGTTGATGATTAATGGCGTTTTGTCCCTGCCAGAAGCAGTCATGATCATGATTCCTGAAGCCTGGCAAGATAGCCCGGGAATGGACCCTGCCAAGGCAGCCTTTTATGAATGGGCAGCGTGTCAAATGGAGCCCTGGGACGGTCCCGCGCTCTTCACTTTTTCGGACGGACGCTACTGCGGTGCGAACCTGGACAGAAACGGATTGCGTCCCTGCCGTTTCTACGTCACAGACGATGACCGTATCATCTGTGCATCCGAAGTGGGTACCATCGACATTGACCCCGAGCGCGTCATCCAGAAGGGCCGTCTGCAGCCCGGAAAGATGTTGCTGGTTGACACGGTTGCGGGTCGCATCATTGACGACTCGGAGCTCAAGCACACTGTGGCGCATCGTCAGGACTTCGCGACATGGCTCGACAAAGAACTGTTGAGGCTGCCGGCCATCAAAAAGCGGTTGCTAGATATGAACGTCGACCTAGGGTTCACGCTGGACAATAGCACCGTCCAAAATGACCATCGTCTCAAGGCATTCGGATACTCTTTTGAGCAGGTCAGTCTGCTTCTTGGTCCTATGGCCGCTGACTCAAAGGAAGCTCTCGGTTCGATGGGTAACGATACCCCGTTGGCTTGCATTGCACAGCAGCCCCGTCTGCTCTATGAGTACTTCCGTCAGCTCTTTGCACAGGTTACTAATCCTCCCATCGACCCCATTCGTGAGGCAGTTGTTATGTCTTTGGACTGTTATGTCGGTCCTCAGGGCAATCTCCTAGAGATGGACCCTTCGCAATGCAACCGATTGCTCCTACCTTCTCCCATTCTGACCATTCCCGAGTTCAACGCTCTCAAGAACATGAGTTGGGCCCACCACGACTGGACCGTGAAGGTCATCGACATCACTTTCGAGAAAAGGAAGGGTATTCCTGGCTACCTTGAGGCACTTGATTCCATTTGCGATGCCGCAACAGAGGCCATCAACAGCGGAGATAAGGCTATCGTTCTCTCAGACCGCGCGACGTCTGCGGACCGTGTTCCCGTGTCAGCGCTGCTCGCGACTGGCTTGGTTCACCATCATATGGTCCGTAACAAGTGGCGGTCTTTGGCTGCTCTTGTAGTGGAAACCGCGGAGGCCCGTGAGGTTCACCACATGTGTGTCTTGGTTGGTTATGGTGCTGATGCTATCAATCCTTACCTGGCCATGGAGTGCATGCTCAAGATGAATCGAGAAAAGTTGATCCGCAAGGAAATCTCAGATGAAAAGATAATCGAAAATTACAAGGCCTCTTGTGACGGTGGCATCTTGAAGGTCATGAGTAAGATGGGTATCTCAACCCTACAGTCCTACAAAGGTGCACAGATTTTCGAGGCGCTCGGTATTGATGACAGCGTTATTGACCGCTGCTTCGCGGGGACGGCGAGCCGTATCCGGGGTATAACATTCGAACTAATTGCCCAAGATGCCTTTGCGTTCCACGAAGCGGGTTATCCATCTCGCGAGATCGTCGAGGTCCCAGGTCTTGCTGAAACTGGTGAATATCACTGGCGTGATGGAGGTGAGGAACACGTCAACGATCCCGTTGCTATTGCCAACGTGCAAGATGCTGTGCGTACGAAGAACGACAGGTCGTACGAGGCTTATGCCAAGGCTGAACATGAGAAGATCAAGAACTGCACTCTTCGTGGCATGCTTGACTTCGACTTTGAACAACGGGCGCCGATCCCCATAGACCAGGTCGAGCCATGGACTGAGATTGTCCGTCGCTTCGTGACGGGTGCCATGTCCTACGGATCCATCTCCATGGAATCTCACTCCACCCTGGCTATTGCCATGAACCGACTGGGCGGAAAGTCCAACACTGGAGAAGGTGGTGAGGATCCCGAGCGTAGCAAGAGACTTGAGAGCGGTGACACAATGCGGTCCGCCATCAAGCAAATTGCGTCCGGCCGTTTTGGTGTTACCTCTCACTACCTGGCCGATGCCGACGAGCTGCAAATCAAGATGGCACAAGGTGCCAAACCCGGTGAGGGTGGTGAGCTTCCTGGTCACAAGGTCGTCGGCCCGATTGCCCACACCCGTTACTCCACACCGGGTGTCGGCCTGATCTCCCCTCCTCCTCACCATGACATTTACTCCATCGAGGATCTCAAGCAACTCATTTATGACCTCAAGTGCTCCAACCCTCGTGCCCGTGTCTCCGTCAAGCTGGTCTCTGAAGTTGGTGTTGGTATTGTTGCGTCTGGTGTTGCTAAAGCCAAGGCAGACCATATCCTTATCTCCGGTCATGATGGTGGTACCGGTGCTTCCCGCTGGACGGGTATTAAGTATGCCGGTCTCCCATGGGAACTGGGTCTGGCGGAGACACACCAAACCCTTGTTCTGAACGACCTGCGTGGTCGTGTCGTCGTCCAAACTGATGGTCAACTGCGTACTGGTCGCGATCTCGCCATTGCCTGTTTGCTCGGCGCCGAAGAATATGGCTTTGCTACAACTCCATTGATTGCCATGGGATGCATCATGATGAGTATGCTCGTTTTCCCTTCTTTTCTTTTTGACAATCTGTCCAGCTAATTCCTTTATAGGGAAATGTCATTTGAACACCTGCCCAGTTGGTATCGCCACTCAGGACCCTGAGCTGCGGAAGAAGTTCCAGGGTACCCCGGAGCATGTGATCAACTTCTTCTATTACCTTGCCAATGAGATGCGTGCCATCATGGCTAGGTTGGGCATCCGGACTGTTAACGAGATGATTGGACGCGCAGAACTACTCAAGGTTCGGGACGACATAACCCACCCTAAACAGGAGAAGATCGATCCCTCGCTCATTCTCACGCCGGCCCACTCACTCCGACCTGGCGTTGCGACCTACAATGTTCGCAAGCAAGACCACCGTCTTCACACCCGTCTCGATAACAAACTAATTGCCGAGTCGGAACTTGCATTGGAGAAGGGTTTGCCTTGCCGCATCGAGTGCGACATTGTCAACACTGATCGTGGTCTGGGTGCGACCCTATCTTATCAGGTCAGCCGTCGCTTCGGTGGAGATGGACTTCCGCAAGACACTATTCATGCCAACATCAAGGGCTCTGCCGGCCAGTCTTTTGGTGCCTACCTTGCACCTGGTATCACACTTGAGCTTGAGGGTGATGCTAATGACTACGTCGGCAAGGGCTTATCCGGTGGTCGCCTCATTATCTACCCGCCCCGCGGTGCTGCTTTCAAGGCTGAGGAAAATGTCATCGTCGGTAATACTTGTCTCTACGGTGCTACCCGTGGTACTTGCTTCTTCCGTGGCATGGCCGCTGAGCGGTTTGCTGTTCGAAACTCCGGTGTCACCGCCGTGGTGGAAGGTATTGGAGATCACGGATGCGAGTACATGACTGGCGGTCGTGTGCTTGTTCTCGGATCTACAGGTCGTAACTTCGCGGCTGGTATGTCTGGAGGTATTGGGTACATTCTGGACATGAACCAAGACTTCCACTCCAAGGTCAACATGGAGATGGTTGAGATCTCAGGTCTCGAGGATCCCTCTGAGATTGCTTTCGTCCGCGGCTTGATCGAGGATCACCACCACTACACTGGATCCGAGCTCGCTGCTCGTGTTCTTTTGGATTTCACTCGTGCTCTTCCTCACTTTATTAAGGTGCTGCCCAGAGACTACAAGCGCATCTTGGAAGAGGAGGCCGCCAAGGCTGCGGCTGCTAAGAAAGCGGAGTTTACTCTGCCCCAGCTCCCAGGTACTCCTGTGAACAAGGAGAAGCCGAAGCAGAAGGCGGACGAAGAATCTAAGAAGACGGATATGCTGGACATTGAGGACAGTATCAGTGATTCCAAGACCGAGAAGAAGCGATCTGCCCTGATTCTCGACAAAACAAGAGGTTTCATGAAGTATAATCGCCGCAGTGAGAAATACCGTAACCCGATCAGTCGTACTCGGGACTGGGGTGAGATTACCAGCCGTCTGAGCGAGGATGAACTTAAGTACCAGTCCGCTCGTTGCATGGATTGTGGTGTCCCGTTCTGTCAATCAGACACTGGCTGCCCTATTTCCAACATCATCCCCAAGTGGAATGAACTCGTGTTCCAGAACCAATGGCAAGATGCTTTGAACCGTCTGCTGATGACTAACAACTTCCCCGAATTCACTGGTCGTGTTTGCCCTGCGCCTTGCGAGGGTGCATGCGTTCTTGGTATCAACGAAGACCCGGTTGGCATCAAGTCCATCGAATGCGCCATCATTGATCGTGGGTTTGAGATGGGCTGGATGGTTCCTCGTCCTCCCAAGACTCGTACCGGAAGAACTGTTGCCATTATTGGATCCGGTCCAGCCGGTCTGGCCGCTGCGGATCAGCTCAACCATGCTGGCCACAGTGTTACGGTTTATGAGCGTGCTGACCGGATTGGTGGCTTGCTGATGTACGGTATCCCTAACATGAAATTGGACAAAAAGGTTGTGCAACGCCGTGTAGACCTCATGGCGGCTGAGGGTGTCAATTTTGTTACCAGTGTTGCCGTCGGTCCCAAAAACGAGATCACATTGCAGTCTCTCCAGGAGAGCCATAATGCTGTAGTTATTGCGACGGGTGCTACTGTCGCTCGTGACCTCAAAGTCACTGGCCGTGAGCTCGACGGTGTGCACTTCGCTATGCAGTTCTTGCACCGCAACACCAAGTCGCTCCTTGACTCGGGTCTCTCTGATGGCGAGTATATCTCTGCCAAGGACAAGCACGTTGTTGTGATTGGTGGTGGCGACACTGGTAACGACTGCATTGGTACTTCTGTTCGTCACGGCGCCAAGTCTGTTACTAACTTTGAGCTGCTCCCCCAGCCTCCGCCGGAGCGTGCTCGTGACAACCCCTGGCCTCAGTGGCCGCGTATTTACCGTGTCGATTATGGTCACTCAGAAGTCAAGACCCACATGGGTAATGACCCCCGTGAGTATTGTGTCATGTCGACGGAGTTTGTCGATGATGGTAGCGGCCGTGTTAAGGGAATCAATACCGTTCGGGTCGAATGGAGCAAGAGTGCCTCTGGCGGTTGGGATATGAAAACCGTCGATGGCAGTGAGCAGTTCTTCCCTGCCGATCTTGTCCTCCTTTCCATGGGTTTCCTGGGTCCCGAGGACCGTCTTCTGGGTGACGAAATTGAGCGTGATGCTCGAAAGAATGTCAAGACTCCCCCTGGTCATTACGTTTCCAACATTCCTGGCGTTTTTGCTGCGGGTGACTGCCGCCGCGGGCAGTCTCTTATCGTTTGGTAGGTCACTTCTCAATATTATGGATTATGATTTTATTTGCTAATTTATTTTCACAGGGGTATCAATGAGGGCCGCCAGTGTGCCCGCGAAGTAGACGCATTCCTCGTGGGCACCAGCTCTAGGCTTCCAGTGACTGGCGGTATTGTTCGTCGTCCAGCCATTGACGCAGTTCCTCAGAGTACTGAGAATATCCTCGCTGCATAAAGCAGTGCTTCTGTAGTTACTATTAGCCAGGATTTGGTGGTTACATTACTGGGATCGTTTATGATACCAATTCCAACGGAGTTCGGCGTCGGAAAGATAAAAGGCAAATTTTGGTGGATATATCTATACTCAATTTGGGGAACTGAAAAGTGGGAAGACTAGTTCGCTCAAGCTATTTGCTCGTTTCGTTTTGTTGAACCTTTACGCTGTAACGCAAGCGTCTGATCTGCAGAATCTTCTTAAGAGGTACATATTATTATCTGTTGAATACAATGGCTGCCTTCAATACCTGTACATTTTTGTTACTCAGCATATAGATGGGAGCCCAGCTGTCCATGACCTCGCAAAATATCTAAACAACGCCATAACTCTGAAATAACATAATCAGTCCTCCACAACCTTCTCAACGCCTTGGATAATGTCCATGCCCTTTGAAGACACCTCAGCCTCACCAAAAAGTCCACTCTTCTTTTCAGATTTCAACACTCTCTTTGCCTTCTTTTTCCTCTTCGCAATCTTCGGCCTTGCCTGCGCCTGAACCAGCGCCTGCACCTGAGACCTAGCAGCCCTATTCACCCTTTTATCCATCACCTGCTCCTCAACTCTGAACCACGCATCGAGGACACGGTCATCGCGCTCATCCTCACCGGAGAGATTCAGATACTCGTAGCTGAGCTTTACTTTTGCTTCGGCTTGGTGGATCATCTCCCAGAGGTTTTTGTGGAACATCTCTTGATCCAATGGGGTCGGGGGCTTGCGGATTGGTTTAGCATTGCTGTGCTTGGGCTTGGGCTTGAGTTGGAGGAGGGGGCTTCCGCGGAGTGGATGTGGACGTGCCTCTGGTTCTGGTTTGGTTGGAGGAATTTCGGTAGCTGGGCCCCAGCGGACTTGCTTCTGTTGTTGTTGTTGATGCTGGTACAGATGCAGGTTCTGCTGCTTTTTGGATTGGAGGTGAGAGAGGAATGGAATGCGGGTTCGTGTAGATGAACTTAGGTTGGAGCTCGGGATCGAGGGGGACGACGGGGACAATATCGAGGGTGAGGATACATCGTCCGAGTCCGGGTCCAGTGAGGGCTTGAAGGATGGTAAGAAGTGGTAAAATCGTAGATACATGCTTGTACAGAGTATTTCCTAGACTAGGTTTGATTGACTTGATTCTCTAGAAAACGATGGAGATTAAGAAGTGCCATGTATCTGATGCTGGTAGCTTCATTCCATAGTGTCTTTATATTGCAATTGTGATCCAAACAAGGGTCTTCATATTCTGTTGTTAAAGATGGTGAATAGGTCAAAGGAAGAAAAAGAGCATTGGCAATCAGTGAGAACAGGACAACAACAATAAAGGTAAAGGGAATGTCTGCTTTGTATAATGGGGAGAATCTCATTCTAGTTAAACAGAGGCGAATGCCATAGGCTCATTCAAGAGTAGAAACAGTCTATTGTACAGTTATCAGTCTTCCACAGGTATATCATCATAATAAAACCAACCATCGAACTCAATTAAACACGCGCCCCAGCACCACCCGCCTCCTCCTCAGCCTGCATCTCCTTCTCCAGCGCAGCAAAATCCCCCTGGAACACATTCTGTACCGGCTGCGTTCTCATATCCCACACGTCCTCACTACTTGGTCCGGTCTTATACTTGATCGCCTTCTTGCGATTATGGTCCCGGATCGCCTTTCTCCTCTCATTCTCTCCCCATGACCGGGTCTGCATACAGAGCCAAAAGTTATCCCAGTGCTCGCTGCATGAGCGCAGTTCACCGTAGCGGTAGACATTGACGAATTGGCCGCCGAAGGACTGGCAGAAGAAGGCGTAGTCGAATGCGGAGCGGCAGGACATGGTATCTTGGTAGAGAGATTCGGGGGCAATTGAGGAGGGTTGTAGTTGCTGGTCTGCGGAGGAATCGATAATGGGTGTCGAGGATGAGGGATCTAATGATTTTGAACTTGTCGCATTGTTATCGTTGGCATTGCTGCTCTCGAATGCAGCGAACAATTTCTTGAGTTCGTCCTCGTCTCGCGTTAAGGTTCGCGCTTGCGCTGCGTCGAGGCCCGGAGAGGCAGCCGGAGACGACGACTCGTCTTTTTGAGGAGATGATGACCACCACCAGCCCATTGCGCAGTTTATTTGAAAATTATTTCTGGAGTTGTGTCGGAGGTGGGCGTGAATATCGTAGTCATATCGGAGGTAATCGTAGCGTAATTTTTAAAACATAAAATGACGGTATCGATACACATTCACTATGGGAATCCGGTAATAAATTGTTACATGCTGTAATCGCGGAGCAGCAGGTGATCGACGTCATTGCTGCCAGACTTTCTGGGCAACTACAGCCATTCTTCTCATTCTTCTGTTTTCTCTCCCTCTTTCTTTATCTTGTCCGCATCGCCATGCGCCAAGTCTCGCAAAGATGATGCGAATTGCCTCGACAGGAGTCCCAGTACGCTGGAAATCTCCGAGGGCCTTCCCCGCGTATACTTCTACGCCCAATCCACGGCAGGCTTCGTCTATTCAGTCGGGTCATATTAATGTGAACAAGGGGGAAGGATTGCTTTTTATAAATAGTAAGGGACTATTCTGTACAATGCTTTATCTGTGCCATGACTGACCGAAAAGACATCTTCCCATCCAGATTACAATGGCTGCTAGGAAACCCTCTCGATGGAAGCTGGTCGTACGAGGAAGCATTGAAACGGATCAATCGACCACATTTCGCTGCATCGGAGCCAATTCATATCATTCAACGAGCCTTGCCGGACAACCTACCACTGGAAATCAAAGAGGTCATCCCCCGTACGAAAGAAGGCGGTGCATTCGTCAAATTTTCACACAAGTCCAATGCCAAGGATATTGAGATCGAGGATGCTATCAAAGAGAACCTGCACCAGAATCCAATAAGACCCTGGTTTAATCCTTTCCAAGGGGTTTATGTTAGCCGGGTGCTGGGAAAGCCATGGATTGAGGATCTCTATCGTATCCCCAGTCAGCGACTTAGGGTGGAGTTCTTGCCGACTTCGCCAGAAACTTCTGCGGCGGAATTGACTATTGAAAATCTGTACTCTCTTCTTCGTCCATATGGAAAGTTGCAGGAGATCGACCCTCAGCCGTCAGACTCGAAAACCAGCCCACGATATGCCCATGTGGAGTTCTCTCGACTCCGATACGCTGTCATGGCGCGAAACTGTCTGCATGGATTCACGATCCCGGAAGAGCACGGTGGTGGCAAGGCCGGGACTAAATTCAAGATAGTATATGAGCGAAAGATCAAACTGTCCATGATTAAGGATTGGATCTTCAGTCATCCGAGGATTGTGATCCCCGCCTTCGCAGCGTTGATTGCAGCCATCTCTGTGACAGTCTTTGATCCTATACGTACATTCTTTATAAAGATAAAGATTAAAGCCACGCTTCCGACGGAAGAGAATGAATTCTTGCACTGGGTCCGCCAACAGATCAGTAAGGCGAACATCATATATTTCGGAAACCGGAGAGCCGATCCTCGCGGCCTCAGTGCCATTTGGGAAGACCGTCAAGGCGATATCTCACAGTTGCAATCATGGTTACAGGAAAATGTCGAGACCTTTATCGTCGTCCATGGACCACGTGGCTCAGGGAAACGGGAACTTGTGCTAGACAACGTGCTGAAGGACTATAAACACAAGGTCATCATCGACTGCAAGCAGATCCAAGATGCCCGAGGAGACACTGCAAAGATTGCAAGAGCCGCCCAACAAGTTGGCTATCGACCGGTCTTCTCATGGATGAACAGCATCAGCAGCTTCATCGACCTCGCATCTCAGGGCATGATTGGTACCAAGGCAGGCCTTTCAGAGACATTGGACAGCCAGCTCAGCAACATTTGGCAGAGCACTGCTACTGCTTTGAGAAAAGTCGGTTTGGAAGCGAGAAAACTAGATGACAAAGACGTTCATCTGTCCGACGACGAGTACCTGGAGGCCCACCCCGAACAGCGCCCAGTCGTGATTATTGACAACTATCTACACAACGCGGAAGAGAACAGCGTGGTGTACGACAAGATCACCGAATGGGCTGCCGGACTGACGACTGAGTATATCGCTCATGTGATCTTTTTGACAACAGATGTATCTTTCGCTAAACCTCTCAGTAAGGCTTTGCCTAACCAGGTACTGCGAGTCATTCCCATGGGCGACTGCTCGTTAGATGTCGGAAGGAAGTTCGTCCTCAATCTTCTGGCGTATGAGTCGAGTCTGGAGTCTGACAGTGAGAAAATAAAGACTGTAAATAATATGGAGGACTTAGACAACTGCATTGAGGTGTTGGGAGGTCGAGTATCAGATCTGGAATTCATGGCGCATCGGATTGAGGCGGGAGAAACCCCCAAAGGTAAGAGTCAACGTGGATGCAATGTGCAATGCTATCAATCTTATATTTCTTTTGCTAACATATGAAAGCCGCTGTCAACCGTATTATCGAGCAATCTGCTTCTGAAATTCTAAAGATTTTCATCCTGGGCTCTGAGAATCAGTCGCAGCACTGGACTCGCGAACAGGCCTGGCACTTGATCAAAGCTCTCGGTCATTCCAAGGACGGTACCTTGCCATATAACCAAGTACTTACGTCAGATCTATTCAAGGAGAACGGCGAAGCGATCCTCCTCGCACTAGAACAAGCAGAACTCATCGCGATCAGTGCCACCAACGGGTTCCCCCACACTGTAAAGCCAGCGAAGCCAGTATATCGTACAGCATTCAAGCGGGTTGCTGAGAACAAAGCATTGAGCAGCCGTCTAGATCTTTCAATCCTGTCGCAACTGCTGAAGAAAGAGAACAGCTCCATCACAAAGCACGAAGAAGAACTCGCTGTACTGGGTGCCCTGCCAAAACAGCCCCGAGAACTCCACCCGAGAATTCACTGGCTTTTAGAAAAGATCTATAAGTCCCAGGACAAGATTGGGCAATATGAGAATGATAGTGCAGTTCTCCAGAAAAACCTCAAGAGTGGGAACTGATCTTAATTTTTATTTGTCCACGACTCAGGCGCCCCGGGATGTTAGAATTGAGTAGTTGTTTTTCTTCATGATAGTAATTGAAACTTCAGTTGGTAACTTATTTATGAAGCATAACTTTATATAATCAACCTGCATAACTAACTATCAGTTAACTAACTAGTCAAATCTACATGATTTGTCATCCATCATGCTGCGCTGAAGCCAATACACGTATTTGAATCCCTGTCTTTATGAAACCCCTTTTGTTTTAGACATTTCAAAACTAACTAAAGGAGTGATTGGTTTCTATTCAGTATACTCATAGTGCATCACTTGATACTCCTTGGCCTGGTTCTATGCTCGTCCGAATCAGTCGGGTGTCCTCTCCCGCGTTGTCTCCCTTCTCTCTTCATCTGAAGAAAATCCAAAATGAAAAGCTATCTATCGTTGGCAGGTAACTTGATAGAAATTGTTAAAGATGCACTTTCGGGGTCGGGGCTGACATGGGTGACTGTTCTGATTACCCTGGCCGTTACTTGCATCACTACACGTATCATCACGGACTTCCAATCCCATTCTAGCAAGACAGGTCCTGGGGACTACTGGCCTGTGAGAGTGGCCCCATACTGGCTTCCATGGATTGGGCATAGTCTATCATTTGCGTGGAATATGACGAGCTGCGTGAGACAAGCTAGGTTAGCTTCCCCGTGGACTTACCAAGCACAATGTATATGGGGGCTAATGGAATCACTAGGGACTACATGGGTGAGCCCGTCTTTGGCATTATCCTTGGTGGTGTTAAACAAAATGTGGTGGCTTCGCCTTCTATGGCCCAGTCTGTGCTTGCATTTCGAGGCGCATCCAATTCCCCGTTCATCGACCGTGTAATGGAGAGGGTTTTCGGCGATTCAGGCACAGTGCGTAAGATGAGTCCTGCTGATCGGCAAGAGCTCCATCAATATGTCAGCCATTTCCTCCAGGAGCCGTTCATCACTGAAGCTACGACTGCGTTTGTTCGTCGGATTCAGCGTGAAACCCCAAATCTGGTGACTTTCTCCTGGAGTATGGTGGATCAGACGCCTTGGGAACGTGCAAGTGAAGTCACAGTCAAAAACACCGACGGCAAAAATGTTTGCGAAGCTAATCTATTTGCTCTGGTGCGGAATTTTGCTGCGCAAATCACCACGGGCGGATTTTTTGGCCAGGCCATATTAGAGGATTTCCCAAACCTATTCGATGATCTGTGGATCTTGGATAGTCAGTTCTCAACTCTGTCGAAAGGTGCACGTCGTTGGCTACCAATTCCGGGACTCCCTGCGGCATACAAGGCCCGGAGTCGACTTTTGCAGGCGTTGGCGACTTTCCAAGAAGCTTTCATCGCTTGGGATAATGGTAGAGACCCTGGTGTGAAATTTCGTGATCTCGATGATGTTGCAGAGCCAATTAAGCAAAGGGCCCGTGCTATGCACAGAATGGGCTTTTCATCGCTGGCCAGCGCATCAGCACATCTATCTATGCTATGGGCCATGAATGGAAATACGACGAATATTGTGTTTTGGAACTTAATTCGCGTGTACGCTGAGCCTCCGCTGTTGGAAGACATTCGGAAAGAAATTGCTCCTTATGTGAAGGCATCCCGACCCAGTCTTGAGGAGACTGGATTTCCGTTCGAAGAGCCTCCTCAAATCAAAATTGACTCTCAGGGACTGTTCACTTCTTGTCCTCTATTGAAAGCCAGCTTTTACGAGACCTTGCGTTTGGATTCTGCAGGGTTTTCACTCAAGGAACTTGACTCCGACCTGACCCTTACAGAATCTAAAGAGGATGCTGCCATTGATGGGTTAAAACAACCTCGGGTATACAAACTTTCCAAAGGCGACGGTATTGCAATCTCGCATGGTGCCCTCCAGAACGATTTTCGTTACTTCTCGAACCCAAGCCAATATGATCCCTTAAGATTCATCACGACAGACCCCGACACGGGCGCCAAACGGGCCGAGATTCACACCATCAAGCCGTTTGGTGGTGGCTTAACGAGATGCAAGGGGCGTGTCCTGGCAGAGAGGGAGAACTTGGTTTTCATTGCTACAATTGTCTCCATGTGGGACATTGAACCGGTGCGCGGAAAGCAGTTGGTTATCCCAACGCGCAAGGCATCTCCGGGAACATTTTCACCAAAGAAAGATGTCAGAGTGCGGATGACGACGAGAGTATAAACGATGAACTCTATTTTAATTTTACTTTAGTTAATTTAGTTTTATTTTTATTTTTTGTTTGATAAGTAGAGGGAATTGTGGCATATGTGTGGCTGTTTCAAAATTCAAATTAGGCCTTACGACAATGATTCATAGACAGATATAATGGTTTTATGTGTAGACGCCAGTTCCGAGCTAAGCTTCATTCATCATGCACCGGACTAATTGCGAAGACCAATAACGAGCATGATGAACCATATTATCAATACGGAGAAATATCCGGGGACGGACTTTGGCCGATCACAACAATCGCCATGGGCTTAGAGAATGAAAAAGATAGCAAATCTCACTATGCATAATCTGTTTTAAAGCAATTCCTCCATCTCTACAGGGGAGCTGAGATATTCACATCGAAAATGGCACAAGACGATGAGACACCGCACCTGAGCAAGGACTATGATCTATCGACCCCAATCTCATCTACTTCGGGACTTCGACAAGGCCTAACATCATACGGTGATGCGCATTTCTCTCTATTCCTCAGAAAAGTCTTCATCAAAAGCTTGGGATACTCTGAGGACTCTCTCTCCCGACCCATCATCGGCATAGTGAACACATTTTCCGGCTTCAATCCATGTCATGCAAATGTACCACAGCTTATCGAGGCAGCTAAACGTGGTGTGCAGCTTAATGGAGGACTAGCTATCGAATTCCCCACGATAAGTGTCCATGAATCGTTTTCATATCCAACGAGTATGTTTCTGCGGAACTTGATGAGCATGGACACGGAGGAGATGATTCGGTCTCATCCGCTTGATGCGTGTATTACGATTGGTGGTATGTGTACTTTATGTATCATGAATGCCTCATTGTCACTGATAATAGTAGGATGTGATAAAACCGTCCCGGCACAGCTTATGGGTGGCATCTCAGCAAACAAGCCGGTCCTGCCTCTCATAACGGGCCCGATGCTACCGGGAAGCCACCGGGGCAAGAGAATCGGCGCCTGCACTGACTGTCGGAATAACTGGGCAGCTTTTCGTGCGCAGAAGATCGATATCGAGGAGATCTCGGCTATCAACGACGAACTCGCACCGACTGTTCGTATCCATGCCCTTATTCGAGACTATTCTCAGGTAGCTAACGTGTTAAACCAGATTGGAACGTGTGGTGTCATGGGAACTGCTAGCACAATGGCATGTGTCACTGCTGCATTGGGCATGATGCCGCTCCGGGGTGCGTCAGCGCCTGCAGTATCCTCTGCAAGGCTCCGGATCGCTGAAGAAACGGGCGCAAATGCTGTGGACGTTGCGAAGATCAAACGGAAGCCACAAGATATTTTGACGAAAGAATCTTTTGTGAATGCAATTACTGTCCTCCAGGCAATAGGAGGCTCAACAAACGCTGTAGTCCATCTTATGGCCATCGCGAACCGGCATCCTGCCCTTCAAGGCGTGATAACGTTGCAGACATTTGAGGAAATTGGACGCAAAACACCTTTGTTGATTGACTTGAAGCCCAGCGGGGAGAACTATATGACTGATTTCCATAATGCAGGAGGCATGTTGGCGTTGCTACTTACCCTTCGCCCACTCCTTAAACTGTCAGCCATGACTATCACAGGCCAGACATTGGGTGAGGTTCTGGATGTGTCTACATTCCGGACATTTTCGCTCTCACAGCAGATAATCAGACCGTTGAACAATTCATTATACCCGGATTCTTCCCTTATTGTCCTCCGTGGAAACCTGGCCGCGAACGGAGCCATAATGAAAGCATCCGCATCCAAAGACCGCTCGCTTCTCTCCCACACCGGTCCCGCTGTTGTTTTCGAGAATACAGCCGATTTGGCAGCAAGAATTGATGACCCGGATCTTCCCGTGACGAAGGACTCAGTGCTTGTCTTGAAAGGAATAGGTCCTATTGGAAATCCCGGGATGCCCGAAGCAGGTTTAATCCCTATCCCGCGGAAACTTGCTGAGGGGGGAGTCAAAGATATGTTACGCCTTTCAGATGGACGAATGTCAGGTACTGCAGGCGGTACGATTGTTCTTCACATTTCGCCCGAGTCAGCTTTGCCAGAGTCATCATTTGGCGTTGTCGAGACGGGTGATTTGATCATCTGCGATTTGACTGAAAGGCGACTTCATCTTGATGTCTCTGACGAACTGTTAACTGCTCGCATCGAACAGAGGAAACAGGCTCTAGAGGAACAGGGCATTTTGGCGCAAAGGAAACGGAGACGGGGATATTTTGGGTTGTATGAACGGGCGGTAAACCAGGCGCAAGATGGAGCTGATTTCGACTTTCTTGCTGCAAATGGACCGTCGGACGATTAAATAGAGTCGCGCATTGAAGATCTACCCTTGGTACCCCAGTAAATTAATGGTAGAACAGCCAACCCTGACCCTGTGCCCTAAGCCCTTTTCATACTTAATTAGGCTAAATTCCCAGAAGCGCGACGCGTGATGCGGCGGGACGCGTCGAGGTAGATCCCCGACTTGACTGCATTGAGACTTCAACTTGGCGTGGACGCTTTGAATGGTGTGAATTGCTTGATATACATTCTCAATTACTAAATATAATCAATGCTTTAAGTCGCTTTCGTGATGTCCTCCGAAGCGATTCGTCCCCGGGGGAGACCAGCTCGTAAGTCAGAGCGAAGACTACTTTATTATACTAGGACGAATTGCTAATGGCCAACCGCAACTAGATACCCCAGGGACAACGGTCTTGGAATATACACCTGATGGTCGTCGAATAATTACGGGAGGTTCCAATTCAGCGATTCGAATCTACACTGTCGGACAAGATGGCGAGCCCACGACGGTCGATGAGGGCGTGGACGGAAACCTGGGAATTGGTGCCACTGTATTTTTGCCAACACTGTTTGACCTGTTGGGAGGGAACTTCGAGAGGCTAATAATGGGTACTTGGTAGAACAACTCCTTTATCATGGGAGCAGAAGACGGGACGGTCTGGCAATATGAAATCAACTCGGGCAAGATGGAAAAGTTACTGGTGCGATGCGCTCTGCCGGTGAGGGATATTGGGATTTCGAAGGATGGAGAATGGGTTGCAGTCGCAAGCGAGTTAGTTTGCATGTTTATTCGAGACGGCCGGAGAAAGAGCTAACAGTTGTCTGAAACCAGTGAGCTCACCGTAAAGATTGTCAACATCGAGGACATGACCAAAGTGAAATACCTTCGCGAGCAAGGCAAAGGAGCAAAGCACGTCACCTTCGACCCAAGCGGACGATATGTCGCGGTTTCCTGCACGGACGGTATCCTTTACATCTACTCCACGGTCTCGGAGGAACCGGAGTTGCTACGAAAACTTGACGGAGTGATTCGAAGACTTGAACCCGAAGACGAGGCCACGTCGAGAGCAGTGTGGCATCCTGATGGAACGGCATTTGCGTCTGCTGAAGCAACGAGAGATATCGCTATTTATTCTACGGCCGACTGGAAGAAAGAAAAGATTTTCTCGGGTGGTCACAATGGAGACGTCACGGCGATCAGTTGGTCGCCCAATGGTGCGCTTCTTGCTACAGCTGGGAAAGATGGACAAATCCTACTTTGGGAAACGAAAAGCCAAAAGGTCTTGGAACGCCACGACTTCCCGAACGTGATCAACCTCGCCTGGCATCCCACCAGAAACTCGCTCTCGTTTACAACGTCGGACGGAGAGCTTTTTATTTACGACGATCTCGTATCCAAGGACAATCTGTCGCTCCTTCAAAAACCACTTCAAGCCGCACCTATTTTCCCCGGACCCTTGACAGAGATCTCCGACAATGTGAGACGGCCGCTGGCGAGCAGGCCAAAGGAGACGATCGAACGCAGGAGGGGAGGCACTCCTGACTCTCTCGATGATATTCTTGGTGGTTCTGATGCAGACATGGCAGATTTCGTTGACGACGATGATGGCGCTGGGTACGCTGAAGGCATGAACCCATTCGGCAAGCGGACAAATGAACACCTGGATGACCCTGATGGTCATGTGGAGAAACGGTTATTGACTTCATTTTCCAAGCCAAGAACCCACCCTCCACTCCAGCCTGGAAGCACACCGTGGAGAGGCAGTCGACGGTATCTTAGTTTGAACTTGACGGGTGCTGTATGGACCGTCGATCAGGAGACACATAACACAGTCACCGTGGAGTTCTATGACCGAGAACTGCATCGAGACCTTCATTTCACTGACCCTTATCTATATGATAAGGCGTGTCTAAGTAAGTGCTATGGAGTTTTGTTGACGATTTAAAGCAGTGCTAATGATTATCTAGATGAGCATGGCACATTATTTTCCAACAGTCCTAGGGACGGCAATCCTGCGACAATATTCTACCGACCTCATGAGACATGGACCACGAGAGCTGATTGGCGGACACAATTGCCGGCTGGCGAAGGAATCAGAGGTAAATTCCAATCACCGATATAGATATAGCTATAGACTGACGTGAAACAGCGCTGGCGTTGAGTGACTCCTACATTGTGGCTGTGACGACAAAGTACTATGTGCGCGTATACACATTGTTTGGAACACCTTACAAGGTATACCGACAAAAGAGCCCAGCTGTGACCTGCGCTGCTTGGCGGGACTACATCATGACGATTGGAAATGGACCGCTGGGCAGTGATGGCCGCACCGCAACGCTGTGTTATACTTTGGAGAATGTCAAGCGTGACGAAATATGTCAAAACGAGGATGTAGTTGCCCTCCCAGAAGGTGCAGAATTGCGGAGCGTCTTCTTTTCTGACTCAGGAGTGAGTGAATTCTTTCCGGCTGGATTGTTTAGGACCACGTATTAATAATGAGTCCACAGGACCCCTGTATCTATGACTCAGAAGGTGTTTTGCTCATTCTGCAACACTGGCGCACTACGGGCCAAGCTCGCTGGGTGCCATTGCTTGACACCAAGCAACTGGAGCGTTTGGCCGGTGGACGGAAGGAAGAGACATACTGGCCGGTTGCTGTTGCTCAAGGGAAATTCCACTGCATCATTCTCAAGGGAGGAGACAAATACCCCTACTTCCCTCGCCCGTTGCTCAGCGAATTCGACTTCCGGATCCCCATCTCCGATACGCCCAACAAAACCCTGAGCGAGGACGACGAAGGGGGTTCTGCTGCTGCTGCGCACAATGAAAGTGCCAAGTTCGAGGAGGCATTCGTCCGCAACAATATCATCCTATCTTTGTTCCAGGATCTCCTATCATCCACGAATGCCACGCCAGCACAGCGGGCTGAACTAGCACGGAAGGAACTGGAGTTGGACAAGACGCTTCTACAGATGCTGGCCGTCGAATGCAGAGAAGGCGAGGAACGGGGTATGAAGGCCCTAGAACTGGTGCGGATGATGCGAGATCGTAACGGCAAGATGATCGAGGCCGCAATGAAGGTGGCCGAGCGGTATGGCCGAGGACTATTGGAGGACAAGATCCGGGATCTAGCAGAGAAACGGTTTATGGGGATCGCGGAGGATGATGATGAACTGGCTTGATTCCGTGATGACATTTCTTCTTATTTTGTTTGGATATATCTTATGCCTTAGTATCTAGTCCATAGTCCGAGTTGTATAGAATGACGACCAATCACCAGAATTACAAACACGCTGACCACCATCTTTCACTTATTGTATTTCTGTCAATTGATAAAGGATCTCTTTTATATAGGTTCCTTCCATACAATATTCCTATAGATATCCTCTTCTAGAATCTCCGCATCGGCGCTCGGCCATCAACGTCATCGGTCCATTCCGATATTTTTCTTCCGGCGAAGAAAATCCATCTTTAATTTCCAACCAACACTCTCCAACTCAGCACATGGCTTGACCACCATCAGCGATTTGTCGTCGTCTTGTACGGCTGAATATATCTATTCTCTGTCTTCTAATTGAATTTATTTCCATTTGTTGTTATCATAATTGTATACCGTCATGCCGAAACTAGTCCCTATCCACTCTTCGTCATGCTCTCTCCGACGTCCTCTACATGCCTCGTCCTCCTTCAAGCCATCGATATCCTGTTTCAATGCCCATCATGCATTTGTTTCCTCACATGCGCGTTTGCTCGTCCAGCCCCGGAACGAGGTACTAGGTGATCCCTGGCTGGTCCAGGCATCATACTCGTTCTTTTCGCAGACGGATCTCCGACTTTTACCTTTGTTGGAGGGACTCAACGGAAACTCGAATAACGATCACAAACCGCCTGATGAACGGATTATAAAATTGGGAAAGAGTGGGTAGCCCCTCGATTTCCGATGATTATGGGTGCTGACTGCTATAGCGCTACGAACCCTCTCGCCACTCCTCCCTACAATCCTCTTCAATGCCCTTCCTTCCACAATCCTCTCTCCCAGCGTTGCTCTCCATCTCTTCCCATCGACGCATCCGCATCTTCCCACCGTCAAAGGCCGTACTCTTTATCGCGCAGCGTTATGGACCGTCCCCGTCGCATGGAGTAGCCTCCCCCTAGTAGGAAACGTTAAGCTACAGATCCTAAGCGAGCGGATCGTCCGCGCAGGGACGGTGTTGGACCCGAATAGATGCGGTGATAGCGATTGCGGGGATGAACGGTTGGTCGTACGGTGGAAGACGGAATCAAGGGAGGGCTCTGGGGAGGGCTCTGGGAATGCACAGACTTCGAGTGCCCTTCCATCTGCGACGGGAAATACTGCATCATCGAAAAATGGCGTCAATAAGGGCCTTAGCAAATTGCTTGGCGGGGATGCTCCGATCTTCAAATTGTCCAAGGAGGAGCAGTTTACGGGGCTGTTTATCTTTTCTTTCGACGAGGAAGGTCGCATCTTAACACATACTATTGAGCACGCGGATAATGCGAATGGATGGGATCGAACGGCTAAGTTCGTTACCCTAACGGACTGGTTAATTGGGAAGGCGAGGGGCTCGCTGGAACCTGCAGCGCCTGGATTGGCAATGCAGAGTTGTCCGGACTTCGGTCTTGAAAGAGGGCAACATGATTCTCGTCCATGATTGACAACAGGCAAATTACTGTTGATGCAAACAGTAACTTAACATTGGCATTGCCAGAGTGACTCAGCCCACCACCTATAATGCCGTAACGATACCGACGGTGCGTTTCGCGATTTAAGCCAGTGGATCTACCATCTCTTCTCAGTTTGTATCTATACCTGTTTTTCTGTCTCTATACCCCCACCGTTGTTTGACGGATAGCGCACGATAGTCTGCCTTAAAAGCATCAGATGTGAATGGGCCCAATGAATGAAATGTATTTTTATTGTCACTGGACCAGCCGGTATATAGTATCCTAAACGAAATCTAGCTAAAATACAAAATGACCATATAGTCTATAAAACTAATATCCCAATCTCCAAAAAGGAATCACTTTCTCCCAGTCTGAGATGCAGCAATAGGGGGCGACTTCAACGTCGCAAAAGCCCCCACGCAAACGCCCACCATCGCGAATCCACCAGTGGTATACGCAATCTCCCTCCCAGCGAACCAAAACAACGAACAGAATAACAGCGGTCCGGCCGCACGTCCAACCTGTCCCCAACTCCTCAATTTCCCAAGAACAACCCCACGCTCACTCTCGCGCGCCTCGAAGCTTCCCAAGCTGTTCAGACTAGTAACCACGGTTGCGCTGGTGATCGCCAGTAGTCCGCCTGCACCGTAGAGACCTCCGAGGGAGGACACCCGCGCGAGGAGGAAGAACGAGATTGCACAAGCGACCACGCCAATGCGTAGTGTGACGAGTGGGGGGAGACGGCGGACGACGGTTCCCTGGAGGAGGGAGGCGATGAGACCCATCATGGATAGAAGACGGCCGTTGAGCGCGGATGGACTGGCTGTTGTGTTGGCGGAGTAAAAGGTAGCCGTTAGGAAGGGTAGGGAGAATTCCATGCCCGAGAAGGGGAGGAGGAAAAGGAGGTGGAGAGCATTAAGGAGAGCCGGATTGTTGGTGTACGTGTGCTTAGGTGTTGCTTTCGAGGAGGAATTGTCCTTCTCCGACGCAGCGTCGTCCGATTTAGCATGTTGCAACTGCGTAAGACGAGGATGCGTTTCCGGCAGGTAGGACCACAAATACACCGTCTCCAGAACAATCAACAGCAGTGAAACTCCCGCGGACGTCGCAAACGGGTTCGCTGCAACAGTTGTGATACTCGACAATCCTGCCCCCAGCGCCGGTCCAAACGTAAACGCGATGCTGAAACATGCGCCCACGAGCGCCATGGTTCCACCACGCTGACTCTCATCACTGATATCCGTCGCGATCGCATTGGCCAACTGTACATTCCCCTCGCTCAGCCCGCCAACAATACGACTGGCTAGGAATGTCCGGAAATCTGTCGCGGCGACCCAGAGGGCTACGCTGAAGATGTTACCGACCATTGAGCAAAGCAGGGCTCTTCTGCGACCATGTCGATCGGAGAGACGGCCGATGAAAGGGGCTGCGATGGCTTGGAGGAGGGAGAAGAGGGAGCCCAGTGCGCCGCCGAGGAGGACGATATCATAGCGCGAGTCGATTGGTTTGGCGAAGGAGTTCTTGTACGCGTTGAGATAGTGAAAGACGCGGTTTAAAAGAGAGGTGTGAGAGTCGTCTTGGTTGCGGTAGAAGGTGAGGAGGGAGGGGAATAATGGCAGGATGAAGGTGAAGGAGATCTAGCAATGTTAGTATTCCGTTCAGCTATATCAAAACGAGACACTATACCAGATCCAAAAGGAGCGAAAGCATCAACACCTTGAGGATGCTCCTCCGTTGATCTGCAGCCAGCGCCATGATGAAGTTTTAGCAGAAGAACAATTACAGAAGAAACAAAGCGCAATTAATGCGAAGATTCGAATATAAAAAGGAAAAAAGATCAGGCCATGTTGTACAAAAGAAAAGAGCGTTGTTAATAAGCATCGAGTAGGATTAATTAAGAAACGCGATCGAGACGCCGGAGTCTGTGTCTATGTCATAGCCCTGAGCCCTATTTCCATTTTAGGATAGACATATACAAGAATAGGTATACGAGGTATCAATAGTACAATACGAAGAAATTGGCTCGAACTATGTCATTCATGCCATTTAGAAACCACCCCATATTCTGCACACCAACCCACGCCTTTTTCATTCCTCCCAAGACGCTGCTTCCAGCCTATCCCAGTCCCAATTCCTACCATACTGATTGCCCAGAACCCTCACACCCACGGAAGAACAGAATTTCATCACACAAAAAGGGTAAAATACAGAATAATAAGAATAACGTGGGTAAATGGTAAGGACGGCACCATTAAGAAAACATAGGCCACATGCAAAGGGTTAGAAAAGACATTAGAGGAGATATTGAGCAAGATTAGGAGGGGAAGCAAAGAGAGATATGCACGCTGAATAACTGCACAACATATACAATCAGGAAATTTTCCGTCATCCAACCCAAAAGCTGAGGGCCAGGATAGAACATTTCAGGAGATTCGTTGCATTCGTGAACCGTAACACCGCCGACCCATGGTTTCATTAATGGAAGGAAAAGGGAAGAATGCCAGATAACCAGCCTAAGAGGAGGAAAAATGACAAGGAGATCAGTGCGGCGCAAGGTGGGCGACACTGACATCGAAGCTTTAACGATGGCTGAGAGACATAATCACAAACCAAACGGTAGAGCGTTCGCAGTGCGCAGCCGATTTTGGTCCATTTATTGGGCTGCAGCGGCGACAGCCGGAGCACCATTGGATCCACCACGGCCACGACCATGACCACGTCCACGACCGCGGCCTCTGAACTCACCACGGCCGCGGCCACGGGATCCATCACCACGACCACGACCACGACCCCGACCACGTCCCCGGCCGCTGTTCTGTCTCTGGTGACCAGTCACAGGCTCAAAGCCATCACCGCTCTGCTTGGGCACCGCAACATTCTCGGCTTCTGGCTGGACGGCAGTGGGGTTGTTCTTCAAGCCAGTATCGACGGATGCAGGGGTCGCCTGGAGACCATTTTCTGTCTCCGCTGGGTCCCGCGGCACTTCAATTAAACCGTCCGCATTCACAGAGGGATCAGCGGGGGCGCCAGTGCTGGGATCCCAGGATGATTCCGCGACTTCGTTGGCTGCATTAGACACCATTGTCTGAGCCGGGGGGGCAATCTGCTCGGTCTGAACAGTCGTACCATTAGCGTCGGTAGTGGTGGTATCCGTGGCAACGACAGCGGTGTCCTGAAGCTCAGTGGAGGCAGCGTTTGCCAAAGTAGGGTCGGAGGCAGGAGTGGTCTCTATAGTGACTTCCTCGGAAGTAGGAACAGGACCCTCGGAGGCTTCCTTAACTTTGCCGTCTGGGTAGAGAAGCAATCAGTAACTTGTAACTAGGACGGGGCTTTGAATGGGTTTCCTTACAAGTAGCATCAAGCTCCGTACCCTCGAGGTTGGTGATCTTCTCATCCACGCCATCAATGAGCTTGAGCATATTGGTGACAGCGTCCTCAGAACCAGTGTAGACCTGGTAAAGAACAGCCTCAAACGCCTGAGCATCAGTCGAGGACTCATCCCCGGACCGTCTCTTTTCCGCGGCAGCAAGGAGGAACTTGCTCAGGGTGAGCAACCGTCTTCTCAAGTCCTTCTGGTTGGCTTCTGAAGTTTCCGCGATGGTCTTCTCCCGGGCAGAGTCCAACTCTTCCTTGTGGTCCTTCTCCAAGTCTTCCTTCTGGTTAGCCAATCGCTCCTCATAGTAGGCAGCAAATTCCTTGTAGTGAGCAATTTGCTCCTCAATCTGAGAAACGTTGGCCTGCAGGGCAGGCTTTTTCAGCGCCTGCGCCTTCTGGTCGTTGTTGATCTTCTTTTCCGCAATCAACTCATCGAGCGACTTTCCAGGGTTCTCAGTGATGATGGAGTCAACTTTCGAGGTTGCGTTCTGTGAATAAGTTGCAATTAGTATCGGGGCAGGAATAGTAGCAAACTTGGACATACCAATTTCTTCAGAGCATTGCGCAGGCTCCTAGTAGAAGGCGGGGTTCAAGTCAGTCTTCACATTTCCGGGCTTGAATATGCACTCTAAACGCCGGCTCAGGCCTACCTCTGAAGTTCCTTGAATCGCGGGTTGTCTAGGTTGTCCAAGCTGTTGGCAGTCGCTTCAGACGAAGAGGTGCCGTTGAGTCTCTGCTTTTCTGAGGGGGCCCCAGAATTAGGGTTGCTGGTAACAGGAGCAGCTGCCATGGTGTTGCGCGAAGATAAATGTGTAGGTGGTGTAGAGGGGTCGGTGGGTAGTGTGATGTGGTCGAGAACTAACCACTTGTCAGTACTCCGTAAGCTTGGCCGAACGAGAGAAACAGAAAACAGGAGAGTTAAGACGATACCTTTAAGGATAATGCGCAGAAGACGCAGGAGTAGGGGTGGTTGATGTCTAGAGAGAGAAGAAGAAGAGGAGGAGGAAACGAAGAGGAACAAGGCAGAAGATATGGGTGGAACTCTTCCGAACCGCCTTTGTCGCGCAGCCCAACAAACAACAAAGCGCGATGGAGAATCGAGCCACCACAACTACACTCTACAATTACGGTGAGGACAAAATCCTTATTTACAGATTTTACAGATCAATTGTGATACGTCTACAGCTGCCAATCCAAAAACTTCAATGGTTTGAGTATGAGAAGTAAAACCGCATTTCGATTGGGTATCTCTGAGCCTCTATGAATAACGCCTCGACATAATCCCCGAATATTATAATATCCCCATAGTCCTTGGGCGAAAAGGCCACATTAATTGTCCAAACCAACGCCAGGATGCCCAATTTTTATATCATGCAATGTATCAGATTCGGCGACAGAACAGGTGCCAGGACGGATCGCGTGGCTCAACCCTTGAACTTCCGCAGTGTCCTCTGGAAAATATATCAAACGAAAGTCAGGAAATGCAGTCTATATACCTATATCACCATAGGGGACACAACGGTAGCTCAGGAACACTTGACGACGTACCTCTGTCACTTTCCGGACACTGTTCGCAGATAGTTGCTTCTCGCCTGCCTTTCGCGAGCGAATCGACGACTCGCGCATCAACCTGTATCCAAATTCCTCTTAGCAAATTATCCTTGTTTCTTTATTGTACCTTGTCTCCATGGAAAACAATCGGTCGTTTCCTCCGGTCACGGCAATTGGCGTGTTTGTGTACGACTTACTCCTGCATGAAAAGCATGTAGCCCAGGAAAATCTAATAGAAGCAAATAGGATTAATAGCCATCATCTGTAATGAATTGAATGCAGAAGAAACGGTCATCACTTACCAGAATGTCGGCATTCTTGCTCACATTTCGGTTTGCATGAGCCTTGACAATGCGCTTGACAGTCGCGCGAGGATAGAGCTTCTGAGTGGCCACCATTATTACCGCGGATGAGAATAGTAAATCAAGCTCTCCAACAAACGCGAGAAGAGAAGAATTGTTGATTGATAGTTGTTGGTGCTTCCACAGTGTTGATGATACCCATTCCGATTAAGCTCCTCCGCTCTCACCGCCCGGCGGCATGCGGAGGGTATTGTATTGTATTTACCGTCAATCTAAATATTACATCTATGTTTGTAGCAGGGCCGGCAGATATATACATTTCATGTCAAGCCCCTAGAGTAACTCTCGACTCCGCCATAGTTTCCACGCATAAACTGCCGCTGTCGAGCCAATGGCTATCCTCCAACCCAAGAAGACATACAATGCAACCCGGAGTCGGTCATAGTATCCACGGAGCATGATCCCAACGGCGTAGGTTCTGCCATCGGAGTCCTTGTCCGAAGGCCCATAGCATCTTCCCACTCCAAGCCCACCGATTCCAACATCATTGTGGTCGTAGTTGGAGTGTGCTTTGTCCGTCACAGCCACCGCAGCAGTTTGGCTATCCATTGCTGTGTTGCTAGGCCGTGCCCCTGACTTCACCTGGAGCATGTTATGTTCTCTCAATCTGTGAGTGACTAGCTTCACAATCAACTGTAAATCAGGGGGTGTGAATGTCGGATAATTCCATAGCTGTACGGCAGTATGTGGAGGGAGCATATCAAGAAAGTCCGCTAAGATACCCAGGGTAAGACCCCATAGCAGAAGCGGGCGTCCCTGATCGTCTGAGCCTGCTTGGTTGCCCACGCACCAAGATTTCCATATTTGAAGCAGAGGCTGATTAATCTGGCTATCTTCAGGTATGAACCCTGGTGTCGAGTTACAATACAAACTCTCGGTTGGCTTCAATTGGATAGCAGAGAATTGCATCATGCCAACAAGAGATCTGAATCCAAGGCGGGTAATAAACCCGCCCTGATTCGCTAGGCGTTGAGACATATCCACATATTCAAAAGTGCGTAGCGATGCCGATAAGAGAGCCCTGAGCGGTACCCAATGAGTCGAAGCGACTTCTGTTGGTTGTAAATTGAGGGTAGGCGATTCGGGGCGTGTCAGCACGAAGATGAAGGGACACAGGACCATCAACCTAGAGAAGATATTGGTCAGCATGTTGATTCGCGAGTATTTGTATTGCAAATGACATACGGCACAGTCCCCCAGCTCATAGTGACAACCCGTTCTGGCAGATTTCCCACATGAATGCAGTCATCTGTCGTCAAGTCTAACCCTATCTCTTCCCGTGCCTCTCTGACAGCAGCAGCCTTGTCGTCCACATCCTCGGGGTCTCGCTTCCCCCCAGGAAGTGCGACATGACCCGTCCAACGATCACCCACTCGCGATGCCCGCTTAATGAACAGAACTTCTGGGTCACCATGTTGAATCCAGTCCTGGGAAAAAAGCGTGTCTAATTGTTCTTTGACCGAGGAGCCATCAGTCCATGACCGAGGAGAAGATGCGTTTGGCCAGTGGTTGTATGTAGGGCGGACTCGCAGGATCAGGGCCACGGAGGCACGTTTCTTGCACAATGGCGGGTTGGGAACATGCGGATAAGGATTCTGATAAAGGTCAGTCAACACATTATAAAGAGAACCGGACAGCGAAGTGGTCTCCGTCATGGTGGTGACTCGATGAGGTGAAAGTGAATCTTCATCGGACTGCGGAGTATGTATCGGACTTATCGGTAACCTGTCATGGGACTTCCAGTACAGTACCGTTACAAAGCAACACTATCTCGGGACAATGTATCATCCTTTCCGAGAAACTAGCAACGTCATATAATTGATTATTGGCCAGAGCTAATGGCACGTGCTCTGTACCGTAGTCGGACTAACCGCTTTGGTCATGGCGTGGATCATGGCTCCATTTCCGTCTGGTACTTCTGTCATTCACTCAACCTCTTCATTTCCTTTTTTTCTTTGATGGGAGACAATTAGATTGATGCTGCTGGGTTTTGACGTCTGAACTTGTCGTCTTTCTTACTGTTTGAGTGCGATATCTTCAATTGAGCCTCTTCAGCGCTGTGACAAGCTGTCGATCCTTCTATCCCTTCGATCAATCTGTCGTCGAACTGACGTCGCCCGCCGTCTTCGTCCACTATGCGTTTCGGGAAAACGCTGAAAAACTCGATATACCCTCCATGGAGCGGGAAATACATCGACTATCACAAAATCAAAGTCCTTTTGCGAGAACAGGACGTTACTGGAGATGGCAGTGATTCCGAAGGTTCACAATGGACTGAGGAAGACGAGGAGGCGTTCGTGCAGGAACTGATCAATGTTCAGCTGGATAAGGTCAATGCTTTTCAGGTGAAAACATCTCAGCAGCTCCGGGAGCGTACTTCTGCCTGTGAAGCGAAGCTGCGTCCAATAGCGCCCACCACGGATCAGGAAACACCTGCAATGAACGAGGACGAAAAGAGAGCAATTGCTTCGGATGCTCTTCAAGAGCTGGACAACATTACAAAGGAAGTCAATCATCTTGAGAAGTATAGTCGTGTCAACTTCACTGGTTTTCTGAAAGCTGCAAAGAAGCATGATCGCAAGCGTGGCGCGCGGTACCGCATCAAACCTCTACTGCAAGTGCGGCTGTCGCAACTTCCGTTCAACTCTGAAGACTATTCTCCCCTAGTTCGCAGATTGTCAGTGATGTATTCGTTTGTTCGTGAAGTCCTCAACCATGGCGCCGTCCGTCCTGAAGAGCTTGGAGAGCCTCGTTTCGGTCATGATGCCTATTCGTCGTTCAAATTCTGGGTTCATGCGGATAACATCCTTGAAGTCAAGACCTACATTCTTCGACAATTGCCAGTTCTTATTTACAATCCTGGTAATTCCAAAGAGCTGGACATGTTGACTGAAGACCCTACGATCACATCTCTCTATTTCGACAACCCTCGGTTCGACCTGTACAATCAAAAAGTCCTCAAGGAACCGGAGGCTGGGTCCCTCAGATTGCGTTGGACTGGACATCTAGAGGACAAGCCGCCTATCTACTTGGAGAAGAAAATTGTTACCGATGAAGATCGAAGTAGAGAAGTGAAGGTACAATTAAAACAGAAACACGTTCAAGAATTTCTCATTGGCGAATATCGGTTTGATAAGAAGGTTCATCGGATGGAGGATAAGGGCAATAGAGAGTCCGCAGAGGCTGATTCGCTTAAAAAGGACGTGGAGGAACTGCAATCTTTCGTCAAGGAGCATGATTTGCAGCCAATGCTTCGGGCCAACTACACTCGCACGGCATTCCAGATTCCTGGTGACGACCGGATTCGTATCTCGCTTGATACAGACCTGGCTTTGATACGGGAAGACTCGCTTGATGACGAGCGTCCCTGCCGAAACCCAGACCAGTGGCATCGCTCCGAGATTGACATGAACCGGATGGAATATCCCTTCGACGCAATCAGGACTGGAGAGGTTTCTCGCTTCCCGCACGCGCTGCTGGAAATCAAGCTTCGAGGAAATGCACTTAATGCCGAGTGGGTGCATGATCTGATGTATTCTCATCTGGTTAAGGAAGCTCCTCGATTTTCCAAGTTTGTCCACGGAGTTGCACAATTATTCGAAGACAATGTCAACAACTTTCCCTTCTGGCTGGGTGAGCTGGAGAATGACATCCGACGGGATCCCGAAACCGCCTTCCACCAAGAACAAGAACGGCTTGCGAAGCGGGCCGAAGACGACATCGCAGTTGGAAGCTTCCTGGGGGGTAGCAACAAAATGAGTCCGAGAATCAGAGCTTCTGTGGGTTCACCAGGGGCAAGGTTCAGCGACATTGGCTCTCCACGAGCCAGCAGACCTTCCCAGGCTGTGCCATCATCGCCCAAGGCCTCAGCTGCCCAGCATGAACCTCCCCATCAGGAACTGCCACCACCGGCACAGGAGGAAGAAGAGCCAGCTGAAACGGACAGATTGGACGGCCAACCTTCAACAACAACGATGGCCCGCCTAGCTTCTCTCTTCCCCTCGTTTCCCATCTCCCGCTCAAGCCGCACCTTCCATGATTCTGCTCCCTTACCTCCGGGCGTCCAAGATCCTGGCATATGGATCAAAGACTCCGGCCCTGTGCGCGTCGAAAGCAAAGTCTGGCTCGCCAACCAACGTACTTTTATCAAATGGCTGCACATCAGTATCCTCCTCTCCTCGCTCTCGTTGGGTCTCTACAACGCAGCTGGTAAGAAAAACGACGTGGCGCGGGCGCTGTCCATCGTGTACACGGCGTTTGCGCTGTTCTCGGCTGGTTGGGGATGGTATATGTATGAAAAGCGGGCAAGGCTTATTCGACAGCGGAGTGGGAAGGATTTGGATAATCTTTTCGGGCCGGTTGTGGTATGTATCGGGTTGGCTGTTGCGCTGGTGTTGAACTTTGCGTTTAAGGTATGCTATCAACTCAACAAACCATTGCTGAGTTCAAGCTAACTGGTATAGTATTCTGCCGCTCTAAAGCACATTCGAGGGGGTCATGAGCCTGATACGCCTAGCAACTCTACCATGGCTCCCATGGACGCTAGCTCTTTGAGATTGGTGAATCAAGTACAGCAGGTGCTTTAGGTCACTTGTGAGAGAATAGTGTCTATTGTATTACATCCTTGCATTTGCGCCTGTCGTTCGAATCATGTACATCATAACTACTTTTCATAGATCCGGTCTATATAGTTTATCCAAATCAATCAAACTCCGAGTGTTTGAGACTATGTCTCGCTTATATTTCCCTGTGAGGTATTCCCAAGTAACGGCGTGCGCTCTGGATCTGGTTCGTGCATTTCTCTCCGGAAAGGCTTGGGCAAATTCTCCGGTGAGAAATTTCTATGAAGCGTCAGTAAATCCATTTTAATGAATGTCTTGGAAACGTACCTATCCAAGAAGAACCCCCCAAATAACCATAAATAAACTGTCCCCAGAAACGCTATAACCCATTCCAAAATAGCAGCCTTGCGATATGCATTGATTCGCTCCGGCGCTGTAATAAAAATAAAAGTCATGCAGAGGAAGACCTCCACCAGAATCACCGCTGTAGATAGCGAAGCACTATTCCGTTAGCACCACACAACTTCACCAGAGCACAGGAGAACATACAAAACCCTCACAGTAATACTCCTCCTCCCCCAATCATGAATCCATCTTCCCCGGTTACACAAGAATGACACAAACCCGACTACCTCATTCGCGTACACAATCGCCGTGCCCGCAGCTTGCAGCGCCAGCCCCGAGAAACATATCTGCAGGAAGAGAAAGTGCACATAGTGGTAGCGGAAGGTATCCATGATGCTGAGCATTATGAGGGCGATGCTGGCGGTGGACGCTGCGAAGACGGAGAGGAGGGAAATGAAGCGGAGGGTTTTAGTGATGTTAGTGTCTTCTTCGTCGTCGTCGTCGTTGTCGTCGTTGTCGTCCGCTTCATTTGAATTTGAGTGCCGATAGTTACTATAGTTGTCGTTACCGTTATCGTTGTCGTTGTCATTTCGGTCACTGGTGCCGTTTGAATCGCTGTCATTAATGGTGCCGTATGAATTGTAGCCCATATCGTCGATGCTATGCGCACGGTTATATTCAGGCTGGGGATGGATCCTCGGATGTCCGGCGGCCTTGAACAGCGCGAATCCAGGCTCATAACGCATGACATGCACCGCAGCAACAGTAATCACAAAGCACACAGCGGTGATAGTCGATCCGACGAGGAACAGCGGTTTCAATTCGAACGAAGCGATATCTGAAATGAACCTATAGCACCATTAGTAACATTTTATTTTCCAGTTTGAATAGAAGGGCATACGCAATCGGATACGTTTGCCCCGGATATCGAGGCATTCCATGCGTGATCCATGATAGAAGCAAGCCCGATAACGTCGCGAGCCAGATCAACCCCGCTAGACAGGGGAACAGTGGGAGTCGAGAGGGAGGGATGTTAAGGATGACGAAGTGCAGGGACGACCAGAGGCAGTCATCGAGGCGGACTAGAGGGTTCATGGGAATGAATTGGAACTGGCATCCAGTCCTGTCGAGGAGGATCCGAGGGTTGAATCCAAGAGGGGAGAATCTAAGAATGAGGGATTCGAGATGGATCAGGTGATAGGTCAGCTGATGTCTGGATATAGCAACAGAGACCGTCTCTTTCGATTCCTCTGCTCTATTTCAATTGAATATCAAAGGCGTTGTCCCCTTATACTATTCATATAAACTACGACTACTGATCATTAAATCCAAGGAAAGGCAATGATGTCATGCCGCGGGGATCGCGATACAACTCCATGCGACAGCGGGAGGTATACAGATAGATGCCAGTGTCAAGTTCTCACTGAAGAGAGCACGCCAAATATAGCAAGCATTCGCAATGCATTACACATATCAATGAAGATGTGACCGTAATCCATCAATTTCTACGGCTGACAAATCGCTTACTCTTCGATAGCCGACGAGGATAACTATAAAACCGAGTCTGTCCCAGCTGACATTCGGTAAATCTCAGCTTACATAGACACTAATTCAGTCAAGAGCAATACCAGCATGACCAACTTTACTATCCAGATTATCTCCGACACTGTGTGTCCGGTACGCCTCCCATCTAACCACCCCAAACCACCTGCATCCACCTACATCCACCAAACGCCAACTAATAAAATTGTATAGTGGTGCTACGTAGGCTACCGTCGCCTAACCCGCGCAATTGCATCCCACAAAACCTCCCACCCCTCCGACACCTTCACCCTTTCCTGGCAAGCCTTCTACCTCAACCCCTCCGCAGCCGCATATCCCGGCGTTGACAAACACCAACACTACTCCTCAAAGTTCGGCAAGGAGCGCGTCTCGAGCCTCTTTGGCCGACTAGCAGCCGCTGGGGAAGACGATGGGATTAAGTTCCGGTTTGGGGGGAGGACAGGGAATACGAGGGATTCGCATCGGGTGATTTGGTATGCGGGACAGCTTGACAAGGGAAGAGAGAAGAGGGGGCTGGCGACAAGGGTGGTGGAGGAGTTATTCAAGGCGTATTTTGAGGAGGAGAGGAATATCACTGATCGGGAGGTGTTGGCGGATGCGGCTGTGAAGGTTGGGATTGAGAAAGATGAGATTGTGAAGCTGCTGGAGTCTGGTGAGGGTGGTGCTGAGGTTGATGAGGAAGCTGAGCGGGCGAGACGAAGGCTGGTGACTGGTGTGCCATACTTTACGGTGCAAGGGCACTATGCCATTGGAGGTGCTGAGGAGCCGGATGTCTTCTTGGAGGTATTTGGCCGAGTTAAGGAGGAGGAGAAGTAGGTTTAAAGCAAAGACATTCATTTAGTCTTGATAAGCTATCCTAATCTACAAATACAGTCTCCCCGTTAGTCCCATCTCAAAGCGTCTCTTGGGACCATTCTCAGCAAAGAAAAATAAAGAAAAGAAAACATTCCCAGACGCCAATCGCCTATCATGCGCATAATCGAACATCGCTGTAGTAACAATAAGAGTAAAGCAAGAGAACAATATTCTCAGGGGAGATCATGCAACTGAAATCAAGCCCAGCAGCTTTTCAAAAGAAGTGGGGTTGCACAACGATGATACAAAACAAGGTTGAAATGTCTGCATTAAAGGATCAAAAGAAACACATCGACATCATAAGCATTGGCAAGATTCGATGGAATAGAATGACAAGAACAGGCCATTCACAAAAACTTTCATCAATCATAAGATTCATAAGACGGATGTGTCAACCAAGGAGTCCGTTTAATAACTCTCTTGGCTCATTTCAAAGTCCGGCTGATAGTCAAACCATTCCGTCTCGGGGTTGTAGCGATAAGCCTTGAACTCCACGCCATATGGTTTAGGCTCCAGCATGTACAGCATCCCCAGCGGCACATGAAGGTCAGCCACCTGGTCGCGCTTAAGACCCCGGAAGTAGGCCAACAGCACCCGTGCCACGGATCGGTGAGTGACCAGCAGGACGTGGTCGGTCATACGCTCCACCTCAACGATCACGGTTCGCAGTCGGTTGATGACGTCCAGATAACCCTCACCACCAGGACCCGGATAACGATAGAAGAGCTTGTTCTTCTTGCGTTGCGCGTATTCCTCGGGGAACTTCTCGCGGATTTCATCGTAAGTCATTCCCTCCATCTCGCCAGCATGCAGTTCATCGAGCATCTTCATTTGCTTGACATCGTACTCGTCCTCGTTGAATGAAGAAATCGTCTGTATACCTCGCTGCATCATTGAGGACCAAACACAGTAATTCCGGGGTCGGTCGCGAGGAACGTACGATGGGTTCGGAGGTGTGCTGTCACCAGGGCGAGGCGGCATATGTCTCAATAAGTCCTTTTGTTTCTGATAGATCTCCCACTGGCGCCTTTGGTGGTCAATGAACCGTGTCAAAGCCTGGCCATATCGCTTGCCATTTTCGCTGAGCTCCGAATCACCACCGATGCGGCCACGCTGGTTGTCGATGCTCTCTCCGTGTCTTGTGATCCAAATCTGGCGAGGAGACAGGTTGAAATTGAGCAGATAGTAGACCACCTGTGAGGAGAGGAAGCCGTTTGTCTGGTGCGACACCACTTTGCGGCCCACATCGACCATCTGAATGTAGGCCATTCCGTTGCGCTCCTCATATTCTCCCAACGGCACGTAGGACTTTTCATACAAAGCAACTCGTCTCTTAAAGTCCTCCAAAGATTTCGTGGGGTCCTGGTCCTTGTAGTCCGGACCAGACAGCTTCAAGCGCATGTTGGCCTCGAGCAGTTCCTCATCCACACAGCTGCTCTCGAGAAACAAGATACCAAGTTCGGGGCCGGCGCGCGCGCGGATATGGTCAACAATCGCTTTTCGGCGCTCCATTGTGCTGTTGGTCGCATCCAAAATACCAACACTGCCTCCTTCGTCCAATACGTAGTTCAATAGCTCGTCAAGGGTATCCAGTGCAACCTGTTCTCGCAGTTTAAGAGCGCGCTGGTTCTGAGGATCAAAGAAATTCGCGGTCTGGTCCATAGGCTCGGGGGACCCCTCTCTAATGGCCACCTCTTCCTGCTCATGCTCCGACGCATCAGACTGTGGAACGATGGCACTCCCGTTCTGCGACTCTTGTTCCTTGCCATTGACTAAAATCTTGGCAGGCACAACAGGAGGCGGGAGGGAAGGGTCTGTGTCTGTCATGTCTGTATCAGACTTTTCCGTGCTGGATTCCTGCGTGTCGGTTTTTTCTGAGGGTTCCTGCGACGAGGAATTGTTCATGGGATTCCCCACGCTGACGCTCAGTCGGCGCACCGAGTCCACCAAATCATTATGCACAGAGCTCTTTCGCTTGTCCACGGGAGCAAACTTCGCGGGAGAAGGCGACTTGCCGGCCGCCACACGACGGCGCTCTCCAACGTTGAAGATCTTAGTGTCATGCTGCAACCAATTCAGATACCGGGCGAGCTTCTTGGTCACATAACTCTTGCCTCGGGCCGGCAGGCCGACCATGATAATCACGAGCTTAGCTCCGAGATCACGCTGAGAGATACGTCCATCGGGAGAGACCTTGGACTTGGTCAGGCCGGGAATATCGAGGGTTGTTGCACGGACACGACCGGGAGTAGGAGGGGTAGCGGATGCAGAGCTACGTCAGAAAAAAGACCGCATTAGTATAAGTTGACCAATCAATCTTGAGCCTAGGCCTTCACAGCCAACGAAATGGTGCAGGTAGGGTATGTAATGCGGGTCGCATGTTGAAAAAGCAAAAAGGAGTTAAGACTTACATCTGTGGAGATGACGGTGCAGTTGACATAGGCGTATCGGACAACGGAATCCCGACACCATCCTTGGATGCTCTGCGCGTATCAGTAGACATAACATTGGAGGAGCGACCAGCCGAGTTCTTGGGAGGAGGCATTAGCGACGACGCATCAGTCCCAGCGCTGCCATTGCTGCTGCTGGGATTGTGAATGTTGACGCCGTTAGCCTTGTCTCCGTTTCGCGACGAGTCGGGAGCAGCTGCGTTGGTCATAATGGCCGATCGAGCAATATCAGAATGTTGCGCCATCCCCGCAGCAAGCAGGGACGCACTCAGTTCTGAGAAGCTGAGATCGATAAGAAAATGAAAACAAAGATAGAACAAAGAGTTGTAAACTCTAGGAGATCGTTCAAAGTGTAGTTAAAGATAGGAAATATGCAGCAGTTCACTGACTGGACAAGAGAAATTAAAGGGAAGAGGGGAAGAAAAAAAAAATTGGGGGGAAAAAGTCCAGTGGATATAGTGGGATGACTCAAGAAAAGCCACTAGACGACACCGTTTGGACTGTTTGACTGCAAATTTATATTCGATAACAGAAGATTCGAACAGTCAGACGAAGCTGAGAATTCACCGAGAAAAAGACAGTTGCAAAGCGCTTTGTCGAGGTGAAAGTCCAGTGGCGACGGCAGTAATCGCACGTGAACGAGGGAGTAGTAACCAGTTTCGCTGATTGTATTGGTTTGTAGAGATACAGAGTACCGTTAAGTTCTTCCCTCCAACCCAGGAGTAGTAGAAGTATAAGAAGAAGAGTAATGTAGTGATGGAACGAAAAGATCCCAGTAGCCAAATAATATCGAATGCGGAAGATGAAGTCACTGTACGAGTATTGGGGTGGAGCGGAACACGAGAGAATGATGTCAAGACGCGACTGAGACCGGACATCGGCATTCGGATACAAGAGTTTATATTTAACTACAGAGTAGTACTCTTTAAGTTTATACAATAAGCATTCTCACACATGCGCTGTATCTATCATACTTCTAAGCAGCCAGATAACACTGCAGAACCCTGCGCAAACCCGTCCCTTGCCGCCGTGACCAGTAACTAGCTTGTATCTCGCTTGTTATCAATCCTGTCTGGTTCTTTCGGAGTGCTGGAGCCTCGGATATGTCTGGGTATCCCTTGAAGCTCAGGATCCTCGGATTCCGCCTAGCACCTCCCGCTGTACACGTCGTGTCGGACAAAAGACGCCGAGATAGAAATGACTGCGCGTACTCAGCTCATTCGTTCAACCTACTCCTCCCTCTTTTCTCCAGTCTGCCCTTGAACGGTATGCCAAGATTGTAAGCTGTAAGCTGCCATCATCATTACAGTGTTGTCACTCTGTCCACTCTCCCTCCGCTCCGGCTTCTTGTTCTTATCTTCAGCTGGCGGGCGAGTCGTATCACTGCGGAATTCTTGGCACTTGGCAGTTACGCAGGGAGGTCATTGCTGTGTAGAACAAATAGTATCGAAGGAAAAGTCTCCGGCTAGCGACTTAATTTCAACGTGAGAGCGATAAGAACCGCATACGCTGCAATACTCAGCACCGTCAAAACCACCACGGCATTCCCACTAGTCCGGAACTTGTGACGGTGGACACCATCCTCTCCCACCTCCGAGAAAAACTGTTTGTTTCCTTGTTGACGACGGAAGAGACCAATTATGAGCACACCCGTTCCATAGACTGCAAACAATGCACCGATGCTGTAGAACTCGCGACTGAAGATCTTGAGCACGACGAGGGCGAAGGAGAATTGGGACAGAGCGGTGCGAACGTAGGCGCCTTCAAAGGTACGTTGGGCTGCGCGGACTTCGACAATCTCATCAGAGGTTAACGCAACCGAACGAGCGCGGTGCAGGCGGAGGTGGTATCGGTCAGCAGCGCGACGCTGGAATAATGTTATTGTTGGTTGATAACAGTTCTCATTATTGTCGAGAGAGGATGATAAAGTGTCAATAGTGGGGGTATAGTCATCTCACCTCGAACATGGTGCACTGTATGGACACAACACAAGAGCTCAACCGCGATGCCAGTGAGGTATTGGAGGTCTGTCAGTGAGAATTTTGCGATGTTTTGTAGTGTCAATAACTGAATGTAGAGTATGGAAAGTAGTTCAGTAGAATAAGTTCCATCTGATCAGGCGTCGCGAAGTTGAACGCGCTGACGGCTCACGTGCAGCACGTCTTGTACAGATACAGTGACAGATCCTAGTATCCATTCCGTAGGATCAGTTCAGATAACTGCTATTCAACAGTTATCTCTGGTCTTCTCTCCGACTTTCGCTCGTCCAATAACAACCGCCATAAATCGAATTGAGTCCCCATCGCATATCGGCTATCCAAATTACCCAATGGGGAACTTCAGACGCCGCCCCGCATTTCTCCCCATCGGCCAGTTCTCCGACGGCGAATCTGGAGAAATATAAAAGCCGTATTCGCATATTAATGTATTTGTATGCGACATTTTCTCTGACACCGCTCTTTGTAAACATTATTCTTATATCGTGTCTTTCTATTCCTCTCTAACACATCATCCAATTAATTGAAATTGTTGAAAGCCGCCAAAATGGCCAAGGTTTTCGATGCGGCCGAAGGTATCTATAACTGTTACAGCTTATCTTGCCATTGACAAGGCTAATACAGAGGATACACAGTTGAGAAGCACAACACGAGAGAGAGCTGCTGGGTCACTTTGTATGGCAAAGTCTACGATGTAAGTCTTTCCAGGTAGTACACAAGTGCATCCCTGGCTAACCGTCTAGGTCACCGACTTCCTCGCAGAACACCCCGGCGGTGCCAAAGTAATCCTCAAACTGGCCGGTAAAGATGCCACCGAAGAATACGATCCAATACACCCCCCAGGGATCCTAGAAGAAAATCTCGCCCCCGAAGCATGTCTAGGAACCATTAACCCTGACACATTACCGAAGCCAGAAGCGCAACCGGAGCCCACGTCAACAGAGGAAGACCAGGGACCACCCCCGATGGAGTCGCTGCTTAACCTGGACGAAATCGAGCAGGTTGCTACCAAAAATGTGAGCAAGAAGGCGTGGGCTTATTACTTCTCTGCGTCGGATGACAAGGTTACCAAGAGCTTTAACACGGCTATCTACCGATCCATTCTGCTACGGCCGCGAGTTTTTATCGACTGTACACGATGCGATCTGGATACAAGCGTTTTGGGGCATAAACTGGGGATGCCGATTTTCGTGTCACCGGCAGCCATGGCTCGTCTGGGTCATCCTGCAGGTGAGGCTGGTATCGCAGAGGCTTGTCGCAGCTTCGGTGCCATGCAGGTCATCTCCAACAATGCCTCCATGACGCCAGAACAGATTATCAAAGATGCAGCACCAGACCAAGTGTTTGGATGGCAGATCTATGTCCAGATCGACCGGAAGAAGAGCGAGACAATGCTGGCGCGCATCAACAAGCTTGACGCGATCAAATTCATCGTGCTCACGCTTGACGCACCCGTCCCGGGCAAGAGAGAAGATGACGAGCGAAGCAGTAACGCATCCGCCCCGAAGCCCGCTGGTGGGTCGCCAGAGAAACAAACAGAGGCCGGCGATGCTGGTGGTGGTGTCGGAAAGCAGCTCTTCGCTGGAACCGATCCATCTCTCACCTGGAAGGAGACGCTCCCCTGGCTGGCCAAGCACACCAACAAACCCATTGTTCTTAAGGGACTGCAGGCACACGAGGATGCCTACATTGCATCGCTCCACACGCCTCAAGTCAAGGGTATTATTCTGTCCAACCATGGTGGCCGCGCTCTCGACACCGCACCGCCTGCCGTTCACACTCTGATGGAAATCCGGAAGTTCTGCCCCGAGGTATTCGACAAGCTTGAGGTCTGGGTTGACGGTGGCATTCGTCGCGGAACAGATGTAGTCAAGGCTCTATGTCTCGGTGCTAAGGCTGTGGGAGTTGGTCGTCCTGCGCTTTGGGGATTAGGTGCTGGTGGTGTCGAGGGTGTCAAGCGGACGTTTGAAAGTAAGTCCTCACCCCTTTCTTTTTTGTAGATATTGCAGATGCTGACTATAACAGTTCTGGCCGAGGAAACCAAGACAAGTATGCGGTTATTGGGAGTCGAAAGAGTCGAAGAGCTAGGCCCTCAACATGTGAGTGCCTTGTTCACCGTCAAATGTACGCCTACTAATGATCTTCTAGATCAACACCCGTCTAGCAGAACAACAGATTTATGACGGACCATCAGGGCTCGAGCTGGTCCGGGGTACATTCCGAGCCAAGCTTTAGTCAGTACATGTTACGCATAACTATAGGAGTCTTTATCTTTTGGCCATTTACTATTTGCTATATGTATACCTCATACCGCAATGCATTGATTAATATTTAGCAATAAAGCAATTATAACTCATCAGAGAACAAGCATCTCAACGGACTCTTCTTAAACCAAGCCTGATCCCTCTCCCATCCTTTAACCACATAATCTTTCCCAACGCTCACCACATCCTCAATCTGCTCCTCCGTCCCCCATCCCTGTACTGAACTCCCCCACGCCACCAAGTGCACCCCAACATGAATAGCAGTCCGGAATGCCATATCCACGTTCAACGCGGGGCGATAACCCTCGATAAAGTCCTGGATAACCCACGTCCCAGCATCAAGGTTTTTGAAATGCTTGAGCATGTATAGCTCAGCGATTATCTGGCCCAGATCTAGGGATTGAGCCCCACACTGGGACAATTCCCAGTCTGTGATAAAGAGGATCGGAGTAGGGTTGAATTGTTGTTGGTGATCTAGCACAGTGCTTTGAATAAGGACATTACCAGTCCAAAAGTCACCATGAATCAAACCAAACCCATTTCCATGAGATTTACCAATCTCCTCCTTAGCCATACCCCGCACCTTCTCAAAAACATCCCTTGATTCCTCCAGCATATCTGGAAACTTCCCTACAGCTTTAACCAGATTATTGTAGTTAACACTGAACTTCAACTCTGCCATGAACCTGTCAGCACACATTCTATTCTTCAGCTCTCCCTGTGCATCCTCATCTTCCGTCCACGCATGGAACGCACAGAGCCACTCCCCAAGTCCCCGGCCGATAGATCTCGCCAGGGCCTCGGGGAATTCATGCCCATGGTCGATTATGTAAGATTTGAGATCCTGGGCGGCTGGAAGATCTTCTAGGATCTGGGTGTGGGTGGCGAGATCGAAGTGGTAGAGATAGGGTGTCTTGACAATCGAGCTTTCATTTGTATGGAATGGGAGGTTTTTTAATGCGTTGAGGATCAGCTCCTCTATCACCTGTTCTCTTCATTAGCATATTTCTTCTTCAAGTATACCATGGTGAAAGAACACACGCATCTATCAGCCGTTAACTTAAAATCCTTAGCTGAAGCCAGAAACTCCTCTGCATGTTTGATAATCACCGTTTTCGTGCCATCGTCCAGCGGCCGTTGAAGGATCCCGCGATAGACAAAGTTGGCTGTTCCGCCACTTAGGCGGGTTAAAGATGTGCAATCATAGGGTGTGCTGATGAGAGATTGATTGATTTTTGCAGTGATTTGATGATCTTGATCTCGGTCTTGGGCCATTGTATATTGTGTGTAATATGTGTAGATGTTGGTATATATATATCGCTATCGGTGGATATTGCAACGTAAAAGCAAAAACCACTTGAATGTCCAATTACAGCACAGGTATCTGAAGCATTCGAAAATAAGTGAACGATATGGTGAACAGTGAATCATAATGATTTGTAATTGATCTGGAAGCATGCAGTCAAAATTAAGATTGGTAAAATTTATTTTATATGCCTTAGGCAATTGTTACATAAAAACGTAAAAAGAAATGACCAGACTGGGGCTCGATCCCAGGACCTTATCGGAATCAGGTTTTAATCTGTTAACGATACGTGATAACCAACTACACCATCCGGCCGTTGTTGTATCATAGATATATATTTAATTATAATAGCCAAATACTATTTTACGTTTACATTCTACTCCAGATGTACCACCCCCCAGAGATACACACTACATAGATTATTTGCCCGACGTATACTTATCCGGGAGTACTACTACAGCTTCCTATCCATTATTCGAGTAAATTCTGCATATCACCCGTCTTCGTCCACACCACCTACCGTGACCACTGCTTGGCACGTATCCTCACCGTTGACACCTTCCCTGGCAATGGCCCAACTTCGGCTACTACTCAAGCCAGAGAATAAATCGGAGCCCAACCAACCCCTCTCTTTAAAATCTGGCTTCTGAATGGCGGTTGAGACTGACGGACCGCTTGTTCCTACATCGGTTCTTTTCCGGTTCTTCAGCGATATCGCGGGGTCTCCGCATTCTCCACGCTGCATGCACTCTGGACAACATTCCTTGTCAAGGACCGGGGTTGTACGGGGATACTATGCTACGAGATCATTAGTTCGAAGCTGTGGATGAATGAGAGTTATGACATCAGTCAAACCCTAGGGAATGAAAGGAAGTTGGGTATAAAGGCCGGGTCGATATGAGGCTGGTGTCAGAGTAGTCCTCGTTTCCACTGCAAGTTCAAGCGTCATGTTGGTCAGCTTCTTATTCTTGTCCCTTTGGGCTGCTCTACAGGCCTTTGCGCTCCCAGTATCATCAAATTCGTCATGCTCGGCTACTCAGCCGGCGCACACTCGTCCTCGGGTTTTGATCCTCACCGATATCGCTAATGAACCGGATGATGCCGAGTCGCTTGTCCGTCTCTTGGTCTATTCCCACCAGTTCCGCCTCCAAGGCTTCGTTGCGACCACAAGTTACTGGCTCAACTCCTCTACTCATGAGGACCAGATCATCCACACCCTCAAGGTCTACGGCAATGTCTTGCCTAATCTGAAGACCCATGCCGATGGCTGGCCCGAGGCCGAATTTCTGATTAATAATACCAAGGCTGGTCTACCAGTCTATGGAATGGACGGTGTAGGAGAAGGCAAAGACAATGATGGATCTGAGCTATTGATCCGTACCGTTGATGCATCGGATGAGATCCTCTGGCTGCCTTGCTGGGGGGGTACAGCGGTTCTGGCACAGGCACTGTGGAAGATTAATGCCACCAGAAGCGTGGACGAGATTGAGAATTTTGTAAAGAAGCTACGTGTATACGCCATCTCAGACCAAGACAATACAGGACCCTGGATTCGTCGTCATTGGCCGCAGTTGTTTTATATCGCTAGTGTCCACCAGTTAAATATATATGCCCTTGCGGCATGGTCGGGCATATCCGGTGAAGACTACTATTATTTTGAGCACACCGGCGCCAACACTTCCTCGATTTCGAAGGAATGGGTAAAAGAACATATACAGAATGTGGGAGAGCTGGGTGCGCAGTACCCAGAATTTGACTATATCCCGGAGGGTAAGCTCCACCCATCTAACTATGCCTAGTTGCATGACTAACTTGGCAGGTGATACACCAACTTTCCTCTATCTTATTCAGAATGGGCTTTCCGATATCGAACACCCAGAATGGGGTTCCTGGGGTGGTCGTTACGGACCTGTATGCTATGGCGAAGGCCATTATGCCGACACAGCAGACCTCATCACCGGCCCCGATGGCATCAAACGCTCCTCATCACAAGCCACCATCTGGCGTTGGCGCTCAGCCTACCAAGCCGATTTCGCAGCTCGCATGCAATGGTCGAATACGGACCGATTCGAAGACGCCAACCACGCACCCGTGGCTATTGTCAACCAGCGTTGCGGGTTGGCTCCGGTGGATATTACCATGCGACCTAACCAAACGCTTCAGTTGAATGCCGATGCCTCTTACGACCCGGATGGCGATCAAATCTCGTTCAAGTGGTGGCAGTATGTTGACCCGTCGGACACGGAGTGGCCCCCATCCACCGATGCCTTGTCATTGAAGATCCGGGGTTCGACATCGCCGAACCCAACTATTACTCTTCCGTCAGAAAACATCCTGTGGCAGGCCGGTGGAGCGCGCGGATACCGTTTGGAGAGAACGTTGCATTTGATTCTGGAAGTCAGCGATGGGGCCTTGGTTTCGTACAGACGGGTCTTGGTCAAGTTCAACATTCCCCGTCCGGCAGAGTAACCGCACAGACAAATACAACATTTTGTATATACCACATCTATCTATCTCAACTATACAAAACTGACATTTACAACCCTTTTTTCTCCAACCCCCTAATACCAACCGTCGTAATAATCAAAATCCCCGACAAAATACTCGACGTAATAAAACCCTTCGTATATTGCGGCCCATCCACCTGCTGCCAAACAACCTGCGGCAGCCACGCCTGAAAGACATACGCCATTTCATTCATACTTCCAATAACCAGGGCACGTTCTTCATTATCCTCGGAGCAAATCTCGTGCGTCCATGCCATGAGTAAACCACTCAAGCCGTATCCTGAACCAGCGAGAATATAGCAGGCCCAATGCCAGCCGGTGGGGATGTCCCAGATTGCTAGGGAGACGTAGCAAATGATGTTTATTATCTGATGACATTAGCATTGTATTCACATTTAGAGCGAAGCGAGGACATACAGCGCCAAAGATGATGGGTGGCCAGCGGCGCCCCTTGAGGATTGTATCGGATGTCCAAGCGTAAATTAGGGTCGTGACGACTTGAACTGCGTTGGTTGTTGTGGGATAGGCGTTGATCTGCCAGACTTCGTAGACTGGGTCTTTGGAGGCTTTGAGGTATCTGATATTGTTAGCCTGCCTCAACACAGGCATACAATAAGTAAAAGGAGAACATACTGTTGGAAAACAGGCTGACTACTTGCAGCGGCATTATTAAACGCACTATATCATGTTAGTTGGCCCTATGAGATATCCATTTTGCAGTGCAACTCACATATATAAAATCGTCAAAAGCCAAATATGCCACGAAGTAAATATCTTCTTAAGCTTGGACTTAGTATACGGCTCTCGAGGCTTGCGCCCTTCCAACTCCATTCGTTTCTGCGATAGCGCCACTTCCTTCTCACTGAGATACCACGGATTCGAAATCTCGGGAACATCAGGTAAAACGAAGAAGCCGCTTATCGCTATAGGAAGGGAAATAATTCCGTCGATTAGGAATAGCCTACTCTATTAGAATTTCCATATTAGTAGCGAGTAAGGGTCGGAGTCTTACCACTGCCAACCTCTAAAACCGCCGCGTCCTTCTAAGTTATATACACCAGCCATGAGGTAGCCCGAGAACATACTTGCGATGCCGCTGCTAGTGTGAAAAATGCAGGATCGTTTGGCGAGTTCGTCTTTGCGGTACCAAGAGCCGATGATGTATTGCATGCCGGGGTAGAATGTGCTTTCTGCGAGGCCTGCACGCTATCTTAGTATTCACCGATATAGACTTGATAGTTAGAAACATACCGACGAAGAACCGCAAAACATAGAATTGAGTTGGCGTGTTACATCTTGATAAGGAAAACGTCAAGACAGTCCACAGGAGCTGTTCACGTTAGCATAGCCCATTCAATAACGATGGCAATGCATACCTCCATAGCTGGAATCCAATATCTAGGCCGGACTCGAGTTAAGAGCATATTACTCGGAATCTCGCCAATGACGTAGCCAACGGTCCAGCATGCTTGTATGTAATTCAGCTGATTGCCATACATGCCCAAATCCTCCTTCCTATAGAGGGTTAGCTGTGCTGCGCCATAAGATACAATTAAGGGTGATGACTTGCATTCCAGATACAAATGCATTGTTAATGTTAACCTGATCCAGATATTTGATGAAATATCCTGACCAATTAGCATCCTGCCCAATGCAAGCAAAAGGAACCAAATTACTTACCCAAAGATGCAAAGGTAAGAATGGCTGTATCCAACTTGAACAGCAACCGCCGCTCCTCCAGCGACTTGTCAAATGTATCCCAAATATAACTCACCCATTTTTTCTTAACATCCTTCCGCACCGGATCTGATGAAGAGTCGACGTCTCGTTCATCGACGACGACAGAGTCTTGAGGAGCCATTTTTGTCTACCCGCAGATGAATTGACTTTAACTTGTCTTGTGATAAACATTGGACGCAACCAAGTTATATGAGATACATCCCCGGTGTACAACTAGAGCTTCAAATGTCGGAGAAAAGAGGAAAAGCGTAACAAGGACCGATAGCTTGTTTGGGTCTTGGTACTGGGAGGGGAGTATTACTGGGAGGACATTTCTCATTGTGTACTACTTTTGCGCAATCGTACAATGCAGCTAGTGTCAAGACAGCAAATTAGAAATAACCATTGCTGAGAGTTGCTTACGAAGGTCACCACCATATGTCGGTCAAAGCTCGCCATACGGGTTATCCATTGCCATGGGCTATGAACTGCGCTATTAACTTAGGGCTCACCGGAAACCAACTGACAGTTTCAAATCTGTTCATGTCAAGATAATCTTATCTCTCCCCGGATTCTAGTCTAGACTTCCAGTAATTTACTAGTTTTGATTGGCCAAATCGTATTTTTGTAGTAAGCTAGGGTCTGCAAGTCACAGGACAGCTGCGACAGCGATGAGGAGACTAGAACTGCCAACTCTTGCTCTGCCTTACAGGTATACTAGATAACAACAAATTAATTACTGACAGTGCTTCTCCATCCCGATTCAATAGACTCCGTACACAAATTCGACATTTTTGAAAATCCTGGTACAGTACCGATTACGCCATATCCGTCAGATATAACGTTAACCAGTGCGACCAGAACAACCCAACAGGATTCCATACAGAAACGATTCATGTATTTTTTTTCAATAGTGTATGTCTCGAACAGCCTATTAAGGACCCCGAAGTTCAACCGCAAATAACATCTGATCGCCCCTCCATATCACCGGAAGAGCTTACTCGTTGCTTAGAAATTGGTCCTCGCCATTGAATCCCTGGATGATGATATCGAAGCCATCCGTCTAATACGGTTGATTTATCCCAGGCACACCCGAATGGTCGCAGATAAGCAATGCAGACATTCCCGCATCAATAAGAAACAAAGGGACACGGTGATCTCGTCCAACGCTTGAATGCATCGTGCGTGCCATGTAGAAAGCGCAATGAGGGGGTGCATATGATGTGATCGATTCTTGGATATCAGCCTGAATGCAAAATAACAAGCAGAGGATACTTAATAATGCTGGATCCGACGCCATAAACAGCCAGTGATATCGGATTATCGGGATATCCAAGTGTATCGCATCGCAACATGGCTCCTGTTCCCATCGATTCTCGCATTGTCGATGTCGCTGAGCCCCGGAAGGACACTCTTGCCCTTCCGTCGGCCGCTCGTAAACGGCTGGAAAAAGACGGCATCGATCTCTCTGCCGGATACCCATATCGTCCTTCTCGTCCGCTCTTTATTGACGATGTGTACAATGTCCGCAACTACGACCGTCCGCACGTCGACCCCGCGACTCGCGCCGACCCAGAGAAGAAAGCCTTGCTCTCGGCCGCCAAGCAGGTTATTCATCTCACCAGGCACATTGGAACGGAGATAGTGGGTCTGCAGCTGAAGGACCTCACCAACCAGCAGAGGGACGAGCTGGGTTTGTTGATTGCAGAGCGGAGTGTGGTTTTCTTCCGTGACCAGAATATCTCTCCCCAGCAGCAGAAGGAGCTGGGAGAGCACTTTGGTGAGATCGAGGTTCATGTATGTTACCCACTTGATGCGGTATGAGCATTGCTAACCCTGTCCAGCCCCAAGTCCCTCAAGTCCCTGGCGTAACCGGCGTTACCGTCATCTGGCCCGCCCTCCAAGCGACCGAAAACCCTGCCAACTTCCGTCGACCGGGAGGCTCCTCACGCTGGCATACAGACCTGGTCCATGAGCGACAGCCCGCAGGCGTAACGCACCTTCACAACGACACGGTTCCCACAACCGGCGGCGACACTCTCTGGGCCAGTGGATACGCAGCATACGAAAAGCTATCTCCTGCTTTCCGCAAGATCATCGATGGAAGGACGGCTATCTACCGATCTGCGCATCCCTATCTAGACCGCAAGAACCCAGAGGCAGGACCAAAATACGTAGAGCGTGAGCATCCCCTCGTGCGTGTGCATCCGGCAACTGGTTGGAAGGCATTGTGGGTGAACCGCGCTATGACGGACCGGATTGTTGGTCTTGATAAGGCGGAGAGTGATGTTATTTTGGGATACCTGTTTGATGTGTATGAGAAGAATGTTGATATCCAGGTTCGCTTCAAATGGTCGCCTCGGACGAGCGCCTTGTGGGATAACAGGTGAGCTTTGCTTCTGCATGATCCATAAAAGACGTGTACTGACAACCCCACAGAATCACTATCCACAACGCCAGTTGGGACTATGAGAACTCAGAGCCTCGTCATGGCACCAGAGTGACCTCGCTCGCGGAGAAGCCATTTTTCGATCCGAATGCTCCGACAAGGAGAGAAAAACTAGGCTTATTGGGAAAGGACGAAATTGAAGAGTTAGCAAAGAACTAACAAGAGTATGATTGTTCCGTCTTAGGTCTTGTCAATATGATACATGTGAACCAGTGATTCCAATAAAATGACATCTGAGAAGTATTCCAACATTCGTATCCCTGATAGAACTAGCATCGGCCCATAGATTACATAAAAAAATCCGACATCCTCACTGCAAGGGTCGGATGCCATTCTTGCATATCCCCGTACGAACACGGCTCCATCTCACTCTCTGACACAGACGGGTTTGAAAAGTGATCGATCGTAGATCCCTATTAAGTCAGACTGCCAGCATACACCGCATCCCAGGGAACAAGGTCAACATACTATAGAAATTCCACTCTGAGGCTTCCTTTCATCCCTAACAAGATCATGAATCCCACCAACAACCTCCAAATTCTCTGCCGCAACCGCACACTGAATCAAAATATCTTTAATAGCCCACACATCCACGCCAGGACCATACTTAACCAACGCCCCCAAAACCCTCATATCACTAACACAACACGCCAGCACAAGCGCACTCCGAAAGAACCCATCATCTTCAACAAGCTCCTCCTTCACCCCCATTTCCAAAAGAGCTCGCACAACCGTCGCGCGGTCCATGCGGATGGCTTTCAAAAGCTCATACCATCCTGCCTCCTTAATATTTATGTCATGGAGAAGGAGCTTGACGATTTCAACGCGGTGGAGGAAGTCTGCGAGTCCGAGGGCGGATGTGCCGCTGTCGTTTTCAGCATTGCGGTGGGCGCCGATGGAGAGGAGGTGTTTGACGCGGGACTCATCGCCTAGCATGCAGGCTATGTGAAGATTGGCTGTGAGATCTTGGTAGGTGAGATTGGTATGGATGTTCATGGCGAGAATGTCGTCGTTGAGCTTGGTTTTCTTTGGAATGGCCACTGCCTTAGGAGTGTGGGTTAGTCGGTGCTTGGTAGATTTGATAGGAAATACCCACAAGAACAACCAGGGTTTTTTTGGGACTATCTCGGAACTAGATGTAAAGAGAACGTATGGAATCCAGTTGTACTTTTATGTCAGTCAAAACAATTGGACCCTTTTAACCCGTCAAACTCGAAAGCTGAGATATTGAGGATTATGAGTAGAAAAAACTTTTTATTAAAATTCATGTTGTTAATCTAACTATTTATATCAGGGGGCAAAAGATATGGAGTGAATGGAGATTTAATGGTTTGTTTACTTTTGAGGGTTGTGTTCCCGACGAGCCCTGATGAGATGACATATAGGATAAATGACTGCGAACCAGTACAAAGAAAAGAAAAAAAAAAAAAAAAAGAGAGACAAAGAAAAGGAATGGTAATTAAAGAATTTAGGCTGTAAATGTTATATAGAAATTGAACAAAAAAAAAAAAAAACAATTCAATCCCATGCAAGCAATATCACGTGACTCCATGCAGCGAAAGCCGCGACACGGCGTTTCCAACTTCCCTTCAGCAACCGCGACAATACCAAGACGATAGACATGTTCGGTCCTGCGAATTTGCCTTGAACTTATTGCTATTCATGCGATTCGACGTAACGCATGACTGATACTGCCACAACCGTGGAATGAGCCTCTTTGCTACTTCTCATCGACTTGGAGACGACAGACCAGCGACTTGACCTGAGGCATTTGGCAAGGATACAGGACACACCAAAGGAGAAACGAAAGGAGAATTTCCTATTCGCGGAATATTACTCTTAGCCCCTGCCGATAATAAATGACCAAACGCGCTTTTATCCCTCCTCTCAACCAACCCCCTCTCGCCCCCTCACTCACTCGCCGCAAGCCGACGGACGCTCCCCCCACGGTACTTTCCTCGCCTGACATCCTCGTCCACGGCCATATTCCGTGGCCTGAACAGACATATTGCTTCTCACAGTGTACTTTCGACGAGCTGTTCTGCCAACCTCGAAGCTGGAACTTCGGTGGCCCCATTCGAACAGGCTGATATCTTTTTCCCGGCGGAGGAGCGAAAAGAAAGAAAAGGAAACAGACAGGAGAAAGAGTGTTCTTCCAGAGCCGAGCTCTCAGTATTTGCAGAACCTACAGAAGTTGCAGGATATACAAAAGCTGCAGGATTTGCATTTGCAGAATTTACAAAACCCACGTAACGAAACGACCATTCCGTCCATATTACAGAAGATTGTGACTATCATTATGGGCACATCAACAACCACGCCGTCCCCCAGCCCGGCACCTGCGATAAAACCTTCGCCTGCTGCGTCGACCGCCGGGTCAAAGCGAAAGCGAAACAACCCGGGAAAATACTACGCAGTGAAAAAGGGCTATCAACCGGGTGTATATTTTGAATGGAATGATTGCTTGACACAAGTGACGGGGTACAAAGGCGCAATCTGTAAGTTGTTCATGATATGTATTTTCCGGAGATAGTCACTGACAAAGGCCTGCGACTCTAGTCCAGGCATTCTCGACAATTGAAGAGGCAAACTCATTCCTGAGAGGCACGAAAGCGCCGCTTGGCGGTGTTACACACTCGGAATCGGTACATAACAGATTTTACGGGATTCAGCGCGGGCGTGTGCCGGGTGTCTACACCGACTGGGCTCAGGCACAGGAGCAAATTCGAGGCTTTCAACGACCAAGCTATAAGAAATTTTCGACGCGCGCAGAGGCAGAAGAATTCGTGAAGATGGGCCAGCAGTCTGGGGCGTCATTCGCATCCGACAGCACTAAGACACAGAAGCTTTCTGGAGCCCCTGGGATGATGGATGAAATACCAAAGGATGAGCATGGCGTTCCGTACGAGGCAGCAGATGGTCCGTTGGGCCTGGACGCGGAGGATGGATTCGATCCCAATGTGCTTCTGGATCCGAAAACAGGCAAAGCGGTCTACAAGCTTCCGGAACAGAAGACTGTCACAAAAGTTCAGGCAAAGGGACCACCGGGGATGCTCCGAATTTATACTGATGGCAGTTCGCTAGCAAATGGTCAAGCGGTTGCATCTGCAGGTGTGGGAGTCTATTTTGGACCTGGGGACAGCAGGTTTGTTTCTGCCTCACTAATTCCGCTTTTCCAGTTGTGTCTATTCACTGACACCGATTATCACTAGTAGAAATGTCTCAGAGCCTTTGAAGGGTAACCGACAGACCAATCAACGCGCTGAATTGACAGCGATCCTCCGGGCCTTGGACATCGCCCCGCGACACCGCGATGTCACTATCTTCACAGACAGCCAGTATTCAATCAAATGTGTGACTGAGTGGTTCCGGAGTTGGCGGCGGAATAACTGGATAACGTCGAGCAACAAACCAGTTGAGAACAAGGACCTCGTTGAATCGATTCTGGAAAAAATCGAGGAACGGGATAAGCTCAAAGTCAAGACATTCTTCGAGTGGCTTAAAGGACACAACAATGATCCAGGAAATGAAGCTGCTGATCGTCTTGCTGTCAGTGGAGCTCAGAAAGGCGTTGCAGATAAACAGGCGGCCATGGAAGCCGTACGGAATATTCCGGACGATGCGTTTGACGATGATACTGAATAATTTTTCTTTTGCATTTGGTTGCGAGAGTATTCAGAAGCACTTTTTTTTTTTTTTTTTTTGCTACTCTGCATGCATTTGTACGGGAATATGATACCCTTGAGAGGGCAGTTGCTGGCAACATACCGACTTTGCACATGAAGATATTACAGGTGATTATAGGTTGTCCATAGAGGACAATTGCCGGAGGTAGTGTAGATACAAGTAATAATACTCGACAGCACAAGTATTGAGCATTCCCTGCTGCCATAGAATGCCCATAGACCATGCCTGCTCTATATATCAAGTAGTAGTAGTTGCTATTTAACGTCGGAGGTGGACTCTATGTATCAAGTTGACATTCACTCGTCATATATTGAAAACCAGTCACGTGCCATTCAGCGCCGCCACAGCCGATCCGCTGCTTTCTTCAGCTCTCGTATTTTGTCTCCGGTTCTCCTCCATAATCACACTCGTCGGTTTCGAAAGGCCATTGACTATAAAGAGCTTGATTCCTTCTGCTATTGGATCCAGAAGTAGTTTCTTAGTTCCGGCTTACTTTGTTTGCGGCGTGGTACCAACTGAGTGCCTCTTGTTAGTGAAATGGGTTCCGTCGGAGGTTCAGGTGAAACCGGAGGAGTCGATCATCCGACCGCACGAGGCCTATATGTAGAAGACCCAATTGAAACGAACGATTGATATACTCTATCTAACGTAGCCTAGAGTACACGAGTGCTTGAGTGCTTGATGAGTGCTTGTCTATATATGTGGCGAACGCTGGCCATATATCGGAGGTTCGCTAGTCGGACTAATGTTATCCCTTTGATCCGACCTATCATACCTCACCAGTTAGTACCCATCGGGTCACGTGCCTGACCGCCCTCGCTTTCTGCCAGGTAGTCATATAGCTAGCCAAGCCGATAGACCATCGGTCCAATCAACTACTCTGGCACACTAAAACCTCTCGACAATCACGTGCTGAATAGATCCTTCCATATGATCGGGCATCTTTGCATTCTGAACTTCGATATTGATACTATGATCCAATAACACGTGCTGGTGGATTACTGTCTAGATTGATTTATCAGGAGCCCTGATATTAAGGAGTGCCTGTTGGTTAATATACGGCCCCGGTTGTCTTGATAGCTAGGAGAAAGCTATACCATCTGGTTTGAGGCATCACAGACGAGCGAAATGCCTGAACTTTCTTTAACCAACTTTAATATCGTCTGCGCGACGTTGGGGGGATTCATCTCCGTCTTTGGGCTGGTGTCGTACTTGTTCAAGGAGAGATTCTACCTGTCTGAAGCTTGTCCGTAACTTTGGCCCCGTTTAATCTGGAAGAAAGCTTAGATGTCTTGGCTAACAATGCGTAGTGATTTCATTGCTGGCCGGTATCATATTCTCTCCGCATGCAGCCAATTTCATTAGGCCCAGAGACTATGCGCTTGGCTCGGACCAGAATCTAGAGGAAATCACCCTCTACTTTACTAGACTCGTTCTTGGCGTGCAGCTGCTCTTGGCCGGTGTCCAGCTTCCGAAGCGTTACCTTCAGGTAGAATGGCAAAGTCTGTCCTTGCTACTTGGGCCTGGCATGGTGGCCATGTGGATGTGTAGTAGCTTGATCATTTGGGCTATGGTTCCAAATTTCAAATTCCTCCATGCTCTTATAGTCGGTGCCTGTGTCACTCCTACGGACCCTGTCCTGTCAAACTCGATTGTCAAGGGTAAATTCGCCGACAAGAATGTTCCTCCGCCACTGCAGAGGATCATAGTTGCCGAGTCTGGTGCTAATGATGGGCTTGGATATCCTTTCCTCTTTTTCGGCTTGTACCTTCTCAAGTATATTGGTATGGAAGGGGAGGGATATAGTGGCGGGACTGGAAAAGCTATGGGCCTGTGGTTCTATGAGACCTGGGCCTACACGGTTATTCTAAGCGTTGCCTACGGTATCGTGGTTGGCTGGGTTTCCAGGAAATTGCTTCATTGGGCGGAAGAAAGACATTATGTCGACCGCGAAAGCTTCCTTGTTTTTGCCATCTCCCTTGCGGTAAGTGATCAATAATGCTGAGATGATATTTTCTTTGCTAACACAGATCACAGCTTTTCATCATGGGAACATGTGGCCTGATTGGAACAGATGATCTCCTAGCTTGCTTTGTGGCCGGGAATGTCTTTACTCAAGAGTAAGTCTTCATCACTACTTGTGCAACAAACCAACTGACTTTCTAGTGACTGGTTCCGTCTCGCGACGTTGGACGACTCGCTACAACCGACTATCGATATGCTACTGAACTTGGCAATTTTCATGTGGTTCGGTGTTGTCTGCCCATGGTCATTGTTTGCAAATAACAACATCATTCCCATTTACCGTCTCATCTTCCTGGGACTCTTGGTTCTGCTGGTTCGCCGGGTGCCAATAATTTTTGCGATGCACAGGTCAATTCAACAGATAGAAAACAAATTCCAAGCGGCCTTTGTCGGTTTCTTCGGGCCCATCGGCGTCGGAGCAGTCTTTTACCTATCCGTCTGTCGAGAGTTCTTGCTTAAGATCACGGTTGAGGGTAAGGTTAGGGAGGACGCACGACAGGTTGCAGAAGCCGTTGAGGTGGTTGTTTGGTTCTTGGTTATTTGCAGTATCGTATGTTAGAACCATTTACTGTTTGCTGCTATGAACTAACAGAATACAGGTTGTCCACGGTCTTTCGATTCCCCTGGTAAAGGCAGGATATCATATTCCCCGTACGATTTCCAGCGCACTCAGCAGTGCCACTACGCACGACCCGGAGCCGATTCCTATCGTAAATATCCGCCATACCCATAGCACGGCAACACCGATTGTGGATCCTGGAAGTCGAGGAAGACGGCGCGATAATCCACGAGAAACGCCTCGATCCACTATTTTCCAGATTGGGGGTTCAGTGATTAGGCCAAAGTCCCCGACAAGTCACCAGCAGCCGGGGACGGGAATTTTTGAGGAGCCAGAGAGACGGGTGAATTTGGTTACTCATGAAGCAGAGCATCATGCTACTGCGATTACGCCGGTTCCTAACATTCGCAGTGAATGACAGTGGTAGACCGGCTGACAGCCAATTATTTCATATGCCGCTATCAATACAAAATCGAGAAGTACATAGGTCCAGTCTATCGCTGGATATTTTCCTTGAATATACATGTTCGCATACAATACCTGTGATCCAATTTCATACATAAATGGATACTCTTTGTTTATGGTTCTAATTCTCTGGATGCCAGCTACAGACTTCGTACTCGTTGGTCTACATGTGGAGTGCAAAGAAACGGAGTGACGAAGATTCGATCCGGCGTTAAATAGCATTCGGCTACTGTTGGCGTCAAAGAACTAGAGTCTGGGTCAGCGCATTGATGCATGAGCTTATTACGGAGTACCACCAGTACATACTTCGATCACACCCATGGCTCGGCTATTAAAGCGGCCGTCCCAATCCTGATATGCACCAGCCGAGCCCTAATCCTTTGAACTCGAAACAAAAAAGATCAACGTACAAGAATATGAGACTGCTAGCGTTCACGGACCCATCGGGTAATATTACGTGTCCCTCATACCTGTTATATTGAAAAAGCCCGCCGACATTAACAAGAAAGGGTCTTTTCTCCCCCTCTCAACAAAATGGTTCAATTAGTATTAGCAGCAATATAACCAAAATGATCATACCACAGCCCTCGGAAGAAACCCCAATCACTATTGTCGGGGTCGGCCCCGTCGGCATATTCCTCACGTACCAACTCTCCCGCCTGAACGTCCCATGTCTCCTCGCAGAACAAAGCCTGAGGACCACTAAATGGCCGAAAATGAACCTGACCAACGCCCGTGTTATGGAGATGTTGCGGGTTCTTGGTATTGCGGATGAGTGCCGGGATATTGAGGGGAGTGTCGGGGAAGATGTGTATTTTGACTCTTTTTTGAAACGAAGGCGATAGAGGATCGGAAGTCATTAGGCTCTTAGGTTGGCTTTCCTCTATTTAATGGGTTTAAAACAAGAAAGAAACTAATGTGATGTAGAGACGACCAACCGTCAAGGAACAGCGGAGATGTATCCAACAGATAAATGATGGCAGCCAGCCTGCAGAACCGAGTCATAGATGCAGATTATTGCCGAAGCCTGGATGAAGGAGCTTATCCTGATCAAAACTCAAGTACAGAGTATATTTGGTTGGTAGTATCTGTCTCATGCTGAGGAGGGAGATAATGTCGCTACGACTTTCGTCGATAAAGATGGACAGCCACACACCGTGCGGAGTAGATACCTCATCGGTTGTGATGGAGGAAGCAGCAGGTTATCAAAGGCAGCTGGGATTAAGATGATTGGCGGGCAGATGTAAGCCGATTTCATCATAATGATTCAAGTGAGAATGTACTAATCAGTTGACAGGCGAGATCGGATCTATCTTGTCCACTTCCGCTCTCATGAACTCGCAGAGAAGCTCGCTTTTGGCCGCTCTTGGCCCATCTTTCCCATCCATTCCGGCTTTATCATTGACCAAGACGACAAGGATACCTTTACTGCACATTACCCAGTGAGCAAACTCCCGTCCGGCACCAGAATTGACCCCCACCAAGTAGTCTACCGCACTTTGGACGGCGAGGTCAAAATCGATGAGTTACTCGTGCACAGCGAATGGACACCGTACTTCAGTATCGCGGAGAAGTATTACATAGATAGTTTGAAGGTCCTTCTTGTTGGCGATGCAGCGCACAGATCACCACCGCCTGGTGGGTACGCAATGAACGAACACAGATGTTCTGGACGCTTTTGATCTTAGAGGCTTGCAGCATTTCATAAGGAGTATGGGGGTGAGTTCCTTCTGCGAGCGTATAACCTCCAGTGGTGTCCGATGATGATTCGTGCTTTGGAATGATCTATGCGCCATTTACTCGAGCATGTTCAGCTCGGGGAGATATATGCAAAGAATGCAGACGTGCTCGAGACCGTACACCAGCGGGCGAGGAAATTCGCGCCCAGATAAAGCAGTTTATCGATAACTCCGGACCTGACACGATAGATCTGGGCATTGAACTTGATCTGCGGTACTATGAGCACTCTCCCCTGATATACCATGATGGCTCAGGTAAACATCAATGGGACGTGCAACGGTATATCTCCAGCACTAGGCCCGGTTGTCGAGCACCGCATGTTTTCCTAAAAGATGGGGAGACTAGTACATACGATCTCTTCGGGAAAGGTCCGGAATGGACGCTCATCAATTTCATTAACGGTAACAATCCTGACCAAGAAGAAACACGCAAGCGGGGCTTTTACGACTGTCTCCAAGGACATGAAATTCCCTCTGAAACGGGTCTTCGCCCGTAATGAGGAGCATGTTTATCGCACCTATGAAGAGAGAGATATTGTGCTCGTTCGTCCAGATACGCCTGTTGCGTGGCGGGGACAGAGTCAGACGACCCCGGACCATAGCCAAGTTGAGGAGATTTCTACGCGTGGTGTCGGGACAGATGGAGTCCCCGGGGTTTGTTTCTGGGCCTGGGAATGTTGATGAGAACTTCAGAGGGCTTGTTGCTGGATTCACGGGTATGAATAGTGGGAACAGTGCATCGAATACCACGATTATTGAGGAGTGGGCAGTACTGAATAGAATAGAATAAATACCACGGGCAATCGAGTTCTCTTCAACTTTTTTTTGACCTCTCTGCTAAACGCACTTTTAAACTTCATAAACTCCATCCATCATCATCCGTCCCTTTCTGTAATCCACATCATAATCAGACCATCCTCCCTCGACCGTCTAGATATCATCCCACATCATCCCACCTGATACACACATTCCTCATTAGAAAGTAAGAGAAAAGAACCAGAAGAAAACAGACATCGCTCCCTCCACCAAGATCCGACAAGGTCGACCCATAACCATATGTAAAGATCCTCCGTGCTTCCTTTCCAGGCAAACCCTCATTCCGCCGATTGCCGACGACATCCCCTGTCTCTGATAGTATGTCTATGTCGATAAAAGAAAACATTCATGCAGTCGTGAGTATCCTATCCGCGCCGCACATCAAAGTAAAAAAAGCAAAACCCCAACTGCTGGATGGCAAAACCAAAAGGCTATGCGAAGGGAAAATGGGGTATATACCAAACCGAAGTTCCTCCGCGTACAACTCAGAAAATATCAACAACATGAACGAAAAAGAAACAAGCAACAAGAACACATGGAGAAAATAGAAAGGACGAAAGGGGAAGAGCAACGAAGTATTATCACGAACGAAAAGGGGGAAAGATGCAGGTAACTAGAACAAGAATAAAAGGTATAAGATGCCAATAAATCAATCGAAAGCAAGAGAACAATAGATTTGGTAATTGATTGCAAAGGAGACCCTCGAATCTCCGTAGAAACAGAGCCCGGGAGAGCTAGAAGCCGTGTCCGTCCAGCAGGCCATCAAGTTCTCCATCGACACCCTGCCTCCATTATGCACCGATGGCATGTATCAAACATTCATAATCACGTAGATTGGTCATTCGCCATGGCGAATATCACCCCATATGTACAACCAGCATGGGCCAAGTAGCATTAACGCCACGAGAGCCAGCCGGTATGCGACATCAAGTTTATGCAATTGTTTTAAGAAACAGTTAAAAGGGAAAAACAACAAAGTAATCTGGTCTATCATGAGATCAAGATTACTGAGTTTGATGAGATACAGAAGGGTCCACCATACATATGGGCCGGATGGATTCAAAGTGACGCCGATGAGATTCGTTTCACGGTTCTTTTGTCGTTTCTTGTTGACATAGAGGCCATCTGCGCTTCGAAAACTACGAGGCTCATGCAATTTGCTCATAGAACAACAGGTAGGCGACCTTGTTATCCCGCAATTCAGTTCTTGGAGTCCAAGCCGATGGAGCTGGACTAGCGGATGTAGACTTCTTGCTAGAATGACCGCTTCCACTTGTCCCATTGACTTGACTCCAGCCTCTTTCGTCGATATGTTCAGCATCAATCTGGTCAATGTGGTCGTAAATGTTGACATTCGGATCCTTGTCACGCTTGTGCTGCTCTAGTGCAGCAGCAAGTGCCTTCGGGTCTTCCTCCGAGCCAGCTTCGGCAACATCCTCGCTTCTGACGCGGCGGATAACAGTGTCATCAAGACGAATCCATTGCCGACCATCCTGACGTCGGGCATCCACCGTGTAATGACCGCCACTGGCATTCTTTCCATGGTGGTAGATAACGCCAGTAAGTCGATATTTGGGAAGACCACCGTGGGCCATCAGAACGTTACGCCTGTGAGGCGGAAAAACCTCGCGAGGGATTTCGAGGTCGAGCGGGTAGCCGATCTTCTTCCAGATTTTCTGCGTACCCTGGGTCACGCTGTCGTACTGGAAGCGCTTCAAGTGAAGAATGAGGACAGGCGGTAGACTCTCGATGAAAATCTGTTTGGTCGCTGTGACATTAGGACCGCGCGACGAGTTAAAATCACCTTGGATATTTTCTGACTTGGTCAAACCCTTGAGGGCATCAACAATGTTTTGGACATCAGAAGACCCGATGTCGAGCTGGAGTGACTGGTAAGGTTCCAAAGTCACAGAAGTCTTATTTCCGGGAACTTTGAACTCTGATCTAATCTTTCCACCGAAAATCCGAGTGATTGGTGTATCCTGGCCGATATCTCCAGTAGACCGTGTGACCGCAGATTTCTGCTTGTGGCCAACTTCCAGCCATCCATCAGCCTGACCGTCTGCAGAGGCTTCAGTATTATAAGATTCCGCTTTGGCCGTCGAGGTATGCTGCCCCGCACGAGCACACTCTTCATGCATCTCCTCCAGAAGGAAGCCCAAAAACTCTTGCGCATCTTGCTGATGACCTCGCCGCATGTCTCGGAAGCGTGGTAATTGCCTAATCACTTCGTAAACAAACTCTGGAATGAATGAATCACCGTACTCTTCCAGTTCATTTGGCTTCAGACGTAGCCTTAGTTGTTCTTCTGATTGAGCAGAATCAATGATACGGAATTCTTTCAGGAACATGATCATGGCATCAACCATCGGGAAGTCACTGTGGATGCTGTGGGTCGCCTGACGACCGCAGTGGTCTAGGAAGCGGTAGAATGGCACGCATGAAGCAAGGGTCTGAAGAACAGAGTTCATGTAGCACATATTTCCTGTGTTCACGAGTCCTCTGGGCTCCAGGAACGCAACCTTGTCACCATACTGCGTAACATCTTCACCCAAAGTCGCCAAAACATCAGCAAGAGACTTCCTCTTGTGCGCCATCAGACCGTTGGCTTCCGTGGACATGCTCGGTAGAGCGCCTGCGGCCTTTGCGGCTGACTTCTCCCGAACTAGGTCCGCCCATGACTTGGGTGCTGCGCGAGGAGGCGATGATGGTTTTGTAGGCTCCTCTGATGTGGCCGCGACATTCTGGGTTTGGGAGGGCTCGGCGGCGTCAGACTTTGGTGTTTCGGATGCACGAATAGAGTCATCCTTTGCCGGTTGACGGGGAGTACCTGCGGCAGGTGGAACAACGGGGACGACAGGAACAACAGGAACAGCTGGCTTCGATGGTTTCGACTGGTGTTGAGGGCGAGCGGGTTGTGCCTGAGGAGCGGAAGAAGGTGTCGTTGGTTGGGTTGAGTTGGCATCCGACGGACCAGCAGACATCGGAGTCTGTGGCTCAGAAAGTTCTTGAGCGGCCGTCTCTACACGCTTAGGCGCATCCCGCTTCTCCACTACCTGGCCTGGTTTGGCAGGAAGTTCAACCGCAGCAGACTGCAACGTGCGAGCTCTTGCCCGGCGTTTGCGCGGGGCTCGGGGCGGAAACGGCTTCTCAGGCACAGAAAACCAGGGAACCTGAATTTGTTGTCAGAAAAACCCGCATGTCAAAAGAAGGAGTCTGAAGCACTTACCGGCGCGCGAAACGGGCCTGGAAGAGGAGGAAAGTATGGAATACCTTTGATTCCTCCTTGAGTGGTGGGTGGCGAGGACGCTGGCGGAGCCGGAGAGGGGTTGGCAGGTGCACTGACGACAGGAGGGGGCTCTTGTATTTCCATCGGGGGAGGTACAGGAGACATGGTGGGTGGCAGAGGAGTTGAGGTTCTCGGTTGTAGGTGAAGCGATGGGGGCGGAATGTGGGCCGGCGCTATAATAGGCTGGGTCGGAGGATACGAAGACACGATCATAGGAGCGGCGGCGTACGGAGGTTGATATGGTCGGGGAGGCATTTGCATTTGAGGATAGGCCGGATACCACTGAGGATATTGGTGAGGTGAATACGGAGGCGGGTGGCCATTCATATGGAGGTGGTAACCCATATAGGCTGGCGGAGACCGCATGTTGGAAGGGCCAGTAGCGTAAGGAAGGTCTTGCTGCCGCCGAGGAGGCATGGGCGGCTGCCCATGGGGCATTGCGGGCAGATGATGGTTCATGTTCATCGTCTTCCAGGCACGTCAGGATAGTCGCCTTGGATATTTCAGCCACGCGTTGCCTCTATGGGAGCCATGCGAACCACTTTAAGCGTCGGGGATCAGGGACGAGGAGCGGTGTCCGTCTACGCAGCCATTCTAACCCCGGAGGTCAGAGAAACACGAGCTGCTGACGGTAATGTGAACCTGCGAGCTGAAAGAAAATAGTTAGACCTCATTCCATTCTCTTGAACAGCTTGTATTACGCGAAACATCGGAGCGGAGGGTGGTCTTATGCAGTTACCAACCTGGTCACAAGAAAAGTTAATGATAACAGTTATTTTTTCTTCTTCGTTTCCGACGAAAAGAGCTGAGAAATAAGACAATCTGATCCTTCTAATACCCAACCAACACAAACACCCTGACGAGGAGGCAAGACGGCGACAAAGAGAGAGGCAGCGAGCACAAAAGCAATGAATCAATGGATGGGAGGAGATGATGTTTTTTGGGCGGGCACGTGCCTGAGGCTCCAAGGGCGCCAAGACCATGACATAGATGTATTGGTTTACCATACCGTACAGCAATATTACTGTCTCGCCCCTCGTCGCCGCCTCTTTTTCGCCGGCAGACAGTCCAGTACAGGATTCTTGTCCTCGCTCTTCTTATCACCCTTCGGGGTTCAAAGGGAACAAAACACATTTTCACTGTTTTACTGTGCCTCTGGATGAGGTTTAATTACTGTCTTTTATTCGATTAAGCTGGTGGGACCTGGGGTTGTCCAAGCAGAGCGGGTGGCCCTGATTCCGAGTCACACTCACTGCCTACTTTTCGCCTCTCAATAACATTGGAGGAGGCTAGCAATTGTCTATCAATTCTCGGACTAAGGAGATGTCGTCGAATCCCGGTCAAGCTTCGTCTTCCAAGCCGCTGAATATCCCGAATCAGTCAACCCCTGCGACATACCATCACCCCTCGTCTTCGGTTGACGCCGGGTATCAGCGACGGCAAGGAGGTTCTGGCAGTTTTGGAGCAGGATTGTCGTCGAGAAATTCAAACACTGCAAGGAATAATCAATCTCGGAAGAATCAGCATAGACGCCAACGTCCTCGGTTGTTGGATGACGATGAGTATAGTGAGGCTGTAGGTGTCCCCGCATACGCTAAGCATTGTTGGGGAAAGCCGGATCTAACTAGCCATGAATGCATAGGCCGTCATGAAGTCAACATCGAGCCGTAAGGGGCAAACCTCCATTACCCATTTGATGAACTTTTCCCTTCCTCCTCGCCCTCAGTATCAACCTCCCCCACGTACTCGTCGCCAATATCGGACCTGGGGTCTGGGCTCCGGATATCATGCGGTAGACAAAGCGCACTATGTTCATGCAAATTATCGATTCATTGTGGCACCGAATCGAATTTACAATGCGCAAGCGGCCAATGCAGACGTTCACTTGGACTGGGACTCGGTTCTTCAGGTCCTAGTATGGTCTCAAACCCAATCCGCTAGCTGTCCGATCTGCTTATCGAATCCGGTAGCACCGCGAATGGCTCGATGCGGTCATATTTTTTGTCTTCCATGTTTGATTCGTTACATGTATGCGGCTGATGAAGAGAACCCGGTTTCCGAGAAGAAGGCTCGCTGGAAGAAGTGTCCTATCTGTTACGATTCGGTTTACGTATCTGAGACTCGCCCTGTCCGATGGTTTAGTGGCCAGGAAGGGGATCTTCCAATTGAGGGTGGCGACGTCATATTGAGGCTTATGAAAAGAGAGACCGGTAATACTCTAGCACTACCACGCGATGGCGCTGAAGGCCTGGGCCCGGAGGAGGACATCCCTTGGTTTCATGCCGCGGAGGTTATAGACTATGCTCGGATGATGAAGGGAGGCGAAAACTACATGGCTTCACAGCATGATGCGGAGATTGAGGATCTCTGTAGACAGGAGGCTGAAGATGAACTTTTGTTCGGAGATGAGACGACCTGGACTCAAAAAGCGATCTCCACAATCACTGACTCTAAAGAGAAACTTCGAGGCATAGGGAACCCGCCGAACATTTCGCGAGAACTAGTGACAAAGAGACCTGCTCGAGAGCCAATTACGGCTGGTCCACCGCCTGACGAAGTTGCCGTGATGTATGCGGCCCAGCATGCTGCGAAGTCTGGTCAAAGCTTTTCAGCAGACTCCATCGGCTCATCGGATACACAAGCTAAAACCAATGGTGTAGAGAATTTGGTAGGAGCGATGGATAATGTTGTTCTGGAATCAGCGTCGGCCAAATCGAAACAGAAGATGCCAGAAAAGCAGACAACACAATCCTCATTCGACCATCCGTTTTATTTCTACCAGGCGCTGCCTCATTTCTACCTGTCTCCCCTTGATATTCGCATTCTCAAAGCTGCCTTCGGTGACTATTCGTTGTTCCCTGCGACTATTTTACCTCGAGTGGAGCATATTTCGACCGGGCATGTCGTTGATGATGAATTACGGAAACGAGTTAAATACCTTGGCCATCTTCCACACGGGTGTGAAGTGAACTTCTTGGAATGTGACTGGAGGGACGTGGTAGTGCCTGAGGTCCTGAAACTCTTTCGTCCAGAGACGGAAAGGAGACGAAAACGAAACAAAGACAAAGAGGCTCGAGAAGAAAAGGACCGGATCCGTGCTGAGAGAGAGGAGGACGAAAAGCGCTGGTCCGCTGTTCGCCGTAAGAGGCCGAGTTTTGGCACTACCAGCGATCGCCCTTTCTCAGATCGTGATTTCCAACCTTTGGCCAGCGGTGTCGATCATCCTCCGGTGTTTGACATGGGCACAGTCTCTGCTTCCCCTCCTCAAGCATCATCTGGGTTTGAAGCGTTGGCGTCGCCCGCCACCAGCCCTCCGGGTGCTCGCACGGTCTGGGGAACAACAGCTATTCCATCATCGGAGCCACAGGACTCACAGGCTGGAGCTTCTCAAGATGGATGGTTTCATGGCTGGGAAGACGAACTGCTAGCTCAACAGGAAAGTGATTTGATTGCGCAGACCGCAGCTGCAGCGGAGGGCAACAATGCTTCATCATCTGGTGGTGGCAAGAAAAAGAAAAACAAGAAGATTACGCTTATGTCGACCAATGTTCGGCGAGGAGCATGACGGAGGTCTTTCCATTATCTTTCTATAGTTGATTCATTCTGGAGAATATTTGGAGCATTTGGTCGGATCTGGTTTTGTTTACGAAGAGAAGGAGCAGCATGGATTTCGGAGTCCGGGTTTCGCAAATACTGTATCTCATATACATATTTTAACTGTTTACATTGACCTTGGGTATTGACTAGAGGGAGAGAGAGATTTGAATTCATTATTATCGTCCTCTGATCTCTTTCGGAAGATTCATCGGCAGTGATGTACTGAGTACATGCATAACCACAGCATACAACTACGTTAATGCAGCCAGTTGTCACTGCCCAATGTAAGGCATTAATTAAAAAATTCAATTGTACACTTGTCCTTTATATAAAAAGCAATATCTACTCCGTATTACTACAAGTCTAATCCAACCATAGCAATCAAGAGGATCGAATCCAGGGTTCGGCAGACGCACGGCCGATCTCCAACTGGCCAACTTATTATTCTGTTGTGGTTCCGCTCCCCCTCGCTTTTCACCGATTATTCTCTTTCCACTCCCGAGACACGGACTCTTCACGGTCAATACTATTATTATTATTATTATTATTATCAATTGAGCCGGAGAGCTGAAGACCATGACTATTACACGGTCCCAAACGGGGAAAACTCCCAGGTAAGTGCGCTTTGGCCGGTGCAAAAAGGTGAAGAAAAATAAACAAATCACTTTGCGACGATTGTTTACCCTTTTTGCCTCCCCCTTTTTGACCTCTTGTGTATTCACCTGTAAACACTTTGGATACTCTGGCATTATTGATTGTTCATTGCAACTCACATTTACTTCCCAATGGCTAGGAAAATCGACCGTCCTGGTTATATCCAGACCCCTGGTGGTCGTCGAGTGACACGCAGCAGTATAGAAAACAGCGCTGACGATGTCTCCGATTCCACTGTTGAAGCCACTGCAAGATCGAAGTCGTCCACGCGACGACGCACTCGCGGAACACCCAAGGATGAGACCGAATCGCCGGAGCCGGAGGTGAAGGAGGAAGAGCCAAAGGCATCGGTCAAGGCCAATGGCCACTCCAACGGCTCTACCGAGAAGAAACGCATCGTCGATGGCTGGGCTGAGGGAATGGATCCCAAGATCGACTACAGTGGACATTTCGAGTTTGGTGGTTCCTGGGGAGTGTTGGCGATGATGTTGGGATTCCCGGTGTTGATGTGGTATATGTGGATTGGCGCCATCTACTACGAGGGCAAGTTTCCTCGTCCGACTGAGGGACAAAGTATGTCGGATTTCTTCTCGCACATGGTGAACCTGGTGTACGAAGGCGCGTTCCCGACACTCAGGGCTTGGAGGATTTACTGGACTTTCTTCATCTTCGAGGGTGTGTGCTACATGCTCATGCCTGGTATCAAGGTTATGGGTCGTCCTCTTCCCCATGCAGGTGGTAAGCAGCTGGAGTACTACTGCTCCGCTCTTTACTCGTGGTACTTCAACGTTGTGCTGTCATTGGTCCTCCACTTCACTGGTATCTTTAAGCTGTACACCGTGATCGATGAGTTCGGGCCTCTTTTGACCGTGGCCATTCTGTCTGGCTTCATTGTGTCATTCATTGCGTATTTCTCTGCGTTGATCCGTGGAGCACAGCACCGGATGAGTGGCTATCCCATCTACGATTTCTTCATGGGTGCGGAACTCAATCCGCGCATGTTTGGCGTCTTGGACTTCAAAATGTTCTTTGAAGTCCGTCTTCCGTGGTACATTCTGTTCTTCATCTCGATGGGTGCTGCGGCCAGGCAGTACGAGAATTACGGCTATGTCTCTGGCGAAGTCGGGTTCATTTTACTGGCGCATTTCTTGTATGCCAATGCCTGTTCCAAGGGTGAGGAGTGCATTGTGTCGACTTGGTAGGTTCTCCCCATGCTTTGCTACTATGGCAAGAAAAGAAAAAATTTTAATAGAAACAGGGACATGTACTACGAGAAATGGGGCTTCATGCTGATCTTCTGGAACCTTGCTGGTGTACCGCTGAGCTACTGCCACTGCACCATCTATCTCGCCAACCACGACCCCTCGACCTACCACTGGAACCGCTACTTCCTGGCCTTTCTCTACGCCGCATACCTATTTGTGTACTGGGTCTGGGACACAACCAACAGCCAAAAGAATCGTTTCCGCCAGATGGAGCGTGGCACGATGGTTTTCCGTAACACCTTCCCCCAGCTGCCGTGGCAGACTGTGCAGAACCCCAAGACCCTTACTGCCGCCGATGGCTCCAAGATCATGGTCGATGGGTGGTATGGCAAGGCTCGAAAGATCCACTACACCTGCGATCTGTACTTTGCCTTGAATTGGGGTCTTATTACCGGCTTTGACAGTCCGTTCCCGTGGTTCTACCCTCTGTTCTTTGCGTGCATGATCAGCCACCGTGCCCTGCGTGATATTCAGCGCTGCCGGAACAAGTACGGCGAGACTTGGCTTGAGTACGAGAGACAGGTTCCTTACCTGTTCATTCCCGTAAGTCCCTCTTTCCCCCCTTGGATGTATGGCTGTTTAGGTACTGACTTTAAATTAGTACGTCTTCTAAGCACGGATTCAAGCCAACACTCCAACGGCAGCCGTTTCCAGGCGTTGAGCTGTCCAGTGCTACATGAATTCACTTTCTTCGATGTTATCCTGTCTATTGGCCCTATATAAATGCTGTAATATTTGCATTGATTTCATTCAATGCCAGCTTCAATTCCCCCTCTGTTAACTTTCTACATTGTCATTGCTATGGGCCAGGGTTCTGCTTTCGGGCTATTACCTATGTTTCTTCCCTTTCCTGTATATTATTGAATGCTATTCTTTGGAGGCCCTCGTCTACATACCGGATGAGATATTTATATAGTTGTTAATCATACCGTTGGGTATTGCTCTGGAGTTGTATTAACATCACATGACTGCCCCTCAACCCCACATCTTATCGACATCACTGCGATAAACGACATTGCACCGGATTCAATTCAACAAGCTCTTTTCAACTCATTAAGGAATTGATATATTCTCGGTCTCACAGACAGTGTAATTCATAGCACAGCACAATGTTGATCCAAGAGTCTTACGTCGATGTCCCGACCAAGGCGGATGGAGAGGGGACCATGCGTATGTGCTAGCTTTGCTCGTCAATTAACAAAAACAAATTGCGACAGAGGCAGAAGCTGATGCTACTACATGCAGGTATCTATGTCTTCCACCCGACTATCCCAGGATATCCTAAAGCACGCTTCCCAGGTGTAGTAGTGTTCAGTGAGATTTATCAGGGTTTGTCTACATTCCAACGCTCCACAGGCCTAAATACTCAAAAGCTACAACGCAGTGACCGGCCCCGTCGCCCGATTCGCCCGCCAAATCGCCGGGCAGGGCTACATCTGCGCAGCCCCCTCCAGCTACCACGAATTCACTGGCCCCGAGCCCCTCCAATACAACGCCGAAGACACCGACTCCGGTAACAAATGGAAGATCACCAAGAAACTCGCCGCCTACGATGAGGACGCGTCCCTTTCGGTTGATTACTTGCTGTCGTTGCCGACGTGTAATGGCCGCGTGGGCGCGACGGGGATGTGCCTGGGGGGTCATCTGGCGTATCGGTGTGCATTGGATAAGAGGGTGAAGGCGTCGGTTTGTTATTTTGCGACGGATGTTCATAGCCATACGCTGGCGGAGGGGAAAAAGGATGATAGTTTGAAGAGGGCGGGGGATATTGAGGGGGAGTTGCTTATGGTTAGGCATCTTTTCGGTCCTGTCAGTTTTTTATTGGCCAAGTGCTGACAAGTTAGATATTCGGCAAAAACGACACGCATGTTCCTCCTGAAGGTCGCGATCTCATTCGGAAGACCTTGCATGAGAAAGGAGTGTTATTCGGCTTCTATGAGGCGGCATGGGCGCAGCGTATGTCATTCCTTTCTCGTCACACAGTATGCAAGTGAGACAACATGCTGACAGATTAACCCACGCTAAACTAGATGCATTTATCCGGGACGAACTCAGCAAAGGACGATATGACCCGGCAATCTCTAAGGTGTGCTTTGAGATGTTGCTGGAGTTGTTCGGACGGACGTTGAAGATTGAATTGGGAGAGCATGATGGAAAAAAGATGGAAGTCGAGGATGTTTGTTAAACGGGATATATCTTCCGGCAGAAAAATATGTCTAGAACTGCAGAAGGATTATATCATGATCACCATGGAGAATCAAGCCAAGGCCATTCTGCATGCTGTGACGATCCTCTCGTATTATTCCCTAGCGAAGTTCTCAAATTCGAGTCATGGTCTTAGTAGATAATTTAACTCTATCTCCTTTTCCTAGTCGTACCCTGTAAGCACTTTGTATAGAACAATTTTCACGGAATGAACTTTTTTATAACTCGGAGAAATCGAAATTGAAGATTGAGACGGCGCAAGGGCCGGAGACTATCGAATATGAGACCAGGGTGGATAATGTAGGTACCCCCGAGTCCATGTACGATACAGAAGTACATCTGCACTATGCTTTCCACTATGGTACAAGTACTCTGCATCTACCATTTACTCATACTCTAATGTTAATTCTACTGTTTTCTACAACATTAGTCCGTACTGGAAATGCACACAAGTAAGTATGTCGCCACCGTGCCCAACGTATCGGACGGTATCTTTAAATAGCTACCACGGAACACAGTAACCATGGAACGTCCAGGAACAGACCAAGTCTTTGGATTCTGCGCTAAGATAGCAGCAAGGAAAGAGAATATTCTGAATCAACCGTTTTTCTCTTGCCCAGCGACTAGTAATTTACCGTAATGCATTACTTACCGTACAGCCATCCTCCTCTGTCTTAGTTTCTTTTCGCTTTTCTTCACCTCATTCATTCTCTCTCTTCTCTCTTTTCTCTCTTTTCTCTCTTTTCTCTCTTTTCTCTCTTTTCTCTCGTTTTCCGCTCGAGATTAAGGGTTTCTAAAACCAGTTATTTGTTGTATTACCGGTCTCCCTCGTTTATTGAAATTTTTTGACTCAAATTACATACGGTACCGGATCGTATTCGGAAATCTGCAGCCTTCTCATCCTCTTCCAGCGCATTTCCTACTCTACCAACACTAACTACCACCAACTACCACACTATCACTATCTCGACCACCTTCTACCCGCACGCGCTCATTCTACACGGCCACTGCTGCCTCTATCACTGCCACTGCACTGCACTGCACGACTTTCTGCATCACAGCCTCGACTTTACCTTTTCGCCTCAGATCCGCGACCGAGCGATCGTTCTGGTCCTCAGCGCGGGTCCGAGTATCAACAAAGGCCCTTAACGACAATATCAATCGTTTAATTTTTTATTATTATCACCATGGGGTCGACACAATTCGGTAATTTTAATGTGAGTCGGACATTTATCGAAGCCTTTGGGAAGAATGGAATGTTGGATGTCGGATACGGAGACTGACTGGATCGGTGCGATAGGACTTCTGTCGGGATTCGACACTACCCGTCTGCAATGTACGCTCTTATGCCCTCGCAAAACGAACAACTACAAAAGAACCATGTCCTAACTTGCGCAGCTTTTCACGCACAATACCAGTCAACCCATAAACGATGCTTTTGGTGGATGTCCCCTCATGGGTATTCCCCTGAGCGGTGGCCAACACCTCGCCAACCTCGGATCGATCCTTCTCGCCTTCATCTCTATTCTTGTCTCGCTTTTCTTGATATGGCGGTCGGAGCGCAAAAAGGCGGCTGTGGGGAGGAGGGAGATGCAATTGTTCCTGGTTGCGTTTATTGTTGTTGAGATTTGTGAGATCTTTACCGTTGGTGGCTTCCCGCTTGATGATGCCGTTCGCAAGGTTGGTAATTAGTTGATACTTGCATGTTGAAATATCGCTGATGCTGGTTAGGGATTCACCGCTGTACACATCGCTTCCATTACTACCACTTGCTGGATCCTTATGTTGAACGCCGCAGTTGGGTATCAGGTTCTTGATGATGGCACGGCTGTTTCCATCTTCCTGATGATTGCATCTTCCCTGATCTTCTTTATCGGAACCGGATACATTGCCTTGGACACGGGATTCAAGTGGACCGGCCAGTGGGACCATAGTTGGGAAGCTCCCAATCGGAATATCGCCCTTTACGTCTTGTACCAGCTCTGGCCGCTCATATGTGTCGTTGTTTTCTATTTATTGGAGTCGATTCTGGTCATTCGGGTTTTAGGCGAGATCCGACCAATGGGTATGTTGCCTTGCTCGAATTTGTCAGTGATTTCCTAACAGTTACAGTCTACCTGACCTCCGCTGGTCTGCTGTTTGCAATCGGCCAGATCTTCAACTATGTGATCAGCGTGCATCTCTGCAGTGCAACAGACGGAAAGATCAATGGCGCCCTATTCGAAACCTTTTTCACCCTCTTGTCGGTAGTCATGATTTGGACCTTTTGGAGCAGCATTACCGAGGATGACTGGCCATTGCCTGTAACTCCGGGCACCGGCTACAACTGATCACCTCTTTTTGAGCAAAACGACAGAAAAATGACAAGAAAAAAAGAAAGAAAAAGAAAAGAGACCGGCTTACTCGAACATAATATTCCGTTTTCATGATCCTTCACGCGACGTCCCTCCTTCGTTCGAGACGCCCTTTATCTGTCCTATCTAATGCGCCATGGAGTCCATGATGGATCCGACCTCTACCTCTATTTGCTTGATATTTGATACCACATCGTTTGACCTTTCATTGTTGACATTTATTTGCCCTATCGATACTCCCCAGGGTGGTTTATATGTTTAGCATGATATGCATCGTTATATTTTCCTTGTCTCTGATCTACTTTGATCATGTTGCATATTGTGCTGTTTACTTTTCTCAGATACCTATTTGTCTTATAGTTTTATTCTTATGTCAGATAATCGATTGTTGATGTATTATTGTGGTGTATTGTACCTTATGCTGTTATTTGGTTTAATATGGTGGATGGTTGTTAGATACATAGTAATAATATCGTAAAATGTCTATACCTCGTTCGTCTTTAGTATTATATACAATCGTATTGCCCAGGAAGGTTTAACGCAATTCAATAGCACGGTTGCTATGGAAGCTCAACAGGCCGTTTCCTACCACCCAACTCTTGAGCCTGCGCAGCATCCTTGCCCTACCATCAATCTCATGATGCTGCTTCTCAAGTCCATAATGACCAGTATGCACTGTAGGACCTGGATCTACCGGCAACGACTTCCGTCTCTGACGCCAGATAACAATCCACTAAACAAAATTGGCGATGATCAGAAGACTACCGGCACCTACACCAATGCCAATCCCAGTCTTCGCCCCGTTGCTTAGGCCATCTGATGCTGGTGCGGTGGTCTTAGAGTCAGAAGTAGATATTGATGCGGGTGTTGAAGTTGCTGACGGTGTAGGTGTGCTGATCGAACCTGTGATGATACTCGTCGTTGGAAAGCTGGGGTCTCCCTCGTCGTTGGTTTCCTTACGGGTGATGTTGAAGGGCTGGCTAGTTGATAATACGCAATTCCGTCCCGGCCCCTTTCTGAAGAAGTTTAGGTAGAATGTGCTTGAGAAGGTGAGGTTTTTATTCGTTTGGACGGGCCAGATAAATGATATTACGCTTCTTGAAACGTCCTCTCCACACATATTAGTATGTACCATAGCGAAGGAAGGGAAAAAGGAGGCATACGAGTAATATGCTCAAATGGTTGCATCCCCTCCGTCCCGTTTAACTGCCATAACGTCACTGAGGTTGTGTTTTCGGATTGCTCATCCCACAGTATGTGCAAAAGGGACCCCTTGGTGCAGACAGGGTTTAGAGAGTAATTAGTGTTGGATAGTGGCTCAGTGATGGAGGGTGGGTTATGAATTTGAGGGAGTGGGCGGGGTTAGGTAAGGATAAGGACAGGTTTAGGAGGAGTAACCATGATGATAACGGGTGCATTTTGACAGTTCTTGTGTTAAATTCCTAAAAGAAGGGAGGGAAACGGAATATGAGGACAAGGCTAAACCCTGATCAAGAAATTCTACTCCTACTAATTATACTACTACGAGGACTCTATGATTGGGACTAAAGAGCAGGCGGCTACAAAAATGTTGTGATAGAGTATGTAGCTCCGTTGATGCAGGCCAAGATTTAGGGCGGCGGTGGCCAATCTACTCGAAACAGGGATTGACTGCGGCAACTGAACAAAGAATGAGTGTTAGTGTGCATTGACCACCTGTACGTAGTAAATTGATTCAATTCTTGTTAATAGGTTAGTCGCGACTAATACGGTTACTGTATTAACGTACTCGTTGACGGTTGTGACAGTTGAGACCCTGCATGGGCACCCACCAACGAACCTTCTGGCTTTCGATAGCCCAATATTATTATTACAGGAAATGATGATAGCGTATCCCTTGCCGGACTCAACGCTTCGTAACAAGTAGCCTCCCAGATTAATGAGCTATTCCCATACAACAGTCCCGGCGATCCCGATGAACATGAAGGCGGAACTGGCATTCTCTAAGTTCTGGGATGTAATGTTTTGTATCGCACCACAGTTGGACTATGATAAAGAACCTATTCAGCGCTTCATTGCCCTGTTCAATGCCTTGCGTGACTAACCCGAGGTCATTCTCGAAGAGGACAAGAGGCTATCTGGTCGGTCGTGAAGGAACAGGTGGCCCGGCTGAATGCGATGGTTGTTGCGCGTAGCAGGATTTGGTTTATTTTGGGCCTATATAGTTGGAACGGCTGCACCGTATGTGTGTATTAAAACCTCATGAAAATTACAGACTAATGACTTCCAAGAGATCCATAGAAGTCCCGAATCTCGACTCAAGCGATGAAAGCAACTGCCGCTGGAGAAACATAGATGGTCTCCTGGCTTAGTATCTCACAGCAGACGAGTTCAAGACGAACTACTACTCTAGAGCCCTATTGATTATTAGCAGTTCTCGAGACAGCAATTCGCAAGAGACGCAAACCAGATATAGAGCAACGTCAGATCATCATTCACAGTAATCTGCCAGCTACCACGGTGTGGTTTACGGTTTCTAGGCGGAAGATCTTGATGGCCTGCCAGGAGGGCAAGTGCTCTGGTGTAGATGCCTCTGGGAACCTCCGGGATGGGAAGAAGGGGTTCTCGATTGCAAGGTGGGAGTTTTGGAAGAGAAGGCCTGAGGATTGAGGAGACTAGGATGAGTTGTCGAGCTGCTATTGATGCGATGAATATTGCAGAAAAGCAATGTAGATAATTGAAAATTAGCATGTGCATCTATTCCGAAGAAAAGCAAAAATGTACAGTGAAGGACGCCAATTCCAGCGCTAATCAAACATCCAACTAGCTATCCAGACTCAAGACACATATAAGCCCATTAAGATCTATAACCGAACCTTGACATCCACGCACGGAATCGTCCATTCTCGCCTTCCCAGCAAACTGCGCAACCATTCCAGTCCAACCCCAGTCCATCCTTGCCCGTCAGCAGCACCAGTAGTCGAAGCAGTCTCATTATGCGCAAATCTCCGCTGCACCCCCTCAACCGTCGCACCCGCCAACGCCTTTGTCGTCGAATTCACTGCCTCAAATATATACCCCGCTAATCCTCCGTCCTCAAGAGGCGAAACCATCTGATCCGGGGAGAGAGACGAAACATTCCCAGCACTCGTGGCAGCAGTTGTGGCGTTTTGCACAGTATCTGCAGAGGAAACAAATGGTGGCGAGAACCAGTCACGGCGAAGATCGAAGAAACAGTGATCAGACCAGTTGCAGGACGAGGCGAAGAGGATAATCAGAAGCGCTGTGCAGTAAATGCATGGTCGGTGGAGGATGTAGGTGAGGGCGACGTAGGAGATGAGGAAGAGGGGGGATGCGTTGGTTGGGATGAAGAGGAGGGGGAGCCAGCTGTTGCTTGTTATTACCTAGCCATATATATTAAGAGTGGCTGATTGGTGCTTACCTCCTGAGACAGAACATGGTGGTTGCTTGAAGAGATAGTATGGGAGGCTCTGGAGGAAATGGCGTCAGAAGTGTGTAGTGGCGGTGGTGGCTGAGGAATGTACTGTATGTAGTAGTAGTAGTACTAGTAGTAGTAGGAAGTCCCTAGAGCTTTGCAGGTGTTAGTGACTGCTGATAATTGATACAATCCTCTTAAATACTCCGTACATAGTACTCTCTCTTCTTATGATCACACAGGACTCGCTGTAAGACAGTTACTCCGTCAAGCCACATTAACCAGCCACACCTGATCAGGCTTAGCGCCACGTTCTCTTCTCAGTGACTTAGCCATAATTCTTCCACTTCCATTTCTCTTTTTCTTCCCTTCACCTTCTAGTCCACTGTAATATAGTCCGTTCTTTTCCCTCTTCTCTCTTTACTTCTTCGTCCTTTCTGCGACTTTCTCTGGCCCTTTTTTCTTTTCTTTTTTTTTGCTCACTGCCACTTTTCCTCATTTTTAGCTCTCGAAAGAGAGCGCGCGAGTGTGTGTTTGCTACCAGTTTGGATTTCACTACGAGGTCGCCCAATACTCTTTCACAAGAGAAAAAACAGGGTGCAGTGACAGAAATGTCCACCCCAAATGATCTCCAGGCTCTCCTGGCGAGTATCAGGCCGCGTCCGTCGCCAAACAGCTCGGCCGGTCAGGATGCTCCCACCGCGTCCTACCCTCCGCAATACCCATTCCATCCTCAGCAGCAACAGCTGCAGCAGCCTTACGATGGACAGGCTTTGCCTTATCATATGCGTCAGCAAGCGCCTGGTGGCTACCGTCACCCGTCTGTCTCGTCTATCCACAGTCCATCGCCTTTAGAGAGCAACACGCCACCGCATCGGGCTTCGGACATTCTCAGTCCCAATGTGCCTCCCCAGGAACACCCGCAGCCTCAGCATCCTGATCGTGCGGTGAATCTTCTGAGCCTGCTCAAGTCAAATTCGGGTGTGCCTGCTGCTCCTGCGGCTGCTTCTGTCCAGCAAACTCAGTCGCCATCGCCTGCGATGTTGTCGCCCCACGGCCAGGAAACTGGTTTCGGCGATGGAGGTGCCAAGCCTTCCCACGCGAGGGAAATCTCTGCGTCGGACTTGGTTGCTTCACTTTTTGGTGGTGGCAGACAGGGCCCTGCTGGTGTTGCTGCTCCGGCTGCAGCGCATCCTGTCATGCAGCAGCCTGAATCGAGTGGAGGTGCAGTGGAGAGTTCCTCATCCGCTGCCCCCAATCCCGAGAAGGAAGTGCTGCTTCGTTTGCTCAACCGTTCCAAGCCAGACATAAACGAAGGACCGGCGAGGTCGACGTCTCAGTCTCCGGCCTCCATCTCGCCTGCGAAGTCGCCCAACCCTGAGCAACTACTCAATAGCGGTGCCCGCCCGATGGAGGAGATTTTGTCCGGGAAACCGGACAATGGTCCTTTTTCTCAGCAGACACCCAAGGTTGCTACGCCCAAGGACTCTCTGTTCACCTATGTGAACCCCTTTGAGCAATTGGCGGCGGCGTCCCCGCGTAACCGGACGCCGCATCCCAAGTCTCGCAGCGCTAGCCCGGCCGTGGAATTCTTGAAGAACCAAAAGCCGAGTTTTGCTGCGAAGGTGGAGCCTCCCATGGGCATTCCGAAGCCGGTGGAAACGGCCCAGTCTGATGAACGTGCCAAGTCTCCCATTCTTGCAGAGGAACAGAAGGATGCGATTTCCCAGGTGGTTGGCAAGATGGTGGATGAAATTGGTCGCGAAATCGATGGTCCCAAGTCTGTTGAGGAGAGAATTTCAGTGCCTCCGGTTACCGTTGCCCAACAAGAAAGTACCCAGGAGGTGCTCTCTTCCATTGCTACCAACCTTCGAGAAACCGCCACCGAGGCACAGCAGGAGGCGATCGATGAAACAGCCAAGGGATCCATCAAGGAGGAGACCATTGTTACTACTGCTACTACTACCGGGACTACCGCTACGCCAGCTGCGAAGGAAACGACGCAGAATAAAGAGGTTAGCGACACGCTTCCGGATAATTGGGAGTCCAGTGCCGAGGACGGTGTCGCAAAGGAAGAAGAGCGTGTGGTCCAAGTCCACAATTTCCCGCTCAAACCCTTCATTTCGATTGCCGTGAAAGCCTACACCGGGAAGCTTGCACCTCTTCGCGATGACGGTATCATGGACATTGCTCGGTTGAAGAAGGAATTCGACCAACTCGATCGCTCGTTGACTTCGGCTTCTTCTGACTATATCGTCTACGCATTGGCAAAGAATGGTGGAATGAGAATCATTCGCCAGGATGACGGCAGTGACAAGCAGGTTTTCCGTTCCACCCGCGATCGCGTGTTCAATGTCGCCCTGTCTGCTTCCCAGAGCGTCAGTGGTACCTCGGAAGAGCAGGCGATTCTGGGCATTGGCGTCAGTGGAACCGTCTACTGGGCATTGATCTCTAGGCCTGAGAAGGACCTGTTTGAATTGGATGCGTTAGAGAGCGAGAGTCTTGTCTTCCCGCCATTCCCCGCCTCGGATGAGAACACTTCTGGCGGCCAGCTGAAAACGCGGGCCAAACGAAGCTCTCGTCACCCCGGTTTCTTCGCGATCGGCCGAGGCAAGAACATTTACGTGATTTCGCCCCATGCTGCGATGGACCCTACCTACGGTGTTACGGGTTCCCAGCGTACCGTAAACACCGAGAAGTTCTTCAAGGAACGCGCTCTCAAGATTTCGACCGGGAAGGCTGGCAAGGACTTCATGTTCAGTGATGATGACACTGTTATTGCTTCCCTCGATAAGACCGGCCGACTCCGCTTCTGGGATATCCGGGACGTGATCAACAACCCGGATTTCTTCACCAGCGGTCCTACTCCTGCTGAAGTTCGTGTTCCGTTGAGCACTTTCGTTACCGGCTCTCCCACCGAGAAATCATGGCCGACTTCCGTCTTATTTGTTGATAAGCTGCGTCCCTACGTCAAGTCCATCGCGCTTCGTTACGCTCTGGTTGGGTTGAAGCAGAACCACACCTTGCAGCTCTGGGATATTGGGGTTGGCCGGGCTGTGCAGGAACTGAAATTCCCGCACGAGAACGAGTCGGACGCCATCTGCAGCGTCGCATACCACCCCAGTTCTGGAATCATTGTTGTTGGACACCCTACTCGCAATTCAATTTACTTCATTCATCTGTCTGCGCCGCGATACGCGTTGCAGCCCATGTCGCAGGCCTCCTACATCAAGCGGGCAAGTGAGAGGGACAGCAGCCTGCCTAAGCCCGACTCGACCGCATGCATGAGTGGAATCCGCGAGATTTCGTTTGCATCCAAGGGTCAGCTACGCAGCCTTGATCTTCTTCCCATGAACAAGAATGCGACCGATGATAGCGGCCTCTTTGAGCTTTACGTTATGCATTCACGCGGTGTGACATGCTTGAACATTAAGAAAGAGGACCTGGGATGGGGCCCTGACAACAAGATCGTGCATCCTGTCAATGCACTTGCGGAAGGCTTTATTGAGACTCATCCTTTGGAGACCTTCCCCAACTCTGTTACGGATGAGCCTTCTGTTAATGGCGATGCCGCATCTACGCCTACGAAGGTGACACCAAAGGAGGTCGCTAAGAAGACACCAGAGACTGCTGCTGAGGGACCATTGCGCGTCCAGTCGCCAACCAAGCCAGTGTTGAAAAAGAAGACACCAGAGGAGCCAGCTGAGCTAGCGACCACTGTGACAACCAACGGCGCCGAAAAGCCAGAAAAGAAGAAGAAGAAGAGGGCCGCTGCGACAAGTGCGGCCACCGGTGAAGGAGCAGCAAGAGTGAAGGACGCCACCACAGTTTCATTCACTGAAGGTGCGCCCACCGAAACGCGTACTGTTCCGTCGGGACAAGAACCTCCGCCATCTTACTCCGCAACCACTCTTCCTTCTCTTGGAGCGTCTGGTGTTAGCGGCTCTACCGATTTCTGGAACAAAAATATGGAAATGCTGCAGAGCGGCGTGTCCAGCGTGTTCAACCAGAGCCTCGGCCGCGAGATCGAAGGACTCTACTCTCGTTTCGACGAGGAGCGAAAGAAGTGGGACGCCGCGTCAGCTGACAAGCAGGATCAGGTCTTGCGTCTAGTTTCCAGTACTCTTTCTGACAACGTGGAGAAGAACTTGGCTCGTATTGTTTCCAACAGCATTCAGACTGAGGTGGTTCCTGTCCTCACTGATGTCACATCTGCTGCCGTCGGCAAGCAGTTGAACCAGATCGTGGCCCAGCAGCTGGGAGGCGTGATTCCTCGTGAGGTTCGCCAGGCCCTGCCTGAAGCGGTCGGCCGTGCTGTGCAGCAGCCCGATGTGATGAAAGTCCTGTCGGATTCTGTGACACAGAAGCTGGGATCTCAAGTTGAAAACGAGGTGTCCAAGGCTCTGAACAACACGATCAGTCCCGCCGTCAAGAATCTTACTCTGCGCGCTGCGGAGAAGATTGGGACCGACATGGAGAAACAGGTGCAGGCACAGATGAAGCAGTATGAGATCCAGCGCCACAACGACTCCGCTAAGATCGATCAGTTGACGGCTCTTGTTCGCGGCTTGTCCGACACGGTCGCTGCGATGGCTGCAACGCAGACTGGTTTCCAGAACGAGGTTCTTCGACTCAATCACGTTTTGAACACCCGTCCTAACGGAGAATCTTCTGGTCGACATAACGCGCGTCCGTCTTTGACTAACATTCCTACTGTTCCTACTCCCGTCGCCCCCGCTGTCCCTTCTGAGGCTCGTTCTGCAGAGGAGATGGAATTGGCTGAAGTTGCTCAGTTGATGGGCCTCGGACGATTCGAGGAGGGCTCCGTCAAGTGGCTCCAATCTAGCCAGCAGGCCGATCTGTTCGACAACCTGTTTGTGCGCCTTAACCCCTCGTACTTGACTGGTCTTTCGCCAATCGTGGCTCTGTCTGTTGGTGTTGCTGTGACTTCGTCGCTGGAGACCAACGTGATGGAACGTCTGTCGTGGCTGGACGTTGTTCTTCACACTGTTGACTTGAGGGTAAGTGCACAGTGATCCATGGCTTTGATAAGGGTCTCGCTAACTGATAATGTTTAGGATCCCGACATTCACGAAGTCGCTCCCAAGATTATGGACATTCTTACTCAGCGGTTGGAAAGCTTGTACTTGAAAGTTGCCCAGACCAACCCGCACGACCCCATCATTCATCGTATCGCGCCGCTTTCTCGCCGTGCCCGAGAGCTGCGTGTGTTCTGAACGGAGGACGATATGATTGCATGCTAGACTTGCATTGATGATCTGCAATGATCCGCGTACATCAATGTGATACGACGACTTTGAGGATATGACTCGATAAGCGAAGGAAGGAACACAGGTGATTGGATGGAGCATGGTATTGGATTCGTGGCGACAGCTACGCTTTGTATCGATCCTGGTCACAGGCCTGGCGCAGTGTTAACTTTGGTGATTGGATGATACTGTAAATACCTAGCTGCATTCATACTATTTTCTGCACTGTAAATCATTCAGGTCCCCTCCACCCACTCCTCTCCAACCACTCCTCAAAGGTACTCGCCCTAACCCCCAACTCCTCCCACGACCTATCCTCCCCCCTCTCCATCGTCCCATAACAAACTTTCTCACCTGGCGCAACACCAATCCACTCCATCATCTGTCGAATATCCTCCTCATACCCCTTCCCCGCGGCCGCAGCGACAGTACTCCCCCACTCATCCAACGAAATGGGATCGAATATTGCTTTTTTGCCGGTCTTAGACTCAAAAATGCGCGCGAGGTCGGAGAAGCAGATTTTGGGGGATACCACAGGGTAGGTTTTGTTGCCTATTGCTGTGGGGCCTTTGGTGAATATTGCTGTGTTTCTTAATATGTGTATTCAGACTGCGTTATTAAATGGAGGATAGGGAGCGTACCAGCTGCGAACACCCCAATATCATGCGCCGCATCAACCCAATCAGCTCGTACATCGCCCGAAGCAGGCGCACAGAAGCGAACAATTCCATCTTCTATTCATGTATTCCAATTAGCCCTCATCCGACCTATCCGCCCATCCCATCTTCTCTCCCTGTAAGTAAAGGTAAAGACAAACCTAACTTCCGACAATATTGCGGCCACGCCACATTCGAATAATACAGCCCGGGCCAAAGCACCGTCACAGCTTTTAATTCCTTCTTCGCATACTCCTCAATCGTATTCTTGTGGTCGAAATGGAATACCTTGCTGAATCGGCCGTTGCTTGCTCTGTTGATGTTGGGCAGGGAGCTTAGGACCATGTGGGATACGTCGCAGCCCTACCATTATCATCACTATTAGCATTGTTTATTTCCAGGGAATTAGAATGGATAGGAGGGTTACGCGAGCAGCATCAACAATGTTCCGCCCAGCAACCAACTCATGTCTCATCTCATCTTCAGTTTCGATCTTCTTGCCTGGAAGGCGGTTATTGGTTGCTGCGAAGACGCCGTCTACATCTTTAAATGCTTTTCGTAGTGACTCCACATCGTAGACGTCTGCTTGTACCAATTCCAATTGTGAAGGACCGTATGATGATTGTAGTTCTTGGGCGGCAGGGGAGGTAATGTTGCGGGTGAGGGCGCGGACTTTGTAGTCGTTTTTTTGGGAAGAATTGGGGCTGAGGAATGCACGGATGAGGCCGCTTCCTTGGTTTCCTGTTGCATTGAGGATGGCGATTATTTTGGGCATTTTGTTTGCTGATTGTTTGTATACAGAGTAGTAGTGAGGTGGGAACCTGCTTTATACGTGCTATGATGTATGATTTCAAATCGGATGTGGAGTCCCCACATGGGTAACATAAAAGTACTACATACGCGTATGCAATAAGTACAAATATGTCAAGTCTATGCATGAAATGCAACACCAGTCTCTCCCTCAATCCCCATCTCGAACGAGACTCCATCCTCTACAAACTCGAAACCCAATGCCCGCCAGTTCAACTCCTTGCGCCAATGCAACCCGTAGTATTTCCTATTATTCTGGGGATCCCTCGACTTGTCCCCTGTATTCTCGATCGGCTCTGCATCAATCTCGCCGTCATCGTCGTTATCATTGTCGCAAATAGGTGAAACGACCGGCTCTGAAGCAATACCGCCAGAAACCATCCGTCCTCTGCGCGGGAAGACCACCGAGCGGAAGCGCGACAGTAGCACGCCCATTGAGCAGCAGAGACATGGTTCGCGGGATAGATATACATCTAGATCTGTACAGAGGTAGCCACCAAGTGTGCGAGGACGGATTCGGGATTTTGATACGGCGGGTCCAGCGGATTTGGTGCAGTGGGAGGTGGTCGTGTCGATTTTCTGGAGTTTCTCGGGGATCGGGGAGATATCTGTAGTATCTGTCACAGGCGGTGCGTCGGATTGGTAGAAAAAATGCGATTCTAGGGGACTGAGGTATCCATTGTCTGGTGCGGATGCTGTGTTGTCTTCTCGTCGTCTACAGGCGACAATGTCCACTGCACGCATTAGCGCATGCAGTTCCGGACCTCCCTCCAAGTCTGCATTGTATGTATGAGACGCAGGATTAGGCCCCTGGCCAAGTTGCAATTCTGACTTCTCAAGACGGCTGTACCGTGCATCACCCGCAACAGCCACAACTGCCTCATCCCATTCTGCCTCTATCGTCTCTTCAACAGCCGGATCAACAATTACAGCACCAACCCTCCTCCCCAGCCCCGAATGCTCAGCTTCGTCAGCCACTATCAGCGCCAGCGCCATGTAAAACCCCGCCCTAGACTTGATAGAATCCAGCGCGCGATTTAGAATCTGCGGCGGCGGGGCGACATTCGCGCGCGGGGCAGCCGGGTTGAAGATCACCGGCCACATGGCCTTGGTCCATTTTTCCGCTTGACGAGCATTCAAAGGTGGTTGAAGCGGAATGCGGACGGGGTAGAACGGGATTTTCGCATTATCCGATGAACATGCTTCTGTGGTATGGTTTTCCTCGGGCGCTGGTGGCCCGGGTGCGAATGGGGCCAGGAGAGTTTGTAGGGTGTCTAGATCGGCCGTCGGAGGGGAAATCAGGACGAAGATGGTATGCGCGGAGTGTCCATTATTATTCTGATTCTGGGAGATGGTGGATTGCAGGGCTTCCGGTAGCTGGTTGCGTTTTGCGAACCGGCGGAGGTGATTTAACGAGGTATCACGGTTGAATTTTGAATCGAGGGCTCTGGTCAAATTGTCAGTTAATCAACTAAGCCCGGTTTTACCCTCGTCTACTTACTTGATAACCTTTGAAGCACATTTCACATTGACTTCTGCAGCATAAGCGTCGGCTGGACGTCGCGATGGTCAGTCGAGGAAATTTTTCTTCTACTTCAATGGCGTCGCATACCAAACTCTTCCGGCGCCTGCGTCTCCTGGACAGTTTTCACCGGCAAAACCTGTCCAGCAAGAGGCTTGACACTGTCAATAACCGCTTGTGCATCCATTGAGCCTGGGTTAGAAAACTACGATTGCGGGGATAAATTCACGCTGGAAATCACGATAACGGCAGCGACAAGTCCATGACACGAAATGGAACGGAGGCGGCGCAAGCTAGCACTTCATGATAAAATTCAAGCAGATTGCAGACGAAACAGGGTTGATGGACGAAGTAGAGGAGAGTCTGGGGAGAAGCTAAAACGAAACTATTCCAATGGATTAGCAGGTGCCCAGACTAGCCCGGTGCCCTAAGCCCTACGACATGTCTAATTGGGAAGAGAGAGATATAAAATAGAACAGTTGCATCATGGTTACCGGGGTATTAGATACATGAAGAATCCAGGATGGAACAACTCAGGCGCAGAAGAAAATAACCTGAACTGTACAAGCATAGAAAATAATAGATAGAGCGTAGAAATGACAACGTAGAATGACAATCCATCTCCGACCTTGATCGGATTATACTCCGGAAACAAAAACTGTAACATGTATATGTACTGAAACAAGCCCAGTTATCCATCCTGACTCCAAAAAAGAAAAGAAAAGCGTGCCAGTTCAACCGCGTTGGATCTCGTATCCGTCGCAGCGTTCGACTAGACTTTGATAGTAGTCCACGAGGACTTCGGGTTGAGGCACAATCCTCCACTCTACCCGGAAGAGAAACTCCAACTCGAGGAGAGCCAGCTCCGTCAAACTGATTCCTCCAACTCGTGCATATGTTTTGTTTGTCCAGAAACTATCACTCAATCCTTTGCTGGCCACGGTGGCACTAGCAATGAGAAAGCGATGGATTGTGAGACTGGACACGGTAAATGCGGGATAGAGAGCACAAAGCCGGTCAATGTAGTAGACCATACTCAGGAGGATAGGGGGTGAAAGCGTGGCATGGGTCGTAAGCCGTTGAAGGTAGTCGAGAACCGAGATCCGGGGCGGCGACCGCGAGTGGAATCGGGTCAGTCTCCCTTGATGCAATGGAATTTTGTCGTTGAAACGAATCAATTCCATCAGCATACTCGAGATCAATATGACAATATCCCTTGGATCCGCCTGTTCGTAGTCTCGGGGCAGGACCTTGGCAGCAGGCTTCGATGGCCGAAGCCGCTTCGACTGGGACACTTCGAGATCGGAGCCTCCTGCCCCCGCCAGTGCAGCATCGGCCATATGATCATCCCGACTGTTCCGCTTGTTGGATCCCGAGTTCGTACGGGCTGGCATTGAAGGAGGCACGGATGTTGGAACGGGGTCAGGAGCAGAGGCCGGAGGAGTGCCGGAACTCGTGGAGGACGAAGGGTTGAGGTTGGAGGCAGCAGCAGTAGTATTGCTGGTATTAGTAGTTATATTTGAGGCGAGACCGGATGGATGCAATAAGGGGTTTCCGCCAGCGCCGGCGCCGTTGCCACTGCGGGCGTTGTTACTGTTGCTGCTGATGTCGATGTTGTGATTCGGATTTTTACTGGTATTGTTGCTGTTCGATGCACCAGAGTGGGATCCAGTGGGATGGGATCCGCCCCCAAGGGAGGTCAGCCCAGCGGACATGCGGCCGCGAGGGAGATCCCCTGAGGGCCCCCCGTGAGGTGGAGAATCAACGGTATGCCTGGTCAAAGCTGACCGGAGTTCCTCGATAGCCACTCGGGAAGAACGTGGACTGCTAAACTGTTGATTATTGGGGTGTGCAGACGATCGGACAGGATCATAATGGCCCAGATGAGCAGCAGCCGGCGGAGTGGACGGAACAGCCTGCTGTTGCTGTTGCGACGAGGAAGGAGTAGGGAAAGGAAGGGAATGAGACTGGGAATGCGGATGCGAATGGGAGGAATGAGCGACGGCCGGAGAAGAGGACGAGGCCGGGCGCAGTGCGGCGGAGGGCGAGGGCGAAGAGGCTAACATGTCGGCGTCGTGAGTGCACGTGGGCGGACGAGTAGACGAGGTGCCACGGCTGCAAAACCTTGTGCTGCTGCTGCTGCTGCGACGGAGGATGCCGTGCACACAAGCATCGTGGATCTGCAGCTCTAGAGAACTGTAGATGTAGAGATGTTGTTTCGTTTGATGCGTTGGTGAGGAGGCTATTGTGTGTATCAGGATGATGCTAGTATTAAGAGAGGAGAAGAAAAGAGTCCCTGAAAATTTCAACAAAAAGAACGCCCAAAAAGGGAAATTACAAAACCATACTGTGCTGGAAAGATACTGCCCAGTCAACCACCAATGAAAGCTTCCAAACTAGACACAGTGGAGTGTACTGTCATACTCGGTACATGGCCGATGGTTTGTAACGGTATTGACACCCTGAACGCTCCAGTTCATAAGGCAGACCAGTAAAAACGCACGGCATAATGAGTAGCCTCGACCGTTCGATATGTGAGGGACCAGCAGCAAGCGTCCTGCAACGGCTGTAGTTCTTGGCTCTTGGCTGCCATTCGAGCGACGCTGTTGGCAGAAACCGTTCGGAACCAACATGTTAGCATACGTTACCGTACTGTACCGCATACGCTTGAGTACGTAATGTCATCCCCACAGGGCTGAGTCATGTGACTATAAATCATGTGACACCAGGTGATGACTTAATCATGTTGTATCACGTGAGGTCACATGCTGCAGCCGGCGTATCATCATTACGCCGGGGATCGAGTCGAGTCTGGGGAATGCGATGATATCGACTGTTCTATTCAGCTGTTGCCGTTACCAACCTTATAATACCGTGCCTAACAATTTCAACAGTTGATTATCATCCTCTATTCTCTATCCCGTATCCCATCCTCGCTCACGACGTCCGCCAGCCCATCCATACACCTCATATCATATCGAAACCCCTCCCTCCGTCTTTGCTCCGAACATTGTACCTCATTCAAGTCTCCGGTTTGAGAAATAATATTCTCCGATACCAGTTTTCGACCTCTTCTAATTCGCTTCATATCTCGCTAAACTCCCTCATCCAGTGACCCTGGCCAGACTCCGCCGGAGGTGGTTCTTTGACGGAGGACCATGACCCGCAACTCGATGCCTCCTATCATTCACCAACTCCAAAACGCAGAGTCCGTGTCGTCTCAAGTATCAATCCTTCGGAATCTTAAGAATGAGACAATTGGTCATGATCAGCGGAAGGAGACCTGGGTCAGGTGGGGGATAATTCCGAGTCTGGCTCAAGTGCTTGCGTTGCGCCAGCATACCGGTAAAAATGTCGCAACTTCGGAGCTCAATGGAGCTAGCGACCAAGGCTCTTCTAAGCCAAAGTCGGAACAGGATGAAGCGTGCTTACAGGCGATCATCGTTCTTGGTAGTTTGGCACAAGGTAAGCCCTCCAGCGAAGTGGAGATTAACTTTACAGCGTGCAAGCGAAACTAATGGATCTCTATCTTTACAGGCGGCCCGGCTTTCCTCTCCCCAATCCTAGCCAGCGGTGTCCTCTCGAACCTTCTTTCTATTCTGTCGTCTCTCGATTTCCCTTCCTTCTTTTGCTTGCCCATTCTCCGTGCTCTCAATAATGTCGCTGACCGACTGCCACTCCAAAGCCAACATGATCGCTCAAGGGATACTCGTTTAGCCGAATTGCTTTTCCAAAAGGAATATGTGGAATGTCTGGCCCGTATACTTGGACAGGATTATGGTACTCACCAGGCTCAGGCGTCGATTGAACTTACAGCATCGCTCATTGGCAAACTGTGCACGAAGGAAACGCACAAGGCTCTTTTGGCTGACTGCGGGGTGCTGGATGCCCTATCTGCCAAGGTTGCCTCCTTTGTTGTCGCCCAAGGCTTCGTTTTGCCCGGTGCAGAGAAGCATATCGGGGCACCTGGGGCTCTAGGGACGCTTCCTTCCCCCGCACCCCCATCCGCCAAACTGGCACCCATCCTTCGTGCAGTTGCAATCATCATCGAACATTCGAAATGGCGTGCGGAACACTTTCTCTCGTCTCCTGGAATAGTGACAGTTTTCCCGAAGCAGCTGCCGGACTTTGCACCCAGTGATGTCAAAAAGGGTCCCTGGGGTTCCACCTACCTATCCGGATCTGCCGTACCACGCCATCCTGGGGCGAGTCCGGTCGAACATCTCTTGCCGTCTGTTCCCATCCCACAATCAAAGAATTCACCAAGCGCATTGAACTTCCCGCCTCTGGGTCAAGGCAGCCGCCGACACAATCAGCCCTTTCCTACGCCTTTCTCTCTCTTTGAAACACCGGCCGCTGAAGATGATGAGAATACCATCGTACCCTGGCTTCTATACGTCCTCCGATCTGAGAGTGGCATGGTACGACTGATGGCAGCTCGCTTGGTTACTGTACTGTTCCGCCTAGGTCTCACCAAGAAGCATCGGGTTTCCATGCTTGGCTTCCTGTTGATCCCCATCCTAATTCGGTTACTTGACAAAGAGTCTGATGCTTGCGGAGGGGAAGACACCGGGTATGAAGGCTTGATCCCCACAACCAAGCGTCTCCGGGAAGAAGCGCCAGCAGTGTTGGCCTTGTTGGTGATGGATGACCAGGAGTTGCAACGACATGCGGTGGAGGGTGGGGCAATTAAGCGGCTTTCTCAACTTCTGAAGGAGTCTTATAACCCGTTGCAGGAGGCCGCACGGCCGATGTGGCATGCAGAAGAAGAAGAAAGTGAGCAGGGATTTGAAGGATCACTAACCCCCGAGTACCAACTCGGTCCTCCGGGGCTTTCTCCGATGCACTGCCATGTGATGCGGTACCGGGAGAATATCCTCAAAGCTCTAGCAGCCCTGATTCCTTTCAAGGATGAATATCGCAAGGCGGTCTGTGAGAACGGAGTGGTCCCCTATATTATCGATTCTCTCAAGCCGTCCTCGAGTGAACCGCCTACGGAAGTGGCCAACCCGAAGAATAGTGTAGTAGATGGCAATCCGATACCAACATTATTGGCCGCCTGTGGTGCCGTTCGAATGCTTACCCGGTCCGTTAGCGCTCTGAGGACCAGCCTGATAGATGCCGGTGTTGCAACCCCATTATTTGTTCTCATCAGACACCCGGATATTGAGGTGAGGATTGCCGCAACGTCGGTGATCTGTAATCTGGTTCTGGACTTTAGCCCAATGAAGGAGGTAATTTTTATATCCTGGAACTTGGCCTTATTGTTGAGATGCTAACGTTTCTAGGCTATCATCTCTGCCGAAACCCTTCCTCTGCTCTGCGAGCACGCTCATTCGTCGAACACGAAACTTCGAATCGAGTCCCTTTGGGCACTGAAACATGTGTCTTACAATGCTACTAATGATGTCAAAATTAAAATAGTCGACTCTTTAACCCCTGACTGGATTAAGCAAATTATTACGCAGGACCCGACAAGGGCAGTGCCCAAGCGAGGGCTAAATGCAGATATGGAGAACATTACTCCGGTAGGCATGGGGCGAGCCAACTCGGCTGGAGAGCAAGTCGACTTGCTGAACCCTGTCGATGACTCCCATGACGGTGGTGGTTATGATGAAGATATGAATATGTCGGATCCAGTCCCGCAGTCAAAAATGAGCCTGGGTTCATTCCTTCCGGATGCGGGCCGACGGCGCAAATTAGCCCTGAATGGTGACCTAGATCAGACAACGCAAGCCCGGCAGGACGATATTGCGGTGCAAGAACAGACACTTGACCTGATTCGCAACCTGATCTGTGGGCACGAATCCTCAGAGGTCATTGATTATCTGTTCAAACATATTGGCGAAGATGTGATCCTGGATGCGCTGGCGGACAAACTGCGGCCCCGGTCGATACCGCTTCCTCCTCGACAACAGCCATCGTCGGATAGAACAGCACTCCAAGTTCCGACCGAGATTGTGGCGTCCGTTACATATGTCTTGATTCACCTCGCCGCGAGTCTTCCTCGGCATCGTGACCTTTTGATGGAACATCGCGATCTGTTGCTCAACATGATGAGCTACTTTAACCACAACCACCGCGACGTGCGGGCAAACTGCGTCTGGGTAATCATTAACCTGACATATCCAGATGACAACGCAGACCGGGATGCGTCTAGCGGACGAGCGTTCAGGCTACGAACACTTGGCGTTCTGGATCGACTTAGCAACTTGTTCGAAGATCCGGATCTGGATGTGCGCGAACGGACCAAGACGGCTGAGCATCTGCTCCGGTCTTCAGATAACGATAGGTCCGTGCGGACAGGATCTGGGTAGTCTACTCCATTACTGGCGAGGTATATGATAATAAGGGACCATTAATGCATAGCGGTGTTTATGTTTACGGATGGGCTTCCTCGGGACGCGCAGGATAACGGAACATGACCTTGAGGGAGCCTGAGACTTGTGCAGGCGTTGGAAATTGGCTGCTTGCTGTATAAAGCATCATATAAGACTAGATACTGTCATCTATTCGAATCTATCTCAAGTCGTCAATCTCTAATCTTGTTATCTGATCTTTATCGATAAGCGGTGGAGAAGCGACGTCATCGGAAGCGGATCGAAGAATTGACGGGTTCGACGTCAGTACGATACCTCTTTTCTCTTTCTTTTCAATCTCACTTACTGTTTCGCTGTAGTCAATTGGAACAAACCTGTCATTCTACGTCAATTCGACAAAATGGCACCAGTCCCAGCAACACTCCTCCGCGCTCTGTCTCTCCCCGACCCCTCCAAAGCCAGCCTCTCCACCTCAGGCCTAGGCTCCGGCTTCACTAGCACAGGTGCCATTCGAGCCACAGTCCCCTCCCCAGACAGAAAAAATGAAGAAGAACGCCGCTACTTCGTCAAAACCTCCTCCGACGGCAAAGCCGCCGAGGAAATGTTCCGCGGCGAATACGAATCCCTCAACGCAATCGCAACCTCCGTACCGGGTTTCTGTCCGCGAGCTCTCGCCTGGGGACCACTGGAAGAAGAGAAAGGGAAGAGCTTCTTCCTTGCTACAGAGTTTTTGGATCTGGGTAGTATGGGAAAACGAACCGGTGCGTCTCTTGCACAAAGACTGGGGAAGTTACATTCGACGCCTGCGCCTGTTGATCCGGAGAGTGGGAAGAGGAGGTTTGGGTTCCCGGTTCCGACATTTTGTGGGGATACGAAGCAACCTAATCGGTATTGTGATTCGTGGGCAGATTTTTATGCTAATGAGCGGTTGATGACTATTCTGGAGGAATCTGAGAAGAGAAATGGGCGAGATGCTGGATTGAGGGATCTTGTTGAGCGGACAGCCAAGACAGTTGTGCCCAGGCTACTGGGTGATGGGCATTTGGGATATAAGGATGGGAATGGCGAGGGTATCACGCCTGTGGTGATTCACGGGGACCTCTGGAGTGGAAATGCAGCCAGTGGTAACATTGTGGGCAGTGGCCGCAAGGACGATGAAGAGGGTGGAGAAGTTGTCTACGATCCGTCTGCCGTGTACGGACACAGTGAGTTCGAACTGGGCATTATGAATATGTTCGGGGGCTTCGGGCCGACGTTCTTTAACGCGTATCATAAGATTGTGCCTAAGACGGAGCCGGTGGGGGAGTATGATGATCGGGTGCGGTTGTATGAGCTGTATGTTTCCCCCTGTCCTCGAGACCGTTGGAGAAGTACTAACCAGTCAGTTATCACCATCTAAATCACCATGCTATCTTCGGTGCTGGATACCGATCGGGAGCTACTTCAATTATGCAGAGGCTGATTAAGAAGTATGGAGAGTAACTTGTTCGTAATGTTGATAGATAACGTCAGTTATAAAACATTCAATGAATTATCAATCAGTTACCTTGCATCCCTGTAAACCAACACCTTCAATGCTCAATTAGCAATAAAACACTGAATTGACGAATACAACATTGATTTATAATGACACCATCTGAGTAAGCGCCTTGAAGCTGTAGCTATATCACCCCGCAGTTCCTCTCTTATCTCTTTATACAAAGTACGCCGGAACCCAACTACCTCCAATAGCTAGGTTTAACCAGAACCAGAACAATCACAATGCCTCCACCAGACGCCGATCTCTACCCTGAAGCATCAGGGGCAGCAAAAGCCTTGGTTGAGGAGCACAGCGTGGAGCAGCCATTGAAGTTGTATGCGGGATGGTTCTGTCCATTTGGTGCGTATCTTCAAGCACTGGTTTCTTGAAAGCAGGCTAATAAAACAGTTCAACGCGTCTGGCTCGCCCTCGAGGAAAAGCAAATTCCTTACCAATACATCGAAGTCAACCCATACCACAAATCACAATCTCTCCTTTCATTGAACCCGCGCGGTCTCGTACCAACACTATCTGTTTCTCACAGCGGCATCTCAAAGCCGCTTTACGAGTCTACCGTTATTCTTGAATACCTCGAGGAAGCGTATCCAGATCATAAGCCATGTCTTCTCCCTGAGGATCCATACGAAAGAGCTCGTGTGCGGATCTGGGTTGACTATGTGACTTCACGGATCATCCCAGCATTCCATCGCTTTCTCCAATACCAAGAGGGTCAGAGTTCAAGCAGTATCGACACCCTGCGCAACGAGTTCCTCAACCACCTGAAAGAATGGACAAAAGAGGCCCATCCCGACGGCCCATTCTTTTTAGGAAAAGATGTCAGTATCCCCGATCTAGTCCTATCACCATGGGCAATTCGATTGTGGATCTTCGACGAATTCAAGGACGGAGGACTAGGTATCCCTTTTGAGGGACAGGGAGGTGAGGATGAGAGTGTTTGGAGCCGGTGGAGGAAGTGGCTGGCGGCTATTGAGGCGAGGCCTAGTATTCAGCAGACGACGAGTGAGAAGGAGTTCTATATTCCAATTTATAAGCGGTATGCGGATAATACGGCGGAGAGTGAGTTGGCTAAGGCTACTAGGACTGGACGGGGGGTTCCGTGAGTGGACGTTTACTGGAGCAGCCGTTCTTGTTTTGTATCAATAGTCAACCTTCGGTCATCGATAAACGTTTAATGTGCTAATTGAAGTTTTATTTCCATTCAATCCATTCGAAAAACAGCAAGTCCTCACGCGTCCATAATGATTTTCCTGTGTATGAAGAACGACCATGCTAGATTCTCAAAAAAGCCCGCTCAAACTGCCACTCCTCAGGAATTGTGTCACCATCGTAACCAGGAAAACCTATCATACCTTTCTTCGTAGCGTCTAAAAGCAATTATCGGCTTCTTGGCCGTCACTTCGGAGCCGTCCGGCAGTTTCATTGTAGTTCGCAGGGCGAAACGAGTTGGATCCAGGAAAGCGCAAGAAACAACACCAAAGTGACAAAGATGAATAGATTAGGTTATAAGGTTTGGAATAACACATTTTTAATGGTTGTGGTCAAGCCGATGATGAGGAGCAGTAATTCCAGAATTCCCAACCAGATAGGCATGTAGTAGCTATAGTAGACTCCCATTGTAGCAGATATGAAGATATACACTGCAATTGTGTTTTAGTCTTTGTAAGAAGAGCTTGAATGTGTAGAAGCAGCCTTACGAAGTGATATAGGATGTTGTTGATCAGTGGGGGAAAGTTGGGGATGGCAGGTCGCTAAGATCTTACTCCCTTGTTACACCACCCCTTCAACCGCAACTCAACGCAGAATGAATTGTCCGAGAGCTACGCGGGAACTCTATAGATATAACTGTTCAAAAATACATGATCTTTTGCCAGTTGTGGTCGTTAATCATATACAATACGGGGTATCATCCGTTATAAATTTACAGTCATGAGCATCAAGTCACGTAAAGCTCCTCACCCTAGATATAACAACCCAACTCCCTCCCCTAATATCGCCAACATATCTGCAATAATTCATCGATCTCAGAAGCGAAAGTAGGCTCTCTCAAAGCTCCACTTGCCAAGGAGGGGGCTGTCAGTAGCACCCGGAAACGTCTCAGTCGTCTTCTCAAATCCCTTAAATGCAAAGATAGGCTTCTTCACAGTAACCTCTCTGCCATCTTCCAGCTTCTTCTTCACTTTGAGCGCGCAGGAAGTCGGATCCAGAAGAAACGAAACGGCGTCGATGGTGTAGTAAATGCGCCAGAGAAGCGAGCCGTGGTCATATTGATAAGTGCTGATTATAGCAGTGATGTCGACAAAGACGAGATACGACCGCCAAGCTTGGGCTTGAATGGGTGATTTGTAGCTGTAGTACATGGCGACGTGACGAAGGTTGATTTGGACAGAGAGTAGTGAGTACAAGGCTCAGTACAAGAGAGATGAGCGTTTGGTTGCACAGGAGGGATTTTTGCAAAAGGTGATCGTCAGACTGTGAATTGTCGTACGGTCTTATCAAATATACCAATAGGAATGGGGTTTGAAAGAGCTTGACCGTGGGAATACTTGAGACGGTTGGAAGGTTGAGGGAGATAGGATGAATGCAGAAGACATCCCGATCTGGAATAACACTACACCGCCCAGCCACACTCTTCACTATATCTGTACCAAGTTTATCTTCATATATATATAGCAGGGAAAGACATGGTTGGCAAGTCAATTCTGTATAGATTCAAGAGAGTGCTGGGCTGGGGTACGCAGCTTGTGTGTTCCTAACTGTCATTTCGCATCAACCGTCTTCTGTTGTATACTCTTCCAAACAAGAAAAGAGAATCTATAGACAGGTAAATTCCAATATCCAATCTTTTTGAAAAACGTGAAGACCAAAAAAAAAAAAAAAAACACTCTTTAAATCCTTAGGTACGCCTTGTCATATTGCCATTCCTCGGGGAGACCCTCACCAAGGGCGCCCGGAAAGACCGTAGTTTGCTTCTCGCAAATTCTAAAGGTAATGAGAGGCTTTTTCACTTTTACTTCAGAGCCATCAGGGAGCTTCATGGTGGTCCGGAGAGCGCAGAGAGTCGGGTTCAAAAGTATAGTGAGGTTGGAAGTCGTCAAGAACAGAAACCAAAGAAAATATCCGTGATAGTCATATTGATGCTGTGCAATCATTGCAGTGAGGCCGAAGAGGAATGTGATTAGCTGCCAAACTAAAAATCCAAAGGGTTGGTGGTAGTTGTAATAGACTGTCATTGTAATGCGGACGAGACGTACTGCAAATGTGCAAGTGGGATTCAGCATCTGTATACAAGAGTTTTTGTAGGAGTAATACTTACGTAGATAAAAATGAGTAGGAGTCAAATCTTTAAGATGAAAAGAGGGGAGTGACTGATAATCACTGCTTCAGCGAAAATGAGACGGTGAAATGAGTCTGTGTCGGAAATGTGGCTTAGTCAGGGTTGAAAGTACGTATCAAGCGTATATGGTTGAGGTCTCTGATTCTTGCAAAAGTGTGCTATCTAGGATCCTATATACGACCGTAAATACCTTATAGAGTATACTAAGCGATTGTGCGGTTTCAAAAGCAGTAATAGCAGAGTAAATACGCTGCTTTTCGCCATATGATATCAGCAAGGCATCAATCAGGCATCAGTTGGTATTGTTCGGTAAGGAACCTCTATATTCCGACAGTCTGTCACCGGTCATGTGATCATTTCTTCTCTAGTGTACGAATTCAATACTTGATTCTCATCCCAGGCTTAGGTCCCGTGGGAAGATAAATCTTCCCGAAGCTTATTGCTTACTTGCTCCCCGATCACAGTGGACTGTCTTGCGCCAACCTCTCAATCGTTCAACACGAGTACGTGACTGTTGTTCTGATTCCTTGGAGTGGGGGTTGACAATACGGAGAATGGGACAGTGTATGTACCCACAATATAGTATCGGTCGTTTATTCGCTCTCCCCTCGCCTGTCGGATCATATCCTCCCAGTCAAGTTCGTCCTTTTCAGCGCCAATGATTGCCATGTACTCAAGTTACAGATGGTATCGGATGTGACAAACTTGGACAAGACATTATCTTTGAACATGGTTACAATCGGTGCACCTCTTCAGTCATTAAACATCGTGTTCACGTTAGCAGTTATTAATCATACACAGTACCATCTGGTTGAACAATACTCGGCCATGTAGGGCAGCGAATGATACGTCAAAGCAGGATAATCCTTCCAACAAGGGAAACCCCCTGCTCAGCCACGGCAGAATTCCCATCCACGTCAAATCCTCAAATACGCCCGTTCGTACTTCCACTTATTGGGCAAAGCCCCACCAGATGCACCCGGAAACTCCGTCATCTGTTTCTCGCACGTTCTGAACCCAATCAGAGGTTTGTTGACCTTGACCTCCGAGCCATTGGGGAGCTTCTTCTTTTTGCTGAGAGAACATACATCCGGGTCGAAAAGGATTTTGAGAAACTGACACGATTGGAAGAGAAACCAGAAGGCTTTACTGTTGTAATCATATTGGAACCAGGCAATGGTGGCCGTCAGACCGAAGAAGATGTACATGGCCATCCAAGAATCCGTTCCAAAGGGTATGTGGTAATGGTAGTAGGTTTTTTCAGGCACTGCCACAGTCACGGAGTCGGGGAATTCTGATGGTTCTGGAGCTTCCATGTCAAAATGCTAGATGCGCTGTAATGACGATTCAGCTTGTATATAGGAGAACCGATTGCGGACTGCGGAGTGATACTTATGGGGAAATGATATTCGATCGGAGCGTTGACCAGTGGATCTAGTTGGCAGGGCTAATTCCACACAGAGTGGAAGAGCTATGGAATGGTACGAGTTCTTTTTAGAAGCTGGGATAGGTTATGGAGCAGTCGGGTGACGTGAAAGTACTGCAGTACAAGACGCCCGATTTGGCAACCCCCGCACCGCCATTCAGCCACACCCAAGTGACTGCATATCTCTCATCTTCAATATATTTAATGGTGTCAATATAACCAGTGTGCCTTGGTTAATTACAGTTGCAGAATTGGCACAGAATAAGAATTCACGTACTCATAATGACTCATGACACAGCTTCAGCACCGGTCACTTTTGGATCGTACCTGACCGGAAATAGCCACGTCTACTACCCCATATATAAGACCTAATTTCCGGGTTCCCTGTTGCAAACTAGGATAACCACGACAACAAAACAGAATAACAATCGCAATGGATATATCCAAGCCCATCCTCTTCTACGATATTGCCTCCGGTCCCCCGGCCACTTGCTTTGCACCCAATCCCTGGAAGACTCGGTAAGTTTTATTAGACTCCCCCCAATTGAGCCACGATTGACGATGCTTTGCAGACATGCTCTGAACTTCAAAGGTGTCAATTACCAGACCGAATGGGTTGAACTACCAGACGTCACAGACGTCCGCAAGCGACTAGGTGCAACCCCGAACCGCACACATAGAGACGGCAATGCTTTTTACACTCTACCCGTCATCCACGACCTTACCACCGGCGATATCGTCGGAGATTCGCTCGAAGTCGCGCAATATATTGATAAGACGTGACCCGGTCCTTCGTTGTTCCCACACAGCTCGACGGCGAGCCATGACGCGAAAGGGTTCAATGTCCTAGTGGACACCCTTTTCACTCAGTGTGTTGTCCTTTTTATCCACGGGATACCTTTGAACCCTGTCACTGCAAATATTTCCAAAGCTACCTTTTGCGAAAGGGCAGGGGTAGATGATTGGGAGAGGCTTACGGTTCGCGGTGAAGAGAGGGTGAAGATGCTCGAGGATTTTAAGAAGGCTCTTGGGGAATTGGCGGAGCTTTACAATAGAAATACCAAGGGGCCGTTCCTGGAGGGACCTACACCGTCGTAAGCAGACTTGATTGTAGGTGCTTGGCTGTCGTTTGTCAAGGCAACGTCGAAAGAGTGGGAGGATATCCAGACGTGGCATGATGGGATATTCGGAAAGCTTCATCAAGCGCTGGAAAATTATGCAGAGGTTAATTGATAAGTCAATATACAATAAATGATAATCTATCATTCCAATTTCATACCCCTTACTCTTTTCAGTTATTTGTGATGAAAGTCGAGGTGGATCAATATTTTGTCCGATTACCGAGGCCGACAGATCCGTCATATACGGACACACTCGTTTAGATAGCTAAGCACTCATTCTACCATCTACGGTGTCTATAGATATCATTGTCACCCTCCGTGTGATCTAAATTTCCTCTTCATATATAGCCTCGTGCAGTCCGGATAATCGACTCCCCGACTTCCCCAACTCGGAGTTAACCGCCTTATTGGTTTATCCGTTTCAATTTGGATTGACCGGGATAATGATATCCCGGGGTGCACGTGATATACATCGCGGCCACCATCAACCGCGATCATGAAAAGACAGACTCCTTCAATCACTTCGTCAAGCCAATAAATCCTCGAAAATGCATGAATCTAGGGCCAGAAGGCTTTCTTTAGAAAGCGCCATTGACCCCGGAAAGCAAAATGAGCCTGCCATCCCGGACCCTCCGCCCATCCATCCATCCTTCATCCAAGTAGCCAAGCCTTATATCCTCGAGCAGACCATCCAGGATTGTATAGCAGCCATGGGGGTAAATCCTCTTCGTGAAGAAGCGCTACGGCTTCAAGGTGTCACTTGGATTGACAATGTGCGCCGGGTTCTTCATCTGTAAGTTTAATTGAGGCCGAACTTACGGAATAAGATACTAACTGCGAACTAGGCCTATCCGGACATTCAATACCGCAGTGGTGTATTATCACAAGTTCCGGTTAAGTCATCCGGATATTGAATATAATTATATGGTATTTTCCTTCTATCTCGCTCGTTTGACCAGACGACTGATTGTATCAGGATGCTGCTGCGGCCGCGTTATTTACTGCCTGCAAGATTGAAGACACGCTCAAGAAGTCCAGAGAGATTGTTTGCGGCGCATATAATCTAAAGCGCTCTCCAGCAGAGCAGATGTCTCCTGATGAACAGGTAGGTTAACTTTTTGACTTGCGGAGAGCGCAATGGCTGACTTCGATCAGATTTTCGAAGTGCATTCCCGGGGCATCATCGGACTCGAGAGACTTATGCTTGAAGCATCGGGGTTCGACTTTCGAACCCGGCATCCGCAAAAACCGCTCATCAAGTTGGCTAGACATTACGGCCTAACTCAGCAATCAGAAATATCCCGGGTTGCTTACCGTATTTCGCAAGATCTCTATCGCACTTTTGCGCCTATTAAGCAGACTACATCCACCATGGCCTTCGCTTGTCTGGAATTGGCAGGACGGTTATTGAATCAACGAAGTGAGGCGGTGGAATCGGGAGTAGATTACGAGCAATGGAGAACCAGTCGAGAAGAGGTTATGGGTAGGTTGAAGCGCATCTACCGCTTCGAAAAAATCACTGACAATCAAAGAAACTCTCTTCGACTTACTAGAACTCTACACCCACCAACGTGGAGCAACCACAGTCGGACCGCATTTCCCCCCAGACCGATTCCTCACCGTCCGCATCCCTTTAAACCAAGAAGCGGAAGCACAGAGTTTACCACGATACACTCACTGGGCTGAAAGAAAAGACACGAGCACTAAAACCATTAACGGTTTCAAGCTAAGCAGCAAGGACGCGATGCCTGAAAAGGGAGGTGTCCACCCACTGACGCCAGTCGCAGCAAATGACGACAGACCTAATCCTGGTGAACGAGGACGAGATGGTGCGGTACGTTTTATGATCGACCCAGAGTGTGCGGATGCAGAGAAGTCGAAGGTCATGCAGTACTTCAAGGTTGAGATGGAGGAGTATGAAGTTGAGGATGAAAGATGATGCGGGCATCTGCATTGTTGATTCACGAACAATGCATTATCGTTCGTCTTGCACATCTACAGGCTATGTGTGGACTATCTACAGACCAGTTACTCAAGACTCCTGGGGGCCATCTAATCCGGAGCGAACCCGCGAGACTGGCATCGTGCAGAATAACCGGCACATACACTGTCTCACTGACAATGTGCCGATACCCTACCAAGATCTGCAAGAAAGTTAGAGGATTGGAACAATACTCATTGAGTACATTGAGGCGTGATATCTCAATGTAGTGAATTAGATGTGTTTGTATATAATAATGAAAGCTTATTCACATGGAGCAGATCTTAGTTGAATGACTACTTCACTGCTGGCAGTGGCTAATATCCAAACCCAATACTCCTCTTCTAACCTGAGAGCTCATCTACCTTGGCATTGTCAACGCCGCAGCCTACAGTATCCCTGTTCTAAAGCATATCTCCACCTCTTCAAGCAGAATCATGGAATCACGAATGCTGAGAATGGCCAAGCAATCACGCCTAAAGATAAATGGGAAAGCAACAAGAACCAGAGAGGCAAGAGTATTCTAACACTTGCCGAAGCAATCAGAGATATGGCTGTCGCATCCTGGCAAAATCTGACCTCGCCACTGCAAGAAAGTGAGGTGGGACTTACGGGACGGAGCTCAATACTTCACGAAGAAACAACGGAAAGCGTGGGCAAGTGGCTTTGCGCTTGTTGGCCTTTTACAAGCAGAGGTGCTGGCATGGTCACCGGTAGTGAGGCCAAGCATGCAGACCTTCCCAGGATTCTTGTGAACCGGCCCGAGAAGCAGTCTACAATAAGTGACAGTTGAACAAGTTATATCTGGCGTATAAACCTCATCTACCTACAACCAAGTAATATAGAAGGCTAATCGTATATATCTATTACTATACATAGGGCTAGAGTTTAGTCCTGCAGAAAAACAAGTCTTTAAAGAGTACTGTAACTGGGCAAATTTTATGGCGCGCTATAATATGAACCCTGGGTAAAATAGTGACATTGTGACGGCGTTTATCATGATAAGAGTAGGATGATAAGGAGAGGCTGACTATCCGGAAGGGACTGGCTGAATGATTATGGGGAAGATGTTGCTTTTACAACACAACAACTCCCCCGTCTTGTACCCAATTTCTGTATTGATAGAATGGTAGTCTCGTGGTATATATGAGATCAAATTGTAGGCGAGCGTCCTTTCTTCACTCCAACTTTATATTCCAACACCTATAAGCCACGGTCTCAATTCTCAATTCTCACGCCAGGGCCGAAGGCAAAATGCTTGCTACTGAAGGTCTCCGTAAGATTCCCAACCATATACCCGTTGCTACTTGACAACTAATGAATTGATTTGTATGCCCTCTAGAACCACCGCTTACCCCCTCAGAGAGAAACATCGTCGAGAGCTACGGCGGATGGACGAATTTCATGCTGAGCTACACGTTGAAGTCCTGGAAAGATGAGGACGTTGAAGAGGCGTTGCAGATTCTGCATGGGTTGGGTTGATTAGTTTTGGTGACTATGAGAGTAACAATGAAACAGAAAAGGTGACTATCTATGGTATAGGGATATGGACTGTTGAACCCGTTGCCGGAATAATCCCCCTGCCCTATCGTCTGGAAGAGCTGTATGGTATCGAAACTTATTCATTCATTCTACTGCATCCATAAATGTCGCAGACTCTGAGTAGAGATTGCCTAGCACCTTGATGAAATTTTGAAAGTGTTATTTGCAATAGCTCAGCGTAATATCTCAAGACATATCATCCAGCGGTAGAGGCCGCGAAGGCTGAAGAGAATACCAATATGGCTCTTCACGGTAGAGGATCAGAGTTGGTAATATGCCAGTATCTGTCACAGAGTAACAGGTCAGAGATAGTTTCATCCTATGGGAAATTTGACTTCTGAGTTTTGTTTTTCTGAATACAAGTTATCTGCGGATTAGCCAGCTGAATCTCCCCAGCTTCTACTTCCTCTCCATAGATATCCAACTCGTTCCAAAATGATAGCTGGAGCAAGCGTATATTCATCATAAAAACAGGTTCATTTCAGTCTGCAAAAAAATACCCGTAGATTCAAATTAGTCCATCGGCCTCTTGCTCTAATGGGCCGTGGCACTGGCAAAGGTAAGTCTGCGGGAACATAGGATACACCAGGCCTTCTTTACCTACGACCAACCAGTCTTGGGCGTTTCTATCATTGTCTTTCGTGTAGTTAAATAAATGTGGGCTACGCTATGGTTGAAATCCGTACCTCGTTGCAGGGAAATATAAGCAGATAGACGGAAGATGGTATTGGCGCTGGGAACTGGAATTGCGACGGGTAGATGCCACACCATGATAGCACCTGGTGAGAAGTTGTTTCGAACTGTGGCAGATGAATAATTAAACAAAGAACTGAAGGTAGAGAATGTAGTCCGGGGATATAGATACCTTCCGAATATGGCAACAACCGCACCGCGACATCCTGCCGTATCACGTGAGATTCACAGATGCAAGAACCACTTGAACTTCCATACAACCCCTCACATCTCTCAATACAAAGTCAGCTCAAACACAGCTTCTACAAATCCAAAACTTTAAAAGCCAAGCCCTCTATCAAAACCAGAACTGAAACAACTCCAAAATGCCCGCCAGTGACGCCCTCCGTATGACCCCAAGGCTCCATCAAAACACTTCCCTTGAATGGCAGGCGCATCTATGGGAGAACATACGCTAACCATACCTTACACGATAGAGCCCGCTGGTCTCAGCCCCGCTGAGAAGTAGGTGGTCAAGTCGTACGGCGGATGGACTTCTTTTATGACGGCCTTTGGATTGAAGCCCTGGGGGATGAGGATGCCCAGGAAGGACTGCAGATCATGAGGGCATTTGCTCAGGATGATGACGAGGAGTAAATGAATATCGGTCTATGGGGATAATGCCTTGGATAGTTTACGCGTGAATGGACGGGTTCGATGATAAAGATGAAGACATGACCAGCATAAATTAATAACTTCGACCCTTCCAATAAGCGTTCTCCTGTTAATCAAGTAATTCATTGGGCTATATAGAATCAATTTTATCTGCAACGTGCAGCAGAACGCTGCTCATCTCATTCCAATCCATCCCATCCGCGGACAGCGAAACCGGACAGAGCAGGAACAAAAGAATAAAGCAAAAAATAGACGAAGTCAAAGTTTTTGAGGAACACAAGAGAACCGCCCGAACCTACTGACCTTTTCCTCATATAAGATACGCTCATGGGCCATAAAAGGATGACAGGAACCAAGTTGAAAGCACGACCGGAAAAGGCAAGAGCATGGTTTCGTTTTCTGAGGTTGAAGGGCGAGAAGTGTTGCGTGGGCAAAGAGGTGGTCGATGGTCCGTTTGAATCAAAAGGGTAGATGAGAAAGCCCCGGAGAATGTTGAAGGAAATTCGGTAAATAAAAAAAAATATTAAATTGAATTCACGTTCGCAATGTTCACTTCCGTTGGTCAAGGTTGGAAGAGCTCGAAAGGGGCAATGGTTGAAATAGTCATAGAAGCTAACATGAAGGGAAGAAATGGGGAATTCTTCTATTTTGATGCGCTCACCGACGCGTGAGTTCGGTGTTTAGGCACTCCAAAATCTGTTGTTGTTAGATATGCGACCAAAAAAAGAGAGGCGAAGAGGGAAAACATACAGTTTCGGAGACTGTTCCCTGGTTGTACAGATATTTGCCCAAACCACGAACAACCTCAAGCTGTTCTTCAACAGTCAGACCGTTAATAGCGGTCTCAATGATATCTCCAACACTGGCCTTATACACGGCAATGAAACTGTGATAGTACATGTAGGCGAAGAATCCCATGATGAACTGGCAGTCCATACGGTCCGTAATACCACCGTGGCCAGGGATCGACTCGCCAAAGTCCTTAATCTTGAACGTGCGCTTAAGTCCGGAAGCGAAGAATCCACCGAACGGTGCGATCAAGGAGGCGAAGGATGCGAAAACCAGGATGTGGAACTGAATGGGCTGAATGTAGAACGTGGTTCCAACTCCGGTCCAGTCGGGAACAGTATATGGCTGAGGCACAAAGGTCGGGTTAGGCGTGCATTCCAATCCGGTCAAAACGTTCGCACCGAGGTCATTGACAGGGCAAATAAAGTACTTGTAGCGCATGAGGATGTTGGTCATGAAGTAACCGAAACCAATAGTGCAGAACCAGGCGCCCAGGAACCCTTCAACTGTCTTCTTTGGTGACAACTGAATTAATTGAGTGCGGCCGAAGGTGATACCGCAGACGTAAGCGAAGATGTCGTTTGTAATCACCAAGGACGCGGGCAGGAAGAACCAAATCATTCCCTCCAAGACGTTGTTCATGACAAAGTGTGCCTGCACGACAATCAGGTAGAGTGCCATGTGCGTCCAGGCCCACTGGGTGAACTGGAAGCGGTAGTGGCCTTTCTGCAAGGATGCGACAAAGAAGACGAAACCTAGACGAGAGACAAATAAGCGGGTGGGGTGGAAAGGAGGGGGTGGCCGCGCGCAAACTTACCCATAACATAAAGCATGAAGCTGATGAAGCGATGGTGGGTGGCCAGAGGCAGCAAAACTTTATCCACCAGCAGAATATGCTTGAAATAGTAGATGACACTCTCTCCGTACAAAAAGTACATGGTGGTGGCCAGGAAATACCAATTTAACGACTTGGTAAACCGGAGATTCTTCTCTTTGCTGGGGACATTGGCAATGGCGATAACCTCCTTGAACGAGACGATTTGAACAGCAGTCGCAAGACCGATGATGTAGATGTGGCCGGAGAACATGGCGATGAAGAACCCCGCGATCATGACAAAGGACCATATTGTCCGTGTAATAAAGGTCTGCTTTTTCTTCTCATATTCGGACAGTGGGGGCTTTTCAGACTTCTGGGGGTGTTGAACATTTTATGTCAGCGTTATACACGGATGCCAGATGACCTCATTGGGCTGAGCTCACCTCCTCGGGTATAGTGGAAGGCCTCGAGGTGCCATTGCCCTCAGTATTGCCGGCGACAGCATTGCTGTTGCTATTCTGGGACGGATTGCCTGCATCAGACGGCGCATCGCTAACGTCCGAGGACACACTCATGCGTCGTTCGTTGGAGTTCCGATGTGGGAACCTGACGTTCCGGCGAGACTTGGACATGGTGTAAAGACGGAGGAGGGAGGATAGGGGGAAAGGAGAGGAGAGGAGGGAAGGAGAAGGAAAAGGAAGAAAGGAAAAAAGATCGAAGTTGCAGATCAGGGTCCAACCTCTGGCGAGACGCGAAAATAAAAAGCGAAAAGAAGGAGGAAAAGAGACAGTTGGGAAGATTCGAAGTTAGTCCGGGGGGAGATTATTCATTCATGTGACGGGCGGAAGAGCCGCATTTCTCTCTGCTATTCTTCTTTGCATACTTCTCATGTTCTATGAACATACAATGATCTATTCTTGACAATACTCATCTTTTATCTCTATTGACTCTGTTCGCAGTCTCCCCCTCCACTGTCTCAACCGATTCTCCCGCATAAACCACCCTATTCATGGCTACTTGGCATGGACAACCACGACGAGGACTTCTCCGATGATGGATTCGATGATTTACCCCCTGCGACATTGCTCCAATTGGAGCAGAGTGCATATCGTTCCACTCAAGCTCAGCAGCAGAAGCCTTCCCTCCCTCCGTCCGCAAAACCCCCAGAACCCCCACGAACCTTTACATCACGAGACATAGGGCAGTCTGGCACTGCGAATACAAACTCGATCCCTTCGCGACTACAAAGTGGTCTGACAAATGAATATGGAAATTTGGATGTGGGGGAGTTGGATGCGGAGGTGTTTGACGATGATCTGGGATCTACGAGCCCGTTGGACCAGACGATGGCCTTTGCGGAACAGGATGCGCTTCAGCAGCAGCAAGGTCATATCCCGGTGGTGGATAGGGGTTCTCGGGCGTATAACCCTCCCGCGGACGATTACATGGATGAGGATCTCATAGGCGACGAGTCGGGGATCAACGATGCTTACAATTCTCTTATGGAAAAGGTAGTTGGTATTCAATGTAATTACTTGAACTGGACGGTGGCTAACTTGGATAGTTGGCATGGGAAAACGAACGCAATAAACAGGCCATGGAAGAACTGGCCGCAGCCAAATCTCTCGCTGAAACCAAGGCCGGCGAGATCGCGATCATCCGTTCAAATCAAGCGAAACTAGCCCAGAACTATGACAGACAAATGGCAACACTACGCCAGTCGATGGAGGAGGAGGCGCTCAAGAATAAGCAGGACTTAGAAGTACTGCGTGCAGAAGGGAAGATGTTGGCTACAGAGAATGCATTCCTGCGACAAGACTTGGCGGACGAGGTGATGCGCACCAAGGATCTAAAAGCGAAAACGAAAGCCGTGGAGAAAGCACCGCCCATGACCCCGAAGAAGCCTAAAAATCTTCCATTTCGCGATGGCTTCGATGATGACGAGATCATCGCAGTTTCGCCCAGCAAGTCCGCCGCTAGGTCTAAACAGATGACTCCCGTCGTACCAGGCAAGAGGAAGAGACAGCTGAGCGAGGGCAGCCCGACAAAGATACAGCTAAGCGGACTGGTCAGAGAACCGGCGGCCGAGGAGACACCCGGGGCCTTGTCGGATGATGCGATGCTGCTAGATGCAGATGTGAACAAGGAACAGAATCAGGAGCCTCCGCCCCCGCCAAAAGAGGACATCAACCTTCGATTCATGAAACGCATCTTGGATCATCGGACTTGGCCGAACGAAGAGCGGGATCTAGAAGTGATGGCTTCCTTAACTTTTCCGTCGGAGCCAGAGCGGAAGTTGTCAAGCATTGTCCTGGAAGAAACAGCCAGGCTCGAATTGGGGAACTATGTGGAGGGATATGCGCGTATCATTGCTGGTCTATGGTCGCGCTCGTTGAAAGAAAAATTTTTCACGCCTATTCCGATGTTCATGGTGATCATCAATTTCCTCCTAGGTATGGACATGTGTTCGTCAATACCGGGAATGATTGAGCCCGTCGTGCCTGTGTTGCAGGACTCAGGCGACGTCAACGGTGTGCCACGATTCAAACATTCGCCAGTCTGGCGACAGAACCTGGGACAGATCCGCCAGACACCGCAATCCCAGCTAGAGCATGATGTCAACTCGACTGAAGCGCTTAGGCTGCTCTATCGAATGGTATCCGGATGTCTACACCTCAGCGGCGCATTAGACAACTTCTGGCGCCACATCCGCTACGACTTTATTCTAATGATGCTGAACTGCTCGCAGCCAATCCAGGACATCATCCTCACCTTAGACCTACTAATAACCAGCATCCGCGACGACACCTTTGGCCCCATCCGCGCGACAGAAGCCGACCAAATCGCCAACGAGAACTACATCGTTGACCGTGTCGCAAACCTCCTAAGCGAGATGCCGCAAGTTGACGAGGGACAAGAAGCGTATACCAAGATGGAAATCTGCAATATGCGACAGGAAGCGTTATCGCTGTTAATGGCGATAGCCTTCCCACCCATGTCCCCCGGGAACGAGCACGGCAGTGCTGTGATCGCGAACCATCCAACTGTCCTGGCAAGATTGATACGAGCGATGCACGATGAACTGGATTCGCTGTACTCGTACCCGCCTGAGCGAGACATGCATGCATCATTGGTTAACGCGTTGATGCGGTTGGTTTACGGTGTCATGCAGCGGCACGAGGGGGTTGATCTGCAGTCAAAGCTAGGGAAGGTTGCAGGAGGAAAGCAGAAGTTTATTGTGGTGTTAACAAGGCTGGCATTTAGTGAAGGATTGGTGTTGGAAGAGGGTATTGAGGATGAGACGGTGGAAATGGCGCATGAAATGTTGGACGACGCCGTTAACCCGCAAGAGGCGGAGGCGTTGTTGGAGGCATTTCCCAGCGCGAGCAAAACGGAGTAAAATATTTAATAGCATGAGAAGATACCACAATAAAATTGAATTTTTATGTTTTATTTGCTTAGATAACTATGTTTATGGTTTACAGTGACCTCTTCTCCACCCTTGGACATATAGCCCAAAACCTGATGAAAAGGAAGATAGTGCTCCCGAAGGAACGGTGCCAAAGAATACGCCTGTCAATGACCCGAAGGCCGTTGAACGGACTGTTCCGCCGCGCTGTGCAATGCAGGGCCCAATCCGTGGTAAGCCGCCTACTTGAGCGCAGCCACCCAAACAAGGTAAGTATGAAGAAAAAAAAAAAAAGGGTTAAAGGATGGCGGGGGAAGGGGCTTATATAGGCAAATGTGGGGTCTGTGCACGAGCTAGTGGTAAGCGAGAGGTATTGACCAATAGAAATAATACACTATAGTGCCTGGATTATCAGGCGCTTATGCGTAAGTCACATGATGCACGTGACTGCGAAATTTGGCCGACATTCTGTATACGGACACGGACGGAGGGACAAGGCCAGACACCATAGTTCAGACCCGCCATCATGAGAAACAGGGCCACGACTCCTTTGAGCCGGGCTGTACGTTATCACTCCGTTGTTCATATCTACTTAACCCCAATTCACAATGTGCTAACGACTTCAGAAAATCCGGCAATCATGGAGCAAATACAACCTCTATAATCTCCAACGCTTCCGCAACCCCAGCACCAACAACCGCACCTTCTTTCAACAAAAATGGACCGCCAAATCCTCTGCCCGCGCATACCACGGTGAACAAGTCCCCGAAACCCAATGGGAGCGCATGTTCTCCCGCCGCATCCGCAGCGTCGTCCCCATGGACGCTACACGGTTGGCCCAGGACGACGGGTCGATTGCTTCCAGCGGTCGTGGCTCGGGAATAATGAGTCCGTGGGAGATGGAGCGTGCGAAGAAGGAGAAACTTACGCCGTTTACGCAGATGACGTTTGCGCCGTTGGAGAGGAGGTTGGATACGGCTATTTTCCGGGCGCTGTTTGCGAGTAGTACGAGACAGGCGAGGCAGTTTGTTGTTCATGGAGCGGTTACGGTTAATGGGAAGGAGGTACGGCAACATTCTGCGGTCAAATTGTCTCGGTATAATGGCTAATAGATGCAGATGAGATATCCCGGTTACCTCCTTAACCCCGGTGATATGTTCCAGGTCGATCCCGAGCGGGTCATGTTCGCTACCGGTGCACCCAAGAGCAAGGCGGAACGTCGGGAAGGACGTATCGCCAGACAAAAGACGGAGACACCCGAGGAGGGCGAGGAGAGTGTTGCGGAGGAAGAAAAGGAAGGGAAAGAGAAGCAGAAACCTGAAGCGGAGGCTCAGCCGGAGGACACTCGGGAGACATTGAAGGGTCTGATGGCTCAAGCCAAGACCATCATGTCCAAGGAGAAGTCGGACCTTCCCGCTAAGAAGAAGCAGGAACTGCGCGGGTTCCAGAAGGCGATCAAGCGGGTTCTTTCCCGCTCGGAGTCGAGCACCATCCTCAACGATAACCTCGAGTCTCAGTTCTCGGAGCTGATGACTCTCCTCAAAGCGACGCGTTTGGAGAAGAAAGATAACAAGGGCAAGAACACTGAGTCCCAACCCGCTGCCGAATCCTCCGATCCCGTCGCAGAGACCGAAGCCCCCGATTCGCGGCCCGGCCAGGCACTGACCGAAGCCTTCCAGAAGGCCACCGAAAATCCAGCGGAAGAAGTCGACACCTCAGAATTGACAGAAAGCGAATTAGACACGCTCAAACGGGCTCTAATTCAGATGCGCGACAACCCGATTGACAGCACAAAACCGTACGCCACGCCCTGGCGGCCGCGGGACTACATGAGCGTCTTTGCGTTCATCCCGCGATACCTCGAGGTAAACCAGAATATTTGCGCTGCCGTCTACCTGCGGCATCCAGTTGCCCGTCCTGGATTCTCGGAAGTGCCGTCGCCATTCTCGGAGAGCATTAACACGGGTGCTTTTGCTTGGTATCTGAGACGGCGGTAGGTAAGGTGTTTGTTTTGTATTAATCCTTTCCTCTCTTCTTGTTTTAAATCTGTATTACTGGGTCACTGGTTATGTTTGAGGACCAAAAGTCATGATAAACGGTGTTTCTGTACATGTAGCAATGAATGTGTTGGTTAACATTATGCGTACAAATATATATCCAAGCACAAGTACTATATGCTAGTAACCATGTAGAGTTACTCCTCTTTACATTATTCAGAAGCATACCCATACTAGTTCATATAAATTGTAATTCATAGCTCAAAAATATACTCGACATGATGAAAATAGAACGTCTACAAATTTGCACAGCCTGAAAAATACCGTAACATACTCACCAACCACAACCCGCCCACCGCCCGTAATTAACTCAAAAATTGCAATTCTCCCACCCTTTTTTCACTTCTGCATACTCCAACGTCAACGATTAGCATATTTCTTTTGACAGCCATCTTTAACCCCCATTATTCCTATATTTAAACGAGATATAAGAAGGAAAATGCCAATGTATCCCTGGCATGGGATCCCAAACCACTCCGCTCCGCAACCGCAATCACAACCGCGACAACCGCATCCACATCCAAGTCCCCATGCACAACATGCACAGCATTCACATACACCATCAGCAACACATTCGCATTCACATTCGCACTCTACATCAACCTCTTCCCCATCTACGCCATACCAAATACCGCATTTACGATGGATGCCGTCAATGATGTCGCGCCAGCAGCCGCAACAGCAACAACCACAGCAGCAACATCAGAATACAACCAGCGGTAGCACAAATGCGACGCCGAGTATCTCGTCGAATCTGCGCATGGGCCAAAACGCGAATCACCAGGCTGTATCGGTAGTCGTTGAGACGAGGCCCATGCCGCCGTCGCAGGGTGGTCGGGGACCCGGGGAGGAATATGTAGAGGGGTCGGAGGAGAGTGATCAGGATGGGGGGAGGGGTATGGTTATGTTGGAAGGGCCGGGAGATCCGGATTATGCGCCGTCATCGGGTGCAGAGGGGTTTGCTGGGAGTGAACGGCGGAGGAGACGTGATGGAGATGGTAGTGGGTTGGCAATAGCAAACGATGACCGGGATAACCTTATTGACGAGGCGGATATCAATACTGCCAATCAACTTATGGCTGCTGGTAACAATGGGGAAAGCAGCGAACGCAAACATGGCAAGCGCTTAACGACATCTGAAGAAGTGTCGCTCTTTGATATATGCAACCGCCACGCCCCCGACTTCGGACAGCGAAGCAACCTCTGCAAGTGGTGGATCACCGTCACTGCTGAATTCACCCGTGACCAAGGCCATCCGTACTCGTGGCACTCTGTCCGGCGTAAAGTTGAGATGGTGACCAAGCAGCGTATGCGGTTTCTCGATGAGCAGCGTGAGAAGGGTGTCGCTGCCAGTGAAGACTTGTCGAATCCGCGGTGGCGCGCTGCCGTTGATGCATGGATACCCACGTGGCAGAAGTGGGAGGAGGCGGAGGCGAGGAGAATTGAGAAGAGAGATTCACGGAAGACGAGGAAGAGGAAGAGTCGCGGCTGGGAGTATCCGTGGGATACGGTTGTTGCGCCGGAGGAGGATGACGGATGGAGGGCACCGTCTGTCGAGCACACACCCACGGGCACTCCTGGTTACAACCAGACACCAGTGCAAGTACAGCCTTTTGTACCTGTCTCTTCAACACCAGTTCCCGCACTCCCACAATCCAATGTCCCCGTTCCCGTCCGTCTACCACCAGGTTTCGACTCCATGTTCTCCAACCCTAACACATCGCCACTATCACCAGCACCAGCACCGCTGGCCCAGAAAACGCCATACCAATCCACCTCCCCCGCACCAGCAGTAGCAGGAACAGCTGCATCCACAGAACCAAACATGATGACCGCCCTCCTAGAAACACTAGGAAAATTAAACAAGCACCTCGACGCGAATCCAGACCCGCGTGCGACCCTTGCTCCTGGGCAACAAAATCACCATCTTAATGGTAATGAGCGTAATACAGAAAACATAATGTCAACACCGCTTAGTCTTCTCAAAGAAGAGCTCAAGCGGGAAGTACGCGAAGAACTTCGCCGGGAGATTGAGCGGGATCGCGCGTCCTTGGAGGAAAAGCTCGACTCGGTACAGAGGACGCAAGAAATGATTTTGGAGATGTTGAGGCAGGAGCCCGCCTGATCTTCATCCCTCCTGTTTAGTTATTTGTTTGTTTGATAATTGTGATACCCCTACGCAAATATATACCCAGTGAATGCATTTTCCAGACGTGAAGGCTAAATTACAAAAATCATCTTAACAAACTCATACTCTATACGAAAGTCTAGTAGTAAAACGTCTCATCGACGGTACGGCCTCTCATCCAGCGGGGCTCACTGCCACGGACGTAAATGTCTTCATAGAGAATACGGGAGGTGTTGTCGGGGACGGGCATGGCCTCAGCGATGGCGACCTCCTCGTCGACGAGGGCACGAGCCTCCTTGTCGAGGTTCTTGAGGTCGTCCTCGGTCATGACGTTCCAGTCGATGATCTTCTGCTTGAGACCGGCGATCGGGTCGTAGGTGCTGCGCATGCGCTGGATCTCTTCACGGCTACGGTAGGTGGTACCGGGGTCGGACATAGAGTGACCACCGTACCGGTAGGTGACGTACTCGAAGACCAGGGGACCGTTGCCGGCGACGGTGTAGTCCTTGGCGTACTTGACGGCGGCCTTGGTGGCCAGGACGTCCATGGCGTTGACCTTGATACCGGGGATGTACTGACCACGCTTGTAGTATTCGGTCAAGGCGGAGGACCGGGCTGCGGAGGTACCCATACCATACTTGTTGTCTACACAATTAGCATCCTGCTAGTAAGCTGGGGACAAAGAAACATACTCTCGCAACCGAACAGAGCAGGAAGCTTCCACAGCTTAGCCATGTTGAAAGCTTCGAAAACCTGACCCTGGTTGGCAGCACCGTCACCGTACAGGATAACACTGGTGTTGGGCTGCTCATTGTACTGCTGAGCGAAAGCCAGGCCAGCGCCAACAGGCACCTGAGCACCGACGATACCGTTTCCACCGTAGAAGTTGGGAGCGAACATGTGCATGGAACCACCCTTTCCGTAGGCGATACCCTCGCGACGGCCGAGCAGCTCACCGATGATGGAGCGGACGGTACCACCGCGCATGTAAGCAAAACCGTGGCATCGGTAGGCAGTGATAAGCTTGTCATCGGCGTTGAGGGCATGCTCGATACCGACGGCGACGGCTTCCTGACCAGTCGACAAGTGACAGAAACCCCGGATCTTCTTCTCCTTGTAGAGACGGTCTGCGGCCATTTCCATCCGTCTACACAATCAGCACCATTCAATCCCTCGAGCATGGATGGTGGAATTATACCTGACTGCGACCATGTCGTAGTACATCTGCTTCAGATCCTTCTTGGTGACCTCAAGAGTGTAGGGAGGGGGGTCGAGTTCGTAGGTCTCGAAGCTCTCGTCGGAGAGGCGGACGGTGAAGGGCTTGTCATCTTCCTACACAGGATTAGTACATGTCACTGTCATCACTGTTCCATCTGATCCGAACCCACCTGGGGAATGTTTTCAGCATGCGCCGAAGCAGCGTCGGTGGTGACGGAACGGCGCGCCAAGGGAGTGAAGGCCTGACGGCGGAGAGGAAGGGCCTGACGGGCCCAGGCAGTGCGGAACAACATTCTGGGTATCTAGGAAAAGAGGGTGGGAATTGAGGGGGATGGAGGCCACAGAGATTGATATCTCTGTTTCTTTTCACCAACGGAGTCGCTGTTGGGAACAAACTTTCCCCTTTGCGACTAGGCGTTTTCTGGTAGGCGCTGACTAAGATTCCCTTCGGGGAGTTCCGGTGTACAGAGTGCAAACAGGGCAAACACACTGCATTACGAGACGAGAATGCTATGTAGACATGGTATATCGATATCAGAAGCCAATATCGTGTACGGTCTATATAGAGATAAACACAAAAATATAAGCACTTGTATGTAGTCCATTAATCGATATCAACATCGTCAATCTATTCAAATGCGGTTCGTGATGTTCCGAGAGCTTATCCACCGGCAGCGACATCCGAGCTGAGTAAGCACAGATACAGGTACGGCACTGCATTCAATATTCAATAAGACAGTGGTAGATTGGATCATTGAGCAACATGATCAATATCTATGCCCTATGTGTCAGTACGGAGTAGAGTAGAAATGAAATCGTAGCCTCCGTAATCCGGAGTATACCCGGATAAGTCACGTGTATACACCTCACGTGCCCACTGCAAGCCATTTCAGCAATAGACAGTTACTCTCTGCCCCTACTAGTGCCGAGTTGTACTGACCTAGATCGATCCAAATGTATCGAAACTGATTCAGATCCAGCAAATACCGGCCGAACTAGCAAAGTTGATACATCTAACAACCCCTTACCGTCAATGCATGACAGTTAACTGCCGATATCCTGGTAGAACGGAGACCCCGTGCTTAACGGCGTTGGATACATCTGTTCTGTTAGTAAAGAAATAAACAAGCATAGGGTGAGATCATGTGATCCATCACAACGTCCCACCATCGGAAGAATCCACATGTTACCAGGTACACAAGTACATCGGGCAGTCCGTGAGCAAACATGATACAGATCAGATGAACCATGGTCATTGCGAGTATACAGAACATGCACGTAGTCTATAAAACATACATAGAAGGTTACGCTCTGTATACCTGCTACAGGGGGATGATGCTCGTAGGTACATCTGCTTGTACCCTGGATCTTGCCCCTGTGCTTGGCCAAGCTATCCGGTTACGCGAAAAAGAAATACGGTGGGTCAACATGACAGCTGCAACCCAGAGTACTATTGTGCATAGTAAATTTTGATGTTTGTGCTTGCCAATGGAGTGTTCTTCTATACTGTATTAGTGATGGTTATTATTGAGCACTGTCTCATACCTGCTGTACACTTATTCAGTTGGAACACAAATTCTCAATTAAAGCAGAAACTCTGCGAGTCAAGAACCTCGACACTAAACACAGACGGTTAATTGCTCCGGTTCATTTCCGACGGGATTATCCTGGAAAGCGGGTGCTGATCAACCGGTGCTTGTGCTCAATTGAGCGCAAATACGAAACCCCATAAATGGTCTTTCTCTCGACCAGGCTATGATATACCTTTTTCTACTCAAATAAATAAAAATATAATAGCAATGTCCTACTAAAGAACTTTAAGCAGTGCACAATGGATTATGTATTTCCCTATTGGGCATTGTTATGCAGCCCACCTATTCAGGGGGGCACTACTGCACCTAGACCCACTATTGCCCCTAGGCAGTGAACCAACCATGGCACAGGATTCGTTAGTGTCCCCACACAACCAATGGGAGAGGGACAGAGTTCCACAGACCCGAAACTCTGGCCGGAACCATCAACGGCTTTTTTTCATGCAGAGAATGAGTGTTACTGTAACCTGCTTCTCATACACCATTGTACAAGTGCTCTGTCTCCTATTCAGTCCCTCTCTCCTACATACATACTCCGTACATACATACTCAATCCTGTTAATATCTTCTAATCTGCACCTTTACCTATTGTGGCAACCCTCCCGTCAATCTCGTCACTTTGCCATCTCTCCCTCCGTCTCTGTCTCTCCTCCACAGTTTACTCCTCTCTCACCCTTTTCTCCTATTCTTCACACCTTCATTCATTGTATTCACTCTCCCCTGATCGAATCTTTGCCCATGTGGAAACACCGGCCCTCTTCCAGATCGGATTCCACCGGGCCATTCGATCTTCACCATCAACCTTCTTCTTCCTCTCCTCGCAATTGGTTTGGCCGGTCTAAAAAGAAGTCTCCGCTGTGTAAGTAAATCTCCCCTTTTTACCTTCTGTCCTCTCTTTTGTCCTATTCCTCATTTTACAGTATCTTCTTCATTCTTCTCTCTATTTGTTTCTTTTCTTCCTTCTGTCGTTCCCTCGTTCTCTCATTCATTCGTTTCAGTCTCGTTCCTGGTCTCTCGTTCCAACGCCGTTCCGGAAGGACGGTGAACGCTATCTTCAAGTTCAGCTGTACCAGGTACTCCTTGTTCTTGCATCTCTATACACTACTATATTACCATGCAAGGCTGGCTCTGATCTCTATAAAACTCTACAGATCCTCCACGTCCGGATTCCCCCGCTCGTTCTACCCTTCGCTCGTTTAGCTCCTTCAGTCGTCCTCCCATAGACCGTCCCCCTATAGACCGTCCTGACAGTAGTCTATCTGTTCGTTCCCCTCATTCTGGCAACATGGCCGGTGTCATGGAAGTCGACCGCACCCGGAACCGTCGTGAGAGAACCTTTGTCGGAAGCGAATGTGCCGTCTGTGAAGAACCCCTCGAACACACTCTCCGCGGTGAACGTGTTCTGCAGTTTTCCTGCGCCCATGTTTCCCACGAGGCCTGTTTCTACGAATATATTCGTGAGTTCGAGGGACAGTATTGCCCCACCTGCGATGCTCCTCTCGGGCTGGACACTAGCCGTGGGGGCAATGTGCTAGATATTGGTATGTGCCACGCCAGGGATGACAGCCTGGCATGTGACTGACAACTTGTAGAAAAACTCAGCAACATCGTTCGCTCTGTCACCAGTGATGCAGCTACTGCCCGCAGTGGTTTAACCACACCCACTCCCTGGGACCAACCACCCAGCCGTGGCCGCCTTGGCAGTGATGCCGGTAGCCATGCGACTCATACGACTCATGCAACTCATGCGACCAATGCCTACAATCCCACTAATTCCTACAACCTCCGGGAGAGTCGCGATCCCTATAACCGTCGCGAGAGCCGCGATACGGCCGGTCATCGCGAACGAATCGAGCGGATGGCCTCCGTCTCCCGTACCCAACATACCCGCAATGACAGTATCGTCGAATCCACTCCCGATTATGCCGAAAGCTCTCAGCATCCCGCTAATGGCCGCCGTCATGACTACGATGTCCAGGCCATGGAGTCGGATTTGAGCCCGCGTGCTGCTCCAACCAAGAATCCCATTCCGGCTCCCACTGTCTCTATCCGGAGCGAATTCCCCACGCTCAGTCGCTCGCGACAGCAGCAGTCGTTGGCCTGCTTGATTACCGTCGAAGTGCCCGAAGGCAATTGGTCTCCAGATGCGGAGGATCTGCGCCATTCAACAGGTGGCGCTGCTGTGCCACAGGATGAACCGTTTGGTGGCGTCATGCGCTTCCCTACTGTTCGCGAAAGCCGATCCAGTCAGTTCGAGGCTCAGGAGAATCTCGATGACGTGGCAGAAGATTTGCGCATGCGTGTGGACAATTGGCATGGGCTGGAGTTCTCAAGGTAACTATTTCTTCTTGCTTTTTCTTCGGCAGTTTACTGACGTTTGCAGATTTGGCAAGCTGCGTCACCATGGACGCATGGCTGTGGGCAAGGACCGCGAATCGTGGCAGGAATTGCAATGCTACCTGTTTGCTGAAATGCTCATCTGTATCAAGGAAAAGCGTGTTCACGACCGTCATCAATATGATGACCAAGTATCCAAGCCCAAGACAACTCGCTGCACCCTGAAGGGTTCTATTCTGATAAAGAAGCATCTCAAGTCCATTGATGGGCCAGCAGGTGAGCAATATATGTGCGGTCGTCTGGACAAGAAGGGAGCTAATCTAGTAGATGACCACGTCCTCACTCTGAACCTGACCGTCAGTGAACTGCCGTGCTTCTTCCTCCGGTTCCAGAACCGGAGTCAGCTGGAAACCTGGCGTCGCGCACTTCTCGACCTCCACAATCCCGTTGATGTCTCCCCTCGTCCGATTGACTACGACTTGGATAACTCGGGCGCAGAGGACGATGACTGGCGCGCCAGCCAGATCCGACGCCAGGCATCCATCAATTCGTCGTACGGCGCGGGACGCTCCGTCGCCACAGCAATCACCGACTACACCAACACCGGCATGGAAAACAGCCTGACGGCCTCGTCAATCCACATCCCGCTTGACATTGTCGTTGTCATCCCTGTGTCGTCCTCGATGCAGGGTCTCAAGATTACGCTGCTCCGCGACGCTCTTAAATTCATGGTGCAAAACCTGGGACCCCGCGACCGGATGGGTCTCGTCACCTTTGGCTCCAGTGGTGGTGGCGTGCCTCTCGTTGGCATGACCACCAAAACCTGGACTGGATGGAACAAGATTTTGAGCTCTATTCGTCCTGTGGGCCAGAAGAGCTTGCGGGCGGATGTCGTGGAGGGTGCCAATGTTGCCATGGATTTGTTGATGCAACGCAAATCCAGCAACCCCATCTCTACCATCCTTCTGATCAGCGACTCGTCCACTTCCGACCCAGAGAGCGTTGACTTTGTCGTTTCTCGTGCTGAGGCGGCCAAGGTGAGCTTGCATTCATTCGGTTTGGGTCTGACCCACAAACCCGATACCATGATCGAACTCTCCACTCGCACCAAGGGCTCCTACCTCTACGTTAAGGATTGGATGATGCTGCGTGAATGCGTAGCGGGCTGTCTTGGTGCGCTGCAGACAACGTCGCACCAGAACGTCAAGCTGAAACTCCGCCTTCCTGAGGGGTCGCCAGCCAAGTTTGTCAAGATCAGCGGTGCGCTACACACGACCAAGCGTGCCACTGGCCGCGATGCCGAGGCAGCTCTAGGTGACTTGAGATTTGGAGACAAGCGCGATGTATTGGTGCAACTGGTCATCCAGCCGGACAACGCCACCCAGGAGAGCATGCCCCAGGACCCCTGGGACAGCCTGGTGTCCGGTCTGGAAGCCCTCGGGGGAGGCCCTGACGGCGATGACCAGCGCGTGTTGAGCGTGGAGGAAGTGCCCTTGATCCAGGCTGATCTAACCTACGGCGACTTGCTCCGCGATGGTCATCTGACACACTCTCCCCGGCCATCGCTGCTGACCATTACCATGCTTCCACCGAACCCCAAGGCCAGGGGTAGTGTCGCCCGACCGATCACGCCGCCAATTCCCCCGCATCCATCTATCGTGCAGCGACGTATGGAATTGCTCACTTCTGACATGCTGACCCGCTCGTTGACTCTCGTCTCGCGCGGTCAAGTTGATCGCGCTCAGCACCTTTTGAATGAGACTCGGAGTATCCTCAAGGGTCTGGGCAAGGGCAGCCTGCCGCCGCTGCCCCCAGGTGCGCCCAAGCCTTCTGGTCATAGTGACGCGGGCAGTCGGGGTGAAACTCCCACTTCCTCATCCCCGCGTTCGTCCAGTTACGGTGAGGGGCCTCATACGTCCGCTGCGTCAGACAGTGCGACTGCCACCCCAGTGGCAGCCGCTGTCGACCCTCTGACCATGGGCGCGCTGGACGGTGATCTCCAAGCAGCTTTGGAGTGGATCCCTCACCCAGCCGTCTTTAGCCGTGACTCTCGCAAGGCTGTCTTGCAGAGCATTGGAGTCATCTCCTCGCAGCGCGCCTACACCTTCCGCTCGTCGTCGGAAGCGCACTGGGCGCAGCGCGTGTCGGGAGTGCGACGACTTACCGAAAAGTCGAAGGACTGGCGTGAAACCGGTGACGATGCATTGACTGAAGAATGATGATCATTCTTTCCATTCTTTCACCTTTTCATTTTCTTTAACTGTATAAGTTTTGTTTGCATTTGACACCTGGCTTCAACCAGGTGGACCTGTTTTTGCATTGGATGATACCACTTTGTTTCAAATGACCGTGCAGCATGATACCACGCACTTAATTTTCTATACACATTTTTTTTTTGTCTTTTCTCCCCTTCTCTACTTATTCTTTCCCTATATTCTTCTATGGTCTACTTGTGTATATATTGGGTTGCGAGAAAAAGGGGCGGATCGGGGTTCTGGATAATGGGCCAATGGACTCCAAGGAAACGTTTATGAGGTTGGCTCCTGCTCTATAGGATATTTTGAATTTTGTATATCGTTCTTTTGGTTTGCTTTCACTTATATCTGTCTAATTTACTGCTTGGTATAATATGAGTGATGATTCGCACTTTGGACATTGACCTCTTTGATTTCGGACACCGTAGCGGTCTTTGCAACAATCATCATTATGGCAAATATCGACATCGTTCTGCAACTCTCGATAACTCTGATTAATATGGCCCGTCTATGCAATTCCAGAGGACTCGTCGCAATTTCAAAAAACCAACGGGTCCCAATCAATTGCCATCATGACCGTTGTTGTACGAGTACCGAGAGCGCCATCTAAGAATAGACCACGACGACCCTTAACTGATCTGCCGCTGGACATTCCCAATATACCTAAGTAAATATCTCGAATAGGACCAAGAGCAAATATCCCGCATAAAGCGCTGCCAAAAATAGCAGAACCTGTCTGACCCCTGCTGCCGTACTCGGCAAGCCAGTGGCTACGAGCTGATCTGCTAGCGCACTGCAATGCAGCAATTGTTTACTCGAACTACCGGCATATCATTCATAGGGCATAGACCGTGTGTCTACTCCGTTCAGAGTCAGTGGCACCCCCCACCCACCATGGCCAGGTGTTTCATGGCATTGATCTCCCCCGCACCGGCGTTCAACAGATCTCTACTTGGTGGCATCAAACGCCACTTGTTCTTCCTATCTACGCCGGTATCCTGCACCCCAAAACGCAACACAACCGCGCGCGCTTCCATTTCTGCAGAACCAAAACAAAATTACAGGATGTCAAGGACGTCACCGCGCTTTTCTGCCAGTTCACCCCCAGGCGTTTAAGCACCTTAAGCGACGGAGTCCCTCTTTATGAAACATCAAAGGTATTTGGTTCAATTCCGCGCGCGACCAGGACGATGCCGTATCCATGCCAATGAAATGAAACTAGGGGGATGGGAGTCTGTGGAGGGGTATATAATAGACGATGGTATTCCGCTGTTCTGCAGAGATTGAGACATTGGAGCCCAGTGTTTGACTCGTGTTTTCCTCAGAGTTGGAGCAATCGAGACAGTCTAGACTAACGATTGTCAGACTGACCGTTTCTTTCTTTCTCTTTCAATTTCTTTCTTGCATTCTGGATATTCTTTTTTATCAGACATACAGGCAAGGCTTAGCTGTGAGTGTTGGTTGTTTGCTGTGTTTATTTTTGGAATGTACGAAGAGCTGACTAACCGCATCAGGTATAGTGGGGCATTGTTATCTTCTCTTCCATACAGAAAAGGGCTACGCAATAATATATCTATGCTTTTCCCCAGTCTTCCGGTTGTTGGAGCTCAGAGTGTGGCTTTGTCCGAGTTTAAAAATACATTCCTTGTGTCTTGACTGAATCGGCCGACGCACCCTTGTCTCTGGTCCCAAAGCATCAACAATTTATTTAGCAGCTACACCACCCACATCGAGCAAAGATGGCTCCCAAACCAGTCCTCAAACCTCTCATCACTCCAAAGACCATGTTGTTCCCTTCAGAACTCTACGATTCACCTGTGGCCATGGCCCAACCTAGCCCTATCAAAACAGAAGATAGTGACTGCCAGACGGCAACAGCCATCACACCTCCACCGGCATACACAGAGTTTCTCAATGCTCTCACGCCAACATTTAGCCCCGCGAGCTCAGCATTTCCCAAATCACCCATGGAAAAGTCTCGCCCATCCTCATTCACGCCATCCCTCCCCTCCACTATGCCCCCAAGCTACTCAAAAACAACCTCATCAATGGCACTCTCCTCTCCCGCATCAGCATCAGCCAGACCCCATCCCACCCGCCAGCACCGACGATCACTGTCCTCTCTATCGCCCTTATCAACATACTACCAAAACTACGCCTACTCCCCCTCCGCAGACCACCACTACTCTCCCTACTCCGCGCGGTCTCCCTACATCATGACAGCAGCAGCAGACTGGAAGTTGCGAACCATGGAATCATCCCGCAGCACTGGTGCTGGCGCGAAGCCGCCGTCGCGTAGTGTGCGACATGTTGTTACGAGGACGGTTACGTATCGGCAGACGCCGACGCCGGCGTTGCATCCGGCGCCGAGGGGGAAGAAGAGGAGAGGGGAGAGGAGGGAGTAGATGGCTTTATTTTCATTTCTGGGGTGTGATGTTATTGGTGTGATATGTTTTGTTTAAGGATGGTGTCCATATTTTCGCTCCATGGAGTGCTTTCTTTTACAGTGTACTGGCATTTATCGGCGTTATGGACTTGCTCGTTCTCGGCTTGGTTTGTTCTACTTGTTCTGGAGAAAGCGAACAGGCATAGATTGCGACTGATGGAGATATTTCATTTGTTTACGACGACTACCAATGAGACCACTCAGTTCCAAAACATACCTACTACTCAATCTATACCCTACAAACGTACGTACACTGTACTCCGGAGTAGTACAAGTTACTCGAACGGCATTCTAAAAATATCCATGCAAGAAACCAACCAATCAAATTGTACATCTAACCAGTTTCTAAATGCGCTTAAGCGCTGGCGCTAGACTGTTTCTGGCATGCAGATCTCTAGTCTGTGCGTTATCAGATGCACGTCTATGTCTATGCCTTGCAGGGCTCTTCTAAGTATGGCGTGGAGGATTATGTTATTGCTTCTATTTTTGGTTTTATCTGGACTTGTACTGTGCTTTGGGTACGTATGAGTACATGACGACTGTCTACAGGTGTGGATGGATGTAGTGAGAACTATCGCATTCGAAATAATAACCATTATCAACATAGAATAAGCATAGCTAGACATCAAAGCAAGAAGCAGGAATCACGGCAAAAAGCAGTCAAATCATAAAACCAACGTAAAAACAAAAAGGGAATCATAAACCAGCCCAACGCCAACACCAACACCACACCAACGCGTAAAACAAGGAACATAAAAACACCGAAACAGAAAAAAGCCATCGCTAGGACAGCTAGTAACCAGTAATCAGTACCGTGTACTAGACTAGAGCATAAAATGATGAATAGGGCTACATCAACAAATATCCCCACCCCCTCCGCTGCATAACATCCCTCCAATGTACCTGCTGCTTCCTCAACGATCGCCCCGGCGTTCCCTGAGAAGGCTCCGGCAATCTCTCTGGAAACGTCAACGAAGTAGCCGAGCTAGGCAGCTGTGGCGAGATCAAGTCATCATTAAGTCTCCATAGCTCCTGCAGGAGACGGTACATGCGCCCGAAGCTGCCGAAGTCGCCCAGGTCGCTTAGCGCGGAGGCCCGCTCCGCTAAGATAGACCGGAACGGGCTGGAGGGGATGGAGTGGGCTCCTGTGATAAGAAGTGGCCAGACGATGGCGCGGTCGAAGCCCCTAATTCCGGCAGGGATGTAGCGTAGGATTTCGGCGGCGGCGCCGACAAGGCTGATGATGCTGGGTTGGTTGCAGGAGAAGTTCGGGGCGAGGGAGCGGAGGTAGATGCGGGCAGCGATGCAGAAGAGGGCGCTCATACTGGCAGTAAGTTTTTGGGGTTCGACGGTGCCGCCGGGGGAGGTGCACGGCCATTCTAGGGTTGCGTCGGCGGAGGCCGTGTGCTCAAGCTGCATGCTTAAGGCGGAGATGTGGTGGCGGAGCTTGGCTTCGCCGATGCGGCCACTTGCCTTGAGAGAGTCGAGGCAGGCGATTTCGGAAATTAGGTACATAACATGGTCATCACAGCCCATTAGCTCCTGCAGTCCTGAGGAGGTTCCGTTGATGTGGCGGTTGCGGTAGGTGTGCGCGAACTGAGGGGACTTGCCGAGCATGGTTGCGCCGAAGATGTCGATCCAGGAAATCAGGGACATGCTGAACGGCTGGGGAACGAAGTTAAGCTTGTTGATTAGGTTGGACACGGCCTGGAAGTGAGCATTCCATGGGATATCGGGAAGATAGTCGTCCGGTGCGCCCACAGAGCAGTGGAAGAAGATCATCGCCAGCGTTGCGTCGAGAATCTGCTCGTGTTGGTCTGAACAGTTCCTTAAGGCTTGGGAGAGCTGGGAAACTGCTTCGTACCGGTGGCGCATGATGTCGCTGTCGATTTGTTCTGCGCTGAGATTCATGGTTGTTTTGATGTGGATTGCTGACACGCTGAGGCAGCAGTGCAGGTAAGAACGGTTGGTCTGCAGGGAGCGGAGAATCTCGCTTGCACGTGCGGGACGGCGCTGGTGGAGCTCCAGAATGGGGAAGATGAGTTGCAGGACGTGGTCGAGGAAATGGGTTAGCAGAGGCCGGTCACGGTCCTCCACGAGGATAGTCGATTGGAATGATGAGAGAGGGCGATTGAATTCGTGCATGATTCGGGCATTGTGTTGTGCCTGCGTCTGGTCAATGCCGCATTGGACTGCGCCGGGACCAAGGAAGAAGTTCTGGGATGGAGGAAGGCCGATTTCGTCATAAGTTGGTGACACATCCGACGCAGACACAGGAGTCGTAAGTCCACCGTATTGCACAGTAGCTTGGGTGCGCTGAGCAAAAGTCTCTCGCATGTGGTGCATGTATTCTGCATTTGTTAGATATGACACAAATGGAATAGTGGCATGATACACACCCCGCATAGACCCCTCTCTCTCGATCATCTTGGTCTGCCTGATGCGATCCTTAATCCGTTCCTTTTGCAAACGCCGCTGCTCCATGCTCATCCACCATGAGGGCTTGACGTAGTCGCATTTCAGGCAGAGCTTGCTACACGCTGCGCAAGACGGACGGCCCTCGTCGCACTTCTTTCGCCGCACGCGACAGGTATAGCATCCTGCGGATGGTCAATGACGGTTGGTATGGTAGTAGTAGTTAAATACATACCTGAGCGTGATCTTCTAAGTCCTCTGGCCCTCGATGACTGTTCCGCCCCGACGTTGGCCGGCTCCTCGGCGGGGACGTCCGCTGAGACGTGGGGTTGGTCGTAGGTAATGAAGGTCGACATGGCGCTTTGATATTTAAAGATAATAAAGCAAGAAGCTAATGACAGGACCAAAGAGTCTGGGGAAGTAAGCTGTCTTGATTTAGACTTGTCGCCATGGAGGACAAGTTTCAGAAGGAGGGAGGCAAAGGGGATATTATATCTCTGGCCACACCCTAGGCTGATGTCTGATGAGCAATATCGTATCTTGATCTGTTGCATTGATCAGCGTCCAAAGACATCTGAAACCAACCCCCAGACCCCTTGTTGCTTCTATTTTGGAGTCCATGCCGTATGTCTTCGTTTCAGAACTTGATCATGCAGGTTGGAGTGGGGATTATTTTGACGCCAGAAAGCAAATCAATGTAAGATTAAATCTCGTAATTGTGGGAAGACTAATTTTGGATATTCAATGTATGTTTGGGAGGGGGGAGACGGAAAAAACTGGAGTGGTTAGTAGTATAGAGTAGGGAAGGGAGATAGATCGATAGACGCGGAGTTCCTGTCAGGTTCGATAATTAACTAATCCAGCTTAGCGTGTCATTTAGCGCGGGCAATCCAACTGAAAGCATTTTGAATGGGCATATCTGATTGGAAGAGCATCTGGCGACAGTAAGACCGGCAAAAAAGCAGCCGAGTCCTTTAACACCTCCCGGTGTCTTGATTGGTCTGTTATGTCGGCGGCTACCGGTGGGGCTCGGGCCGGGGAACTGTGGGGCAATGGGGAAAGTGCCCTAATTAGCAACAAATAAGCGCCAGATTTCCTAAAAAGGCAATTATTTGTTGGATTTCTGGCCGGAATGGTGTATTTGTTTATTTTGGAAGATGTGATGGCAGGGAAGTCAAAAGTCAAAAGTGTGAATTTGCTGCATATGCCCCAGGGCTAATTTTAGTCAATTCTCCTGTTCAAGTCCATTTCGTCTATTAATATCTTGCAATCGTTCCATAATTATCAGCAAATCAGGTCGGAATGTAGTGTTGATTTGCTCATTTTTGCATGATTTAACAATGAAAATGAAAGATTAGTTGGTATTATGCAGGCATACTTAGTACAGTATAGAATCATGTGGACATTGTGCAACTATGCAGAAGAATATTCTCCATTCAAGGCAGTCGGGCAGTACTATCTTGGTTATATCAGACTATACCCAAAGCTCGAGGAATCTAGAGCACATGGTAGAATACACCCGTGCTACTGAGAATGAGTACGGAGTATCATGCGGAGCATGAGTATCTATGAGTACAGTGGAGATCTCACATGTCGATTCCTAATTAACCTCAATTGAAGCGAGCGATCTGAATCGACAGCCCCTAATTAACAGTCTCTAAACTACTGGACAGCATGAAAGCATTCTAGTAAGACAATTGCCTATCTACAAGTATAAGAATACGGTGCATTGTGCCGATGCGTCCTCGGAGCCAATCACGTACCGCCATCGAGCGGAATCACATCCTATTCTGTCTTCACGCACAACAGTACAACAGTACAACACGGTCACTTCATACAGCGAGTCAATTCCAGTTGAACAATGACCAGTCGATTAACACAATATGCCATGTACTCGTACCCGTGAAAGTAATGGTTGGTCTCTTATTATCGCACCACATCCATGCCGTCTCAGTGGGACCTGCGAAGCAATGCAAAGGCCGGGCCACTATCACATTACAGAGAGGTGACTGAATGTGCGGTGAGATTCCAAAATGGCAGCCATCCAAGAGAAGCTAAAGACTGATCTGGGGAGACTCAGATTGATATTTATATGCTGCTGCTCTTGAGTCTCCATATCTGCTCCATCCTCAATAGCCGCCAGCGTGTTTCATGATTTCTCCGCGTTGTCGAGGATACCTACGGCCATGGGAACAACGCATATTCGATCCGTGAGAGACATTTTCCTGATACGCAGAAATGCAGAAAGTGATGTGACGAGATTCCTTCCGCCTACCATTCGACCAAGTCTCCACCGAGAACATTCGTGGCCATTCAGATTTCCGCATCTCCAAGGCCGGCGCTTACAGAAATGAATCTTCGTCACAACGGCCCTCGCTCGGCCTATTGATTGGATACATGTCCTGAACCTACTGCACCTTCATCACTGACAATTCCTTCTCTTTTCGCTCCGTTTTGCCAGTCATCGTTACTCTTTGTCCCGATGCTGCCGCCGTGTTTCACGTTTCTGCATGTCACAGTCAATCTCTTGGTCCGTTTCTGTCGTATTCAAGCCTGATTTTCCATTCCCAGCGCTTACAGTTTCATGCCTTTCCCCTCTCTTTCGGCTTGGACCATCGTATATAGTACTGCCGGCACTCCTGCTGCCCCGGAGCGCCTTCTCTCTCCTCTTTTCTACTTCCCAGTATTACTCTTTGTTTTATTTTCTTTGTGCTTTTGCCTTTGCATTTGATACCCCATTTGTTGCTTCCCACTGTTAGATACGGTTCCATTATCCCGGTTTCTTGTGCAATACTTGGATAACATTAACATTTGACACCCCTTTGTTTCCATTGGTTGACCTAAATCATACTTCATCATGGTAAGCAAGAAATGAAAAAAATGAAAAAAGGTCTGTCACTGACAAACTATAGAACTCTCTACGTGATCGTCGTAGAGCAGTCCCTGCCTCTCTCAACATGAAAAATACAAAGCAATGCTACCCTCCTCGTGCAGTCGCCGTTGCTCAACGACCAGTGTCTGATGCCACTGACTTCTACGACACCGAATTTGAGATGAGTGATTCAGAGGATGACGACGAAGATGAATCGCCCCGTATGAGCATGGACTCGGTATGGTCTATATCCCCTTTGGCACTTATCTCCAGTTTTTTACTGACGAAAACAGTTTGGTTATGATAGCAACTCGTCTCTTTCTACAGTAGATCCACCCACGCCCGACAATCTCTCCGAAAGGGCCTATGACTCCAAGGATAACAGTTTGGTTCGAGGCCCGTCGGGCCCTCACCTCTTTCGTGCGTCGCTGAGCTCGGCTGGTTCGGCCCCAACGACAGAAGTCGATCTCTACTTCGAGCGGTCCCCGGTGAACTCTCAATTCCCTTCAACTTCTACGGCTTCCCAATTTCCATCATCAACAGCGTCCGGCTTTCCTTCGTCGATGGCCTCTGGGTTTCCCTCATCGACGGCCTCTGGGTTTCCTTCATCAACAGCTTCTAAGTTTCCTTTATCTACGGCTTCTGGGCTGCCTTCATCTACAGCTTCCCAATTCCCATCAACTGCCACAGGCTCGCAGTTCACAGAAACCCCAAGCCGCTTGACCTTCTCGCAATACGGACCCAAGCCTTCTACGATGCACCCAGATGTTTCCCATGTCGAGGAAGAGGAGATCCGGAACTGGAACCCCAGCCAGGTCGCTTACTGGCTGTACATTGCGGGCTACGATGACTCCACGATTGAGAAGTTTATCATCAACGACATTACTGGCACCGTGCTGCTTAGTCTTCAGATTGACGATCTCAAGGAGCTCGACATCATGTCCTTTGGAAAGCGTCGCCAGCTCATCAACTCCATCGACCATCTACGCAACACAATGCGGAAGACAACCCAACAGCAGGAAGGATCTGGCCATGATTACTCTTCTAGTCCCCGTTCCAGTAAAGGGCGGTCTTACAGGGCATCGGTATCGCCTGCCGGAGAGGTACTATCGCCTGCACGTTATGAAGATGGTGACAAGGTCACTCCTGGTGAACTCGTTTCGATTGTCGGGATCGAGCAGCTGCTTCCCAAACCTCACAGCTGCTCCAAGGGAGAAGACTGTCCCAAGTACCAGCGAAGACAGCGCCAAATCGAGAAGGTCATGGCTGAGAACCCGGGCGCCGTTGTCCTGCCCGGCGGCATGATGCTAACTGGCAACCCTGGCAACCCCGAAACGGCTCAGAACATGTTGCGACCTCAATCCGATGCACAGCCCTCGGTTGTGGCATCGTCGGACGTGTTTGGTCCTGCGCAGGAGGCACCCCAGCTGAGCGAGGAAGCTCTTAGTGAAGTCGAGAAGGATGATCCCAGGGAGAGATTGCGCAAGTTCCTCTACTTCCAGCATGTCAGTTCTCCCGACAAGCCGAGTCCTGAGCCTTTGGAAGAGCGGGAGCAGCAACAGCCGCTGTCGCCCATGCAGGATCAGACAACCTTGTCGTCCATACCACCGGTTGAGCCAGCCTCATTGTTGTCTCCTCCCAACTTTCGCATTCCTCACGTTGCGGCCAACCTTCGCAACCTTCCTAAGCTGACCATCCCGGCCGACTCCGATTCAGATGAGCTGACTACGGCGACTGCCACTGCGCTGCGCACCATCACTCCAAACATGGTGAACGTGTACGGCTCCCCGACTGCTACCCAGGAATATGGTCCGTTCAGCACCTACCGTCATGGTACTCCATTTTCCGAAATGGACATCCCTGTCACCGCCATCCCCAACGGTCCTGTGGCTAGGGAGACCTCGCAATCGGTGCCCCCAGACATGCGGTACGGAGATTTGTTCCTGCAAGCATCGCAAGACCCTGTTATGCGTTCCGCATCCACCCGTCCCAAGATGGCCCCTCCATTGCGTCGGGTGCACGAAGGCCGGCCACTCACGCCCATCGAGGCCCCATCGGACCTTGATCATACTCCCCGTCTCCAGACACAGGCGGCAACCTCGTCGGCCAATCCGGTGTTGGCTTCCGATCCCGATGTGACCCATAGCGGATGGATGAAGAAACGCAAGACGACTCGTATCCTCCGCCACGAATGGCAAGATGCCCACTTCACCCTGCGCGGCACCAACCTAGCCATGCATAAGGAGGAAGCCAACGCCCACCGAAACTCCAGAGCTCTTGACAACATTGACGTTGATGATTACGCTGTCGCGTGCTCGTCACTAGCCACAAGCTCCAAGCTAACTGCGGCATTTAAGAAGTCCATCCTCCGCAGCGGCAACCAGACTGGAAACGACCAAGCTGCTTTTGCTTTCTCTTTGGTCCCAACACCCAAGGAGACCGAGAAAAAGACCCTATTCCACAATAACCTCCCAAAAAGCCACCATTTTGCAGTCAAGAACCGTGAAGACCGTATAGACTGGATGCGCGAGCTGATGCTCGCCAAAGCCCTCAAGAAGGGCCGTGACGGCGGGTCCGAAATACAGGTCAATGGTAACTTTATTTGATTCCTTTGTCCTTGTTTACATGTATTTTACTCATATTTGTGTGTTCCTGTCTTTCATTTTTGCATGGTTTGAACATTTGCATGTTGATATATACCTTATGACTGAACGAACACCAAAGTCGCTGGACGGCTACAGACAGATACCCAATTTCATCATTCTATATAATTCGTCCCAAAAATATTTGCAAGATTCATTCTTAGCTAGTCTTACAAATAAAAGTGATAACTATCAAACCCGCTTGTCACAATATCATTGAGCATAGACTTGAGAATACAGTTGGTCAATAAGGCTTGATTGGCTAGGCTCAACTATTTTCAATCGATAAGACTTCACACTGGTCGGTTAATCTGACCATAATATTTCCAGAGAAATTGTACATAGTGGAATAAACGAAGAGTGTGAAACCGTGCTACTCCTAGTAACAGAGCGCTTTTAAAGACAAGAATAATCCCAGGTATATACCAAGAGGTATAGAAATCCCCCACCACGTATACGGGGGTTCCAGGACCTCCCGATGCTGTGAATGGCAGCGTGGTCAATTAGACCACACTAAACCATCTGTGCGCATCTTCATCGTATGCTTGCTTTTCAACTGTCTTAACAAATCTGTCGAGAAGTACTTTGCCTTCAATAACTCGAATGTTGTGCGTGTTCTAAATCTATGGGAGGAGTGAGGCGTCAAAAACTACACGCCGTTCACTACGGGGATCGCCATGAGCGTACTTCTGGTACGTCTGGACAAGGTACTCCAGGGAGACCGATATTCGCCAACTTCTCATCATATAATTCGATTAAAACCCGCAGTTTTCGCATAGCTTCCGAATATTTGTATCTATGCTTGTTGGCTGTACGGGTTCCGATACGCGGCGAACGCATGATGGACCCAGTGCTCCTTGCTTCCCTCGTAAAGGAACATAATTGGCTTAATAGTTGTGTTGGTATTCAGTTTCAGCTTTATTTGAAACTTCGATCCGCTTTTAAGAACGAGGGATCCAATCCAGGGCCTTTGTTGGCCCGTTTGTCGTATAAACTGAGTATGTTTGATATCTGAGTGTCTGCTTGAATCGCTCGCTTTTGTGTTTGTAATATTCTAACCGACGGGCACACTCTAGAATATACGACCCCGTTCATTGTGAAGTAACCAATGAAGTAGTGGACTGGCTGGCGAAATTCTAGTGTGTGGAATGACCATCAAGAAAGATAAGACTCAACTCCGAAGTTGACAGGATGAAGGCTGCAAATGAGGGAATAGCATCAAAGAATTGCAACAGTCGGTAATTAGAGCAAGGTACGGAATACTTGAGAGTGTATGCTGATATAGTGAGTTGATGGCCCCTCGCAAGCATAGCATAGTAACGTACATGGTGATGGCTATCTACCCCATCATACGAATAACAATGTATGCCCATCCATCTCCATAAGCTGAACTCCTGACCACTTCCTCAATCGGCGCAGACATGGGCACCACGGCTCCGTGCAGCACGGGCTTGGCTAATACGGGCGTTCTGCGGCTCGGAAACAAATGTGGGAGGAGGGTGTGAAGGGCTGTGCCGATAGTCTGTGGCTGAGATGTCGAGATAGAGGGAGAAAGTGGTGATTGCACTAGTTTGAGAGAGGGGGCGCCTGAATCTGGAGGAAGAGGGAGGAAGAAGCGAATAGGCACACTGCGAAATGGTTGGGTGGGGAGTAGGATATTGGATATACGTTGGAAGGAAGGGAGGTCAACTATCAATCGAGTTAGCTCTATATTGCATTGTAACCATGGGTAATCCGCACTCACCATCTTGGACAGCTTCCCACAACCCAGATGAATCTTCCTTCGAGAGAGTCATAATTCCCTTCGCCGTCCCATTTCGAAGGAAGTCCGCTTCCTTGACACTGTTTATAAAGGCATCATTAATTACCACTCCCTCCGCGTCAAGTTGGACTAATTCCTCGTGAGGCCAGTCATTAAAATGTACTGTTAATCGCCAGGAATGCGGGCCGCTGGCAGTCTCGCCTGCCTCGTCTGATTTACTTCCCTTAGATGATGCCGGATCTGCTTCCGCGTAGAGATCATATAAAAGTCCAATAGGATAGTGCCATTTCAATGGAACGCCTTCAAATGAAAACCATCCGTCATGGGAATGGGAGTTAGGGTCGATCAAGGATGGTGAGAAGAATGCCCTTAACCGGGGTAATAGAGAGGGCAGATAGGCGAGTCGTGAACATGCAATCTACAAAGACTAGTTAGTATACACAAAGCCATCAATATGTGAGCGCGTACAAGATATGGATCTGTTTGATCATATGACCGGCTCTCTGACGGTGCCAGGACAATCTCTAATGGAAGTTTGCCGTCCCAGACGGTCTTTTGGATGCTGATGAGAGATGGTGCTTGGCTCATGATGGTGGTAGCATAAAACCGAAATATTAAGTTTCTAAGTCTCAGTAGCTTGAATGTAGGAGCAGTGGTCACCAGTGTTTATTTTCGAAGACCCCAGGCATACAACTGAAGTACCCCGCAGAAACCGTATATTACTGCGTCGTGTTCAATTCATGGCAGAAACAGATAAATGATAATCAAGTTGTGTGCTTATACTGGTTGAGTTTAGAAGCCCTGAGCCGCGGCAGTAGTCAAAAAAAGAGAACTTCGTCGTCGTTGATAATGATGCATGAATTGGTGTTTCCAGAACAGGAATATCACGTGTTATTAGTGCCTGAGGCCGAAGTGATATCATCCCCTTGGGGTTTCCGGCTTGGCATGTCTCGTCGCCATGCAAAACCAGGAGTCTGCTATTAGGCTTGTGATGGTTAATGGATAAGTCAATATAGCATATACTCGATAAATTATGGCATCTCAAGATTCCCTGGCCTACCATGAGCCGGGAATTACCACCGTCCTCATCCAGGCCGGCTTCCTGCTCGCTCTGAACATGGTCAACACCGTGCTCGACAAGATCATCTATTGCGGGCTAATCGGACAGCTTTTCATCGGGATGGCCTGGGGCATACCAGGAGGAAATTTGTTAGAGTTGAATGTACAAAAGTCGATACAGCAGTTGGGTTATTTGGGTCTTTTGCTGCTTGTATATGAGGGTGAGTCAAGAGAAGCGAACCAGGGTGAAGGAGCTAACAAGTGCAGGTGGTCTATCAACTTCCTTCTCTCAACTGAAGTCAAACTTTGGTTTTTCTGCTCTGGTTGCCATCACCGGAGTCGCTGTCCCCATGGGCCTCTCTTTCGTTCTGATGCATCTACTTGCTGCAACGCCCCTGCAGGCCTTTGCTGCAGGTGCAGCGCTATGTTCAACCAGTATCGGCACTACGTTCACCATTCTATCCACTACTGGGCTTTCTAAAACGCGCCTTGGTGTTGTACTTGGTAGTGCCGCCATGATGGACGACGTCATGGGGTTGGTTATGGTGCAGATTATCTCGAATCTGGGTAGCGCATCATCATCAGCATCTTTTGACCCGGTTATTGTGATTAGACCCATCCTGGTAGCCTTTGGATTTGCCGTAGGACTAATATTGATCTGTCGATTTTTGGTTGCGAAAGCTGTGCGATTGATACATACGAAGAAGCTATATGTCCATTTCCCAGAGACGATGATGTCGATGAACTTTGGATTTGTCGCTCACATTTGCCTGCTAGTCGGGATGGTCGCCGGTGCTACGTATGCCGGTACATCAGGCCTCTTCGCAGCCTATCTCGCTGGGGCGAGCATTTCCTGGCTTGATGAGTTGTTGGTAACCATCTCTACGGATCCTTCTACAGAAGGCATTGAGTTGCAAGATAACCGGGTTCAAAGCACAGAAAGTGACTCTCAACCGAGAACTACATCACAACAGACAGAAGCAGTAGTCACGAAAAAGCACCCAACAGGAGAAGAAGTCTTCGAACGCCTCTGCAAAGAGCCACTCAAACGGGTCTTGAGCCCGCTCTTCTTCGTACGTACACTCTTTCTTAATGCCAACCAATCCATCGTGCTAACAAACTGCAGGCATCAATTGGCTTCTCAATTCCCATCACCAAAATGTTCCAAGGAGAGGTCATCTGGCGCGGCGTCGTCTACACTATCCTTATGATGTTCAGCAAACTCACCACAAGCGTTTGGTTGATCCAATTGCATTTCAGCCCGCCTCCAATCCTGCAAACGATAGCCCGGATCTCCAGAATCCCGTTTTCTTTTTGTACTTCTCGACTAAGCAAGGCAACTAGTGCATCGTCAAAGGAGAGAAAGAACCACAAAAGCAAGAACAAGGCACCCAACGCCAACATTAGTACCGACAAGTCTGTAACCCAGGAGCGAGGACCAGAAAAACAGGCTCAGCAGGACCAAGAACCTACCTTAACAACAGTGACGACTCCAGCGCCAACTACTGAGCCTTCTCAGAATGAACAAAGCAGAACCTCAGTCTCGCAAACAAGTAGATCCCACCTCCCCCATAAACCCCGTTCTCTCTACCCAGCCTCAATCCTAGGCCTTGCCATGGTCGCTAGAGGAGAGATCGGCTACCTCATCGCATCCCTAGCAGAGACCGATGGCATCTTCTCATCAAGCGAGCAGCAGAACAGTGATAGTTCCGAGCTGTACCTTGTAGTGGTCTGGGCTATCACCCTGTGCACCATTATCGGGCCGATTTGCGTTGGTACCCTGGTCAAAAGGGTTAAGACGTTACAGGCGCGGCGGGTGAACTCTGGGAGTGAGGATCCGTTGGGATCGTGGGGGGTTACTTCTTGAGTCCGCCTTTACCATTGGATGAAATGTACAAACATCTTGCATTGTTGGTGAATGTCCGTACTCCGTGACATCTCGGCTCGGCTCGGGGCGGGTGTTTGTTTGGACCCTCATTTCAGGAATGTAGTCGGCTCCTAGTACGGAGTAGGAGGGGGAGCTGACTAGACACGCAGCTTTCGTTTCAATATGCTCGGACTCGCACCTTTCCTGCAGGCAATACGGGGCTGCAAAAGGGTTGTAAATTGCAGGGCAGTACATATTGCTGTATGCCATTGTCATGTAAATCAACTATCCTGACGAGAAATAGCACAGCCTGATTCAGAGTAACTTGAAGGGTCGGGGGTGGAGAGATAAGATTCACATAGCACTGTCCACTGCAGCTCGGACCAAGAGGATCGACCCCTTGCATATCTTTGAATGGTGGATTCGTAGTCCATACTCGTATGCCGAATAATTATAGCAGCCTGTAATGCAATGCAGCCCCCTAAAACGGCCCGGCATTCGAACCGGCTTATGGAGACGCAACTTTAATCCTGGGCGACATATCCCGGGGCGTTTTGAGCAGTGTACGATCTACTTCCGTAGTTCGTATAGCATGAAAGGAGTCATTCCCCTAAACAATACGGAAATTCCGGTTCTCGAAATGAAAGGATCTCCGGAAGGGATGCCTACGCTCGGAGTCTCCGAGCTTCTCAGTCTGACTCACGGGCGGGCCATATCACCGAACGGCGCGATCCGTGCCGGGATTCTTTGCTACTAGTAGCTACGCCTGTCACAGGCACAGTTCTGACTCGGGATCTCCCAGTTAGTGGCCCTTTAGAACGTTGTAGCGTTACACTTAGCCCAGCAGATTCGGGATTCAGCCGCACCGTAGCTCGAGCCCAGGTCAAAGGATACTACCAATAGAGGACGAGCTATCTGAAACGGCGTCGTTCATTGCGGACGAAGATCCCATCCACCTATTTCAATGCCTGTGCTGCCAGATGTGGGGAGAGGGGGGACTTGGCGTGAACTCTTGAGTCTTGAACCCGTAAGCTGATTGGGTATGTGAACATGCCGAAAGGCCTAGGACCATGATTGAAGGCACGTCAATGGTGGACGACGTAAAGCTAATGCGACGATCGATATATGTTCAATATGCGTACGGTGGATGTGCGGGTGCTGCCCCGTCATGAACCCTGTTTCTGCAAATCCTGCAAATCCTGCAAATCTGTATGTGTATACTAGTAACTTGATTGTGGCAGTGACCCGCATCTCTTGGAACAACAGGGGGAAACAAGGCCATAGTGATGGAAGTGAAGCAAAACACTCGTCGTAGTTCGTATATGCGATGTTGTAGCCATACAAAAGCCATATCTCATTTGCAATCAACAATGCCTGCGCTCGTCAACCCCAGAAAGGGGTTACTGCCGATCCGTATTTGAGTAAAGGGCTGGGGAAAAAGCAAACATGCGAGCTGCAGGAACGCCGGGTACAGAGCGGGAATAAGCAATCTGAAGCCGTTAGCTGTGTAAACTGGGATTGAGACCTGTCCAGTGAGACGGCACATAGTAGTTCCCCATGTGATCGGCGAAAATGCCAATTTCGTCCTGTTTGTCGTCGCTCTTGTTCTTCGGCACCAGGGCCCGGGAAAGGCCACTGGGAAATGAGAACGCAATCTTATTTCTTGAATGACAGCCAAGAACAGGCGCGCGCGTCTCATCAGCTGCAGTTCTGCTGGTCTAGGTTCCGGGGCTTGAAGCTTCGTACCCCTCAACGTGTTATACAGGCCAGCGTTTCAGCCTCTGTCCCTGCTACAATTGCCCTTTTCGTTCTTAGCGAAATGAGAAATATGACCGGCAGGGCTGGGGCCCACCATCGACAACTACCATTTCAAATCACCCCAAATACATACCGACGGGGTGGCTCATGTCCTGAAAGGCTACACTAGAAGATGCCCGTGATTTCCAAGACATCGATCTCCATATCTCAGCCTTTTTCTCTAACAGATGTGGAATTCGCTTGTTCCAGCTGAGTCCATCTGGTCCCGTTCCCTCTTACCGGATTAGGACGTTGCTCATCATGAACTCAGGGTCACGACGCCTGCGTTCGTCATCGGCGTTGTGAAATGAACTCCGGATAGCGGATGAACACTGGGGCTTAGCAGATCTCAACAAAGTTGACACATGCCAAGAGAGCTCAGCACAGATTCCCCAACTGCGAGCACTGTTCCAACGGCTGGAGTTAAGGGAAATAGTGGCTATCATGCTGTCAAATTCCTAAGAAAGGGAGTGGAACCAGGACGTCACGGATCCCTAGCTGGTAATCCCGTCATGATCCTCGGGGTTAGTGCCAAAATGATCATCTCCTGCTCGATGCTAATTATTTCAGTGGCTTTTGCGGGAAAGCATTGTTGCAACTCTCCACTGATGGCGCATGAAGTTGACCAAGGTCAATCGGGACCTCCTCGCTCCTCAGACATATAAGGAATGGATTCTTTGCCTGGTCAATCCATACCAACAGCTGAACCTCATTCCACAAAGATCTTTCAATACAGAACTATCGTTATTCTTCCTTGGAAAATTTCCCAATCTCATTGCATACTTCCCACCGGCTCATTCGCCAACCCAAAGACTGTTGTATCAATCAGACCGTAAAACTCATATCAACCATGCCTTCTGAGAATAAAAACACCACAAGGTATGCAATATGAATAAAAACCATGCATTGAAAGTAACTAACGGTTCCAGGATGACCAATGGTATGGGCAACCGGCCTAATGGAAATGCAAACCACGATACAAACAGGAGCAATGCTGGCGTCGCAGGCCCCAATGGGTCATCCACTGCAGATGAGCCGTATTTTGCTCACACGCGGATGCATGACCGGTCTGCGCACGTATCCCGCCTATCGAGTCAGATCAATAGGACGGATGAGATTTTGAAAACATGAAAGACACATGTCTATTTGCAAGGAAAATACCAACAACTGAAGAAGAATCCGGTATCTTCCAGAATACAAGGGATAATCTCTATATACAAAACCTTTCAGATGCCGTGGTATGAGTGACAATGACCAGAAGACAGTATGGTCATCACTTGGCGGGTATATCCAACTAAAGCAAGCTCCGAGAGCCAAGGAAACATCAGAGTGGTAGTGGGTCTCTGTCATGTACACAGTCCAGGTCTCGGGATTCCAATTCAATCCAATAAGTCCCAAATTTGTTGTGCTAGTTCATCGTATTTGGTACTGGGGAATTCATGTCCAGCGTCGAAGTATTTAAACTCAACATTTCCCTCGAGGACATCGGTAGCATCTGGTGCAAGCTCTTCCTTAACGATGATAGAGTCGTCAACTCCGCAGATAATCTGCACCTTGTCGCCCGTAAGACCATGCTTGCTTTGCTCTTGGGGCGAGCGACTCCGCTGCGCCGTCAGAAACTGGCCCAGGCGTGCCCATGTATCCCATTGTCGTTGACACAGAATTGGCCCGAACCGCATGCTAGACATGAAGGCATGAACAAAGCCGGAATGGTTATTGACTTGCCAATAGACGGCCGTGGGAACAGCAACATGAGGGTATGCTCGGGAAAGTATTTGAGTACCAGCAGCGCCTGTCGAGGGAAGTTCTTCGGTGAGTGCGGCCCCGGCATCAATCTTCTCATTACCCTTGGGCTTCGGGGTAACCAATGGGCCCGCACGGAGCCGACGGCCGACAAGGAAACCCAGAACCTTCTCAGGTATCAGTCCACGGGAGTACAAAAAACGTGACTGGAAACTAATCTGGGAGTCTCTGATCAAACCGGATGGAGCCAGTAACACCAAGGACGAAAGAAGTTGAGGGAAGAATGACGCAAAGGACGCAGCAATACCGCCTCCAAGGGAATAACCCACGAGGCAGAATTTACCAGACCCAGCACCGGTCCACGAAATCGGGGACGAGTTCAATGCAAGAGAGATCTGTGTCGAGAATAGTCGGTCGTCCTGAGGGAGGTCTGACGGACAATCGGAATAGCCTCGTCCAAACCTGGTGGTTGACTTGTTAGCAAACAAGTCTCAATGGGCCCTGGAGAAAGCACTTACAAATCAAACAGCATGACACGACAGCCGCGATCAACTAGAGCGTGTGCCACACCGCCCAATGCGATACACGGAGTAGTGATACCATGAACAAAAAGCACCTTAGGTCCATCCTCAGGGCCCCATTCGTAGGCCCTGATTGATCCATATGGGGTCGACACATCACGGGCTCCGGGGAGCACATCGGCCGGCAACGGAAGAGCACGAATTTCTTCATCTGAGAGACCGGGTAAAACAGTCGACCGCGGGGAGTGAAGGATCTTTCCTTCAGTGTGCGAATCTGAACCAATTGAGCGAAGCAGGAAGCCTAGAGTAAACGATGCTGCACCGGTTGCGGCCAGGAGGGGGATCTGGGATTGATGATTCGCGAAGGAATCGGACAGGAAATCGGCAGTCTGACTGTACCAAGACATTATGGATGTAGAATTTTCTCTAAAAAATATTATACAATTAATCCAATACCAAACAAAAAGCAGTTGGTGATACCAGTCACTGACTGAGAGAAGGAGAGAGACCGGAAGAGGAAAGCCTCGGCGAGTAAGCATCGGGCCGAGGGACCAGCCGGATTGACGTCATGTTTCCTATCTGGGTTAAATGTCAACTATGGAAACATTGTACGAACATCTCAGCGAAATGCTGCAGAGTACATATATAGCAATTATCATACTGAGAGCATGATGTTGGAACAATGTGCCTGAAAGGCTCAATGCGGTAAGCGCTGATAGATATCTGAAACAAGGAAGTGTCAGAGATACAACGTCCGCTGTCTAAAATATACAAAGCTAAACAAAGTGTTTGTGAACTCAATTCAAAACACCAACTGACATTGTTGGGCGCATCCTTGCCTGGTAGGGCCAAAGAGACGCTCTCGAGATTAATCTATCCACCGCCACCATCCGGAGCCGACAATCAAGATAGGGCGCATACTCAACTTCAGACAACCTCATATAAAAGTATTCAGCTCAATGGACAGTGTCGCCCTGGACCCCAGGGATCTACAGGCACAACGAGAAGAAATCGATGATCTATCGATCCTTCATCTTATCTATCGTTTCCGTTTCGCGCTGAGGTTCTGGTCCCTGCAGATGCCAGGTCAATAAGTGTAAGGAACGAGTTAATCAACTCTCATCGGGCCATACTTGCAGAATCAGCATCCGTCTCTGGCAGGAACAGACCATATGCGGCCTTACGTAGGCTCTGCATTGGTTACCGATATGGGAAGGCTAAGTGTCAAAGAAGTCCTAGGATCAGACTGCTATCTGAGTCTGAGCAAATCCATATCGCCCTGGAACAAAGTCCAAGAAGCAACTGAGATCGATTATATCCAGTCTTCAAATTGATTGCCATATTTATCCGGGGTTAAATTAACCGAACAGCTTGGAGCGCCGTCCGCATACCATATATTGAAAACGAGCAGGAGCTCTGCCCACACAACCCAATCAAAACGCATGATTGGGTTAAAGAGATCGGAATCACTGCTAGATGGCAATGCCAATGACCAAGGAGTAATGTCTATCACTTTGAAACGAGTCAATTAAAAAGTATCAAATAGAATGGAGCGGGAACAGGGCATTCCGTTGGCTATAAAAGGATATAGTTCCTCCTAGTTTTGGGATCATTCAATCAATTCTGCGGGCCAGATAACAAAGACTTTCATTCTCTCTCTCCCATTTCTTTTTTTTTTTTTTTTTTTATGCTTATATTACTTTCCAGTTCAAAATATGTATAACCGCGCACTCCTTATCTCTTCCCTTTTGGCAGTTGCTAGTGCCCAGCAGGCTGGGACACAGAAGGAAGAGAACCACCCTTCTTTGAACTGGCAGAAGTGTACAGCGGATGGCTGCACGGAACAGAAGGGCTCTGTGGTCCTTGACGCCAACTGGCGTTGGGTCCACTCGACCGATGGTTACGACAACTGCTACACCGGTAACTCGGTAAGTCTCTATCATGCTGAAAAGATAAAACCGTGAGTAACAGAGGAATACAGTGGGACGAGAGCCTTTGCCCTGACGACAAGACTTGCGCTCAGAATTGCGCCCTTGACGGAGCTGATTACGAGGGCACCTATGGTATCAGCTCTGACGGCGACGCCCTGACTTTGACCTTCGTTCAAGACTCCAACGTCGGATCGCGGTTGTACTTGATGGAGGATGACAGCACTTACCAGATGTTTAACTTGACCAACTCCGAGTTCACTTTCGATGTCGATGTCTCAGAGCTGCCTTGTGGCCTGAACGGTGCTCTGTACTTCAGCTCCATGGATGCGGATGGTGGACTCTCCAAGTATGATGGCAACAAGGCTGGTGCCAAGTACGGTACTGGATACTGTGATTCGCAGTGCCCAAGGGATATGAAGTTCATTAACGGCCAGGTAAGATATCCTGTCTTGTTTCCGCGGATTCTCATGGCTAATAACTAAACCAGGGCAACGTCGAAGGCTGGGAGGCCCAAGAAAATGATAAGAACGCCGGCACTGGCAACCATGGCTCTTGCTGCCCCGAGTTGGATATCTGGGAGGCCAACAAGATTTCCACGGCTGTCACGCCCCACCCTTGCAGCGACCTCGAACAGACCATGTGCAATGGAGACAACTGTGGCGGAACCTACTCTGGCGAGCGCTATGGAGGAAACTGCGACCCTGACGGCTGTGACTTCAACCCCTTCCGTATGGGCAACGAGTCGTACTTCGGCCCGAACAAGATCGTCGACACCACCAAGAAGATGACGGTGGTGACCCAATTCATCACTGATGACGGTACCGACTCTGGAACCCTTTCGGAGATCAAGCGCTTCTATGTCCAGGACGGCAAGGTCATTGCTAACGCTGCTTCTAACATCGACGGTGTCACGGGCAACTCCATCACCTCCGACTTCTGCACGGACCAGAAGAAGGCTTTCGGTGACGATGACGTCTTCGCGCAGAAGGGTGGCCTCTCCAAGATGGGCGATGCCATGGCCAACGGCATGGTCCTTGTCCTGAGTCTGTGGGATGACCACTACGCCAACGCGCTCTGGCTCGACAGCTCCTACCCGACTAACGCTACCGAGAGCGACCCCGGTGTTAAGCGTGGGACTTGCGCCAAAGGCTCTGGCGCTCCCAGCGATGTTGAGAAGAGTGCTGCCGATTCCACGGTGACTTTCTCGGGTATCAAGTTCGGAGCCATCAACTCGACCTTTTCTGCTTCGTCGTAAAACGTTTGATCGACGTATATCGAGGCGGGCATGAACCGATACTCTGTTAGTGGTATGATTGGGGGATTCTCAAGAATCCTGTATTAAATTCTATTCTTCAATCTGTCTTTTAAAAATGTTAAAAAATTAAATGTGGCTGTCAAATTTCTGTTCTCAGTTATACTAGTCCGTACAGATGCACCGGAACATTCTCGGTCCGGGTTCACTAAAAAGGGCAATCGACTCGGAGCTGCTCTTGAAAGTAAGAAGAAAAAAACCATTGCAACTCTTCCACGCCATGTTTGACACGGTCTGTACACTTCCGCTGTCTGCGGATTTATTCGCGCAGGCCCTTCATCCCAGAGAACCCGTTGTCTCTGTCGGACTTTCGACTGGCCATGTGCAAACTTTTCGACTTCCGTCGGACGAGGTCGACAGCGACGACAACGATGTCGCGTCGAACTCGTCGTCGCGGAACGGCAAGGGTCATATTGATACCATGTGGAGGACAAGACGGCACAAGGGCAGCTGCCGAACTTTAGGGTTTGGCATTGACGGGGAGACACTGTACTCCGCAGGGACAGACGGCTTGGTGAAAGCTGCGAAGGCGGAGACCGGAGTTGTGGAAAACAAAATTGCGATTCCCACAGAGAAAGATGGGTTAGTTTCTTTTACCAGTTGGATCTTAATGGATCTTGTACGCTATTTTGTGGTTCAATGGCTTGGCTAACGGTGCTGTTTTCTATATTGTAGCTCCGTCGATGCTCCGACAGTCGTCCATGCTCTGTCCCCCCAGACTCTTCTTCTCGCTACAGACTCAAGCGCATTGCATCTCTATGACCTTCGCAAACCCTACTCGTCTGTTTCGGCGCGTCCGGAACAATCACATCATCCTCACGACGATTACATCTCATCCCTCACTCCCCTACCGGCGTCGGATACCAGTACATCAGGCTTCAGCAAGCAATGGATTTCGACCGGAGGCACAACATTGGCCGTGACGGATCTACGACGCGGAGTTATGATGCGCAGCGAAGATCAGGAGGAAGAACTGATCAGCTCCACTTACATCAGCGGGTTGCCATCCAGCGGAAGCAGCCGCGGTGAAAAGGTCATTATCGGTGGTTCTAGCGGAGTGTTAACGCTCTGGGAGAAGGGCGCTTGGGATGATCAAGACGAGCGGATTTACGTCGACCGTTCTGGCTCTGAGGGAGAGACCTTGGAAGCCATTAGTGTCGTCCCAGATGACCTTGGAAAGGGCAAGATGGTTGCGGTCGGTGTGGGCACCGGTGTAGTTAAGTTCGTCGGCATTGGCCCCAATAAGGTTGTCTCGTCCGTCATGCACGATGAGACTGAAGGCGTTGTGGGGTTGGGGTTTGATGCTGAAGGTCGCATGGTCAGCGGTGGCGGCCAGGTGGTGAAAGTCTGGCACGAAGCTTTAAACGTGGAAGATTCTGGCGATGTCGATATGATGGGTAGTGACAGCGAAGGTAGCAACGATGACTCGGAAGATGACAGTGACCGCGAGAGCCGATCCGGTGACAAGTCCCGCCGGAAGCGAAAGAAGGCCAAGGGCAAGGACCGCAAGGGAGGACAGCAAATCATGGCATTTGATGGTCTTGATTGATTGATACCCTATCTTGAAATTGCATAGCTGTAAAGCATCGATACTTTGGAGTCTACGGACCACAAGCACATATCGAAGGAGTATGAAGTAGACGTAAATAGACAAAATCTAGCTCTTCTAATACATAAAGCTACTGTTATGCACTTCTACTCTATTTCCTATGAGCGGAATTTTTCCACTGTTCTACAACTTCATTAATAAACCATATCCGGAAATCCGAACCTCACCTCAACTGCCGAAACCTCGAAGCCCCGCGACGAGACCCACGGAAGAGCATGTGGAGAGAAAATAAAGATGGATTTAAGGGTTGCGATCAGGATTATTCATGATGATCAAGCAGCACTGGGTCTTATTTAGTGTTTCCTTCTCATCCTCCTCCTCTCATCCACCATTTGCTCTTCACCAGGCAAATCTACATAATGGACGCATTTGAATACAACGCCAATCCCGGCCGGGTCATCTTCGGCAGTGGCACCATCCAGAAACTCCCTGATGAGATCGCCCATCTTAACCTCAAGCTGCCCCTGGTCCTCTCGACACCGCAGCAGACCAGCCAGGCTGAGACCGTCAAAAATGTCCTGAAGGACCAGATCGCAGGCATCTTCTCGGATGCTACGATGCACACGCCCACGCATGTCACCGATGCGGCCGTCCAATTTGCGCAGCAGAAGGGCGCTGATTCGGTCATTTCCATCGGGGGTGGCAGCACCATTGGTCTGGGAAAGGCAATTAGCTTCCGCACAGGACTGTCGCATATCTGTATCCCAACAACTTATGCGGGAAGTGAGATGACGCCTATTTTGGGAGAGACAGCGGATGGAGTGAAGAAGACCAAGTCTGATCCCAAGATCCTTCCCGGGACGGTGATCTATGATGTCGACTTGACCATGACCCTGCCCACGGGGATGAGCGCAACGAGTGGTGTCAATGCCATTGCTCATGCTGGTAGGTTTACCACTATCTATGGCTAAAAGCGCATCAAGCTAATGATGCTTCCAGTCGAGGCTCTCTACGCCCGCAACACCAACCCCGTCATCAACCTGATGGCCATTGAAGGAACTCGAGCCTTGGCCAGCTCTCTCCCCGAAATTGTTGAGAACCCATCTTCTCAATCTGCTCGCTCCCTGGCCCTCTACGGCGCCTGGCTGTGCGGAACCTGTCTAGGTAGCGTGGGCATGTCCATCCACCACAAGCTCTGCCACACTCTCGGAGGCAGCTTCAACCTGCCCCACGCAGAGACTCACACTGCTGTGCTGCCGCATGCTATCTCATACAATGCGCCCAAAATCCCTGAGGCTATGAAGAAGCTGGCAGACGCTCTTCCCGAAAGCAACGGGGATGCGATCCACGGGTTGAACGTCTTACTGGAGAAGCTGAAGGTCAAGCGGGGAGCCCAAGACTTTGGAATGAAGGAAGATGGCATTGATAAGGCTGCTGAAATTGCCGTAAGCAACCCGTACTGGAACCCCCGGCCAATTGAGCGTGGTCCGATCCGCGAGTTGATTCGGAGAGTTTGGGCTGGAGAACCCGCGCGCGCAGATCTGTAACTATTAATTTAGCATAGGGTGATCTGTATATACCAATGAGTTTAAGATAGCATAAAATATAAGAATTTAAGTATGAATGCAGTGTCGTTCCTATATGTTAATCACAAACCGTACCATTGGCTCCTTTCGCATGGCGGGGTGAAGTGGGGGGTTTCGCCGAAAAAAAAAATTTCCTCCCATCAGCTAACATCAATCCTCAATCCAACAGACAACATTCAGGAGGAAAGAGGGGCTACGCAGTGCCTCCCTTGTTATTCTGCTAGACTATGGGCGCAGAAATGGGGGCAGCACCGGTGCTGTCCACCCCCGATGACCGAATCCTCGAAGCCACCGAACCCGTTGTCTCCCACGATCCCCAGCGCATTGCATCCGACGAAGAGCTCTGCATTACATACGATATTGAGCGCACGTTGAAAGAGATCCGCCAGGCCCGGTATAAGCGAGTTGCCCTACAATTCCCCGATGACATGCTCCCTGATGCCCCGCGGGTATTCCAACTGCTCAGTCGGGGACTGAACCCTGCGACAACGACCACCAGCAATGGCGTAAACGGTCATTCAAATGAAACGGACAATGCGGACCTGGCGCAGTCTGTGGCTGGTCTTCAGGTGGAGAATCCGGCGAACGAGACGCCGAAACTGTACATCTTGGCTGATACTTCCTACGGAACCTGCTGTGTCGACGAAGTGGCTGCAGAACATGTGAACGCGGACGTGGTGGTACATTATGGACGGTCGTGCTTGTCGCCAACGGCCCGATTGCCTGTCATCTATGTGTTTACGCATAAGCCTCTGCCTATCGAGCCGGTTGTTCGGGCCTTCAAGGCTACCTACCCAGATCCATCTACGAAGGTGATTCTGGCGGCGGATGTGACTTACGCGGACCACCTTCCCAATGTGTATGCTCGACTGACGGAGGAGGGATATGCCGACTTGTTTGCTACAGAGATCGTTCACGACCCGTCTTCTGCTATCCCAAATCGATCTGTGCCGGAGTCTGTTCGCGAAAGCCCCGATTCGTTGTCAAAGTGGCAGCTCTTCCATATTTCCAACCCTCCGACGGCCCTTCTTATGACTCTTGCGTCTCGGGTCACTGCAATCCATATTTATCCCGCGGAAAAGGCAGAGGGGGAAGAGGATGACGTGAAGCCACTAGAGGCATCGACAGCGGCCGCCTTGCGGCGACGATACGCCATCTTGACCTCGTTGAACACCGTCCCTATTTTCGGTATCTTGATCAACACCCTGAGCGTAAAGAACTATCTTCACATCGTGGAGCATGTCAAGCAAAAGATTGCGGATGCGGGCAAGAAGAGCTACATGTTTGTGGTCGGCAAGTTGAACGCAGCTAAAGTCGCTAATTTCAGCGAAATTGGTGGTTGGGTGGTCATTGGCTGTTGGGAGAGCTCCCTGGTCGACAGCAAAGATTTTTGGAAACCGGTCATCACCCCGTATGAGTTGGAATTGACGCTCCAGGGGGATACGGAGCGGGTCTGGACGGGAGCATGGCAGAGCGATTTTCAAGCCATCCTTGATAAACCGACTGAAACCCCTTCGTCGGAAACCAACGGTGCGGCCGGCGGCGACGGCGACATCGACAACGACGACGAGGAAGAGGACTCAGACTTCGAATCCGCACCCCCAGAATTTGACTTGCGTACTGGCAAACTTGTCTCACACTCACGTCCGATGCGGGATCCTGCACCCCGCGTTTCTGCCCAGCTCGATGCTGCGGCGGCGAGTAGTGGACCGAATGCTGCTCGGGCGTTAGCCAGACGGGCCAAAGGCGATCTTGCCATGATCGGCGGGAACGTTTCCCCAGGGGCAGAATTTCTACGATCGCAGCGGACGTGGAAGGGATTGGGCAGCGATTTCGATATCCGGTATGACGACGACGAGGATGATCGGGATAGCACACTGGTGGTGGAAGGGCGCAAGGGTATTGCAAGGGGATACACCGTCGGAGAATCAATAGACAAGCATTAACTTTAGCATCCTGTGTGTATAGTACTTGTATAGGAGTGTTCCGCAGGGCGTATGATGCCCTAATAATTGAAGCCACATGGACAACAGAAACTTGAATGTAGGGGCTACTAAATGAATAATTGAATTCTGATCTTTCCTAAGACTTTTCTTTTTTTCTTTTTCTTTTTTTTTTTGTTGTCGTCTGGCAGCAAAAGCAACATATCACATGATACGCCTGTTGAGTTGGCACACACCACAACAAGGCACGCTCACTTCCTTTCATACACCGTCTAACAACAACCCAGGATGGCTTTCTCCATGTCGCCCATCGCCTGCTTATAAGGAAGAAAGTAAAAGGAAGACACGTCCCTCCTTGCGTATCTTTTCTTCTCCTTTCCTTTTTTCCCTTTTCTTATGATGTCCTGCGTTTCCCGCATTCTCCGCCGTGCTCGCGATCTCGCGTCACTTATCCAACTCTCAGCTTGAAAGAATAGAAGACTATGTCTATCGTTTACAACCCGGCATCTGCAGACAGGTTACAGTCGTACAGCAGCATCATGGTGGAAGATAAGCAACGGTGCTTGGTGGAAACCGCCCTGGAGCAATCGGCGGCTCCGGCTCAGCGATCTCTATCGATATTTGAACGAGTAATTACCACGCATGCTCCCATTCTTGAATCTCTTTTACTTCAGTCTCCTACGGATTCCATCTTACAGCTCTACCATACCTCACGCTATCTACAATCCTTCCTTAAATCCTACCCGACAGCATGGAAATACCTCTCGTTTCGCTTATACTACCCATCCGGCACGCAGCCGCCGCCTGTCCGAGTCGTCCTCCCCGGCCATCTAGATCCAGAGAGTCAACGCCAGTCACGTCCGTATGCCCTCGATAAGTTATTGATGACGGTGGCTATTCCCTTCAGCCCGTGTCTGCGGAGTTTGGAACTGGATAATACGGCCGTGTCGGGCCAGATTCTGATCTCGACGGTCCTGCATTCACGACGGGAGACACTGGAGCACCTGTCTGTTCGGGGGTGTAAGAATGTCTCGCTGAAGTACCATATTGTTCCGTATCTTACCATGTTTGGATTACAATATGATGTGGATATGGCACGGAATATCGGTAGTTCACCCGCTACGAAGCCGCTTGCTCTCAAGAGTCTCTACACCTATCGATGCCGTCATCATCGACGGAGGCCATATCTCACGTCCTCTCTACAAAGGAAGGATTCTGACTCAGAGCCAACGCATGAGTTGGTGACGCTCTGTCACAAGCTGGGCATCTGGACGGATACAGCTTGGTGTTCTACCCCTGCAGGACGGTGCTTCCGGCGAAGGGGATATGTCCAAATGAGGGTTCCCCAGGGATCTGCGGAGGTCTGGGTGGTTTTTGACCGGCTCTGGCGATCCAAGAATTGGATTGGCTCTGTGGACCATGGAAGCCAACCTTCAAAGCAGGATGGAAAGTTATGGGAGCACAGTGAGACTGGGGCATTTGGCGAAGCTTTGGGGACCGGAGAAGGAGGCGATCCGGGCGAAGGCAAAACTTTGCCTGCCCATCTTCGTCAGAGCCACACGCGCTTCGTTGAGAACGTTCGGTGTGACAATTGCTTGGAGGTGATTCCGGAGCGGTGTGAGCAATGCAGCATTCTAATGCACTGCATTGGGTGTCGGAAGACTCTCTGTGCAAGCTGTGCGTACGAAAGGCCTTATGTCCATCGCACATCCCGGTCATCGACATCTGTAGATGATGCTCCTCAGCCATTCTGGTGGGCACCAGGAGCGACTGTCTCACCGTGTTCCATGCAGGACCCTGCACACAGTGTCTCTTACATTTCGAACCAACCCAGCTCGTATCCTACGCTCATGTTCCATTGGTGTTGCACAGAACCCATCTTCTCTGGAGGCGGTGGGATCAGCATTGGCACTCCTAATAGGGAAGTTGATCAAGTACGAGCCGTTCCTCTGCCCCGGGGACAGGGCTGGGAGGATGTCGAATATTCGAGCAATGAGTTCAATAAGACGTTCCCCAAGTACGCCTACGGTGATCCGACAAGACCGGATTACTCACTCGAGACGGGACACATCGCCATGATGAAGTGGTTATTGGGCCCACCAGATCGGAAGATCTCGCCCTGCCCGCGGAATCTGTGTCAGGAGTGCTATGATTCTACTCATTGGAAAGTCCATTGCAAGACGTGCTCGAAGCCATTGTGCATTGAACACGACCTCCGGGGGCTGCGTCTGCGGATATGTGGATATCGCGATCTTGCTATGGAAAAGCTGGCCATTCAGGAACAGGATGGCACTAATTCTTTAGACCACCTTCCACAAGCAAGGCCCACTTCTGGATTTGATCTGCCTTATCGGACACAACGCGTGGTTGATTCGATCACGAGCAGCTTCACGGACGATCAGCTGGGCGATAATCTGACTGAATTGAACACTCCTGTAATTCCGCATACAGATCTTACTGAATCTGGCGAGCTCGTACGGCGCAGTTCAAGGAGCTTTTCCGCCTCGAACTCGAATGGCTCTCGCTCATCGTCCCCGTCATCTCTATATTGCGACTCACCAATGGAACCCCCAAAATGGCAGGGATGCCAGTCATTCTTCTGCCCCCAGCACCGCGTAGTAGGCGATCACCGCCAACGCTGTGGCAGCCTCCTCTTCGAATGTACATCTTGCTCAGTGAACGTGTGCCAAGACTGCGTCTCGCGGAACCCGCCCTGCAACTGCTCATACTGCGAATCGAACTATCTCTGTCCGAACTGTGCCCGGAACTACGAGCGAGACGGGACGTGTCGACGACTAATCGAGGAGAAGGCACGACGGGAGCGAAAGTGGAAGAAGGACATGCGAGCGTTGGAGGGGATTCTTGATAATAAACTTGCGAATGAGATCGCGGAGTTTGCAGGGCAATTCTTCGATGCGATTGAGCAGGAACAGCCGGGAGTATCTGTGGAGCAGGTTGAGGATATTGGACTGTCGGGTTGGTCTTGAGTCCTTGCTTTTTTCGCTTTTTTTTTTCAACATTTCCCGCATTTCTTATCATTTCTTCGTTTTATTGTCATGTTAAAGGGTGCATTATGGCCATTTGCACCAGGTGGTGTTCACGGCGTCCTTGCCATGTTTCTGCATACTGATTTGTCTGGATGCGCAGGGGGCATTCAGCCTAGGATGTATGTGTTCGGGTTTTATTTGTTTGAGTCAGATATCCGGGATTATAATGTGAATATATGGGAAGTAAATGTGTTATGTTCGGTTTATACGTTAGGAATAGAGGACATGTCATTCAATCACTCATATACTTTAGTAGTGGCGTAGTGGAGAAGAACACCGGCAACGTGAAGCATAAATGTATTATTGTTTAACAGCATGATGCATTCGGCAATTCGTAACTCATACCAACACAGCCAACCTACCCAATCTGCGCATTCGAAAAGTCCATTTCTATACCCATTAGCAAGCCCCCAATCCAACAACCCTCGAGAATGAAAAGAAGGAAAGCATACCAGGATGTTCCGCCTGAAACTTGCTCAAAATCTCCATCTTCTTCTGCTCCTCACTACTCGGCTTCCCCATCTCCTTCTGCCGCTGATCATACATCATCTTCTCGACCATCGCCCTCGTCTGCCCGTCCAAATCGCCCAGGTTCGAGTTCTCGGGCGTGATCTTGCTCACGTCGATCTTGGGAGCTGTGGTTACCACGTGCGCCCACCAGTTCATCTTGTTGATTTTGTCGAGGTGGATGGCAATTTCTTTGCCGGGGGGTGTTGGGGTGGTTTCGAGCGTCCAGGAGGATTCGTCAGTTAGAATGGGGTGGGGGAATTGGCCCTTCACAGTAACATAATATTAGCTCTTGCTATTGGTTATGGCTTGGTATAGGCAGGTAGGTGGAGGGTGTACCTCAATAATAGCCTCCTGCCCCTTCACAGCAACCTTAATCTTATCCTTCGCCAGCACGATATCCAAATCCCTACCCTTCAGGTTACCGGGGACAGGGATCGTAACGTCGACATCGCGGATGCTCTGGGTCCATTTGTAGGGGAGTTGGGCTTGTTCGGCGTCTTCGCGAGCCTTGCGGTCCTTTTCTTCTTGTTCGCGGGCAGCGGTTTCGGCGGGGATTGGGGGTTTTTCGTCGGCCATTTTGTTTTTTGATTTCTGGTCTGGGTTTGGAGATGGTTAATACGAGGAGAGAATGCGGTGGTGTAGTGTGAATGGAGAGGAAAGTGATATCCGAGTAGCATTCTGTCAGTGTGGGGCGGTTCCGCGTTGTGGTTATATCGATTGCTACGGGGAACTGCATAGAAGAGAATATTCAATTAAACATTAGTTATTTAATAATAGCCGTACATAGTTCCATGACATGTCAATTCCATTATTAGTATTAAAATTAGCGTTAGTAGTATGCATCGATCATAGATCGTTCACAATAATAAAGACAGCATATGTCCAGTCCATACCAATGTCCAAACCCATCACAACCCTAGCGACTCTCCCACGAAAACCTCCTCGCCCCAAACTCCTCCCCAATATCAACACTACACCTTGGACTCCTCACCATCCACTCCGGTCTCTGAAACACTGCCTGCGGCTGCGCAATATTCACCATCTGCTGCTGTCGCAATATCGCAGACGACACAGACACAGTCGTCCTCCTCGACGGCGTGGGCGATACCCCAGCGGAGTACGGCGGAGGAGGCGTCTCCCGCGTCGCAGTCGAGGTGTTACCGTAACTGCTCTGGAAGGAGAATGCTGAGGAGGCGTCGTCGGCTGTGACGCCATCGCGAGAGTCTCGATGGTCGTATTCGTAGAGATATCTTTGCTTTTCGTTGGATGGTGTGTTTGTATTTGATTCTGTTTCCAGTTCTGATGAGGAAGATCGTATGTGCCCCTCAATGGTCTTCTCTCGGATACTCATGGGACGAGGTGTATACCGAGGAAGCGGGATGGTGGGTGTATAACCCTCATCATTCCTGATGTTGAGATTGCCAATATAAGCGGCCATTCCATTGGGAAATTGGTTATGAGTATGGCTCTGGAACTGCTCATTTTGTCCGCTTTGAAGAGGTACTGGTCGAGCGGGACTTTGTTCTATCATGCCTGGAGTGGGAGTGGGAGCGCGGCCAAAGCAGCAGCAAAAACCACTGAATAGTCCCATTTCACCGTTTCAAAATTGGAATACAAGATCGATCAGGGCATCAATTTAGTAGGTAATAGATCGATGCGGGCCTGATGCTGGTCTGAGCTCCGCAGTAGATATGCAAGTACAGATGTGGGCTCAAACATGCACAAAATGAGATAATCTGATCGATGGCTGTCAGAATGAAGAATGCAAAATGTGCGAGATCCACGAGAAGAGAAAATGACAGAAAACAGCGAGAGGGGATGAGGCTGTGAGGAATCAAGAGTGAATCCTTCGTAGTGAATAAGAGCCTCAGGCAAGGCAGTCACGTTTCATATTGTTTTCCGATTGGTTGAGAATTCACTGCTGATAAGATTCCCCGGAGAGGTGCCTGAGGCTGACAGGAACTTTTTTTTCTTCACCCCCGCCTCACTGTTCACTCTACAGTCTACAGTCTCCCTGTACAACCGCCGAAATGACACCGGCAGCTACATCACCACCCCCTGACACTCCCGAATCTACTCTCGAAACTATTCCCTCCGATATCACTACCGCCGCCCAACGCGCCGAACCTCCCCAGATCCCCGCGCACCGCTCTCACGACCCCTCCAACAACCTCAAACGCACCGACCCCTTCCAATTCGGCTCCCGCTACCTAGAACAAGGCGACAACGTCTTTGAATTCAATGCCTGGGACCACGTCGAGCCGGATGACGAATATAAAGCCTTCGCCGAAGTCCAATACTCCAAACAGCGCGAATCCCCCGTTTCCGACTTCGACCGCTGGCGCTTCAACGCAGACCCGGCCAAATGGTGGAATCTGTTCTACAAGAACAACACGGCGAATTTCTTCAAAGATCGTAAGTGGTTGAGGCAGGAGTTTCCGGTTCTCGCCGAGGTAACGAGGGCGGATGCGGGAGGGAAGGTTGTGTTGGAGGTTGGGGCTGGGGCGGGGAATACGGCGTTTCCGTTGGTGGTGAATAATGAGAATGAGAGTTTAAAGGTTCATGCGTGTGATTTTTCGAAGACGGCAGTCCAGGTTATGAGGGAGAGTGAGCATTATAATCCCAAGCATATCACGGCGGACGTGTGGGATGTGGCTGCTGTGAAGACGGAGGAGAGTGATTCGCTGCCTCCGGGGTTGGCAGATGAGTCAGTGGATGTTGTCGTGTTGATCTTCATCTTCTCGGCCCTTAATCCCAATCAGTGGGATCAGGCCATGCGCAACATCCACCGTGTGTTGAAGCCTGGTGGTCAGGTTCTGTTCCGTGACTACGGTCGGGGAGACCTTGCGCAGGTGCGGTTCAAAAAGGGCCGGTATCTGGCAGACAACTTCTACGTCCGCGGAGACGGCACACGGGTGTACTTTTTCGAAAAGTCCGAATTGGAGTACATATGGAGTGAATGGACACCAGAGAAGGGCATTCCCTTTGTCGACCAAAGCGAATACGAAGTCACTAAGCCAGGAACCGAGCCTGGAACCTCACAAGAAGATTCAAGAAGCGAGAATCAGTCTGATGAGAAGCAAGAGAACGCCAAACCCTCTCAGCCGATCTGCACTGGCCAAAATGATGGCCTTTTCGAGATCCTCAACCTGGGTGTTGACCGTCGTCTGATTGTCAACCGAAACCGCAAACTCAAGATGTATCGTTGCTGGATGCAGGGTCATTTCAAAAAGCGTGAAGCGGCCATTGAGGACAAGAAGGAGGACTCGTGATTTCATTATAGAAGCTTATTCAAAAGCATATACCATTTTGATACCCAAAGACCATATTTGGCAATGTCAAGGCACCAATGCGCGCCGGCTATTGAAGACTAGCGTGGGCACCCGATTCAAGCCGTTACCCAGTCTTTGTACTCGCCATTATGGATACATTGGCGCCATAACGAACTGGGTTCGATGCGCATGCCAAACTTGCGAGTTGCAGAGGCCGTCAGTACATGAGAATAGAATAGACCATTGCTTCAAAACTACGCTAGATGCCAGGAAGACTATCATGTTATATCCAAAATCGTTCATTATTTGTAAGAAGTTCCAGAGACAAAGTAGCTACATTTCGACCATGCGTATGTACTGGCAAAATGGCAAGAAAAAGTATGTGAAAGAAAGAAAGAAGGAAGAAAGGGAGAAAGGAAGGAAAGAAGGAAAAAAGGAAAGAGAAAAAGGATAAGAAGTGGAAAGAAACGAAAACTGCTCTATGCACCAGTCTATCCCCAAGCCGAACCGAAAAATAAGACTTGGATGTAAAGCAGCAAACGAAAGTCTAAGAAAGCAAATGCCATAATACTCCATCCATGCAAGAATTGAAGAAAAGAGGAAGGGAAAGAAGAGAGAAGACGTGACAGAAAAGGTCAGGACAGGGAACGTGCAGTCTTTGCATGGAGAAGACCTGGCCATCCGTACCTAGCAAGAGTCCAATACTTTTGGTTCATATATCTTCACTCATAGTCGGTCATATGCATTAATGTATTGACAAACCGCCTTACGCGGTCAGGTTGGGACATTCTCCTTTGGCTCTCACGAAGGCATGAGCGAAGAGGTCTTGCATCGCACAGTAGTGGAACAGGATCCCACCAAGCACAGCGAAATGCCAGATGTTGTGGCTGCCGCCCACATAGTCAAACAAACCAGGACGCCAGCGTTCCGGGACTTGTGAGGCATAGACACAGGCACCGGCAAAGTAAACTAGAATGCTCTTCACGACAGGGGCGTAGAAATACAAGCACCAGGAAAAGCCTCTGGTATATGTCAATTGTGCCAAAGGAGCGAAGCCCGTCAGAGCAAGGGTAACGTAGAATGCCACGCGAGCCCAAGCGAGATCCGCTCGATTAAACGTCGGGTGCCACGGAAGAACGACACCACCAATTCCAAGGCACATGGTGGCAAGGATGTACGTCCATCGCGAAACAGGCTCACAGTAGAAAGCCGTGTATTCCGTTGTCACGATCGACGCCGCCACCAGCATGGAAATCCCGGTGTAGTCGACACAGGCGAATCGTTCCATGAGCGGCTGGTTGGCAATGCTGTTCATGGTATGCCAGAGGGTGCTGCAGACCAGGCACTTGCATGCAGCGAAGAAGAAGACGGCGGCAATGGTCACATCGGTCTTGGTGCTCAAGTGGAAGTTGGGGTTCAACGGATAGAAATAGAATGCCACCGACAGAACGATGAACAGACCGATGAGGTGCGACCAGATGTTCACCATTTCGTTGGAAAATGAGAAAACCGATGTAAAGCATTCCACCTTGGAAGAGTTGAATCGATAGCCCTGGAGGATATGCGGGTTGATGCGCCAAGGGTGAGGCAGATCGGCATAGGCGATCAACCGTTTCTGCTGTGCCAGTTCGATAGCACGATCAATGTTCTCGCGCATTGCATCCTTCGCTCGTCGAGCCCGTTCCATTCCTTCATCGACCACTTCACCCAATTTCGAGTCCATTGCCTTCCAGCCGTCATCGATCGCACCATAGATACCACGGTCCCGGACCGCATGCGCTCGAGATTCCAGCTCGGACAAGAACGACTCCATGAGACGAACGCCTGCCTGGGCCTTCTGTTCCAGGGTCTCCTTTGTCACCAGAGCCTCATTGTAGCGGCCCTCGAGGGTCTCGACCAGAATCTTGGCTCTCTTTTTGCCGCTGCCCATGAGTTCTCCGGAAGCGTAGGAGCAAGAATCCCTGACCGCCTCGAGTGTCGCATAACCTCTGCGGAGACTGGCATCAATCTGAACCATGTGTGACTTCCGGTATTGTTCGATCCAGTGCATGCGGCGTTCCAACTCGGCGAGGAAGAGTTCAACCTAATTCAGATTAGAATCGCCTCACCGGGTGGCAAGGAATTCACAAGACTTACCCTCAGGTAAACCGCATCCCCATCATAATCACAGGAGTTCTTCCTGGCATTGTGGAAGGAGTGCCTGCGCGTCCGGTCTCGTAGCAACGAGGTGTCTTCTTGAGGGGTGGCCGAAGAGGCGGCGACATCGGCGACGTCGGGGATATCAGGATACGACTCGATAGTCATGGATTGCGCGGAGCAAGCCATTCCGATTGGGTTTCTTCTTCGTATGACTGACTCGGATTATGTGATTCGCATTCCTTTTGTTGTTTTGAAGTATAGTCGCTGTACAGTGGTTGTTGTATATATGTACCGGCCGTTTTGTTGAGTTCGGGCGGGCGTCGGTTGGGTGTCGGGGACCCCAGCGGCAAGAGAGACAGCCCAAGGTGGTATTCCGGGGTAGAATATAAGGAAAGAATACGAAGCAAGGAGAGAAAAGAGAACAAAAAAAGAAAAGGAGCAAGGAAGGCCAAATATACTCCGGAGTATTTGGTACTTTTGCAGACGAACTGCAGGGCTGAAGGAGGGAAAAAGTAAGAATTTAAAGAGTGTGAGAAAGAGAAGGCTGGAGGAGGGGAAAAGATCGGAGGTTCGTATTGAAAAGTCGCTCGCTGCAACAGTTACTACAAGTAATACATGCTCTCACATCCGGTTCTTATTCGAGAATCCGTCAGTCTTACTTCAACATAGTATTCCGGAATACAGTCCATTCAGCGCTTTCCATTCTCCACGTTTTGTCTGTTTTTCCCACCAGTTCTTCTCCATTCGGATAACGTCAACTTCGGTTTTGCTTCGGATCTTCGCCTTGCCTTTGTCGCTGTCTTCTTTTTACTTTTCTTCTTGTTCGCGACCATGGCGATTAACGAGATCGTCACCGATCCGTCTTTATTGCCCGTGCTGCAGACCAGTGCCGAAACCCGGGAACAATGTCAGAAGCTGCTGTCCTTGCTCAATCCCACGGCGGATGCCTCATCGTCTGAGCCTCCAGAGAACCTGGCTCTCGCAGTATCTAGACAACAAAAGCAGTTATTTGCCGTACTGGCCCAGCTCCGGGGTCAGAATCGCGACGCGATCTTCGGGGTTCGGGATACGAAACAATTGACAGCAGAGGCGCGCCAGGAGATTGATCGGTTACATCTTCAGCTGCAGAATTTGTACTATGAGCAGAGACATCTGACAGGGGAGATTGCGGCTTGCGAGTCTTACGAGTATGTTGGTGGACACGGGGAAATGCTACGATATCGTACTAACAAGGTCCAGTCACAAATACCTCTCGCTGCCCTTGATCCCCGTCGAAGAGTTTCTGGCCCTACACCCCGAACACGAAGAATCCAACGAACATGAACTTATGATCGCGCGTATCAACCACGAACATGCTGAACGGGAGAAGCTTGAACAAGCTCGACAGGAGCTGTTGAAGCGCAAACAGGCTCTGATCGCAGAGAACAAGAAGCGCAAAGACGACCTGGCCAGTTTGGACCAGGATCTGGAGCGGTTTATCGATGTGCGTATTGCCTTATGAAACTATGATTTGTTGAACGCTGCTAATTTGACCCCCTCTAGGCCGCGAAACCAATCCAGAAACTCTTTGAGAAGGAGTATTAGGCCCATAATGATGGTTCGTACACTGTTAAGATACCCGATTAAACCTTACAATTAGCATGGCATAGGCGTTGGATGATTTCCCCGGGATAGACCTTGAAATTAAACTATAATACGTTCACACCAATTGCAGATTTATTTAATATATGCTCCGTACATTGTTTCTCGTGTAGTCCTAGCTGTGTCCCTTTACGGTGCGGCCAAACATATCAGCTAACCTCCGCCTTGAACCCCGACTACCACAACAACATCGCACTGGGAACAACCCACTGCGCAAACACATCAATTCTATATATGCGATCAAATAATGCTGTCATGACCACCAAGAATGAAGACCTGGGGTCTTCTCCGCAGACTTCCTCCGACCCCGACAACACCGCAACCACCACCATCATGAGCTCCAAGACCAGCACTCAGCGCGTCCCTCCCCCAGAGAAACCAGAGACAACCCGGACCAGGTTCAAGGTTATTGCGGCCTTTTGGGCTGTGATTATCTTTCTGGGTTTGCCTATCTGGTGGAAGACGACGTCGATTTACAGAGCACATTTGCCTTTCCAGGAGATGGTCGATTGGGCTGATGCCAAGGTTAGTTGATCAGGAGAATCTGATCTGGGCAATCGCTAACTGTTATTCTATAAATACAGAGTTGCAGACCTGTTTTCCCATTAGAAATTCAAATCGCTGCTCCGTCAGTGCCGGACCTCGAAGCGCAGTTACTCCTCCGTACAACGCAACATACCCTCGATGATCTCAACGAATTCTCGGCCCATCACCTGCGATTGAAATTGGCAGAAGATGGAGACAATACTGGAGATATTAGGGAAGAAGTGCACGGGAAACCGGATACTGCGTTGACCGTTCGTCTGGTGCCGCAGGACAACCTGCCAATACCCAGATCGGAATTGAACCTGGAAACCACCCAACTGGACGTGTTCTACTCCCCCAATCAAAGCCCGATTCCTTCGTTGTCCAATTCACCGTTATCGACCTTTATTGCTGGTGAATTGCAACGTTTGTTCAGTGAGGAGAAAGCGACCATCGCGCACATCTTGTCCAACGGCCATACCCAACTATCAGAGAATATCAGCCGGAGACTGAGACGGTCGTTGAAGTACGCGGATACATATCATTTGGCTTTCTCACTGTTCACTCCGGGACCTGCACCTTCATCATGGGAGGTTCAAGAAGCTATTGAGGGTTACCTTTCGCCGCTCCTGGAAGCCTTTTCCCCAATCAGCAACTTCACGGTCGACACGCAAGTTCAATTGTACGCGACCTTTTCGCCTACGGCACCGTTGCCCGAGTTTGATGAGTCGCAGTCTGCATGGACCTTGAAGCAAGAAGATCTCAGCGCCTTTGTTAACGCCGCAGAATGGCCCTTGAGTCCTAGCATTGGCAGTGGCCCGACTATCAACTTCCTCCTCTACGTCCCTGACCCATCCCAGTCCCCCATGGTCGTCAAAGAGAACACTGCAACAAGCTGGATCATCCCCCAATGGGGCGGTGTTTTTCTCCTCAATCCATCCCTATCCAACGAAAACCCATCAAACCCACCACACCTATCCAAAGACTCCCTCCGTCCCGCCTTCATGACCTTCTCCCACCAACTCCTCACCCTCTTGGGCACCCCAACAACACCAACCTCCCTTCCCCTCCGCCTGCAAACACTAATCCGCATCCGCGCGGCAACCCTCCTTCTCTCCGCCTCCTCAACAATGGGTTCCCTAGCCCGTCTCACCGAATCACTCCCCTCAATCCCCATACCAGCCACAGTCGCCGCATCCGTCTCAACAACCCTCTCACACCTCTCCGCAGCGTGTACCCATCTACGTGAGGGCCGCTTTTCCGCCGCCCTGGATAATGCGCGGGTAGCCGAGACGGAGGCAGAACGCAGCTTCTTTGAGAAGAGTATGGTGGGACAGGTGTATTTCCCAGATGAGCATAAGGTGGCTGTTTACTTGCCGTTACTGGGGCCTATCGGGGTGCCGCTTGTTGTTGGGTTGTTGAAGGAGATTAAGAGGATCATTAAGGGGTTGAAGGGCCAGTAGATGAAATAGGTTTATATACTTTAATCGGTTTATTTCCGTATTTTGTTTGGGTTAAATGGTATATTTTCAATGGACTGCTATTATACATTCAGGACTATAATATGAACACCAACTCCCATCTACCCAACACATTCATACAATACATAAAGAACATAACCCCCCAGTCTCAACTCAACAATACTTATGCATTCCCATCTCTCACCCGATAACAAGGCTGCCCCCTCTTATCCCTAAACCCCACATGATCAATCATCTCCGTAAACGTCGTATCTGGCCTCGCATTAACCCTCCAAGCCGCAGCCCCCGGATATGGATCCGGTTTCAGAAACCCCCTTGTCTGGAAGACACCCGGTGGCGTGTAAACTCGTATACTCTCCGTGCTTGATGGACGTGGTGTTGACTGTACATTTGCATGTGCATGCAGGTCATGCACGTGAACGGGTAAGGGCGGGACGACGGGGACGTCAGGGTCGAGGGTTGGATCGTGGCGGGTGCTGAGGAAGGATTTCACGCGAGAGCCGGTGCGATGCAGGCGGGAGCGGGTTCCTTCGCTTGCGCGGCGGAGGATGCCACTGTTTGCACTGTTTGATTTGTTGTTGTTGATGTTGGGGCTCTGGCAGGCGAGAAAATCCGTACGCATCGCTGTATCTTCCGAGGGGATTGGGTCTGATATCCCGAGTAATGTCCCATTCCTCGTTCGTTCCGTGAACTGTGCTACCTTCGCAGATGGAGGGAGGTTCTGTCGTCGTTTTCGGAGGCAGTATGGGGTTAGGAATGCTAGGGCTGCTCCGAAGATGGCACCGGGGAAGAAGCCGGCGAGGATGGCTGGGGTTGGGAAGGAGGAACAGTTACTTGACTTTGATAGAGTGCTTGTGTCTGGGAGGGCGCTGGGGCTGGGGCTTGAGGACGAAGATTCTTGTTTGGAAGTTTCGGATTCGGGGGCTGCTGTCGGGATAACGGCAATGGAGTCTGATGTTGATGATACTTCATCTGATGCGGTAGTTGCGGATGTTGCAGGAGGTGTATGCGTTGTATGCGTTGTAGATGCTCTGGTTGATGTCGAAGAGGTAGACGTTGAAGACGATGAAGAAGAACTGCTATCCAACACACAAGCACTCCTCCCGCCGCTTTCCCTGCACTCATACCCAAACGGACAGCAAGAATCACCGCACTTGGGCAAATCATCATCAAGTCGTGTCGTCTTGATCGGACTTTTTGGATGAAGGGTGGCATTTTGTTGCTGCACATCGCAAGAGATGGTTGCAATGGAGTTACAATCCTCGCCATCCTCACAGCAAATGACTGAACTCGAATTATCAAAGCTCATACATGTCGACGATGACAAACAGCAAAAAGAATCTGGAAACTTAGAGTTTCCGCACTGCTTGTAGGAGTCCGGACATGTGTCGGCGCGTGTGACCAGATCGAAGGCGTAGCCTGGTGTGATGGTGGTTGCGATGATGGCACAGAGGAGCAGTATCGATGGCCGTCCAGCCACATATCTGAGGGACAACCTCGCCATATTAAGAATATTTTACAGGATCTCTAATGCAGCTGCAAAAACAGAGATTTTCTGGGTATATATCACCGTCAATCAAAGAGAAAGGAAGAAAGACACCCAAGACAAACAAACAAAGAGCCAAAGACAATACCTGTCAAAGAAAAAACACAATGAGAAACAGGGCCAGCCAGTGCTATTTCATACATTGTCTTTCTGAAGAAAACTGGGCTGGAATGCCAACTGCAAGCGCTGGCCTCCCAGAATAGAGACAGCATATAGAGCTCGCGGTAGCTCTCATGGTAATAGATCTGGGCGCTAAAAATCTCCGATTGTTGCAGAATGCTTCCTAAGCTGCAAGCTAAAACACCCGGGCGCGTAGAGAAGTACAGAAAAAGAAAGACCGTCAGGAGCAAGTTGGCGGTTGGATATTGATGGAAGTAGATCTCAGGCCTGTGATTGGTCGTCGCTGTGAATGGCTTATTTAAGCCACACTAGTCCCAGAACGGCAGGCGACATCCTCCGCGAGGGAAATTCTGCGGACTTGAAGCTCTTCGCCGAACGACGGTGTTTTAGCAGTCCAGCAACTCGCCAGTTTCACATCATGTTCTCCCGGCTCATGCGGCCGCAGAGTGCTCTGCGTGCGGCTTCTGCGATTCCCAAGGTACGCTCTGGTCAATGGCGTTGTTCGCCCAGAAGCGAGGAACTGACTGTCCCGCCTATTACTAGAAACCCTGCCAGACACGAGCATTGCACGTTGTTCCGCAGTTGACGTACCAATCCCAATTCGAAAGCAATGGAATTGAAGGGTTGTTGTCGAATGATGCATTCGATTGGTCATGGAACCAGTACCAGAGTCTCATGGTCGAAAAGCTCAACCTTATGACCCAGGGTATGTCTTATGTCCATTGAACGCTAATTGATTCGCAAGATGGTTATGGGAACTGGCTCTAATTGATTCTGTGTATAGATACCCCTGATGCCGAATTGAAACCCTACGAACTTATGTTCAAGTACTCCCGTCATGCCGAAATGGCGTCCGTATTCAACCATGCCTCGATGGCTCACAACAACCACTTTTTCTTCAACTGCCTGGTGAGCGACTCTCTACGCCCACTTTCTTTCGCCCATTCCTTACTGACCACATCAGTCTCCCGTTCAAACACAGATCCCCGCCGACTTCGAAAAAGACATCAACGACACGTGCTCCTCGGTTGAATCATTGAAGCTCGACTTCTTAGCCACGGCCAACGCCATGTTCGGTCCTGGTTTCGTGTGGCTGGGCAAGAACTTGGAGAGGGAAGGGTTGATGCACATCTTCTGCACGTATAACGCCGGCTCGCCGTACCCGGCGACGTATGCCCGGAGACAGTCTGTCGATATGGCCACCCACACCCGCGATGCCCCTCTTGGTAACCAATACGCCGGTTCCATGGGTGCTCATTCTGCGAACCAGAGAAGCCTGGCACCGGGTGCTGTGGACGTGCATCCCATTCTGTGCGTGAACACCTGGGAACATGTGTGGTTGATGGACTACGGTGTTGCGGGCAAGGCTGAGTACCTGGAGCGGTGGTGGAGCCGGATCAACTGGGAGGTTGTGCATGACAACTTCCGGGCCGTGAATGCGAGGAAGAGGTCTGGTACTAGCCGGGAGCGCACTTTGGACTTCACACGATGAATCAATTGAAAAAACGCCGGAATGAGTTGTGATGTTCTATCTTGATTGTATTATATCTACATGTTTTCTTTCGTCTTATGGTCTAAATGTACAGCGTTTTGGGATAAATCATGACACCATACTTCAACCCCCCCCCCCTCTTAAACATTCGACAGCCAATAACCGGTAGACTACCTCTGAACCTGAACCTCCTTCATCCTCTTCTCAAACGCCTCAATCATAACCCCCGCCATCTGCCTCTCCACAGCACCCATAACAGCTGCATGAAACTGGCTCCGAAACTCAAACTCAATTTTCAACTGCACCCTCGTCTCATTCCCATTTTCCAACGGCACAAGCTCCCATCTCGTACTTAAATACTCGAAAATCCCCTCCCTCGCCCCCGGAAACTCCGTCGCATCCTGTCCACCCTTCTTATCTACCCCGAACCGCGCCCCACTCCTTGCCTCAACGACCAAATTCTCCGGATCGCAGTCCACGCGCGACGTGAACGTCTCACTGAGAGGTCCGTAGCCGATGGTTAGGAAGGCGGTGGTGGGATATTTTGTGGTTGGGTCACGGGCTGTTACAGTGGATGCTGTGAGGAAGGGGAGGAATTGGGAGTAGGAGTCGACGGAGGCGATTACGGTGAAGAGGGGGTTTGGTGCGTAGGGGAGGGTGCGGGTTGCAGTTAGGGTGCGGTTGTTGTTGTTGTTGTTGTTGCCATTATTTGGGAGAATTGAGGAGAGGTCGGGGAGGGAGAAGAATGCTCGTCGTGAAGTGGTTTGTGGTGGTGATGTGCGTGGTTGTTGGTTTTGAAGCGGTTGGGGACGGTGTTGGAGTGGTTGTGATTGCAATTGGGAAATGTCAATGCGCGAAGGATATAGTCTAGCGCTGGGGCTGAGATTGCGGCAGAGTGGCCGCGCGAGTGATGGTTTCATTTTGAATAGTCCAGTTCAATTGGCAATTCAGTCCAGTTTATGTGAGTACCTACGCGGATCGCAACGGAAGTTTTTTGCGCATCGAAAATACCCGATTGGGATGCCAAGACCGGGTATACTCAAGAATAGAAGCAATATTCCAACATTATTCTGCATTTACAATGTCATGATATATCTACAGAACAGCTGGAAAGTTCAACTGATCTCAGCCTTCATACCAACTACATCCCCCGGCGCCAATATCTGTACATTCCCAACTCCATCACTCTCCTCTAGCACAATCCGATACTCATCCTCCGCATACAACGGACTTGTCGCGCGATACTTGATACTCTCCGGCACAAGAGCCTCCAAACCCGCCTCGGTATTTTGAGACCTTGTATCCCTCCACAAATCCAGTATGGAAATGAGGTTCAATGGACCGTGGACCACGATATCTTTATGTCCCTCGACATCTCGCGCCCAGGGCACGGAGTAATGGATCTTATGCGGATTAAATGTTAGCGCAGAGAATCGGAAGAGTGTTACGGGAGTTTGACGGAGAGTTCGTGTGTGCGTGCTGCCGGATGTAGTTGTTATGCATGAAGCGGGTTGCGGTGGTGTCCATTGCTGTGATGACGGTGTTGTTGATGAAGATGCTGTCGATGGAATCGGAAGAGCTTTGCGAAAGACCCAGTTCCTATTCTTCATTAGCAACCCATTCAAAATAGTATACCTGAAAATTTGGGGTAGGGTAAGCGCACCGTCGATCCAAAACAGCAACCCCTTCTTCATTCCTAAACTCCTTCTCAACACTAACGACAATCATCTCCTCCCCCGTCTTCTTCACAACCTTCGGCTCCGCACTTAGCACCCTCGTTGTTTCCGTAACCTCCTGTCCAACTCGTAACGGATTCACTCTTCCTTTTATCCCGCGCGGCCATTGCACTTCCCCTCCAGCCCACATGCGTCGCGTAAATGGCGATGCGGGGTTATACGAGACGTCTGTGCCATCCGCCCCGAGTTCATTCTCTAAAAACGCAGGCGTGAAGTATACCAAATGGTACCCCGGTGGTAAGGGTGTTCCCGCCGGGGGCGGAGTGGTGTTATTTGAGAGGGATGAGATGTTTGGGTAGAGGGAAGGACGGTTGAGGGTGAAAGTGAGGAGTTGAAGTTGATTTGCATCGAGAGCTTGGGTACGTATTTGGGGGCCGAGGGATTGGAAGCGTTCGAGGAAGGAGAATGCGATAGACGAGGCGGAGGTTTTGCCGGGGGAGGTGGAAAAGAGGCGTTTGCGGTAGAGGAAATGGGCGGTGCGGAGGGTTGGCCTTAGGAAGAGCATATTGAATATGTAGTATTCATGTATGCGCTCAAGATGGAAAAGATAATGGTTTTTAAGCTATTGATATCAAAAAGGCGTCTCCAAAACGCCGAAATGCGGGGATCTTCGGTTTGCGTGGAGAAAGCCGACTCGGAGATCGGGGCATGTTCAATAAGCCGATAGTCATACAATGCCAAGAATAATGATATTTACTATGTGTATAGACAAGGGCAGTAAGGGTATCTAGAATAAAAATAAAAAAAGGAAGATCAAGCTATCACAGCTTCACCTGTCCTCCCTGCAAGCGGTCCCAATCCTTCGTTTCAAAGAGGACGTACTTGTCACCCTGAAGCCAATAAACCTTGTCTTGGGTGCTGACCTTGGACGGGTCGACTCCCTCAGTGCGGAGCACATGTTTCTGCTGTTTGTTGTTACCCGTACCCGGCATCTCTGGCGTCGCGCGTAGGAACAGAGGCGCGGCAAAGCGAGGAAGGCCCTTCAAGGCATGTTGAGCAAGACTCTCAAGGACCTCTGACGAGGGCTCGATCAACGTCGATGTGTTGCCAGAGTCGACCTGGCGCTTGAAGACAACTGCTGCACATCCGGCCCGTCCGTCATGGTGAGGCAGCGCCACGCCGTATACGTTGGCCTCGTGGATCTCGGGGTGCGAGCCCAGCACTTCGCCCACCTCGCTCGTTGACACGTTCTCACTTTTCCAACGAAAAGTATCTCCCAATCGGTCAGAGAAGTACCAGCGGCCATTTCTGTCCCATCTGACCATGTCGCCGGTGCGGAAGTAGGCGTCGCCCTTCCGGATGACATCGCGAATGATCTTGCTCTCCGTGGCCTGGGTATTGTTGAAGTAACCCTGGAACTTCTCTTTGGGATCGGACGCGTCAATGGCGTACAGCAGCTCACCCGGGTCGCCACGAACCACTGCCTTGCCAAGTCCTGTTTCAGGGTCACGCCATGGTTGCTGCGACTCCTGGTCCACCTCGACGACAGCCAGGCCACCGCCCATAATCATTTCGCTAATAGCACCATTCCGGCCAATCGCACCCGCAGCAAAGTCGTTAGATGACAGGTTCCACGACCCCGAAGTGCCTTCTGTGGCCGCATAGAATTCTGCGACAGTGGGAACATTGTAACGTTCCTTAAACTTGTTCCAGATGTCGGGACGAAGACCGTTACCGAATACTACCCGGATGTTGTGCTTCTTGTCAAGATCTTCTCCCGTGATAGGATCGATATCGGGAGGTGTAGCCAAAATGTACCGTAACGTTTCACCAACGTACTGAACGACTGTTGCACCATTCTCACGTGCATCTTTCCAGAAGTTCCGCGCAGAAAATTTGCGGCCGATGATGAGTGTGCATCCTCCCTGCAAGCAGGTCATGAAACCCAGAATCGAAGCAGAGGAATGATACAGAGGCATGCACTGTGTTTTGGTTAGTTCAGCATGCAGAGAAAACAATGATATAGACATACAGTAAAGAATCGATCCTTCCGGCCAATGCTTAACCAGTTGTTAGAAAACATACTGCCAAGCCAGCACTTCTTCCAGCTGACAATAGCAGGCTTGGGAAGACCGGTAGTGCCACTGGTATAAATCAACGCGGCCATATCCCGGAGTGTCTGATCCTCGCGCACTTTATCATCCTCACGGATAGCCTCTGTTTGGTTGATTTGTTCCTCTACATCCGGAGTGAAGAAGACCACCTCCACTGATCCTTTTTCTTCGCGGAAATCGGGGGATGCAAAGATCTCCATTTGTTCTGGCGGGAAGTTCTTCCGTACTTCTTCATCGACAATCAACAACTTCGTCGTTGACACGCGAACCGAGTGTGTCAATGGCTTTCCAGTCAGGTTGTAGTTGATAAACGCAGGGACGGCGCCGATGCCCCAAAGCGCGAGAACGAAGAAGATGAAGTTCGACGAATTCATGAAATCGATGGCGACAATATCTTTTGGCTTTACGCCATGCACAGTCCTAAGCCAAGTTCCGTAGCGCAGCACCATTTGGTATGTCTCATGGAAGGTCCATGTGCGTCCGTTGTAGACGAGGAACTGGTCGTTCTTGGTGCCGGAAGCGAGCGCATGGTGCTCCAATGTATAGAACAAATTCAGTTGACCGTTCCAGGCAGCATATCTTGACTTTGCGATTCCCTTGAGGAGCGATCCGACCAATCCTATATCATAAGAAAGCGACCATCTGGCGTTGAGATAGGCGAGAGCAGAAGCGGCAGCGGGAACAGCAAGGCTCATGGGGAGATCTAACCGGGAGTATAGCTGTTTAGCATGATTTTGATCAATGCAGAACACATCTTATCAATAATTCTCACTCACCTGGTAAAGAGGGTAACGGAGACATAGTCGAGGGCTCTTGGTGCAAGGTGTCGCAAAAGGAGCCGGGCGGGGGAGTTTAGCTATTTCTTAAGGCAGAATCAGCTAAAAATAAAGAGACGCCAGCTAAACAATCCGGGATGATAGGATAATACGTATTAGAAAGAACGTAAGAGGATCTGCAGCTTCACGAGAGGAGAGGGACCAGGTTGTTGGTCGCCGAGGGAGAGACTGTTGAATATGAATGACGACGAGCCGCGGCACATTGACCGATTCGGAGAAATCGGAATGTCGCCCCTGGGATAGCAACAATTTCATTGTTATACAAGATAGCCAATGATCCAATGTTTTGACTCAGTATAAAGCCTTTTTTGAGTTTCCCGGAATTGGGGATTGTCCCAATAACTGGAAACATCCATGCAAGGCCTCTCTTTCTAACACCGCGCGCATACACATGGCCCGATGATAAATCGCATACTCTGGAGCTCAACAAACATATCGGATCCCATAGAGCCTTACTCTTTTTTGCATCCGTTCATACTTGGGTATTGCTTTTTTTTTTTTTTTTTTTTTGCTTTTCCTATACCCGTTTCTGGTATGACAGTTGTCGATATCATGTGATGGCACGTGGCAGCTTCATCTTTCCGGAAAGAGTATGCTGCGCGCAGCCAGTTCGCGGAGGAAAACGAAAATAGACCGTTGCCCTGGGGGTCATTATTCTGTGAATTCTCAATCCGACGTGATGCTATTTCTCTATGTTATCGGAGCAGAGCTGGTCGTTCAATGCTTGAGGCTTAAAACAAGGCATAGGTATCACTACCCAACACGGGAGAATGTGAGATAACATCTGAGAAGCCGATGGATATCCATGCTCCTGGGAAAAGTTTGGCAGGTATATCTTAGATATATTTATGACCTGCCATGAATCTGCCTGCTATGCGCCGCACTATTCATGTGCCCCCTATGTTTTTCTACGGGGCGTCAATACGAGGCCGTGGACGATCACCTCTAAACCAGGCGTTTATTCTGTCTTTTGGGCAAGGGTGATTTATTCTTATGTCTGACCGCTCAGACACAGCCTGCGAACTGTGGCTTTTGAGTTTCAGCTGACCACGACTCTTCCTCAGCCTTGCGCATTTTAATTCTGGCGAGAGGTCTCTTCTAATATTACTGACATATTTTCCCAACCAGAGACTTGCATACCTTCTGACATTCCACCTTAATTTTTCCTGGCCACTTTCCGATATTCGCTGCGATGAACCAGAACATTCTCCTTGTGCCGCTTCTCTGGCTGCTGGTGACAGTAGTTCCCAGTCACGCCGCCACACTCCCCATGTCACGGTCCGCCTTTGCTTACATCCCCAATACACCATCGCATGCTGCCACCATCTCTGATAAGAACGAACAACCGCCTGTATCCTACATCTTCCCCAGATCCATGTCTCCAAGCTCAGCTCTTACCTTAACGCTCGGTCTTACCATCGGCCTCGGCCTTGGTGTCGTTCTTCTCTTCGTTGTTGGCATTCTGTTCCGAATGGCCATCACTCGTCGGAGACGGGACGAAGCGGTGGCAAGGGCAGTGGAAGCATCCGAGGCCAGGAACACTGATGCACTAGCAAGTGGCGCCGTGATGGGTGAACTGGAAGCGAATAAGTCATGTAATCAGGCTACATATCAAGCACCGACGAATGGGCCGTTCCAAGCAGCATCAAGTGAGGTGTATGAGGCACCGCAGAATCAACGATATGAGCTGGCATGATCAATCGCATAACGTCTCCCATTTTACTTTAAACGCTACCGTCTATATCGAGAGGATTTAATGGATTCTATCTCTACTTCTATGCAACCAGTCAGATTACAGATGATGATTGATCTTTACTACGATAGGTATCCACCAGGGATACGGCCTATGGGGGAGCAATTTGGTTGGGCTAATGTGCCACTTGACCCGGATAAGATTGACAGCCTCATCCATACCATAATACAATCCACATGGCACATGATCTTGCTCTTTGGCACGGAAAACTATGTGGATGCAGCAACAAAAAGGCTTTGCAGATTGACCGGGAAGCCCGATACATAAGTGAACGGCATCCTAATGGAGCCACATGGCTTAGAAGCGAACGGGACAGATATCGGATTATAGAGCCGTCGAATGGCAGCATGATCTAGAATGGTCAATTGCATGACTCTTTCAGTATCAGCACCGCCCATCTCTTTCCTTTCGTTATTCGACGCCTAGCTGGCGTAATAACGCGGCCTAGGTTACGGCTTTCAGGACCCATTAGCAAGAGAACCCGAAACTAAGGCAATAGAAAGCGATAGAAATCAAAAGACCATTATGCGGTCTATCAACCTCATATTGCCGTTATTGGGAAACTCGACACCTGGTTATTAGGTCTGGGTTCGCTTAGGACGGCTCTTCTCATCTTGGCTTCCTATTCGGGTAAACCCTCTGAGAGGCTCGGGAATAAGGGCTTCTCGCGGACATTTACTATAGAGCCCGAGTGGGATATCCACACCAAACCATGGTACCAGATTTTTTTGGAGAATTTAAATAGCCACGCAAAAGTCCCAATGTAATAGTGTACCACTAGCACTCTGTAGAGGCTGATTGCGACTCTGTATACATATTGCCCTATCCGCAGCGCAGTATAGAATTCGGATCATAGAGCAAGAAAGTAAAACAGACCAAAATGCCTCTTTCCGTGCAGCATGTCCAACGGGACGATCTCCCCCGAATTCTCGACATCTTCTGTGCTTCCATGTCCTCAATAAACCTCCTCGTCGCCACCGGCGACATCCCCAAGCTTGACAACCTAGACGAAGCCTGCGCTGCCACCGCACGCAAACATGCCATCACCCGCTTTGCTGAGATTCTCGATAGCTACCCCAAAGCCCATTTTCTGAAGGCCGTGGACGATGAGAATGGTGATATCGCGGCGTTTGCCATCTGGTATTTTTTTTCGGGGCCCGACGGCGTGGCGGATTGGAAGACATATGTGGAGACCGGGGAACGGTTAAGAGTTCCTGTGGGGTGTGATACAGAAGCATACCGGTATGGATGGAGCAAGATCCATGAGAAGTATCAGGAGGTTTTTGGTGAGGGGAGGGAGCATTTTCGTAAGTATCGCCGTCCATTAGTTCCTTTTCCTCAAGAAAGTGTGAATAGCTAATATACATAGACCTTGGACTCCTCGCTACCAATCCGAGTCATGAACGTCGCGGTGCCGGTTCCAAGCTCCTGGACTGGGCTCTTGAACAGGCCGATGAGAAGGGTCTCGAATGCCACCTCGAGGGCACACCTACCGGCTATCCGTTATATAGCCGGAAGGGCTTTGTCGATGCTTTTGGAAAGGGTAAAAGCCTCCTTGACATTGATGTCAGCAAGTACACGGGTAAAGAGGGAGACTTGGTGGATTTAACGGCTATGGTTCGGCCTCCTCAGAAGCAGTCATAAAGATAAAGACGTGAAAGGTATCAAAGATAGTATAGTGTTCTTCATAGATATGCTGCGCTTTGTATATAGGTTTCACATGTATTAGACTTGATAGACGTGATATTTGAATGAGTATTCAGATTAAAGAATTGATGAAACCACCAAGCCCTGGTAGATCCTGAAACGGATAAACCAATAAGGCGGTTAACTCCGAGTCGGGGAAGTTGGGGAGTCGATTATCCGGACTGCATGAGGCTATATATGAAGAGGAAATTTAGATTACACGGAGGGTGACAATGATATCTATAGACACCGTAGATGGTAGAATGAGTGCTTAGCTATCTAAACGAGTGTGTGTGTCCGTATATGAGGGATCTGTCGGCCTCGGTAATCGGACAAACTATTGATCCACCTCGACTTTCATCAGATCCCTGCATGTCACATGACCATCTGTTTGTCAGACGCTGTACAAGGATACAGCCTGCATATAATTATCCTCTTGTCCATTCTACAATGCAACCCAATGCGACCAAGAGCTAAAACACGCCAATTTATTCTTGCATATGTCGCTCCGCAGTAAGGTGGCGCTCGTCATATTCTAATCACCATATATTTATTGCCGTCCCGTGTGAAGGATGAGTCAACTTGATCTGGACATTCTGGGCTTTAGTATATGTAGAGACAATCACTTATTGCCTGCAAATTCACAGTATAACACATTCCAAAAGCGTGTAGTAGTCTCAATTCTAGTCGCTCTCTGCTTTTGTCATTCATTTAATCTATAGTCGGTTCGTTCGCTCCAGAACTGCGGCGTAGTATGATATGAATTTGGACAGCCGAAGCGTATTAGTCATAACTTCTTTATCTTCGTTTAAAAGCAATAGATGAGAAAGAGGGAGTCTGAAATAAAAGCAACAATCTATCATGCTGGTAATACTTCCGTTGATGGTTTGGTACATTCTTGCTATGTCTGGCATTGTTCCTACAATTTTACACCGCCGTGAGCACTAAGAAATTTCTAATCATGTTTGCTCCAAACACCGTCACACCATCAACAAGGAAAAGAAAAAAAAAGAAATATATAAGTCTTAGAGACCTCCGAGGAGAAGTAACCTGAGGCTTTACCAGGGACTCACCAAGGCCTGTTGCTCTATCTTCACCCAAATCCGCACTGGAAAGACTGGCCTGGCGGCATTCCTCCACCGGCGAAAGGTGCCGGGGATTACCTCCCCAAACTGCCCGTGTGGGCAGGGGACAGAGACCCCTAAGCATCTTCTCATTCACTGTGAGCGGTTCCAGGAGGCAAGGGCAGTGCTAGAAGATTCGGGGCAAGTGGATATTAGGCACCTTTTGTGTACAGAGAAGGGTGCGAAGAGGCTGTCTCACTGGTAGCTCAATCATGGTGTTCTACAGCAATTCAGCTTGGCCAGGGCCCTGGAGGCAGGGATCGAGTAAAGATGAATAGGACTCATTGTGGAGCTGCTTTCTGCAGGTCTACAATATGGTATTTGGCAGGCTGCCATGATGCGTCGTTCTTTTGTATGTAGGAGTTTTCATGGGTTTTTTTCACGCAGCATGGGACTCCCCCACGCTGGGTTTTTCTCCATTGGTTAGATAGCGTGCAGCACCCCATACCTCAAGGTGACGGGGCGTATAAATCTATTTATTTATATATAAGCCTTAGAGAAATATCCAATGATCTACTGTTTTGGGCGAGCTGCCAAGGAAACGCTTACATGCGTCGGCATTTTGATTAGGGCTACATTCGATAACCTTAATAGAACCCGCTAATGCTTCAAGTAGCTGCCACGAGTATGCATAATACACATTGCTAACGACCTGTATTTTGAATTGATATGGAGTTCGGCGAATCGTTGCCTGATAGTAGTCGACGATATAGTGGATTTCTTGAAGATTGCTTGGCGTGTTGGGGTCGGTAGCCCAGACTTGTTGAACGCTCATGGTGGGCTATTAGCTGGTAGCTAGGGGTATGTCAGAGCTCATTCAACCAAAATATGGCATTATGTTAGATATAAGTGAAATAAAATGACCATCTAAAAAATGGTCTCGGCTTTTGTTGCTGAAAAGAAGGGGCTTGCGTTCATCACCCGTATTTCTAACCTGATTATAACACACCCCTTCTCCAGCCTATCATACAATGTGTCCTCCGGAGCGGAGGATATTGTTCGCCATTTTATGGTTGTAGTGGCACGGGATCCTTATTGTGTTTTCTAATAGTCAAATGGGAGGTTGCGGATATTAAACGAGACCCTAGCACCACATTCTCTTTCGAACGATTCAACCAGGTTTGCCTCTGGTCTAATACAAAGTAGCAGGCGGTAAATAATTTGAGCACCCGGATTAGGATTTATTGAACTATCGTTGCTTTAAAATTGGCAGTGGTCGCTAGTTATTGCCAATCATAGCAAGAGCTATTATCGCTGTTGAACGATTTTGGTTTGAAAGCTGTAATTCATATGGGTTGAATCGAGATGATCACAAGTATTCGAGGTATATAGTTCGTGATAGAAGGTGACATTTTAGGGTTCACAAGACTTTTCGGCTACCGTTGTTAATTCTAATGTATGTTTGTATTCCAGTTGGAGTAAATGCTCAATGGCTACCATTGGTGACCTCATGTCAATCTTACATAGATGTGTATGTACAACCACAGACCCTAATCATATAGGCAAGAAGAGGAATTATTTCTTAATGGCGGGGACATCATCATACCCTTCCTCCATGAACGACTGCAGCGCCTCCAAGCCCTTCTCCAGCACCTCAGTTTCCTGTACGAACCCAATACGAACGTAGCCCTTGAAATCGGTACCTTCACCAAAGCAAAGACTTCCCGGAACGAACATCACACCCGTACGTTCCTGGAGTATATCACAGAAAGCTACATCGTCCACAGGCTTGCCCAACTTGTTAAACCGTATAAACGCCACGGTTCCCGCGCGTGGCTTCACCCAGTCACATGCCCAGCGATGCGATTCAATGAACTTCTCCAAAATATTAATGTTCTTCTTTGCTAGCTCGATATTTCTCTTGAGTAGGTTGTGAATGCAGCTCGGGGCAAGCGCGTAGCTGGCGATGGCGTCATCAATCTGACCCACGGAGATGGTTGTGTAATCACGCGCTGCAGCGCAAGTTTCGATGAGAGAACGGTTGCGCGATGCTATCCAGCCCACACGGGTACCGGCCAGACTGTAGGACTTGGACATGGAGCCTGTAGTGATGGTGTTTTCATACCCGAGTGATAAGACGGACGAAGGGAAGTCTTTGTCCATGGGGCTAATGGAGTGGAAAAGCGGACGGTATACCTCATCGGAATGGATGATGATCGATTTCTCGCGGGCAATATCCACAATGTCTTCCAGGGTTGGCTGGGGGATGATGGCCCCTGTAGGATTTTGAGGGTTGCTGGCCCAATGTCAGTTTATTATATCCTCGGATTAAACAAATAGCACGCACTTGATAATAATGAGTTTGGTATTCGGCCTAATGAGCCCCTTCAACTCATCAATATCCAATTGCCACCCTTCTTTCTCCTTAGACTTCCACAAGCTCACCTCAGCCCCGAGAGATTCAGGGACCGAGTAAAGCTGCTGATACGTCGGGTAGTGACAAATGACATGGTCCCCCGGTCCAACCAGGGAGTACAACAGCAGAAAGTTTGCCTGGATGGCACCCGCGGTGATCAACACGTTGTCTGCAGGCAATGCGGTCGGGGTTTTCACAGAGTACAGGTTGGCCAGTGTTCCACGCAGACGTTCCGAGCCGCGAATAGGGCCATACGTTAGCTTGTTGGACAGGTCAACCACGGGAGATGATTTGTCGTCGGAAATATCTTTGAGATCATCGATGGAGACGGAGGCACAGCATGTCTCTGCGATGTTGTACTTGGCTGTAAGTTCATATTTGTCCATCCACTACAGTCAGTGTCAGTAGACGAACAATAATGCCGATTGCGGGGAATATGACTACCTGTTCGACGGCGAACGGCTTAACGTTGACCATGGTTGCGACTGGTTGATAAGAGCTCAGAAAATAACAATGTTGTTGTTCTTATATTGTGTTGCGTGGTCTTGAAAAAAAGACAAATATCTTCACCTTGTTCTTCTTTTTTCTTCCTTTTTATTCTCTGTCATCTACAGGGCGCATCGCCGAATCTAGTTTAGTATCAGGCGAGCCAGGTACCAATCACGTGGTTCTCCGCATCGGTGCAGCTGTAACCGTCGCAGACGCTCTACACTTGGACAGTCACTTCTATTCTGTTTCTGAAATTTCCTTTTCTTTTCTAAAAAAATAAATATCTGGTATTATCCTATGTCGTTTATAGTTGCTGTATCGCATGGTTGCCCGTACTGACAGCTATCCGGTTTCTAGGTGCTATCTCTCCCGCCCGCGTCATCGTCTCCAGCCTCACCTTGCCGACTGCATTCATCGGATCCTGCCATCTCTCTCGACTCACTCTTCGAATATCAGCCGCTTTAAATATCATCGCATCGCCGCATCGTCGGTAAAAGCAATACAGCACCGAATCTGCTTTCACGAATGGTGAATTATCCCCCATATTGATCCCGTCTCGGTGATCTTGTCTTCTCCGCTTCTCTCGGAGGTCCCGTTGGTTTCTCCCCGCTTGGCTAGAAAACGAGAGAAACGAAATGCGTTCAAAGTCAACAGTCCGGTTCTCTCTGCTCACCTGGCTGTCGTGGTCAGCTTCTGCAGTAGCATGGAACAACCTTTCCGACTCTCAATTGCTATCTCCGCGATTCTCGGCCTTGAATGACCGTCCTCCCGAATGTCCGCCTTGCTTCAACTGCCAGCTTGACGCTTTCCAGTGCTCTCAATTTGCGGCCTGCGATGGTTCAACAGGGAGCTGTATCTGTCCTCCCGGGTTCGGTGGTCTCGATTGTTCCGAACCGGTCTGTGGCTCTCTGGCCGACTCCAACCGGCCGCTGCGCAAAGACAAATACTGTAAGTGTGATGATGGATGGGGTGGCATCAACTGCAATGTTTGCCAGACAGACGATGCGTGCAATGTGCTCATGCCGGAAGGAGAAGGAGGTGTCTGTTATCAGCAGGGTGTCACGGTTAATGAGAACCATCAGATGTGTGATGTGACCAACCGGAAGATCGTGGATTTGCTCGGGGAACGAAAACCGCAAGTGACTTTTTCTTGTGAAGCTGAAGAGCACACGTGCAATTTCCAATTCTGGGTGGATCAAAGGGAGTCGTTTTACTGTGAACTGGATACGTGTGACTGGAAATTGGAAACCGACTACAACACGAACCAGACACAATACAACTGCGACAACATTCAGTGCAAGTGCATTCCTGGACGCATGCTATGTGGCGAAGAGGGTTCAGTCGATATCGGTGAATTCCTTGAGGTGTCTATCCAAGGTCCAGCTAGCTTCTCGTCCCACTCTACCGAGGGTGGCAGCAAAGAAGATGGCAGCAAGTTCGAGGAGCCAGCGATGAATGATCTGATCTCCAGTATCTTTGGTGACCCGAGTATCTTTCTGAATTGCCACTCAGGCGAGTGTCTCTACAAATCTAGCGTGCCTGGATACGCTCGCCCGATCAAAACCATCAACACCCCTGTCATCGCCGGGGTTATCGCGGGCTGTTCACTCTTCGTCGTTGCAGTGATCCTAGCCATGTGGTATCTCTCTCGGAGACCGCGTCGTGGATACATCCACCTGCCTCTGTCTGATGACTCTGATGATGAAGCGACCAAGTACATGGCGGATCACAAGCCAGCGGCCCTGTACTGGGACAGTGTGTCCTATTACCTGAATGGAAAGGAGATCCTCTCTGACATTCGGGGCGCTGCGCCTCCTGGTCAGATCACGGCTATTATGGGAGCTTCGGGTGCAGGTAAGACCACTTTCCTCGACATCCTCGCTCGGAAGAACAAGCGAGGAACAATCCGGGGTGAATTCTACGTCAACGGAGAGAAGCTCAACGATCATGATTTCAAAAATATGATCGGTTTTGTTGATCAGGAGGACACGATGCTTTCAACCCTGACCGTTCATGAGACCATCCTGACTAGTGCGCTTCTCAGATTACCCAGGGACATGAGCCGAGCTGTCAAAGAACAGAAGGTGTACGATGTCGAGAAACAGCTGGGAATTTACCACATCAAGGACCAGTTGATTGGATCGGAAGAAGGTAAAGGCCGCGGAATTTCTGGTGGCGAGAAGCGAAGAGTTGGAATTGCGTGCGAGCTTGTCACCAGTCCTAGCATTCTATTCTTAGATGAGCCTACCAGTGGCTTGGATGCATTCAATGCATTCAACGTGGTCGAATGTTTGGTTACACTGGCAAAGACTTACAACCGTACCGTTATTTTCACTATTCACCAGCCACGCTCCAACATCGTCGCGCTCTTCGATAGACTCATTCTCCTGGCCCAGGGTCGGACAGTCTACTCCGGCCCGTTCTCAAGTTGTCAGCAATATTTCGATGATTCTGGGTACAGCTGTCCTCCAGGCTTCAACATTGCGGATTACCTTGTGGACCTCACTATGCACGCCAGCGTCTCCCGCACGCGCAGTGACGAAGGACAATCGACGCTCCTTGACGTTCGCAACGACATTCCTAAGACTGCCTCAAGCAGCTTGAGGGCCGTGAAGTCGGTTGCCAGCGCATCAAATGCAAGCACTGCTGAAGACAACTCTAGTAGCGCACTGGAATCGAACCGACGGCCCCGGAATAAGCGGCGAGCGTCTCTGAAGCAACGACAAGACCGGCAACTCTATTCTCGGAGGAAGGACGTCGATACCTCATCTGCTCCCAAGTCAGACGGAGAGGACGAGCATCTAGACCGACAAGCGGAATCGCAGCAATGGCTTCGGCTTTCGCGGCAGACTGGCAGCGTTCCACCACAAGTTCTCGATGATCCGGACCAGTTACCGCCGGCTGCCCCAGGTCAAACTGATCTCGATGTCCTGATTGCCCACTATTCCAACTCCGACGTTTCTCATTCGGTACATGATGAGATTGTGACTGCTGTACAGAGTGCCCGTGCCGCCAACGGGTCGGCCAATGCGGACATTGTTTCAGGCCCTGATGTAATGGGACACCATAAGAGCTATGCACGGATTGGCCTGTTCAGGCAGTTCCTGATTCTCTCGCAACGAACATGGCGCAACCTCTACCGGAATCCTATGCTGATGTTGACACATTATGCAATATCTATTCTGCTTGGTGTCCTTTGCGGCTATTTGTTTTACGGGTTGACTGATGATATCAAGGGCTTCCAGAACAGATTGGGTCTCTTCTTCTTCATCTTAGCCTTGTTTGGATTCAGCACACTTACCAGTTTGACGGTGTTCTCTGCAGAACGGTTGTTGTTTGTTCGCGAACGGGCTAATGGCTACTACCAACCCATTACGTACTTTGCGGCCAAGGTTGTGTTTGACATTGTACCCTTGCGACTTCTGCCTCCCATTATAATGGGTATGATTGTGTATCCCATGACTGGGTTAATTCCGGCGTGGGAAGAGTTCTTCCGGTTCATTCTTGTGCTTGTGCTGTTCAATCTGGCAGCCGCAAACATTTGCCTTTTCATTGGTATTGTTTTCCGGGACGTTGGAGTTGCCAACTTGATTGGCAGTCTGGTGATGCTGTTCAGCTTATTGTTTGCTGGTCTTCTCCTGAACCACGATGCGATCCCGGCTTCTGCTTTGTGGTTACAGACGGTAAGTTTCTATCCTTCTCTACTTTCCAAAGTCCAAGGCTAACTTCTATTCTAGCTGTCCATTTTCCACTACGGTTTCGAAGCACTTATTGTCAATGAAGTTACTTTCTTGACGCTGGTTGACCACAAGTACGGCCTGGACATTGAGGTCCCTGGGGCTTCTATCCTCAGCGCATTTGGATTCAACACTCAAGCTCTCTGGATGGACGTGATTGGGCTAGGTGTGATCTCGGGGGTGTTTATTATTGTCGCATATGGAGCGATGCATATCTTGCTTGTGGAGAAGCGGTGATACCTATACGTCTTGAGAGTACTTTTTCTTTCGTTTTCGTTCTTGCTGGTCTAGTTTTCTGTTATGAATGGATGAAATAATATGAAAATTGAGTTATGAATGACTTGCTTGGAGTATTTCACTGCGACTCTGTATTTAGCACTAATTCGAATCTCATACTGTCTGCTTTCTAAACTGAAGAAATGACATAATCGTGGTAGCAACTGTATGGTTGTCATGATTCAGTATACCCAGTGTAACGGTCAACTGGCAAGACCACCATACATCATCGCCCACTCGGCCCTCCACTCCAAGCTTGGCCATTACTATGCAATAATCCTTCAAGTTAGTGCTTCAGTATCTCTCCTTCTGCCTTGATATCAATTTAATCATCTTCTTGTCCCTATTTAATTCTCTGTGGCGCCCCGGCGTCTCTCAACGTCTTGTCTTTCTCACCGCCCACCGTCATTCATTTCCGGGTTTATCTCCAAATCGCACACTCCGGACGAACTTCCTCCTTCTTTCCAGCCACTGATAGCAAAACCAAAAGCTGCCATTGTCCGCAGCTAGCGTCACACATTTTTCTTCAGTCGCCAATTTCAGCATCGTTTCCCCTCCTGTCCATTTTTTTCCGTGCAAGGAACGTCAACCTCCGGTCAGCAAGATGTCTGGTGAAGCGTGGCTCTATCTGCTGTCAGTGTTGATCAACGCGGTCAACCTGTTCTTGCAGGTCTTCTTTACGATTATGTACAGCGATTTGGAATGGTAAGATATCTCTCCCTTCCATTTGTCTGGGTCGAGTGTGGTTCTGGTTGGCTTTTTGACCGGCAGTTGGTCGTGTGTTGGGGGGAAAATAAATATATGGAATTTCGGCCAGGAACATTGGAATGATTATGACGAACTGAGCTCGTGGGCTGACATTCTTCTTCCTTTTTACCTTCTACAGTGACTACATCAACCCCATTGATCTCTGCAACCGTCTCAATGCCTACATCATCCCCGAAGCCGCCGTTCACGCTTTCTTGACCTTCCTGTTCGTTATCAACGGATACTGGCTTGCTATCATCCTGAACTTGCCTCTTTTTATCTTCAATGCGAAGAAGTGTGTCCCCAATTCCCGTTTGGATACTTGACAAGAAGTTGGTCTAACATGGATTAGGATCTTCGAGAACCAGCACCTTCTAGATGCGACCGAGATCTTCCGCAAGCTCAACGTGCACAAGAAGGTAATCTATCATTACTATGTCTCTGGTCTGGTGGGCGCATCGACTAATACTTTGGGAATAGGAATCGTTCTTCAAGCTTGGTTTCCACCTCCTGATGTTCTTCTTCTACTTGTACAGCATGATCGTTGCCTTGATCCGCGACGAATCCAACTAAACCCATGCAAAATCCGATGCTCGAGATGCGCAATGACTTCTGGTTCGAAGTACATGATATATGTTCCGTACTAAGTCTCGGTACTCGAATCAGTGGGAGGAACTCAATTGAAAACATTGTGGTTTTTGGCCACAACGCTTGTCTAATAATTATCATGGGTCTTATGTGTGAGAAAAGAAAAGGCACGAATTGCGATAGACGACCGGTATGAAACGTTGGAGTTGTGGAGGCTCTTTGGAGGAATTGTTGAGCTGGAGCTTGGAGATGATGGTGACACTGGGAGGTATTGCTGCCGCAATGTCTGTCACGATTTCCTTGCTCTTGTGTGTTTTTGTCTTTATTCATCTTCTATTTGATGTCTTTTTATCTTGCTAGCTTAATGTTGTATATACCTCTCGAGCGTTTGAATGAAGAGCGTACGATACCCTTGGTGTCTGTCATCATTCAGTAGCATACAGAAGCAGTCACATGACAAATGACGGTCAAATATAGACTCTTAAAATTCATAGTCCTACTTTTTGTGGACATGGCGACTGCTGCGTCTACGCGATGCGCTCCTCCCGACGCCCGTAAAATTCCAGACTCCGACATTCTCGGCAACAACCACCACCCTTCACCACCACGACCATCACTCAACCTTTTTCGATTGTGACACGACTAGAGATAATTCTCTACTGCAACAAAATGACATCGTTACTGGGGGCAGCCTACGATTCTAGCGACGATGACATGACTAACTCAAAGCCTCAGCCGTCACCAGCGACCAAGATTGTTGCGGCGCCTGAAGTGAACACAGAGGTTTGGTCTCCTGGTTTCTTATCTTTCTCTCCGTTGTTTTCAATATTTTGAGTGTGTGGTATCTAACAATCCACAGGACCAAGCACACATGCAGATGATGCTAGCTAACACCTCCTCGACCGCGCTAACCTACAACGCCACCTACGATGATATCTCTCGACCATCTCAAGGACCCGCAAATCCTTTTAAACCTGCCGGCTCAACTGGTAACCTCAAACGGAAGAACGTTCCAACAGGATTCGCCGAAGAAGCAGCCATCAGTGAGGCCACCTTTGCCACGCAGCACCGCACGTTTCAAAGTCTGGGATACACGCGGAATCCGGGCCTTCCGGGACATTTTGTGGGAGATATGGATAGTGCTGCGCAATATGGGGGTAGGGATATTGTGCAGATGAAGCCATCGAAGGAGGTGTCTGCGGCGCTGCGCGCTAAGAGGCAGAGGAAGGGCGATTCGAGTATCGTGGAAGGGGATGGAGCGTATCTGGGCCCGTGGGCAAGGTATCAGAACGATGACCAGGTTTACGAGGAAGAGGCGGCTGAGATAGACCGGGAGCTCGCCAGCGATGAGGAGTATGTGGAGGTAGATGAGGATGAGGAGGGAACGGCGGCGATGGCTCCGTCGGAGATGCCTGCTATGAGCAAGGAGGCAACGGATTACCAGGACGATGCGTCGAGGGTGGAGACAACCGAGTTTCACGGCTCGGAGCAGTACGACTACCTGGGAAGAACGTATATGCATGTTCCGCAGGATCTGGGTATCGATTTGCGGAAGGACGTTGGGAGTGTCAAGAACTACGTGCCGAAGAAATTGGTGCATACTTGGAAATCACATACGAAGGCTATCACGTCTCTGCGGTTCTTCCCTGGTGCTGGGCATTTGCTGCTTTCATCGGCTGCAGATGGAAAGGCTAAGATCTGGGATGTGTACCATCAGCGCGAACTTCTGCGGACGTTCTCTGGTCATTCCAAGTCTGTTAATGATACGGACTTCCACCCTACTGGTAAGACGTTCCTCACGGCGTCTTACGACCGCCAGATGAAGCTCTGGGATACCGAATACGGCAAGTGTATTGGTCGGTACTCGACTGGCAAGACACCGCACGTCGTGCGCTTCAACCCGGGCCCAGAGCACTCGCATGAGTTCCTGGCCGGTATGTCAGACAAGAAAATCGTGCAGTTCGACACTCGCTCGGGCGAATTGGTGCAGGAGTACGACCACCATCTTGCCGCGATCAACACCCTGACTTTCGTCGACGAAAACCGCCGTTTCATCTCTACATCAGACGACAAGTCCCTGCGCGCATGGGAATACGGCATCCCCGTGCCCATAAAGTTCATTGCAGAACCGTACATGTTCGCCTTGACGCGTGCCGCACCCCATCCAAACGGAAAGTATGTTGCTTTCCAGTCTGGTGACAACCAGATTGTTGTGTACGGTGCTACGGATAAGTTCCGACAGAACCGTAAGAAGAGCTTCCGGGGACACAATAACGCCGGATACGCCATTGATCTTAAAATCTCGCCCGACGGACAGTTCATTGCGTCGGGTGACAGCGGTGGTTATGTGTGTTTCTGGGATTGGAAGACGGGCAAGATGTATCATAAGATTATGGCCGGTGGGAAAGAAGGAGGAGGTAACGCCACGACATGCTTGGACTGGCATCCTCAGGAGACGAGCAAGCTTGTTACTGGTGGTTTGGATGGCGTTATCAAATACTGGGATTGATTGGCTGTTTGTACATAGCTATAACTAATCACACGTGGTTACAAATTAACTTTTCAAGAAGCAGGAGTCTTGGAACTCAAAACACCCCTCTCCAACAACGTCTTCAAAAGCGTCACAATTCCCTTGATCGCAATCCCAGCAATCAAATCCCCATCCCCAGAATCCGGATCAAACTGACAAACCACCAACGCCTTCGGCAAGCTAACCCTCTTTCCCACCACCTCCAAAGACCGAACCAGGTCCCCCTCCAACAGTCCCCCCTCGGACGGATAGTCATTTACCTTGCCGTAGATCCCAGCATCAAGAACATCCAAATCAAGGTGCACAACCGCATCCCCAAATGGATCTTTCTCAAGAATCTTCTCCAACTCAGCTCCGAAGTCCGTTCGCGGGTTCAGGTTCCCGCCCCAAATCGAATCCATACCCGCCTCAACAACCCGTTCCCGCTGTAGCTCGGATTGATCACGCAAGCCAACGTACAAGAATCGGTTCTGGCTCGAGCGGTAGTCGAATGGATTGGACGGGTCATACCCCGGAACCGTACCCATGAGTTTCTTCCAGCTTTCCCCGCGCAGCATAGAAAGACCCATCGCATCGAAGTACCCATTCTCATTGACATCGGGTGAATCAAGATCATCATGCGAATCGAAGTAAATAAACCCCAATTTCCCCTCGTTCCCTTTCTTCTGTTCCTGCACCTGCACCTTCTCCAACCCACAAGCAACAGCAACACTAGCCATACAATTCCCGGACAGCACCAACGGCCAGCTGCCCCGTTCCACGGCCTCAGTGACAGCAACAGAGGTCCGACGCATAACCTCGAAACTGCGACCAATTTCGCCCTCGAAGTCGTCGACGCGAGCGATCTCGTGGGTCTCGATGGTTAGACCGAGAGAGGTGAGCTGTGGGAGGAGGTTTTGCGAGAGGATGTGGTGCGGGCCTTTGCCAACACGGTGGGCGTGGAGGCCGGTGTGGTAGGGAGAGATGATCAGGGTTATTGTTGACATGTTCAATTTATTTAGTTTGGTTTGGTTGGGTTGGGAGAGATGTGGCTTTTACATTAAAACAAATATTGCAAGTGGTGGTATAATATATATTGATACGGCTTTGGAGGTGTGGAGGTGTGGAGGTGTTCATTGGAGGTGAATTAATATCTATGACGATACTATGTAGGCGTAAACAATAACCGGTCCGGGAACGAGGTTAACAGTACCTTTGCACTATGTACTAGAAACTAGCCATCTCAAGCTTCGGCCACTGTCTACTTGTACACGATCCCGTACATCCCTAAATATGTCTGGTTGGTCCTCTTCCCGCAAGGGAAGAGCGCATCAATCAGTAGATCAGTTAGGAGATATAATACCACGTCATAGGCAGTACTATCCTTGGTTCAAAGTTATACATATTGCATGTATTCCTATTCATGAGACGAGGAAAATATAGTATTCGGCGGATAGAAGTATGAAAAGGCTGCTCAACGTAAGTAATAGTGCTTGTAATAAGAACGAAGGATGTCAAATATGTTCCACGTCCCAAATTTATAGTAGTCACAGTAGGCATTTACGCTAACCCTGCCCTTTGAAATCCTGGTGGCCTTTTCTACAGTGGATTGACCCTATCAGGCCAGTGCGTGAAGCCACTAAATTCTGATCTGCTTGATGCGGCTTATCGCTGCCCGTAATTGTATTCTAGGCGCCTAGAAACACCATGGAAGACCATAGCTTGACTATGTATGGGCAGGTATGTGCATCTCTTCTTTTATACAGGATACATCGGGTTTGGTGACTAGCGTCGTGGGATAGCCAGCTCTGGGATCAGCGTTGGAGGTGTGTGAGGACCTCGAGTTGTTTGAGAAGTTGGATACGGCAGGAAAGGAGACCATGGATATGGACGAATTAGCCGCCCTTCTAGATTGGCATATCCTGGATGCTACTATGAGCAAGGGATGTATGCTTACTGGGGTGGGTAGGATGTCTCGTCCGCCATCTCGCCTCGAATTATATGCCCCATGAGCCGTCGATTGGTCTTTTCAAGCCGATAGATATGCTGATAGAGATGCTGATAATGATACGTCTCGGCGAAAATTTTCTCAGTATACTATAGCCATGATCTTTTTTGTTTCTTAAGGGACTGAATGGATGGAATGAGACCGAAAACACCCAGTGTCGGAATGGAAATAGAACTTCGCCCAACCCTAAGTAGGAAAGAGAGCATAGTAGGACATGATCTCTGCCGACGGAGTTAGAGCTCTCTCCTGGCAAAATACGCTATCTCCGTTAGGGCTCCGGCGCTTTAAAAGTTACAAATTCACTATTTTAATCTTTCCATTTTTCAATCAATCCATCAATCATTGCCCTCAAGAAACTCTCTTGGCTCATCACCGGCTGCTCCTCCGGCTTGGGTCTCTCCCTCACACACACTGCCCAGGCTGGTGGCATAAGGTCATTGCCACTTCCCGCAACCCTTCAAGTACCCCCGACCTGGTCGTGGAGATCGAGGGCAACGGGGGTAAATGGGTCCATCTGGATGTTGATAGCGCTCAATGTGGCTATGCATTGTTAACAACGCCAGGGGCTCCTTCTACGCGCCTATCGAGACCAGCATCGAGAAGGAGGTTCGCGCCCAAATGGAGGCGATGTACTTTGGCCCGCTGCGCCTGATTCACGCAAATTTCTCCTCTCATGCGTCAACGCCGGTCCGGGGCGATTATAAACATGAGCAGTGGTGCCTGGCTTGACGGTATTCCAAATATGGGAGTGTATGGGGGTTACTAAGGCTGGCCTAGATGCTATGTGACTCTATGCTAACATGCATCTCTTTTGTGGACTTTGTAAATAGCTAACAATGCAATATAGCTCTCACCAAGGTTCTCACCAAGGAGATTGCTCCCTTCAATATCCGCACATTGACAGTCATTCTAGGTACTTTTAACACCAACATGCCCGACTCTGTCGCCCTAGGAGAGACCCCTCTCCCCGATGACTACAAGGGTACCGTCACCGAGCAGGTTCAGGGGCTCCTTTCGAACGGGAAGACTATTCCCAACTGTGACAAAGATAAGGCCATGAAGGCCCTAGGGGCAAGTCAGAAGGAACACGAGGGAAACAGACTTGGGTCTGACATGATAGCATGGTGCATTATATTGAGGCTATTTTACTCAGGCTGATCAGTGAGGGCTCAGGGCGTGCACTAAAAAAGCAATTTCGTACGTTGGCACGGCTTTAGGGGGTGTGGAGGTGTCCGTTAAGAGGTGAATGTGATATCTATGATGATATACCCGAGGGTGTAAACAATGTGTTGATCACAGTACTTTTCCTATATACTAAAAACTGGCCATCTCAATCCAACTCGCCACAAAAGCCAATCTCCGTTGCCGGTCGGCCGCCATCCGTCTCGAAAACTCCTCAAAATTCAACTTCGCCCCCGTCCCACCCCGCTCCTTCGCCTCCCGCTCAACCTGATTTAAGAATGCCCACCGGGAAAGCATTCGCGGTGTTGGCCGGCGGGTTGGCGATGCTTCTTCTGTCTCTAGTGGGAGGGTGGAAGTTGAGGTAGTTGGGGCTGGAGGGAGGGGTTGGATTGGAGAGGGGGGTTGTTTGGGGGCTGTTGCTTCGGCTTCGGGGGAGGATGAGGGGAGGGAGGACGGTATGGGGAAGGAATTGTTTGGTTGTAGGCGGAGGTGGAGGGGTAGGATGGTTCCTTCGCGGGGTGTGGAGGGTTGGATTGGTAATTCGTTGGGGCGGTTTTGGGGAAGGGTGGGATCGTAGTCGGGTGTTGTAGGAGCGGATTCGTCGTGGGTTATTTGTAGTTCAGGAGTTACCGGGCGAGTGGCTGGCTCGTCGAGTCCTTCGCGGGATTCTAGTTCCGGCATGTCCTCGTAGTCCTCATCTTCAGTCTCCCCCCCTCTCTCTCCCTCTCCTTCATTTTCTTCCTCCTCCTCTTCCCCTTCCTCTTCGTCGTCATCCGGCTCAGCAAGATGGACTGGCCTGACGTCGTCATCGGGAACCCTGAATCTTGGAGGAGGAGCAAGCACAGGACCGCCAGTCTGAGAAGGCTCCAGAGGCGGACTGTCAACTGAATATCCTGTTCGTTCTAGCAACTCGTCGAGTGACCTCTGTTCCACTGCAGCACGATGTCTGCTTTCAGGTTCATCTCCTGTAGCCTTTTGCTTGTGCGGATCGGTCTGTTCAAAAAGTTCAATCTCGCTCGCCCAAACTTTCCTCTCAGTACGTGTCCGGTTTACTTCCATGAGCAGATCCTCTTTCGGTTTGAAGAGGATATCCAGAAGCTCGTTAAACCCTTGTTGCGTAACCTGGTACAAAACCTCCTTACCCACATCTCGCTCGACCTCCGGAATCTCGAAACCACCCCATCGTTCTCCAACAGGAATGCTTCGAGACGAAGTCGTAGATCGGATCTCGTAATCATCAGTGAAATCATCCTGGAACCGGACCTTGGATGAAGACCGTGAACGAGGCGATGGTGGGTGCGACTCCGGTTGTTCATCAATGACGTCCTCGTCTTCGTCTTCATCGCTCGAATTGTCATAGTCAGGATCTCTTTGGTATCCCTCGGGAATCGTAGCACCGTCTTCTTCATCCGTATAGAACGCTCTCCGCCTCCAACGCTCATCGATTCCGTACCGACGAGCTTCGTCTACTCGTCTTTGATCGTCATCCCGCATACGGTGGTAAACAGCCGTTCCAATTCGTGCTCGGTCGACAGGGTCAGTGATCTCTTGAAGAGGAACCGGCGCGCCAAGAGCGTTGATGACATCCTCCTCGAGTATGTGTTCTACCGGCGGCCAATGGTCACTGGTGATCGATGAGCTCGACGCGTCCTCAGATTCGCTGGCATCCTCGTCTTCATCCTCGTCCATGTCTTCGCCTATTCCGTCGATCCCTGGATGATGGGAATCTGCGGCTGAAGCCAGACGAACAGTCGACGGAAACATGGGTCTCACACGTCCGAATTGCCCACGGACAGCAGAATCTCCAACAACACTATAGCGATCGCCAGTATCAGAGCCGTCATGGCGCAGAACACCCTCGTTATCCATGACCTCCATATCGCCCTCTCGGTTGATACGCTTTCCTTCACCAATTCTCGATGGCTCTCCGGAGGGAATACTGCCGGGAAATGCTGAGCTGATAGGCTGGCTACCCAGAACAACATCCCGCGCACCACCTTCCAAGAAGTCATCTTCCAAACCGGCGACCATATCCCGTGTTAGTTCGCGACTAAGAGCGTAGTATGCCCGGAACACACGCAGGAAGTCTTTCCGTTCCACAAAACCGTCTCCATTGATATCATATCCGCGGAACACACGGCGCAGGCGTTCATCATTGCTCTTGTTATTGAGACTAGCGAGACCTCTCAAGAACTCCTCAAAGCCGATCAGGTTATCGCTGTTAGTGTCGTAAAATGCAAACATCCGATCGTAGATAAGACTGGGAGGAGGCGGCCGGATGGATGTATTGGGCACAAAGCAGCGATCGAACGTCTTGCGGTCAATAGCCATGTATAGTTTGTTGGGATCATCCGGCCACTCGTAGTTCGCAAGACACCGGAACTGGTCCCACAAAGCGTCCAACTCAGTATTTTCGAACCCCATCTCTTTCATAAAACGCTTGGCCAGGTTCCGTGGGAGGCTGCGAGGAAGCATCGCCGGTTTGCCGGGGTACCAAACGGGCTGAGACTGTCGAGGATTTCCAAGGAAAGGCGCAGGAATTCTGACTTTATAGAACAAATGCGTTTTGATGTGCACTTGCATCGCTTCGCACGTCTCGCACAGGTCGTAGTCAATGCAATTCGCGCATCGATACCGAATGCCTTGGATGGGCATGGCGTTGCAGCTATTGCACGTAACTCCTCGATGAATATACCCATCCCGCCGCGATTGGTCCTCTGCGATATGATACAGCAAGTTGAGCAGATTCTGACCCTCTCGCGTAGGCGACGTATCATTATTCCCATCCCTCCACGAGAATACGCTCTGGTCATCCACCACAGTATCCGCATCCATATTCTGCGCAGGCACCGACACATCCGGAAAAGTCGACGTCGACAGCGTCACCCGTTCCCCATTCTGTCTCCGATGCCTCAGCTCCTCCCCGTAATTACTATTCTCATTGAACTGCGCCAGCGCCCTCTCAACTCCAACCCGCGAAATGCCCCGCCGCTGCAACTGCTCCGACAAGTAATTCCTCTCGGCACTCCCATCCTCCAACACATGTTCGGGCGGGAAATCCAACGCAAGAAATGACTCCAGAAACGTATCCTCCATCATCTCGCGCATCCGCTCCGCATGGGCTGGTGGCACCCCGACTTCCTCCATTAACTGGTCTCGTGTCGCCAGGAGCGACGGCAGCAGGCCGCTTTCCACCCGTCGTCCGTCTTCGGTTTCGATCCGGAATGTACCGTAAACTCCATTTTGGCGCTCGAGTTGTTCGAGATGTGTAATGGCGCGGTAGGAAGGTGTCTCGGTGACATCGCCGGGGTCGTTCCGTCTCCGGCGGACGGCGTTTCGGCGGCGAAGGGAGGAGGATGTCTGCTCTGGGGTCGGGGAGATGATGTTATTGTGGATGTAGACGAGGGCGTAGGCTGCTACAACACCGGTGAACAGGTAGAGCAGAGGACGATATCGCGAGAACGACGTTGGGCCTGAGTGCGACTCTGGCATGGTGGAGGGTCAACGTGCTTTTTTAGCGGTCAAGGCACTGGATCCATTGTCGATAATTGACAAAAGAAAAGGCAATAGCTGTGTCTTGCTATTTCTGGAAATCCCCTGGTTTTTAGGCAGTATTTGGACTGGACGAGGCTGAAGAGGTGTATGTGTGAAGAATAATGTTACACTGGAATTGCCCAGCGGAGACCGCCTTCTGCATGAACGAGGACAATCTTACTATATAATATAGATAAGTTTCTTATTTAAATATTATAAATGATTTACACTTTAAACCTTTCTACCAAACAAGTCGCAGGCTCAAAAGGTCTCATAAATACAACATCAGAGCAACTTTTATACATACAACCACCTCCAGCATACATTCCTCAACCAGATACCTCTCCCACCCTTTTCTCCTTTAGTTCGTAAAACGTTATGATACTTAGTGCTCATTACGCGAGACGATATTCAACGGTTAAGCTTCTTCTCGCGGATAAAGAAGCTGCCCAAAAGAGAAAATATGACAATGCCAATCATAAACGCGAACCCTTTGTTCGTTGCCCAGCCATAAGAGCCGCGAACAATCTTGGCGATTGCCGGATCGAGGGTTTTGATGTAGTCGAGACTTTGTCGCACTCCGTCCACGATCTGGTCGATGTCTTTGCTGTCGTGCAGCGCAGACCTCAGTCGAGTTCGGAGGAGTTGCTGGACCACTGTGGAGGACAGAGAGAGCCCGATTACTGATCCTAGCGAGCGGAAGAGGTATGAACAGGCAGTCACAACTGCTTGATCCTCGGGATTGGCGTTTGAGACTAGGAAACTGGTTAACAAATCCACAGGAGACAGAGATGTTTAGGTGACTCACTTAATCCAATCAATGTCGTCGTAACACCAATGCCGTTTCCAAAAGCAGAAAAAACCATAGATACAATCATACCAACGACGCTGGGCACTGCATCACCAGAGAAAATGAAGACTCCGGTGATTCCAAGAGTAAGCGAGACATAACCCGCCACAGTTAGCCAGTAGTACTGTCCGGTCCATTTTATGACAAATCCAGCAAAGAGAGAACCGAAAACCCCGGTACAAATACTCGGGAGGAGTCGTAGTCCAGATACAGTGGCAGAGACACCGTCAACCGCTTGGAAATACAGCGGGATGTAGAAGAGTGCCGCAAGCCAGCTGCCAAAACTGGCAAAGTTGCAAACATACATAGAGAAGAATGTCCGGTCAAAGATGATGTATCCGGGAGCAAATGGTTCGGCTGCGAAGTATACCTCGATGATAACAAAAAGAATGAACAGCATTGCAGAAACCGACAAAGACACAATTGTCAACGGCATGGTCCATGACACATTACTTCCCCGGTCGAGACCAAGGAGGAAGCCGAGCACGGCACCAACAAGGACAATCGCTCCAGCAAAGTCAACACGACGAAGCTTGGCTTTCCAGTGAGTGTCTTCTTGCACTGGTAAGTCCAACATTAACGACACCGCTGTAAATGCCATGATGCAGAGCGGCACTTGCGCGATAAAAGCCCTGTGAGAAACAAATTAGACGAGTGCAACTAAAGCAACACCAATTTAACATAGGATTCATACCAACGCCAGCCGATAAAATCAGCCAAGATACCACCTTATACGGTGATTAGTACAGAGCAAAATTCTAGTGAACAAGAATGACTTACCCAAGGGTGCACCAATTCCTGCACCAGTGGCATAGACGATATTGATAACGCCCTGCCATACTCCTCGCTCACGTAGGGGAACAAGATCACTCATTAAAATACTAACAACAGTGGTCATACCACCTCCTCCGATACCTTGGAAGACCTAGGACTTAGTCAGCCATGATAGCTTTTAACCAGTACTGAAAAGACCACATACACGTGCAGCAATGAGATGCTTTATATTCCGTGATAAGCCACAGAACAAACAACCCGTCCCAAAAATAGCATACGCAAATAAGAGACATTGTTTTCGGCCGAAAATATCACTCAATTTGCCATACAGGGGTTGAAATGACGTGAGTGTCAGGAAGTACGAAGTGGCTATCCAACTGGTCAAATTGAGAGCCTTGAGGTCACTTCCAATCTGGCCATAACTGGCCATAATAATAGTCTGGTCTGCTGCAGAGAGGAAGACCTAGTATTTAGGTTAGCACATTTCCGCAAGGGAGATTCAGAAAGTACATACTCCTATAGAGACTGCCGGGACGATGTACCGGAGAGCTACAGTCTTTGTTTGTGCATCTCCATCTCCTCTAGTCTGCTGTTCCGAGTAAGCACCATATTCACCTTGGACTCTGGGAATGGTCCCCGTTGAAGGAGGGAGAGCATTGCTCTGTTCTCCGAGCAACGGGGAGGTCTCTGTCGGATTTCTTTCCGGTGCCATCTGTGCGCGTTCCCAAGGATGAAGAAGTTCGCAATATTTCAATATCAGGTGCGCCTACTGATCACCATATACCGTACCTCACAATGTTTCAACGAACAGGAGGTTGCTAGAAAGAACGGTCAAGGCGACTGAAAACACTGATTCTACACCAGCGTCAAGCACAAGAGAGTCACGTGGTGATAAGATGCCCCGCAGCCCTGACAAATCCGGACAATCCGAGCGGAGAGTCTGAAAATGCCCCTTATGATTGGTTCAGTCGACGGCTATCTTTCAGACTCCCGGTCCATACCGGAGATTGATAAGACTTCTACATAGTATTGCACAAGTACCTTATCCTATCATTCGTCTCAACATCGTATGCAATTGTCGTTAATCTTCTACTCTAGTGGGTACTATTCAAACTCCACATATGCAAAACGCCTCGGAATCTCATATCACCATTCCGTTAGTTTGTACTGGCCTCCAGCAAGGGAACCGGTCCGCCAGGGGATTCCGGAAACCTAGCAGTCAACACTTCAACGCCGCTTTCAGTGACGAGAAGAGTGTGTTCAAACTGAGCCGACAATTTCCCGTCTGCCGTGGTACTCGTCCAGTCATCGGGCCATGTGCGATCCCGGTGAGTACCAATGTTAATCATGGGTTCAATGGTGAAGCACATGCCAGGCTTCGCAGTACCAACAGCCTTGTTCTTCGCGTAATGGGGAACATTTGGTGCACAGTGGAACAGCTGGTTGATGCCGTGGCCACAGTAGCTCTTGACCACACTGCAGTCCCGGGTCTTTGCGTGCTTCTCAATCACATTTCCAGGATCCCTAAACAGCATACCGGGCTTTACCAACTCGATCGACTTGTCCAAGCATTCCCGTGCAGTTTCCACGACCTTCACAGCATCTGGGTTTGCCTTGGCCTTGTCTCCAACATAGTATGTCTCGTTGATATCTCCGTGGAATCCTTCGTGGTACAGCGTGACGTCAATGTTGATGATATCGCCGTCCTCCAATGGCCGCTGGTCGGGGATACCGTGGCAGATGGTTTCGTTGATCGAGGTACAGACCGACTTGGGGAAGTTCACGTAATTGAGCGGCGACGGATACGACTGCGCAATCCATTTAGTAAAGTAATTCTTTCCGTCTCCAAAAAGTAACATACGTTGCGCTCAACACAGGCCTTGTGAACGACTTCATCAATGTAGTCCGTGGTGACACCGGGCCGCAACTCCCGCGCAGCAATATCCAACACTTCTCTTGCGAGCCGGCAAACCTTCCGCATGCCCTCCTGCTCTTTCGCGTTCAAAATGGTGATGTTATGCCGGCCAACGAATTTCTGCTCCGATCGAGGGAAGCCATCTTTGGCGTAGTCGGGGTGCGGAATAGATTTCGGGACGGTGCGCCTCGGAGACAGGGGGTAGACAGGTCGTAGGGAACCGGTGTATTCGAACGACGGGAAAGGGTTGTACTGTCCCGTGGCTGGATCTGGTTCAGAAACTACTTTTGGAGGGAAGAGGTTGGTGAGGATATTACTCTTCTTGTGAATGGATTTGTGGTCGCTCTGTGTTCGAGGATATCAGTAGCTGCTTTACTCTACCATCTGCGCAAGAAACCTACCCAGCTCCGCTTAAAACAGTCTTGCGAGCAGAAGAAGCTATCAGTGCCCATCTTCAGACATGTCGGGCATTGCAGAGTGCCAGCGTCGTTCTGGCAATCTAGTCCAGTACATTTCCGAGAAACAGTTGCCGCAGCCATATCGAATCCCAAACCAAAGAATGAATGCTTTCAAAAGTGACTTCAAATGATTGTCGCAGTGAGACTTGCAAAAATCCGAATCCCCGCGCAGAACGAAACCATCTGATGCGCTAGCCTTATAGGGTTAGTCCCCTGACGGTTAACGGTTCCATCATGTGGCTGTTTGCTTACTAATGCAATATGTGGCGCGTCAATATAGTTTCCGTTCAGGGCTAGCGGTATTAGGATGCACTAACACTATTCTGTCGGTGACGACAGCTGAACTCATTCTTGTAGACGTCCCGCGTTCACATTCTTTCTTGCTAGCGAATAAAGACTGGGAGGCGATAGTAGCTGTCAGGTGTTGTTGCATGGTTGTTGCAATGGCAGGGAAGTCCAAGCAAAAGGTTGTTATTGTGGGCGCGGGCCCGGTGGGCTCCCTGGCTGCTTTGTATGCGGCTGCCCGGGGCGACGAAGTTGAAGTATACGAATTGCGCGGAGGTGCTTCCTCAATTGTTGCATTCTGTATGTTGAATGCTTGCTAATTGGCTCAGATCTCAGAAATCCAGCCACTATACCGTTAAACTTTACCAAGTCCATCAACCTCGCCCTGTCCGAGCGTGGAATCTCGTCTATGAGGCAGTCGGATCGGCCGGCGCTGGTTGAGAAAGTCCTCAATGTGGCCATTCCCATGCATGGACGCATGATCCATGGCCGGGATCACGGAAAACTCTGGGAAGCAGCACAGGCATATGATGTCCATGGTCGCGTGAGTCATTGCCTGGTACATACTGCCAGATCGATGCTAATATAAGATAGGCAATCAATGCAGTGGACAGATCCACGCTAAATAACGCTCTGCTGGATGAATTGGAACAGACGCCAAATGTGAAGCTCTTCTTCAATCACAAGCTCACTGGCGCGGACTTTCAAGCAAATAAAGCTTGGTTCGAACGTCGTCTACCTGGGAAGACTCCCATCCCCAATTCATCCAACAGAGCTCCAGAAATCGAAGTATCATTTGATTTCCTCATCGGAGCAGATGGAGCACACTCAGCAACACGCTATCACCTGATGAAGTTCGCCCGGGTGAACTACGAACAAGAATACATCGACGCACTCTGGTGCGAGTTCCGCATCCCACCCACAGAGGATGGGAACTTCCGCATCTCTCCGAAACATCTGCACATCTGGCCAGGCACGGAATTTATGTTCATCGCTATCCCTTCGTCAGACAAGTCATTCACCTGCACCCTCTTCGCCCCGGCACAGCACTACATCCATCTCCAAAACTCTCCAGAAACCCTCGTCGACTTCTTCGATGCCCACTTCCCAGGAGTTTGCCCCGACCTCATCACCCCAGGCGCCCTGGCAGAGCAATTTGCCACAAATCCACACCTCCCCCTCATCAGCATAAAATGCACCCCGCATCACTTCAACTCTTCTGCTGTCATCCTCGGCGACGCCGCCCACGCCGTCCTCCCCTTCTACGGCCAGGGCCTCAACGCCGGCCTGGAAGACGTCCGCGTCCTCTTCGACATTCTCGACTCTCATGGAGTTTATAATTCCCCCTCAACCGAATCCAGCATCCTCGCCCGCCATACAGCTCTCCAAGCCTACACCTCCCACCGCGCCCCAGACACCCACGCCATCAACGACCTCTCCAAAACAAACTACCTCGAAATGCGCTGGGGCGTGAAAACGCCCCTCTATAAGTTCCGTAAGTCCGTCGAAGAAACCCTCGACCGCTACTTCCCACGTCTTGGCTGGAAGACGCAGTATACGCGTGTGAGCTTCAGCACTCAACGGTACTCGGAGGTTATTCGTGCGGCGCACTGGCAGGGACAGTTGCTTGCCCTTGGGCTCGGGGTTGTAGGTGTTTGGGGGACTGTTATGGTTGCGATAGGGATGTGGAAGAGTCCCGGGCCTAAGTTTCAAGTGCTTGTTAGGGGGTTGAGTCATCTTTGGGTGAGGCTTTCGAGGAATGCCGCCAAGTCTGCATGATTATCTTTCCTATTGTTTTATGTATGTATTTCGATTTGGGATAAAGAAAAGTTTTATGAAGACAAATAACCCAATTCCACTGGTCTAACACGATATATCCATTCTATCACCCTATCAATCCATGCACCCTTTCATGAAGTCAAATAGAACAGCGGGATTCAACAATCGGCCGGATGGTGTAGTTGGTTATCACGTATCGTTAACAGTTCAAACAACTGATTCCGATAAGGTCCTGGGATCGAGCCCCAGTCTGGTCATCTCTTTTTGCTTTTGTTTTCGTTTAGTTTGAGGTAAATCTTTCCTTTTCCTTTTTTTTTGTTTTTTTTTTTTTTACTCCGGTGGTGCCGTAGTGTGGTGGGTGCGTGTGGGTCGGGTCGGGCCAATATATTGTAGATTGGATCGGATGTAAATCGGGTGTCGGTTGATTGTCGGGTGTCAATTAGCGAAAAGAAAGTGAAAGCGAATGAAGTGGTCGTTATCATTAGTTGTTGTACATACTCCGTAGGAATGGAGTAGAATATTTCCTTCTCTTTGGATTGGGTAGCAATCAAGCAAAACAAGTGTGAGCGAGTAGTGTTACATTCAGACAGTGCCTCGGCAAATGGCAAACGAAACCAGGTAGTCCCAAGACAAGAGGACACAAGACAAGACATATCGGATTTAGACAGACAGGACGTAACAGTCGTGAGTATTTTTTTTTTTCTTTTTTTTTCCAGTCGGCTGGACATTTTGACAGCAAGATAACACGGTGGCACAGTGGTAGTAACGGAGTATGCAATATGCCCGACAAACCAAAGATGTATGTAATGTAGCCTTCCTTCCCAGCCTCAAGATGCAAAAGGAACCAATCCAATCTTAGCCAACCAGAGAGAAGGGCACGAATAATATCCGAGATGAATACATGAGCAGCAACATTATCAACAACAGGAAAGGCATCAAGAAACGCATGCGAAAATGGGCAAATCCATGGGTCATTTCATGTCATCATTTCATCATCGTCACAAGACAAAAAAAAAAAAAAACGCTGTAATTCGAAAATAGAAACGGTAACAATTTTTAAGAAATTCGTTGCTTTTGCTGTCGTTTTCGTATAGCCGTGTGCAAGGCGAGTACGTAGATAGTCCTAGATAACCTGGAAATGGAACGGGCATTGTAAAAACCGAAGGAAACTGCTTGGCCTCAGCATTCTGTAAAAGTCGGACGGACAATTCCTTCCTGGCAACTGGATAGTTGAAGTAGAGCAATCCATGGTGAATCCAAAGACGGACAGACTGGCTGGGGCACCTTTTTTCCATGGAGACGGAGTCATCAATAATATATGCCATGGCGGATATCCAAAATTGTCCTATGGGTCCGGTGTAATCCAACAATGGCCAAACGGAAATATGTAGATGGCGATATCCAGGACGAAAAAGAGACAAAAAAATTGGAAAACAAAAAGAAAATCGTTCAAGGCGCAAACTTCACACGGCGACTCTTTCGTTGATGGATAAGTCTCTCCGTGTCAACATACAGTTGGTCCATGAACTCCATGGCACAGCAATCCTTGAGGATCTTTGCGACCTGGGTCCCAGCGGAGATGAGCTGAAGTACATTGCGATCATCCTTGATGGGCCGGGACTGGTGCTTGGCAGCATGTCTCATTTCCAGGGAGTTCTCCAGGACTGTAACTAATTGTTTGATCTGGCCGTTGTACAATAACCGGGCTGGAATCCGGCGCTTGGTAGCCAGTCTCTTCAGAAGGTACACCCATTCGGTCCATTCTCGGTCAGTAGGTCCGTTGACTGTTCTCTTGTCTGCTTCCACTGGGACTGGGAACTGGTACTTGGCAATGAAATCATATGCACATTCCGACAGTCGGTCATTGACCGCATTCAAGATGCGGTCCTGCTCCGAAACATCAAGGTTAGTGGGCAGGTGTGGCAGCTCCCGTGCCTGGGCCGCTACCACATGACCGGGAGGAGGCTTCAGCAATTGATGGGGACCATCGAATTCATCCCGGTTGGACGGTCGTCTTTGCGAGCGATGGCGGGTAGAGCTTCTGGACTTCTCGATTGCACTGCGGGTGCTGGCTTCGGCCAGAATTTCCGCATCATCGAACGGTTTGCCAAAGTCATAGTCCCGTCTCAGGGCCGTCGGGGGCAGACGAGCCGGGTGGTCGAATTCACGATAGACAGGAGCCGGTGGCGGGTCTGACTTGATGTTATCGAATGGAAAGTCAGGACTTGGGGGGAAAGGCTCGTATTTGCCTGACGACACGGGAATATGGTAGTCAAAGTCTGACCAGGATTGCTTGTGTGGCTTTGATGCAGCAATCTGGTCAATGGAAACAGAGTCAAAAGGCGAAGGAAATGCTGCTCTTCGTGTGCTGGAGAGATAAGAAAAATCTCAGTATACAATTCCCGGTTGGCCGCGAAAAGGAAAGGGTAAACACGATGCGGTAAAGAGGTACCTTGGTTGGAAGATCCACTGGTTCTCAGGTGAGCTACCATAGTTCTGGGTATGTTGAGACATGGTGCTGGTGCTGCCATGGGTGAGCTTCCCTCAATGCATTCGAGAACAAACAAACAAGAACAGGGATGGGCAAAGGAGAAGTGCAGATATGCGATTAAGCTGACCTGTGACGAGACCATGATTCGGGATCACTGCTGATCGAATGTGCGCGCGATCCGGTATTGGATGCGGCACTTGAGAAAGGGCTGAAATTCGCCATTGATAGGGGTGAAGGAAGAGGGTGCATGAAGCGAGACAAAAGTTCGGGTGATTCAAATATAAATCAACAGGCACCGACGGATAACAGGGAACAAAGCAAGAAAGGAGAAAAGAAAAAAGAGAAGAGAATGACGAAATAGTAAGATGGAAATAATATCGAGACCGGAAGTGGTATGAATGGACCAGGAACAGGAGCAGGGTTTATCAGATTAAGTTCTTCTTTCTTCCCTTGGATCCCGCACGGTAAATATATAGAGAGAGAGGTGTCAGCACTCCCCATATGAACCCGCCAGATAGGGCTTGTGAGGAACTCCACGTCCGAGGGACAGCCGGATCGAATAAAATGACGAAGATGTTCGATGTTCGCCCAGGGAACCCCTCGTAGGACCCAACTGGAACAGCTTGGTCTCACCGCCAATCGAACAGTTGTTTTTTTTTACTGGAGACTGGGGTCTGTCAGGCCGGGTAAGAGGAAATATGGAATGAAAAAAATGAAAAAAGCCACGATGATGGGGAGATCAGACGGGAAACGGGAATAATGAGTGATCTATAGCAATCAAAATCGTGACTAGTCAAAGCAAGCAATCAAGCAAGCAAGCAGGAAACACGCCGAAGCGGGCGTCTCAGCTGTCTTTTTTTTTTTTTTTTTATCTCACTTCCCACACGAAAGACAACAGCAGCAGCAGACAATAGGCTAAGAACCTACAGATCGCAATACTCAATCACCATTCAATCCAGATGTTCCAATATTCCAGGGGAAAACAACGACGCCACCGAAGGGTGCAATATGATGATCCTATGCCCAAGAGAGAATAGTAGGAGGCGACATGAAAAATCTAGCCAAAGAGAATGCAGCAAGACCATGATTCATGGACCGAACCGAAACGTCCGAATACATAATACTACTAATAAAAAAGCAGGTAGGCGCCAGAGGGCCGTAGGAGCTGTGGGCGGAGCGAGAAGGAGGGCTGTTTGGGCAGCAATCCAGACGGGGCCACGTCCACTTGCGTTGTTGGGTCTGTGAGTTAGCAGCAAGATGACTGTATTGTGTGTGGCTGCGGGAAGATTCTCGCGTTGGCAACTCGTTCACCGTGGACCAATACTGGAGATGCCGACCAAGATGAGGCGTTGATTGATTGCTGCTGCTGCTGTGTTGGTGGTGGTGGTTTCCGTCGTGAGGGACGCCCGACACCGCACACAACTATACGGGGTACACACCACTCGTTACTGTACCTACTACTACTCCGAGTATGTATGTACGAACGCTCACTGGATGCATAATAATGGATAGCACCATAGATATTGCTGAACTGTTCAGTTCTATGCCACTTGCCAATCACCTCCAAAATGCCTCACACTTTCTGCAGCTTCCGCCCCTCCCCCCCCCCCCAGTCCGGGGTCAAAATGGCCCCTCTACAAGTACTCCGTACACTAACGGACAGTGGCAGCGTCGCAGCCTGCCATTCGGGACACAGCTAATTGCACGGAAGACATGGATCACCACCCTGTCTGTTCCGATAGAAATAATAATACATGGCCATTATACTTCTTGGTGCGATGTATTGGGCATACACCTCAGCGATGCATGTGTTGTTGCCCAAGTCCCGGCCAACCGAATGGGCCAGGATTGGGTCCAGATTTATCGTTCTTATGTGGTATCTGGAGTCTTACTCCGCTGTGAGGCAATTCCCGGTAGATGGTGTCGTTTTCGTATACAGCATATACAAAAATGCCACTGTAGCAGTCACTAAAATAGAATTAAAAAAAAAAGCAACCACGAATCCATCAGGCTATTGAACTGTGAACCGGAAATCCGTGCCAAAAAAAAGAAAAAAAAAAAAAAAAAAAAAAAAAAAAAAAAAAAAAAAAAAA